ATGATGGAAGCGGCTGTCAAGCATCAAACGGGGATTCGACTTTACCGTGTTCATGATGATTTCTGGTTCTGGGACTCTCATCAAGACAAGGTAGTCCAAGCATGGCGGGTGATGAACGAATATGCCAGCTTGACCAACCTCCGATTCAATGTTGCAAAGTCTGGTTCTGCTGTAATCAATAGCCAGGGCATGAGCAACACGTCTTCTATTGCATCATTTGGACCATCGCCTTTACCTCAAGCTAGAGTATGGTGGGGATCTCTGGTCTTCCGAGCGGACGGGCTTTTCCAAATTGACCATGCCTTAACAGAGCTTCATATTCAAGAGATGCGACAAAAGCTAAAGACCAGCAAGACGGTTCTCAGCTGGGTCAATGTATATAACAAGTACATCGCTTTCTTCCTGCGAAGCTTTGGATCGTGTGCTAAGGTTCTGGGAACTCAACATTTAGACCAGATTGGTGAATGCATGCAGATGATTCAAAGACGAGTATTCCAGGAGCAACACGGCAATGCTCTTTCTGCATTGAAGAAGCAGTTTGAGGTTTTCCAATCTACGGACATTCTAGACATGTGGGCATACTGGCCACTTCCAGCAGGAGGACTCGGCATGAAGAACTATTTGATGGATATTGGAGCCCTAAGAGAGACATTCATCAAGGTAGAGCACACTGACTTTACAGATCTACCCAAGGAAGACAAGGTGCTGTGGGAAGAGCAAGAGAAGAAAAAAGAGCAAAGTCGCAAGCAATTTCATATAACTATAAAGGACTTGCAAGATCCCTCCAATGTACGTTATAACCAAAGGCATTTATACTTCCCGTTGACATTTGCGATGTACTGTAAAGGACGAGAAAGGATGCATCGGCATTGGTCCCGTCGATTTCTCGAACTGTTGGATGTTGTTGAACTTGCACATCCAGTTCAACTGAGTGCCAGTGTAAATAATCAATTGAACAATCTACGGCTGGGTGATGCTAACGATATTACTACCGCTAAACGTGTTGTTAGCCATTATGATAATCAGTTAGGCAAGGCTTGTGGAAGTTTGGAATTTTTGGACATGGCACTTATACCCAAGAGTTTAGTTCAGTCCCTGAACAAAGCCAAGGTTCAGTGGGATGCATAAACGAAAGCAGTGCACTAGATCCAATTCTGTTTATAGATTTTGAAAATTACAATAAAAGATGTGTAAGCTTTAATGATGAAGTTTATGAGTATAATGACCGCATAAAAAGTTTTAAAGGAAAGAGAGATAACCCATGTAATCATGCAATGATCTATTTTCAAAACGCCATTAGATGAGTGTGGAGAGTTGGAGCTTAAAAAAACAAAATAAGCAACAAGCAAAGGACTTGAGCTGTACCATAAGAACGAAGCTAGAGAGGATCAAGTGCTAGGAGCTGGAAGGCGAGTGTCATGATATTTGAGTCAAAACATGAGAATGAAACGTACTAGCCAAAGCGTAATATCAAACGCAAGGTCCGTGACATATTGATGGGCTCAAAACTAAGTTACATTTGTCACATGCTGGCTGTAGAGGTCGTAGTTGTTTGGCAAGAGCTTTTTGTTGCAAAGTAACTATGTGGCAAAGTGTTTTAACGATGCTGTGGACGCTTGAGCCAAAGCTGACGATAGTGTGACAACTCCACGATTCTGTCCAATGGTGGTGGCAAAGTATTTGATGCCGCAGTACTTTAGTATCGTAAACCCATCATCCTGCATAAGCGATCGACTTTTGTCCACTTTATCTGCTACATTTTTGTAAATGAAAGCAGAAGATTGCCCATAGCTTACGTTTTCAGACCTATACTCGTTACTGTCGTCAGCATGGTTGATGATTGAAAAGGTATGGTAGATGTCACATCTACTATCGCTTGTATAACCTTTTTTCTATTTTTTTTTTTAGCACACTATAAAAGCAGTAAATTTTGAGGGCGGTTGTTAATGATAAAATACTCTTTTAACCATGATGCATAACGAAGCCAAAAGTGCAAGCAAGTCCTCTCTCAACCAGGTCCTCTATGAGGTGACTAGCGAGAAAATCATGGAGCTTCAAAGACAAAAGGATGTCTTGAGCCGCCATTACAGTGATGTACTGAAAACTGCAGATGCTAGTGACGACTTGATTCAAGAGATTGAAATACTGTATCAAGGTATCAAGGAGGCTCCAGTTCAACACAAACAAAATTTGAATATGGAGAGTGCTCGACTCTTCATTGGGAGCGTAGCTAAGGATCCATCTACTAGTGAACAACTCTTACGCCATTGGATTGCCAGTTTTCGAAAAGAGATACAATACTCGACCTGCAAATGTACATACACATACATGTATGGAAAGCGTTTACGCGATGAATTATCTGAAGCTGAAACCTCTGCTCTAGATGATGAGTTTCATGCAGTGTCAAAAAAAAGGAAGGAGCAGATAACAGAGCGTGAAAAGACAATCAAGGAACTTGAAAAGCGTGTGTTTGAAGCTGGACAAATCAATTCGGACGCTTTCAAGGCTTTTCTGGACAAGACTTTGGACATGGGAGAAGTGAAGATCAAGAAAGTGCTGGATACTGCAAGAATGAACACTGGGTTGTTCTGTAAGAAGCTGCTTGAAGACGACATTACTGTGTCTGGGCTGAAAACCTGTGTGGAAGGATTATTGGGATGTGATTTGCTCAACGCCGAGAAGCAAACTACTTTAAGGCAGTTGATGGAAAGCGAGCCGTATCTTCAAGATCTTGCGACACTTCTATCCAGTCGAATCAAGGCGGTCAAGTACTGGAACTGGCCTGAGAAAGGAGTTCATGTGGATGTTCGACGATCAATAGCAGGAAGATATCGAGCTTTTCTTGATGAAGACATTATTACGGCACTTTTCCTTCAGTATATCGGAGCACAATTTGCAATTCACATGAAAGGTGAATTGAGAAAAATGTTTATCATGATATATGAACCTTTTGCGAACCACACCCGAAAGCTGCCACGTCGAACTATGAGTATTGAGGAATTGCGATGTAATATCCACTTGGAAAGTTTCCTCTCTGTACTTCCTAGCGGGATGCAAAACCAAGCCCAGTTCTCGTATGAGGATAATGGAAATTCTAAAAATACCACTGCGAATACCAAGAATTCACTCATTCATCTCCTTGCTACAGAAGCTCAACTTCACAAGGTGATCAAGCCTGACCAGCCATTTACCGTAGTCCGCACTGACATGGAATGGTTCGGACCGTCTATTGAGCATGAGTCGATCAAGATTGTACTTCAGTTCCTTGGAGTGACTGATGTATGGGTTGATTTTATGATGCGGTTCTTGAACGTACCAATGACGTTCCAAAAGGATGTGAGTGAGGATGTCCGCATCCGGCGAAGAGGAGTACCAATCTCACACCAGCTGTCTGCTCTATTTGGTGAATGTATCCTATTCATGATGGAAGCGGCTGTCAAGCATCAAACGGGGATTCGACTTTACCGTGTTCATGATGATTTCTGGTTCTGGGACTCTCATCAAGACAAGGTAGTTCAAGCATGGCGGGTGATGAACGAGTATGCCAGCTTGACCAACCTCCGATTTAATGCTGAAAAATCTGGCTCTGCTGTGATCAATGGTCAGGATAATAGCATATTGTTGTCAACTGCGTCGTTTGGACCATTGCCTTTACCTCAAGCTCGAGTATGGTGGGGATTTCTTGTCTTTCGGGAAGATGGACTTTTTCAAATTGATCATGCTCTGATTGAGCCTCATATTGAAGAGATGCGACAGAAGTTACAAAGCAGTAAGACGGTACTCAGCTGGGTTAACGTATATAACAAGTACATATCTTTCTTCATGCAAGGCTTTGGATCGTGTGCCAAGGTCCTAGGGACGCAACATTTAGACCAGATTGGTAAATGCATGCAGATGATTCAAAGACGAGTATTTCATGAGCAAAACGGCAATGCTCTTGCTGCGTTGAAGAAGCAGTTTGAGGTTTTCCAATCTACGGATATGCTAGACATGTGGGCATACTGGCCACTTCCAGCAGGAGGACTCGGCATGAAGAACTATTTGATGGATATTGGAGCCTTAAGAGAGACATTCATCAAGGTAGAGCACACTGACTTTACAGATCTACCCAAGGAAGACAAGGTGCTGTGGGAAGAGCAAGAGAAGAAAAAAGAGGAGAACCGCAAGAACTTGCAATTAAGTATCAGGGACTTGCAAGATCCCTCTAATGCACGTTATAACCAAAGGTATTTCTTATTACCGCAGACATTTGTGACGTACTGTAGTGGAAGAGAAACGTTACATCGACATTGGAGACTTCGATTTCTCGTGCTGTTGGATATTGTTGACCTTGCACATCCAGTTGAATTGAATGCCAATGTAAATACTCAACTGAACAATCTACAGTTGGGTGATGTTAACGATGTTATTACTGCTAAACGTGTTGTTAGCCATTATAACAATCAGTTAGGCAAGGCTTGTGGAACTTTAGAGTTCTTGGATATGGCCCTTATCCCCAAAAGTTTAGTGCAAACCCTGAACAAAGCCAAGGTACAGTGGGATGCGTGAGCGATAGTAGTGCCGCAGCAGGTCAGTGTACTGAATTTTGAAATATTCCTTATAAAATTACAAGAAAATGATTGCTTAAACAATTGGTAGGCGTAGACTAGGAAAAGGTAGAAGTTTATGGTGGTCTTGTTTGGCATTAGGGAGGTAACTAATTTAGAACTTTGGGGATATGTGACAACGGATCAAGTAAGATGACTGGATTTTGGAAGGGTATGCGGTCCAGAGGTCTGAGAACGATGTGGTTTTACACGTTTGCTGATTCCAGAGAGAGATTTCAAGCTGGGCAAGCTGGAGGTTGATTGATTTTGGCCAACTTTCAAATTCTCTAAGCCCGGTTCAAACGGAAGACCGGCTACACTGGCATCCTTGATGGATGCTTTGCGAGCATACTTTGCAATATCGGACTTAGACAATTTTATGCGAAAAGCTGTTTCCAGTAACAAGTCGGGTCCCAAGTATTTATGTGGGATATGGAGCAAAAATGCCAAGAGTTCTGAATTGCTTGGACAGTTTTGGAGGAGATGATCTATGGAAGTAGGGTTAGCGAAAGTTGGACCAAGAGAATAAGTGGTGTCGAAAGTGGTTCGAAGGGCATCTATGTCGACACCTTGTTCAATTCATTACCTTTGCAAATTTCCAAGATAGCCAACGTAATTCTATAAAACACCTTGACACCTGTGGGAAGAAAGGAAGAGGTGGATTAGCTACAGTCCTATGCTAACAGGATATGAACCATCTCATCTGTACCTTCAAAATAAAAGACATCCCAGAGGCGCAAAACAGAGCTCCAAGGTAATGATAAAGTAAATGCCGTCAAGAACCACGAAGGGATGTACATAATGGGAGTGACGCCATTGGATTCCTATTGTTATTACAATCATAGATAGGCATTAGCAACGTCTCTTTCAATTCATTCAAAAGTTGAGCCATGTAATTCACTTACCAGATGACGAGCCAATTTGGGTTGATGCTCTCGAAGCAGTTCTCCAATGACAACGGTATCAATTCGTATCTGTGACAGGGATGGGTCAAAATAGCCCTTCAAATATCGATCGACCGTGGCCACTAGCAGCCAAAAAGCATCCTGTAGGTAGGAAAGACGTTATTACAACATGAGAATGGTCTGCAGTTCGCTATCTTGGCAAGACTTACCTCCGCAGGCATCTGCATAAGCATGCAGCCAGCTAGGCAGTGCATGCCTTGACAGTATCCAAGATCTGGATTATACTGTGCATACGCTGATAAAACATCCCTTAAATCGTTTTGTCCTTCTCCATCTCGACGCATAAAATGAACATGATTGGGATAGCACCTAAAAAGGCAGCAAATTAGTGAGCTGCCACGTTTGGGAATAAGCATCGTCAGTTACTATATCATACCTTGCAACATCTTGCTCAATGACGTCGTGTACAGAGCTTTTCGCACCTTGGAGTAAGGTCTGTCAACATAACAAGTCAGTAAATTCATTAGCAGACGTGCTTGACATGTAATGTTGCTTATGCTTGGTGTACCTTATATAAACCCGGTTTTTGGTATTCTCGACTTCGTGAAAGAAATTGCCATGATTTGGCACGGATCGAAGCTGGTATCCCGGATCGTACCAACTTTTTCAGCTTGTTGTCCTTTTCGACCGTTCCCACATCCATCTTGGATACCACTGACAGCCACTTCAATTCCCTCTCACGATATTCCTTCATGGAAGACTTGTTCAATATTGGGTTACTAATAAACGTATGTGTTAATGTTGAAATAAATGGGGTTAGCACACAGGAGCTCGTCAGCTTACGTGGGTGGAGGTACATCTTGAAGAGTTTCCCATAAGAATCCATATTCGTCGACCAAGCCAGAATGCTTGTCCAAATGATCAGATACGAATGGTTTGCTTTTTGCAACAGGGGTTGGAGGAAGTTGTTGAACAGGTGCACTGCTCCTAGCTGCCGGCGAAGAAGGCTTGCTATTCTTTGGCTTAGCAGGAAGGGGTTTGTATTCTCCATCACTGGATCTGTCAGAGTACGAATCATTCATATCCGATGTATCAAAAGAGGGATCATGTTCGGCAATTTGGGACGGTATGGAGGTAGTAGGAAAGGATGCACGATATGGGTTATCTGGAAACAGGTGTTAATAATCAATATGGCGTAATAAATTATTATGTAACATGAAATGGCACATACTCCAAGTAGGTAGTCGAGAGAGTGAATTGGAAGATCGAGTTGGAGTTGGGTTCTGCAAATCGTTCCATGGTATGTGCGGTCGACCAACGTCATGCGAGGCCACAGAAAATGTAGATGGGAGTGATGAACCTGTCCAACTACTGTCCATGCTTGAGCGGCTGTAGGATGGCCTTTCAACGGCGCCATCGGATGGAATACTGTGAATAGATGCAGTCGAGTAGACGGATCGTTTTGCTGGAGGCTGGGGCCCATCAGGGTGATCGGATTGCCAGGTAGCATGTGAGTGCCAAGAGTCCGAGAGCCGACGATTTTCGTAAGCAAAGTCCACCATCTCGTCATAAGGGTCGGCATCAAACGAATCCAGTACTCGGGGGTCCAATTCAACAAAATGAACGTTGTCTGCGCTGAAATTTCCAACCACACCTTCACAGTATCCCTAAAGAAAAGAGTCGAGTTAGCATGCGTATGTAGAAAGCATTAAAGAGCAATAGCGTGGCGCTTGAGGTGAGAAATGACCATTTGCACTCGGTAGCATTAATGAAGGTCTACGCTTGGTGGCAATACCAGCACTTTGTCTTGAGAGATCAATTGACCTTGAAAGAGAGAATATTTTTGCTTACCAGATATTGATCCTTCTCCACGTACTTTAAAACTATGATACGTTCACCTATTACTGCTGTTAGACATGGGAGATCGGACTGACATGAAATAAACCAAGGAAAACCGCTAACCAGCGAGAAACATCAAGTCATCCTCATCATCGGCCAAAACGTCTACTTTTGCAACGCACGATCCGAGGCCGCCTACGCATGGTATTATACGTTAGTGTGGTGCCTGAGTACACTGAAACATTGCTGCATTCTACATACCATTCTCCGCAAAGCGACGAAGGCCCTGTACTGACAAGTCTTGCAGAAGACCAACATCGGCCACCTCTGAGATGTCTAGATTCTTCAGAGCCTGCCTGATTCGAACGTCAACTTGCTCCAGATCAGTGGACGTATGTTTCGTAATGGTTCTCATCTAGCCGTCAACTTGTCAACCTGTCTAAACTCCGCCAAATAAAATACAGGTTGGTTGAGCTTGTTTTTTGTCTACTGCACCGCCCAAATGCGGTGAACCAACCAACAACCGCCTATTCAGCCATTCTGTAGACCGCATAGAGAGAATGGTTTTCGCTCATTCGCAGTAGAGGGATCCAGAAGAATTGTCCTCGGGAATACCAGATGATTGAGGAGGGTTAAGTTTGCTACAACTGTTATGATCCGAATTGGCATATCATCCAATGTATTTAACTGCTGAATGGCCTTCATTACCGCAAGCACGTCCTTTGATTCTTTTTGAATAGCCTGTAAGATAAGCTAAATTTAGCGTTGCTGTCATAGCTTTTTACCACTCAAATGTTTCAGGTTGAATTTTTATGACAAAAATGTCTGGTTTCAATTTTGTGACGGAAGCTTTTTTTTTGAGAGCGAGCGTGGTTCGGGAGGGTGGCACTCTTCAACCTTGAGCAAACCAATTGTGCAGTCTACCCATTCTTAAAGCACTAGGGCATATGGCGGCTGCGGAAGACAGAAAACGCCGGTACCCTGTAGAATCTTCCGAATCAAATATTCAAGTGACAAGACAGCCACCAAAGAAACGTTTCCTAACCTCTGCACCAACCTCTCCAACCGGCCACCAGCCTGCCGATATGGACAATGATCAGCAAGGTGCTGATGATCCCAACGATCCTTTCAAGGTATGCTCGGTGCCAGGAGCAACGTGCCGTAAATTATTGCAGCGCAGAAAACTAAGCCTTGTGTTCTTTCTCAGAGTCAAATAGTCCATTATCAAAAGGATGCCATTCATCGACAAACCAGCGAGTATCGAGTAAGCCGCAATTCACAGAGAGGTCAATATTTCTCTAATGCGTGAACTAACTTTGATATTTGCAGCGTTTGGCGGGTCGACTGAAGCGTAAAGCTAGCGCTTTGGAGACCGACATTTCTGAATGGGAAACCCTTCAAGATGTTTCAAAGCGGTGGTGGTCATTGGTAATGCTCGCTCAGCCTTTATTGTGAGGAGTTCAACACCGATAGTAACGAGAAAAACATGTATATTTTCAGACTTGCGACGAATTGAAGACAGCTATGCAACCATTGGATGCCCAAACTTGGGATCCGCCTAGCAGTTGGGAAAAGTGTATGTACAGTCAGCTAGTTAACTTCCATGTATGTTTAATCTAACTTTTGAATCGACAGCAAAAACAATGGAACAATTATATTGCCACTCATACTTATGGCCAGAATCGAGCGAAGAGGCGCCGTCAGATTTACTCTTAATGCTTCGGAACGACGGTGGTCCATTGTATGGTATCATGCGACGCATGGGATATCACTTGGATAAATGCAATGCCGCTCGGTCGCATCAATTTGACGAAATGAAAGAAGTTCAAGGTATGCTTACTGGAATGCATTGGATAATTAATGTAGAAACAGAGTTCTAATTCCCCATCGTAACTCTCCGAAGGTTCCAGCGTCGTCAATAACTATGGAAAGTCACTAGGTCGATGGCAAGACCAACAGCAAAATTTAATTGCCAGACAAAAGACTTATCGTAAAGTTATTTCAGAGGTGTGTGGTGAATGCAATTCATTTTGTTTACCAGAAAAGCTAGGCTCTGACCGATTTGCTCTAGTTAATGTTGATGAAAGAGCAGACTGGAATGGCGACACGAAGAGCTATCCAACTTCAAAAGGCGATACAATCTATGAAAGCGGAACGTGACCATGTGCTCATCAACATGACCAACGAATCCGACAGCAATGCAGCGAAGGAAGAACCAAAGCCCTCAACTACGCCAAATGGTCAACCAGAAAGCGTACACGTTACAGCCAAGGCGGACACACCGGTCGAACATGTTGCTGGTAGCTCAGCTGGCGCATCTGACCCGTTGACGAGCGTTCGACTACGTGCTGCCTCCATCCTACAAGAGATCGACGCCATCAAGGAAAACAATCTCGCCATGAGACAGCAAGCAGATGAATTGCAGTTTGCTTTACTTTGTATTAGCAACGAAGCGGCCTCTGACGCACCCATGTGCAGACAGCTTGAACAATCAGTCCGACAAAGACGTGAACGATGTGGAGAGCTTGTCGAAAAATGCGATAGGCTCGAACGAACACTGGCAACATGTATACAGGATAGATGTAATTTGCTGGATGCCAATCAGACCAACATGCCAGACGACCTTCGAGCCATAACCGAGCATATGAAGAGTCTGGAACACGAATTGAGTTCAGCGAGAGGCGAAAGAGACAACTTGCAAATCAACTTGGATGAGAAGAAGGCCAAAATGGAAATCGAGAGAGCTTCCGTTTCAGAAATGCAAGTTCTGGCAGATGCACGCAAGGTATGATACTTGAAGACTAGGGGTGCAGTAGATACTGATGGTGGCCATTGGTTGGTGGTTTTTCATTATGGCTAGCCGCCTAACGATTGGAATACCTGCCGTGTTGTCTTCTTATCTGTAACAACTGAAATGGAACACTAACGCCATTTTTCATTCGCTTAGTCTCGATTCGTTTCGGTCACAAACGACAAAACTCGTCTCATGTACAAAAAGATAGCTAGTAGTGGCAATCGAACCATTTTTGAGTTGATAAAGGCAACTCAAGGTACCAATGGATTGATATCTGAGTGGCTTAACAACAAATTAAGGTAAGCAATGATATTGCTGAACTTACCCATGGAAATTGAGTACTCACCACGGTAACAGAACTTTGGAGGAAGAAGGGCAGGCTCTACAGAAAAAGCTTGTCAGTTCGCATGAGGAGTCTAGCGTTGCTCAAGAACGAAAGCGACTTGCAACATCTCAATACTACTGGCAAAAGAAGCAAGAGCGATTACAACAAGAACTCAACGCCATTTACCGTGACTATGGTCATGATGGCACACCTTTCAACATGAGAGATTTGAATTCAGCGATGGATTCGCTACGAAAAGCCTCTGAAAGCAAACAGCAAGAGATAAAATCATTAGAACAACATGTTATAGATCTGGAAACGGTATGTAACGGCTGCCTTTGCTTCATTGAATTGATTACTTTTTTACTCATTCATGATATTAGGTGGAGTCAGAACTACTCAAAGAGGTTGCCGGACTCGCTGCTGGTTTCAGTGAGCTGGAAGAACAAAATAATGCTAAAGTGGATGCACTCATTAAGAAAGAGGATGAAATTGTGACACTTCAATTTGAAGTACGTAAATTTTTTGGCTATGTGTCAGTATTGGACTCGATACTAATGATCCGATACAGAAACTAAAGCACAGCCAGGCGTTTACTGCGTTGAATAAGTCCAAAGATGTTTTCAAGCTACTCTCGAACCAGCTCCAGCGCCAGAATGAAATGCAACTGGAAGTCATTCGACAGTTCAATGAGCACGAAAAGAATATGAATGCCCAACTGGTAAGTGAGCCATTCATATATGTGCCACATTTCGTTTCATTGTCATTCATCTACAACTATATTACATTACAGAGCAATTATGATCGTGAAATGATATCTGTTTCCAGCTCATTAGAACTCCATCAACAGCAGGTTTCTGATGTTTGGGCCAGTCAAGGAGAATTGGAAGAGCGACTTGGCAATCTTTCATCAAAATTAGTCGAGGTAAAGGCTTCAATTTCCAGCGGTGAAAAATATATTAGTTTCATCTCATCTAACCTTATTCATCAGATGCGGGACTTAATCAAAGATCGAAGCAAGGCACTGGAAGAAACACGATATCTTCGATCCAGAATAGAAGAGGAATCTGAATTATTGAAACGGCGACTGGATGCCATGGCTCGTGTTGAAAATCCTACTGAAATGAAGCTGGCAAAGGAACGAGAAGAGTACAAGGTAAGCGACATGCTTCTCTTATTCATCTTGACTGATGAGGTATTAATGCTTGGGCACTCATTCTATGTAGACATTGCTCAAATGCTCTTCTTGCCACTTGCGGTTCAAATCTCACGTTCTATTGCGGTGCATGCATACATTTTGCAAGGAATGTCTTGATATTCGTATCGAGACACGTCAGCGGAAGTGTCCCAACTGTGGTGAATCGTTTGGAAGTAATGACGTGAAGCAATTTTTCTTTTAACTAAGCATGTATTTTATTCTATCTCGCAATCTGTACTTCTACTATTAAAACTCAGCACACTGTAATTCCCTGCCTTTTTTCTTGCTTCTGCCTTGAATTTCCTCATGTTGCGTGTTATTAGCAATGTTTGGCCCATTCGTAGCGCAAATAAACGAAAGGATGATGGAAAGCAAGGTATATTGCCACTACAACGTTGTCCATCGTTACCATGCACTTTTGGTTCTAATGATTACTGTTGTTGAAAACGCTCAACCTAGTCTTTGTCAACGTCTACGATATGGCAAGTATTAGCCTCCAGTCAAGGAACAACGAACTGTCACTTTGATTCAGTGAAAAATAACATGTATAAATATTCTTATAGATTGAACCATGTACTCTGACCAACTTTGGTTATTTCATGGGCGTTGGTAAGCTCCCCTCACCATAAAGCTACATGCTGCAAATGGAAAAGCCTTCTTTATGCTTGTCGATCACAAGGCTGACTAAACGTGATATCACTTTCAGGCATTTTCCATTCTGGTATAGAAGTAAATGGTAGGGAATATTGTTATGGAGGGCATCCATACGATTTCAGTGGCGTTTTTGTAGTGGAGCCTAAAGTCGGACCACCTGGTGTTCTGTTCAAGTGAGTGTCAACTATGCTGCCTGCAGAGTAGTAAAGGTGTCATTACTCACAAAAGCAAAATGTAGACAATCCATCAACATGGGCTATATTGACCTTGAAGAGGACAAAATTACAGAACTGATACAAACACTATCTGGAGAGTACTCCGGAAACTCCTATAATCTGCTAAATAGGTATGCGGACGGGTGCCCTGAAGGACAAATACGAGACGGTGCATTAACCTTTGGCCATTATTAGAAACTGTAATCACTTTACAGCAGACCTTTGCAACAGACTGACCAGCAAAACTATACCGGGCTGGATCAATAGGGCTGCAAAGCTAGGAACTATGTTTCCTTGCGTTCTACCGGCAGAGTGGGTTGAGCCTCCAGAGTGCGATTGTAAGCCTACTCCATATCGTTTCATAGCAAAGGAATCTAAAATAACTCAATGTTTAAAAAACCCTTCTAGTTACAGACGGTGAAGACCGTGAAACATCGCTTTCCCCAGCAATGTCATTTTCGTCAAACACTCCATTGAGAGGTAACGGCCATCGAGCAACCGAATCAAGGACATCCTATTCATCTACAACATCCAAATCAGGCAAGTCCTCGACACGACTTGTTTCAGCGTCAGACGTCACTACTAGAAAGGATCGCGCTACGGATACGGACACGAGATCCAAGCACAGCAAAACAGCCTCCTCTAGTGTATACTCGGATAGGAAACAGAGCTCGGCAGGCATAGAGTCGAGTGAACGAGGGAAGCGAGCTTCATCTATAACCAGCAATACGATCCATAATAAATCTCTACCAAGGCGATCTTCCACACCTATATCCGTACGCCTTTCACATTCTGCGAATGATAACGACTCGGATCTTTTTATTATTCAAGCTGTGTCGCCCTTCTCTGACGATGATGATTATGTCAGTGACTCTGGGTCATTTCCCATCAAGGAACCCAATAGTGCCCGACCAGAAGTGGTGCGATCAGCAACGCAATTGTCATTGAAAGCATCGGTTCAAGAGTTGGAAAAGCAATAGTTGAGAGATTTATACCTTTTTTTTAAACAAAAACTAGCGGTTTATGTAATATAGTATCCGAAGGGTCTATCCATGTATATTCATTCGTTCGTCATTAAACGGCCCAACTTCAATTGAACGCTTGTATTGAAAGGTACATTTGACTTTACCTGAAGATGATTTGCCACAGCTGAATTTCATTGTCATCAGGGCAAAAGAGGAAAAAAAAAACTTATGCTGTACATTTTTATTCTTATCACGTACAAATTTATGAATTGTCAGAAATACTATTAGAAATCACTGGAGTACACTATGTGTATAGCTGACAATCTGGGTAAGCCAGGTGTAAAGTAGACAAAGTCCGTATGCCACATATAATTTGGAGCTATTAAGACATTATGTGAATAATATACGTTCGAGCTAGGAGCATATTGCATTAGCCAAATTACTACAATGAAGGCTGAGCACTCTTGCTTCGTACTGTACGGCCACCACAGGTAGGCGGAACATAATCTGGATTCATATGGTATTCGAAATCGTCATCCGAGCGCCGTAAGCAAGTTAAACATACATGTGCATCTTGTATACCGACCACCGGTTCCAATCTCTTGGGCAAGCGCTTTAGTTGAGCCGTTTCAGCAATCTCGGTAGGTTTCGAGCCTTTTGGCGGCCGTCCACGGCGTGGAACAACCGTTGACTGTGCTGCATTCACGAGGGCCGCATAGATAGGATGCTTGGGGTGCTGACAATGACTTGGCTTTATAATCCATTTCGGATTTTTTTTGGTACCAGCATTGACAAGTGCTTGCTCAGAGTATAATTTAGCTTGATCAATCACTGGGTAGCACACATGGTAATCGGATGGGTTCACCAAAGATAGGTCCTCAGGCATGCACCACGCAGGGTCGTAAATAAGCATCTGTTGACCATAGAATTCATTGACTAGTTCGAGGAAATTAGGAGCTACCAGATTTCCGTCGTCCTCACCGTCGATTTTGATTGCTGGTTCTGCCATTGCGTGATAAGGGAATCGATTGTAATTGAAGAAAGGCTAAACAAAAGGACCGTTGCCTTTCGCGACAATCAATTTATGAGACGGGGGTGGTCTATAGGTGAGACCGATCACAAATTCACACCCTTTTGTGGTCCAATTCCCAAGCTGGATTATAGCTAAGTGCCCCTATTGTCTCAAAAGTTGTAGAATGAGCGTTATGAAGCCTAAATCAGAGCCAACATGGTACAGATAGCACGCTCCAGCCGACAGCATAGACACCATATTCATGTAGCTAAGTCTTCTTAATCTATAGAGTGTTTATTTGTACACTACAGCCATTTTTGCTTCTATCGGCCATATCCCATGTAAATATCGTACCAAATGGGCATTTGATTCTTTGAAGAGCATGTGCGCCATGTGAAAAAAAAAAAAAAACCGGCTTGTGACCACAGCTTATTGACTGGCTTGGCTCGCAAGTACGTTGTATACCTTCTCATACACCGTAAACACAATACCTCCAGAGAACTAGAGACGTGATAAGGTTAGCATTTGTACAGCAGTTTGCGAAGCTCTCTTATTTACATCGCTTTATCCACTTACAATGAGACGGGTTAGTCTTGGGGTAGTTCCTTTCCACAACGAAAGGACACCATCTGATTTGACAACCTTGATCAAGCAGTCCAAGGAGTTCTTGTACAAGTTGCGGGCATCCAGTCCCTGCATTCTAGTCTTTACAACATCGAGCGGCATGGTAGTGTACACAGTGATGATACCTGCGGTCGCGCCAATAGCAAAGGTATGCGCTGCCGGCAGTGGTGCATCGCCCTTGTTTCTCCATTGCTGGACTTGTGCTTTGAGTGTTGAATAGCTTGTAAATCGAACGGCACTGTTTGCACCTTGTCGCATCATGACCGGGAACAACCCTCTATATACACCTCCTAGACCTTCATTTTTAATGATCAAACTCGTGCCGTGAATCAAGCCTTTGTACTGTGGATTCGCGCTATTCTTATCGTGGATGAGCTTGGTCCTAGAGGTGTCATATTAGCAATGGTTTCAGTAGCTACTAATACAACATACAGCTTCCACAGGATTATGAAGTTCCTTTGTGGCTAACCAGTTACTTTTCGCACAAAATTACACTTACTTGATTGTCTCCGATGGCGTGACTACAAGGATGGCTTCCGTCATGCCAGCACAGAGGCCAGCGAGAACATTTCGAGATCCGGTCAACTTTCCATCTTTGTCACGAAGTGCGTCTGCGATTTTGTCATATGCTAAAAATCGGACACCAGCTTTGGCAGCATTTCCAATAACCAGAGCAGACATTCCAGTGTAAACTGCTCCTACTCCGTGTGTTCGTATCGTTTTGACCAAGCAGTCAATAGGACCGTTGAAGCGAAGTTCTCCTGCCGCTAGCTTTCCTCCTGCTTGAAGTTGAAGTCGTGTCTTGACGTATTCTGTAGGGTAGGTTACGGCTCCTTCGATTGCTCCGGCAACAGTTCCAGAGATAAGAGAGAACGTCGCATTCTTTTCCTTCTTTGCGCTCATTCTGAAAGGAAACCAAGTTGAAACGAGAAAGAGAAAAGTCAGATCCCATCTCATCTCATTTCGGCTTCAATCTTTTTCATACTCCGTAAAGCTAATTCATTTGACAGTCAAGGGCTCTCGTTGTCGGCAATGGAAGCGGCTGCCTATATTTCTTCAGACAAGAGAGCTATTATGACAAACTGCTTAAGAATAAAATGTTTCAGATGTTTTTTAGTGTGATGTCCATCCTTTTATACTGAACTATCTACCAAAATGCAAGCTGATATTTTTATGAGTAAATTAAACGAGTTCGTGTTGCAAAGCCACCAATCAGTGGTGCGTCAAAAAAGTTGGGCTGTCAGTCGAAACAAAAATCTCACCTTGAACGTGTTAGATTCAAAGAAGCATACAGCATGTCTTTGGAAGACGGTATGTTCTGAACACGAATGACGTTACAACCAATGCCTACGTTGTCTAACCCAAATTTCATGACTTTTTCCTCGCATCGCTCATCAGTATCTGGCCACTTCAAGTAAGTGTCATCGATTATGCTGGAAAAGTAGAATGCAGGATTACTAAGACCTCCATTTCAGTTTCCCTGAAGAGGAAGAGAAAATCCTAGCATTCTGGAAGGAAATTGACGCCTTTGGCACCTCGCAGAAGCTTAACGCCGGCAAAAAGCCCTTCACTTTCTTTGACGGACCTCCCTTCGCCACTGGTCTTCCTCACTATGGTCACTTGCTCGCAGGTACCATCAAGGTAGAAATTGCGACTGCTTACTGCTAGATCCTTATATTGAAGGCGTAGCTGAAAATTCATATTTTGATGGTATTTAGGATATTGTGACTCGATATGCTCACTCTACCGGCCACAGCGTTGAACGTCGTTTCGGTTGGGATACTCACGGTTTGCCCGTTGAATACGAGATTGACAAGAAGCTCGGTATCAAGGTACTTGACATACCTAGCATGAAATAGAACGACGGTTTGAAATTAACCATAGATCAAAGGGCAAACAAGACGTCATGGACATGGGAATCGCAAAGTACAACGCTGAGTGCAGATCCATTGTTATGCGTTACGCCTCTGAATGGAGAGCTACTGTTGAGCGTATGGCTCGTTGGATCGATTTCGACAACGATTATAAGACTCTTAACCCAACCTTTATGGAAACCGAATGGTGGGTTTTCAAGCAATTGTTCGACAAGGGTTTGGTCTATCAAGGACGTAGGGTGAGTGACTGACAGTAGCGCAGAGTTGATCCTGTTCAATGGACGCACTGACTAAGCAGCCGATTTTCTAGGTCATGCCTTACTCCACTGTCTGTATGACTCCTCTTTCCAACTTTGAGGCCACTCAAAACTACAAGGATGTCAATGATCCCGCCGGTGAGTTGATCGCCTAGAAATCATCATTCATGATGTGCACGCCGTTGTGCATTGTCACGTCTCCAATCATAACACCTTGGTAACTAACGCTTCATTCCCCAGTCGTTATTTCTTTCCCATTGCTCAACGACCCTACCGTCCTCTTGTTGGCATGGACTACTACTCCCTGGACCATTCCAAGTAACCTTGGTTTGACCGTCCACCCCGACTTTGACTATATTAAGATCAAGGATGAATTGACCGGCAACGTGTATGTCCTTTTGGAGAAGCGTCTTGACATTCTGTACAAGGACCCTAAGAAGGCTAAGTTCGAAGTTCTCGAGAAATACAAGGGAACTGATATGAAGGGTTGGGAATACATTCCTCCCTTCAAGTACTTTGAGGAAGAGTTCAGAGGCCGTGGCTTCAAGGTCATGTGCGATACTTATGTTACGGATGATTCTGGTACTGGTATTGTTCACTGCTCTCCTGCCTTTGGTGAAGACGATAGCCGCGTTGCACTCGAGCACGGTGTCATCACTGCCGATGGTCGCGTACCTTGCCCAGTCGACGAGTCCGGTCTGTTCACCAGTGAAGTCTCTGATTTTGCTGGCATGCATGTTAAGGTGCGATATTCTTTCAAAAAACTTTAATCAGCGTTGCCTAGGGGTAGAACTAATTTTGCATTATTCTACAGGAAGCCGACAAGCACATCCAAAAGTATTTGAAGCAGGAGAAGCGATTGATTGTTCAATCCCAAATCATGCATAGTTATCCCTTCTGCTGGCGTTCTGATTCTCCCCTCATCTACAAGGCTGTTCCATCTTGGTTCATCCGCGTTAAGCCATCCATTGACAAGATTATGGCCAACAACGACAAGATGAAGTGGTGAGTAAATTTATCATGTACGAGAATCGTTTACACGTGTATGATCTAACCTCATGATAGGGTCCCTGGTTTCGTTCAAGAGAAGCGCTTCGCTAACTGGATTGCCAACGCTCGTGACTGGAACGTGTCTCGTAACCGTTACTGGGGTACTCCCATGCCTATCTGGGTCAACGAGGACATGAGTGAGATTGTTTGTATCGGTTCCATTGCTGAGCTTGAGGAACTCAGTGGTGTCAAGGGTATCACTGATCTCCACAGAGAGAGCATCGACCACATTACCATTCCCTCCAAGACTGGCAACGGCCAACTTAAGCGTATCGAAGAAGTCTTTGATTGTTGGTTCGAATCTGGTTCTATGCCTTATGCTCAGCAGCATTATCCTTTCGAGAACCAGGAGGAATTTGCCAATAAGTTCCCTGCTGATTTCATCTCTGAGGGTATTGATCAAACTCGTGGCTGGTTTTACACTCTTCTCGTTCTTTCAAGCCATCTGTTCGATGAACCACCCGCCAAGAACGTCATTGTCAGCGGTCTTGTTCTTGCTGCGTACGTATTGATAATCATGTTTAACCGTCATGCCAGGTGATGAAGTATTTAGGCACTAATACTGTTACCCTACATTTCACAGTGATGGTAAGAAGATGAGCAAGCGTCTCAAGAACTACCCAGAGCCTGGAATCGTCATTGACAAGTTTGGTGCTGATGCTTTGAGACTTTACCTCATCAACTCACCCGTTGTCAGAGCCGAAACTCTCAAGTTCAAGGAAGAAGGTGTCAAGGAGATCATTGCCCGTGTCTTCTTGCCCTGGTACAACGCTTTCAAGTTCTTTGTCACTCAGACCCACGTCTTGAAGCAGGTAAAAGATGGTAGCAACGTTTTTCGTGCTTCTCATACCAGCAATGACTAACGTCTGTTCTTTAATAGAACCATAACTTCGAGTTCAAGTACACCACCCACGCCAAAAAGTCTGAGAACGTCATGGATCGTTGGGTTCTTGCCTCATGCCAATCTTTGATCAAGTTTGTTCGTGAGGAAATGAACGCATACCGCTTGTACACCGTTGTTCCAAGATTGTTGACTCTCATTGACACCTTGACCAACTGGTATGTCCGATTCAACCGTAAGAGACTGAAGGTAAGCATCCATCTATGTATGTGCTTTGAGTAAACTTGTATTGCGGACTGTTGACCATATTTTGTACATTAGGGTGATGAGGGTATGGATGAAGCTGAGAAGGCTATGAACACTCTTTTCGAGGTTTTGTTCACTCTTTGCCGCACTATGGTACGTTGAGCATTGATAACGATGATGAAGCGACTCTTGTCACTCACCCAATTGAATATTCTTACAGGCACCTTTCACACCTTTCTTGACCGAGAACATGTACCAAGGTTTGAAGACATTCATTCCTGCCGACGAGTCTACTGCTGTAGATGATCGCTCCGTGCATTTCTTGGACTTCCCCACACCACGTGAGGAGTACTTTGATGACGAAATCGAGCGTTCCGTTGGAAGAATGCAAGCTGTCATCGAATTGGGCCGTAACATTCGTGAGAAGAACACTATTTCACTCAAGGTAAAGTACAGCGACGCATGTTTATAAACGGCTTCGAATATACCAACTCATTATCCTCGCGGTTATAGACCCCATTGAAGGAGCTTGTTGTCATTCATCCTGATCCTCAATATCTGCAAGACATCAAGTCGCTCGAAAACTATATTTACGAAGAATTGAACGTCCGAGATATCATTGTCACCTCCGATGAGGACAAATTCGGTATTAAATACAAGGTTGAGGCCGACCAGAAGGTTTTGGGCCAAAAGTTGAAGAAGGAGGCACCCAAGGTCAGAAAGGCATTGCCTGATGTGTCCAGTGATGACGTTAAGCAATTCATGCAAACCAAGCAAATCACTGTTGCTGGACATACGCTCACTGAAGAAGATCTTAATGTAAGAATTCGGGTCGTTAAGAGCCTAACTAGTGTGTTTAGCCGCTCTGCTATAATCAAATTTACTCATATTCCGTTATTTGATAGGTCGTTCGTTTCTTCGAGTCAGAAGCTTCAACATATCAGACCAACAGCGACAAGGATGTTTTGATCTTGTTGGACACCAAGCTTTACAAGGAGCTAGAGCAAGAAGGTCTTGCAAGAGAAATCATCAACCGTGTCCAGCGTCTCCGAAAGAAGGCCAACTTGTTGCCCACTGACAACGTCCTTACATACTACCAGTTTACAAAGGATCTTGGCGATGCTTTGGAAACCGTCATCAAGACCCAGACCGATGTCATTGTCAAGGTTCTCAAGAAGCCTCTTATCGATGCTTCTGAGAAGGCTGCCAATGCCGAAGTATTGGCTGAAGAGGAGCAAGAGGTAAGCATATACCATGTTTATGTTGGGTAGAATTTGTATTTCACGACCATATCTGACAATCTCTCATTACACTTTAATACAGGTCAATGGATCAACGTTCAACCTTGTCCTTGTTAAGAACTGGTAGATCAAAAAAATTGGCAATATGCTAGAAAAATATTAAAAATAAAAATGCCATGATTATTAAAAAGAAATGTACACATTGCGTGTCTGTAAGTATGATAAAATGGTCTTAGAGGCAGGAGTGTCTGTTGGTTATATTTTTTTAAGTGCTTGTCTTCGGCTATGTGCGGGATCAATGACATCCTGCTCATGAATGAACGCTCTGTAACGGAAGGAAAATGAGGTCCTGCTCTGGAAACAATGTATAGATCGACTAACAAGTACTTACGGTATCGGTGAGTACAATTTGATCTGTCGTATATGTGTATCGCGTCCTCCTTGGTGAGTGCTGAGCACTGCAATTTGTAATCGGAATACCCTCACAGGTTCACTATAAGTACCGTTAATAAATAACATGGACGTGCAGGTAGCAAAGACAACAAGATGATTGTTTACCCATCGTCCACGCAAAGGTCGGCATTCTTCCATCCCGTCTGATCGTCACATTCTAATAGTGTAATTTCCTATAAAAAATGGTTGCATCAAAATAGGCCCTTTCCAGTCCAAATTTGAAGTTATAAAATTTCCTGCCGTTTACCTGCAGGTCTCGAAATGTGGTTCCGCCGCGAATTGATATTTGTTTAGGAGTGTAACTCTCATCCTGGTTAAAGTCCACGAATATCGAAACTTGCTATAGGATCCAAATGATAGAGTCAGTTGGCAATCCATATTCAATTAAAAATCGTCCACAATGATCGTTGGCTACGTTGAACAATGGATGACTGTACCTTGATTATCGTTGCACGATGGAAAAGGATATTGACAGAATGAGGGAAATGGGGTTGAGGGCAATCCGATCTACACAATAGGTGGTTAGATGCGACTTTAATGCGTCGTGTACAGTGTTGTACTCACTGCCAATAGGTCAATGGGTTGTTGTCTCGAAGCTTTTCTACCCCCCAATCGGGTCTGAACGAAGAAACAGACCAAACAGCATCTTCACCTATTTCTCGGCCACCGGTTGTCCGCAAAGTAAGATCTGGGCGCTGTTCTTCGTAGATTTGGACGGCATTGCGGGCATCAAGCGCAACTTTGTCGGCAGCATTGCGATCTACTGACTCGTCGCCACCATTGGTGTCCAAAGTGCTGGTATCCGAGTTTATGAATCCAGAGACATGATGAAGTTGTTGATCGTCTTCGGTAAGTGGCAAATCAAAGTCGTTGTTGCTTGAATCCAACTGATCAATGCTGGACATTCGCGAACCTGACTTTCGGAGCGTGCCATATTTCGGTTCTCAATTTATTTGAATTTTCAGTCCCCCATATTGTCGCGTAACACTATCCTTGCACACAATAATGAGGGTTGTATATGATCTGCTTACTCTACCGTTTAGGGGTACGGTGAAACTAAGAGGCTCGTTCTAGGACATATACTGATGTAATGGCTATTCAAAGTGAGTGGGTAACACACATGAGACGGTTTACAGTAACATCCATTTGGTTGATTGTATTTCTTACAGCTCATAGCTTCTTTCTCAATTGCCGTTGCCAGCCAGTTAAGCACTGAATCACAGGCGTGCCACGTACAATTAGGAAGTTGGCAAAACTAGGGTTAGCGTTGAGATGACTACAGCTTTTCGCCTAATTACGTTAAATTTGAACAACTCCTCAATATGCATTAGGCGATAGACAACTTATTGAACCTTGATCGGTTCAAAATTAGATACGCTGTACAGAATATGTTTATGTACGCCTGTTATATATATTGCAAATTTCCATCTATTCGTCACGCAAGTGTACAGCACTGAGCATGAACTTCTTACATGCTGTCTCGGGTGAATTGTGTTATCTCAATACGAGTTCGATTCAGAAGACTGCCCTGGATGTAACGTTGTAACGAGGGGTCATATTTTGTTGATTTGTTAGAGGCTTGGAAATGGGACTTTAACAAAAGATCATTCATTACTAGTGGAATTAGGAACTGCCGTTGACTTTGAGTTCTGTTCGTGTCCGGTACTGATTTTCATTCTCGTTTGTGTATCTGTCGAGCATTGTGGTTCCAAGTTCGTGTGAGTTCGCTGTGCTATGGCATACATGGAGGCAATTTCCCACTGATCAATTCATGTAAATTCAATAATATTGAAATCAATTAGATTTTCTGAAGTGGAAATCAATGTAATATTGAATATAGGGCTACTACAGCATGTAATATTGAAAGATGATACGTGATTCTGGCAGAGTTCAACATTTATTACGGACTTTAAAACGTTTTCAGGTGAAGAATTGCCTTTATTGAGCAGTCACAATTTTTTTCCGCAAAAAACTTGCCAGTTCTCCAACTTCACCTTCTCTGCCTTTAGAAACCTGATCATGTCCACTCTTCGAAATGCCGTTCAGCGGCGCAACCACAAAGAAAGAGGTCAGCTTGCCTCAAGAGAGAGACTAGGTCTTTTGGAGAAGAAGAAGGACTATGTTCTTCGTGCCAAAGATTTCCATTCTAAGGAAAAGCGTCTCAAGGCACTCCGAGAGAAGGCAGCGCAGAGAAATCCCGATGAATTCTACTTTAAAATGATTAATTCAAACACCAAGGTAAAGGCAGATTCGAAATTCGATTAACATTCCACTCGAGACTAATGGAACTAATATCAAACTGTCTGTTGCTAGGGTGGTAAACACATTACAGAACGAAATGCAGCGCTGCCAGTAGAAATGATCTCCATGCTCAAATCGCAAGACAAAAATTATATCAAGACCCAGCGTGAAATCAGTAAAAAGGTTAGAATCATATTGAACGGGATATGAAATCAACGGCAAATGCTAACGTGGTCTTTGCAACATAGAAAATGCAACGTCTGCAAGAAAGCTTACATTTCATCGACGAGCAAGATATGGACGACGAAGACATGTTGGCAGGATTTTCAGATGAAGCCGAAGATGAGGAAGAAGAACAAACCCAAAAATCAAAAAAGTCCAACCATGTTGTTTTTGTAGACACGGAAGAAGAAGGTAAGGCATGCCTGACCAAGTTGATGATGGGCTTGGTATTGCCATCGCTCACTGTATTCTTCTACGCTTTGCTAGTTAAAAAATTCAACCCTGCCAAGCACCTCAACACCTTGCCGGAACTAGTTAATCGAAAATTCAACCGGCCGACCGTTGATTCATTGAAGAAAAATGTTATTGCTAATGCTTCAGTCGATTCTGATGATGAGAATGAAAAGGTACATGAGCAGAAATCTTCGAGGTCAGGTGTTCAAATTCTGATTATCGTGTTATAGGAAATGAAAAAGGCCCGGAGAATGAAGTACAAAGAGCTGGCCTCTCGTATCGTGAGAGAGCAGCAGCTGTCGAAGGCAGAAAGAGAGATAGAGATACAGCGTGCCATTCAGGTAAGATTGAGTCAAAATATCATGAACCACCTTGTGTTGTCGTTCTTACTAATCCATACTACCTGTAGTCTAAAGGAAAGAAAAAGAGAGTTGGCACCGATGAAAATGGATTGCCCGTCTACAAGTGGAAGGCAGACCGCAAGAAATAAATGTTAACCCATGTATATATCTCCCCTTTGCAAATCATAATAGCATATTATCATTTAAATTTGTCTCGTTTCCTTTCGATTTCTATCTTTATTGAAAATGAGCATGTGTGGATGAATGTGTAGCGTTCCTTTCTACTGGAAATGTTGGTGTCCATGGCGATGTAGGTTGCGAATAGTACAGATATGGTTGACTTTGACCCTCAGGGTAGCAAAGCCATCGCTCAGCGTCATATCCTTGTCTATACGAACCGTTTACTCTGTAAGAGGCATCGGAGACATTGTGTGTACCTTGTGTATCTACTTGATGGTAAGGGTTGTTGCGTGGTTGCTGATATGTAGAATGATGGTCGTATATTTCAAGTGAGCGACTTCTTCTCTTTGAAGTCGAAGAGTAGTTGGTGCTGCTCTGATACTCATGCTTGATAGCAAGGTCATCAATGGTGGGTCCGTTATCGCATGGAGCAATACGGTATGGTGGTCCTGTACGACTTTGATCTGTGCCAGCAGATTTATTAGCCGAAGGGAGCTGCCAACTCAGAAACCATTTTTCTGGATACTGAGCTTGGTTGGGTGATTTAATTGGAATGTCTTTAATAGACGTTGTACATTTGGGGTGGTCGGTGTTGTGTTTAATAACCTGAGCTTTAAGCCGGTTTTCAGTTTTGGCTAAAGAGGGACGGCCTCTTTTCTTTCGTTCGGCGTCTTCACAAGAATCTTCTTTGCCGATTCTACGGCATCGTTGGCAAGGACGTTCAACATCACAAGCTGTAAAGAGTGAAAGATGAAAGAAATAGGCATGAGCATAATTGTCGTAAATGGCAATGATCTGCGTTAACCCATCGTCGTTCAATGAATTTCTTACCGACATGGGCAGCTTTGCATGTTTTGCAAGCTTTTAGGACATAAACGTGTCTCTGGTATGAAGAACCAGCTTCATTTTGATCCCCCTTACGTTCTTTAGCCGACTTTTTCTTTTCTTTGAGTGCATCGGTACCGGATTTCGAATTCTGTACAACCAGCGATGGCTCAAAACTGTTGATGAAGATGGAACTATGGGAAACTCTATTTAGAATTGGGGTCGCCGCCAGTGGGGCAGAGGAGCCCTGCTCGATTGCTTCCAGTGGCGTATATGTGCATTGAGAAATATGCGAAAGCATTTGCTAGAAGGGAGTGAAGGGTCAGATAATTGTTGTTTACCATACACACCACACCCCATTTCTATTTATCGGTCCATACATAAGAAAGTTGTTGCTTAACGTTGCTTGGTTCATTCATATTCATTACTGGTTCAGCCAAGCTGTTATTTGGTGGATAATAAAGACCTGGTAGATACTCAAATGGCTGTAGCAAGCACATAGCATCAAGTGCGTCACTAGCAGATGAGACATTGTTGATGGACTCATTGTGGCTATTTCCATGAGCGGACCCGGTTTTGACTCGTCCTTCAGACATAGCAGCGGCACTAGTATAATAGCTTGGGAAACCAGTAAAATGAACAGAAGATGAAAAGTGCATAAAGACACGTAAGCGAGAAAGGAAGAGAAAGGAAGAGAAGATACGTATGAAGTGGTGGTGAATAGATCAATGTTTATGTCCACAATTCATCCTTTGTTATTATATGTGATGATGGTGATCGGATTATCGAGTTACACATCTTCCACAATGGTACAGCTGCGAACAACTCCAGCACGACCAAAAGCCTGGGTAAATTACCCTACTGTCCGATCGTCTAGATTAATAGGACCTCCGATATCGATTATAAGAGTTGCTTGGAAAGGGAACATCTTAGCCTATTGGCACTAGCAGTGCTTGGCTTTTTGCCAGGTAACCCCTCGTGCATTTTCCCTTATACTCATACTCCATTTCCCCACACTGTCCGAAATGGTTTGATGTCATCACTGTGCAGTGCTACTTTCCGCGGAACTGCACCTTGTTCTACATGACTCTCTAAAAGCAACGCTTCGCTTTCCTTTCCCGTTAGCGTCAATTTTCATTTCAGCCCTTTGCGGCTGCCCATCACAATACACAAGTCAAATTTTTGAGGTTTTTTCTCATTTCGTGTTTTGTGACAGGCACAGAACGCCATTTCACATCACATTACTTTTTCTCTGTATGGTGTCCTCAATGCCACTGTGTGCAGTGCACCACGTTTTGGACCTCATGGCCAATGGACCGTGATTAAGTGTACCACTGAGCTTATAGCACCAGCTATGCCAAATAGGTGCATCCCCCGGACTTCATGCACGAAGTCAGCCCAGGTATTCAAACGAAGCGATCATATTCATATAACTCTGCATTTCATTTTCATGTAAATATCAGAAACACTATCTACCTATCATGACTTCGGATATGCCCGAATTATATATCGTAAACCTAGTTTTTTGCCTGTACAGCCAGATTCACCCCTACGTGTAACTTGAAGGCGGTTATCCCAAAAGCTTTGGTCCCAATTCGTTAGGGTGAGCACTCCACAAAAACACCGGTATTCGCCGGTTCTCTGACGTTCTCACCTTGCTTCAGAAGTTTGTGTGTACCAGTGGAAGGACGTGCCGTTCTTCCACCAAGCCTTTTTATTATGTGGCTTCTGAAGAACCACTTGGAAAATGTACCGCTGATTGAAATAAATTAGCTCTAGAACCTTGAAAAAAAAAACATTTGTGCGCTGGCTTGATGTCGGCTCATGGCCGTTGAAACGGTCATAAATTTTGTGTGTCCACATGTTTCTCATACACAACATCACCGCTGCATCGTTCGAGCTTGCCTAGTGAAGGAATTTGGTGGTCGGGGTAAATTGTATTACGTTATGGTCATGACCGCAACAGCCAAGCATGAGCGCATGGGAAGTTTTGTACCATACTGCATATATTTGAAAAGCGTGGAGCCCACAAGGGAATAAGTCGTATAAAGGTTGCCAAACTAATGTTTTTCAATTTACTGGCTTCACACGTAATTACGCACCCAGCTCTTTTGATGTAACAGAAAGTGCTGACCCCAGAACTTGGGCCATTTACCTGGACACCGCAAAGGGATGCTTTAGCGAGTAAACATTTGTGGAGAAACAACATTGCATATTTTCCAGCTTCCAACCATTTTCCATTTTGCCCATGTTCACTTGCAGACTTTCAGAAAATCTAAGTTAACATCCGAAAACTCCTTTTGGGGAAAAAGTTCCATATGGTTAGCGAGCTATTCGCTTTACTCGATTACACTTTCTGGGCTGGTGTTTAATTCTGTCTATCTTGTTATTAATATTTTTGAAAATAATGCAGTAATCGTAAGTAAGATGGTTCTTTTCAAGACGGCAAAGTTTTGGGAATACATTGATGAGAGATTATCGTACAAACTATATCGTTAGAAGTTGACTATGCCTACACGAACTTGTTGATCAAACGAAACAGCAGCATAGAGTCCCTCTTTGCTTCCATTCCAATCAAACGAAACTATTGGATGCTCAGTCTGCTTGAGATTAGCTTTGGACCCTACACCTTGTTGATACAGAGATAGACTACCATCACCAGTGGTTGTCATATAGTAACTTGGACGTTGAGGCACATGTCGAACCTTCCACACTGTGCTATTCAGCTATATCAAACGAGAGTCGTCAGACATATGGAAGCAAAGCTAAGAGTTCAACCACTTTATGTTACCTTATTGCTGTTGACTTTGCCAGTCGTTAGATCTATGACGTGAAAGCCATCGAGTGTGCCCGCCACTAAAACAACGTCTGTGCCAGCGGCACTGAATTCCAGAGAACATACCTAGTAGATTAAATTCGTTAAGCTGATTGCCATCTGTAACGGCGAACACAGATGTACTGCGGAACGACTGTATCTTACCCCTGAACCAACATTGACGTCCCATACATAACTATTTCCTCTATGATCAAACACTTTTACATCTCCGTTGTCATATCCAGCTGCGAATATCCTTTCCATGGTTCCACTGTTTGCTGAATTGCCAATAGTAACATAAGCATGTGATGTTAATGTACATAGCAGATGATTGCCAAGGATCGCAGTAAACGAATACCTACCAAATGCAACGGACCACACATCCGCAGTTGTGCTACCTGGATGAACCACTAATGTAGGGGATAGTCCAGCTCTGAGATCCCATACTTTCACCTGGCCTGGTGAAATGATTACGTAAATAATACTGCTGGATCTAATTTTGATATGGCGTTGTATATAACCCTACCATCCCTTCCGCCAGTCAAAAGCTCAGTCGTTTTGGTTTCGGCAAATGTGGGGCCATAGCCGTCGATGGCATTTATTATAAGATCATGACCTTTTGCGGACAGGACTGGTATCTCAAGACGCTCAGGATCCCTTTGATCACGCAAATAAACGAAATGAGTGTCTAGTACAACAACTCCTAAAAAAAAAAGTACCACAGACACGTACCATATTTGAAGTTTGCCATCAAAGTTACCTGTAGCCAAGTGTCGTGCGTGTCCGGTGGATGCCGCGAACGTACCGCATCGGAAGGTAGAGCCAGTTTCAGTCTATCAGAGAATAATTGACAGGGGAATCATTAAATTTCGATTTATTGTGTACGTCAACACGCTTAACGACGAACAAAGGTGGGTGCTGTACCTCATTTGCCAGAACTAATTGCTTTCCTTCCATTTTATAAAACGAAATAACTCCAGCACCTCGACCACTGGCTCCAATTGTACATAGCCGAGCCGAATGAGGTATCCATTTGACATCGTAGGCTGTGGACGTTAGAGCCTTTGAAATCAACGGCGTAATCGTGACCATTGCAACTGAATCCTAGATTTTTTTTTTCTTTGACGGCAAAATTGGTCCAAGCACTTGGACCGAAACTGGATCGGAGTTTTTTGGTCTACAATTATATCAACTGAGAGTTTGCTGCGGGAGCCGTAGCAGGTTTGTCATGGATGTGAAAGCTAGAGAGCATTTGGCATCTTTAATAAACGACATTACCAAGACTGGAGAATGGACGCTGGATAATGAAAAACTAAAGGTTTGCACCTTTATCAGTGGTTTACAGCTCCTTCCGAATTCATATGAAAACTGAGATTCTTTCTTTTCCTTCTCTACTAAAGGAGATCAAACGAATATGCAAAAAGTCTGAAGCTTTTGTTGAAATGTCCGTTGAGCTGATTTTTATACAGCTGGGAAAGAAGCAAGCTCAGGTGAGCATTGTCACTGAGGAAATAGGTGTAACTATTAGCATACTGGACAGGGTCTGACACTCATCACTATATAATAGATTCGATATTCTGCCCTTCAGCTAGTAGAAGAGTTGTTTTCACGATCCCACAAGTTTCGACAACTGATTGCGGAAGAGTTTCCGCAGTTTCTACAGTTGACTATTGGAATACATCAAAAGTCATTACCACCGCCTAGTAACGTGGCTTCCAAACTCAAAGAGTTCGCCGTTGCTTTGGTTAAGACGTGGTACGAAAAATACGGAGAGAGCTATCGACCTTTGGCTATTGGTTACGATTATTTAATATCCAGCGGTGAAGCTAACTTTGAGGGATCGAGCTTGAGGGATATCAGAAGTCGGGACACACAAAGATCCCAACAAGATGTACGTACCTAGTTCTACTTCGCTGGTACCTTGTATATGCGATTCACTAATTTGCTTGCTGTGTTGTTAAAGGTGAGGTTGAAGGCAATAAATGAACGGAGGTTCCAAAATATAGAGACACAGGTTGCAGACCTAAAAGATGATATTCAAGAAAACCTGAAAAACATGGTACGTAACAGAAGTGATGGTTGCTGGTTCGAATCCGTACCTAACCACCTAATGTAGGAATCTTGTTTTGAAATTCTGGTCCCAAGATTTGAGGCAGAACAGGCACTGGATGAAGAGAGAGCGGCTGGTGAAACTGGCAAAGCACTAAGCCGAGGAGATGCCTATAAAGATGTGAGTCCTGCTTTCATCTTTAGTAACCACGCTATCAAAGTCACTAACATATGCTTGACATTAGAACATTATGTCTCATGGTCTCGGTTCTTCACGTTATACCATTGAAATCGATCTGTCTGAAGGCAATGTTATGGAGGACGTAAAAGAGTCTGAAGACAATGAAATCTTATTCGAAAAACTTCGAGAGTCTTACAAAATTATGACCTCCAAGCATCTAACTAAAATCAATGAATGGCTGAAAAACTTGGTGAAGATTGAATATACGGTAGGTGACACTTCATTTACTCTTGCGTTTGTCATAAGTGTAGAAGACTCTCATCATTCGCCATTACAGGATCCAGCGGCCAAAGATGACCTTCTCAAAGCCATCATCAGCTTGAAAGACGAAATTCGAGACGCCACTCGTAAGAGCGCTTTAATAGGTATTGATACTCAAGTTGAGAATGCCAACAAAGAAGCGAATAGCGACGATGAAGATGATGAAGACATCGATGCCCTTTTCGAGGAAGTTGAAGTTCCTACGTTGGATGAGCCCTCTACATCTGTCGCGTCAGATAAACCAAGTGCTGTCGTAAAATCGAAAAAACTGCCACCCGTCCAGAGAGTATTCCCATTAGCTCACGAACCACATATGGCTGAAGATGCTACTTACACTTCGCCTTTGCAAGCGCAAATAGAGAGAACAGGCAGACTCCGAGAAAAGTAAGTACCTTGTTGGTGGAAACTACATGTGAACAATAATATCTGACCAGTATAAAAGTTCACCATCAGGCAACAAAGGAAAGCAAAAGGCAGATCTTCAGCGAGAGGGTATGTTGCGTTTGAGCAGATAGCATGCCATTTTATTTATTCAACGACTAATTTCTTCGATAGAGCTTTTGAAGGTCGCACCGGTGGTTGAGGTGAGTATCAGCACAATGTGTTAGTGATTCCTGAGCCGTGCATTAAGGAATGTTCGTATCTTCTTTTCTTATAGTGGGGAGAGGACCTTTACTATTGGGACAAGCAAGATGTGCAGTTCAACCAAAGTGGCCTCGGTAAGTCTTTGCGATTAATGACGAACTGAGTTATACATCTCTTCTCATTACGTTTCGCCATATATTCATAGAATATCACCATCGATTTCTGGGAGATGGCGAAGGTGCAAATAAGCTGTCGGATGAAACATTACAATCTTTGAAAATGAGAGCCGTTTATTACAATCCTCAGTGGCCAGAGAAGATCAAGGTTTGTATATCGCATGTTGGTAAAATTTGCTCTGCAAACATACTCATAATTATATCCAGGCGTGCCGTGCCCCTTTAAGAAGCGGCAGTCTTTGTCCTCGTAGAGATTTGGTGACTTGCCCATTTCATGGACCAATTATTCCTCGTGATGAAATTGGTAGACCGGTGGATCCGAAAACCAAGTTACCAATGGTTGATTTAGGCGAACAAGAGACACCAGAAGTGGAGGAAGATAAGGATAAGTCCGTATTCTCTTCGGTGAAAGCCGCACAACCTGCCCTTTGGGAACAGCTGGAAAACGATGTCATGCGACAGCAGGGACTTACCCCGATTGAAAGCACTAAACGTGGCCAAAAGCGAAAGAAAGAAAAGGCTCCAAGTGCTTTAATTGATGTAAGGAAGAAGGCAGAAACCAGGCTTACCCGCCTTCAACGACGACTGGATGACCCACGTATGAAGAGAATTGTTGAGGAAACACTGGACCATGAAAGATCAATGAAACTTCGTGACAAGAAAGCAAACTCATGGAGAGGAATTTAGCAACATCAATCACTCTAAAAAAAAAACTGTATCATATATTACTAGTTATCATACTGCCTATATTCTGTAAAATACTGCAAACTGAAAAGAGGACAATAAAGAAAATGAATCAACCAGCCGTCGTAAACTGGCTCGCATTTCCAGGGTCGTGACTGTCACTTGACTGAAATTGTCGAGACAACTTTTGTAACTTGTGTTTTTGACGAAAGGAACCTGAACGCGAATTTAGAATGTTGGCGAATGCCTTTACAATAGGGAGACTGCATCAACTGCGGCTGCACGTAAGTGACTTGCCAAGATTCGCATGAATGTGCCACTCTTGACAACTAAACTTGACGCTGCTGTTCCCAGTCTCCGTGCTCTAGCTATTTACGTTTGCAACTCTTGTCTAACGGTCGTCGATGGAAAAGCGACACTACCACCAAACAAGGTTACCGAGTACTTTTCTTTGGAAACGATGAATTCGCCGAAAGTCACCTGAAAGCACTGTTAGAAGAGAAAGGTTTGTTTAGGATGCCATTTTCGATAGCCCAATTTATACGCCTTCTAATGCCGACGCCACCAGAAAGAGACAGTACTGTTATAAGTCATATAGAGCTCGTAACATCACCGGACAGAAGGACTGGAAGAAAGTTGAGCGTGTTGAAGCCCAGTATGTATCATGGAAACAGATTTGCCTCTAGATCTATTTCTCACTCTTTTGTTCGTTTTGCTAGTGGCTACAAAAGTGTTCGCGGAAAAGCATAATATACCGGTTCATCATACTCCATCCACAGGCCGAACACTTAATGGATGGAATCCACCCACACCATTTGATCTTGGTGTTGTTGTATCGTTCGGCTACTTTGTTACCCCAAATGTTCTGAAAACATTACCCTTGGGAGCGGTCAATGTACACCCTTCGCTATTGCCGGCTTACAGAGGAGCTTCGCCACTACAGTATACCATCATGAATAGAGATAAAGTTGGAGGAATTACGGTGCAGGAACTTGATGAGAAAGCTTTCGATGCCGGTAGAATATTAGCCCAAGAAGAGATTGTAGGTGGCCTACAGTTCACGCAATTGAGATAATTCGCCTACGCTAACATTCATTTCACAGGATCTGAGTACGGAACCGCCAAAATCATACAACGATTTACGTGATAGATTAAGTTCTATAGGCGTACGGCTGCTGGTGGAGACAATTCGCGACCTCGAGAGCCGAAAGGTATGTTGGTGCGACTGTGATAGCGACTGCTACATTTGCCGTGCTGCGCTGTAACACTCACATCTACTCTCACGACAGAAAAACGCTACAGTCCAAGATATGACAAAAGTCACAAAAGCTCCAAAAATAAAGAAAGAGCTGGCTCATGTTGACTTTGAAGGAATGGAGGCGGTCGACATAGAGGCGATCTTCAGAGCCATAGGTCACCAGGTACAGGAAACAATATACTTGCAAAACGAATAAGACGCAACCTTTACTGACATTATGGCTGGAATAGAACCCACTGCTGACAACAATTGCCGTACCTCCTGAGAAAGGAAGGGAGAATGCAAAAGCGCGGCGGATCAATCTCCAGCTACATGACTTATACCTACCAGAGGAGTCAGTGCTCAAGACCAGATCCAGTAAGAATGCTCAACCTGGAACCATCGCTTATGATGCTCAGTCTCAATCCATCCATGCTATGTGCAAAAATGGCACTGTTATTGGCATTAAACGGCTAAAGGCTGAAAATAAGGCTGAACGTAGCGCTGACGATTTTTGCAATGGCTACGGACTACAAAAAGATAGAACTGGATTGTTCGAACGGATAATATAGGTATATTGGAACTGTATGCATATGCTTGGAACTGAAGTCCATGTTGAGAAACAAAAAAGAAAATATTGTACAAAATGAATGAATAGATGAGAAAAAATAAGTTGTGTGAAAATACAATACTGATTGACAGTGACTCTACATATATGAAGATGGAATAATGAAGGTTGCGTTGCGTTGTGTTGTGTTGGGCTGGGTTGTCATGGTATGGTGGGTTGGTTTTAAATCAACAAACTCTCTACTTCATCTTCAGTTTGCTTCAATTTCCAGTCGTCAATGGCTGATTGCATCATTTTGCAAAAGCTGCTATTGCTGATCATCAGATTATCAGCCAGACTGCAAATTTTCTTGAAAGCAGTTCCGCCTTGTCCGTTGACAATAGTCTGTTCTAATTGAAGGCGGTCGTCAAATGATATATTTTGGCATTCTAAAGCCAGCTCCTGCAATTGAAGCTCCCGTTTGCGGAACCAATGCTTTCCGGATGTGATTGCCTCTTGTTCCTCTTTCTTTGTTAATATCCATCGAGGGTCTTGCTCCCATTTCATCCAGCGCCAATCGTGTTCTAGCATGGCTACCAGCAGGGCTAGTCTAGGTAGAGCAACTATAGCAGCTGGGTCATACGATTTGATATCGTCTTCTTGTAGAAGGCTGCTGTCCCTGGCACGATCAATGGCGGCAGTCAGAAACTCAGTAAATCCATCCTGAAGACTGGGCTTTGCGCCTTTGCTGGCTACTCGATCATTCCCTCGTCGTACTTTGAATCTATCTTGAGCAATCGTGCTGCTGCACAGTGTCGGTTGTATTTCGACTCGTTCTGATGAGTGGTGTTGTGAAGGCATGATATGTTACAAAGAAATGTCTATTCGATGAGAAAGAAAAATCTCCCGGGGCTAAAAAAGCACCAGCTAGCTTCTTTATATCCTGAGCTCCTTGGCTTGGAAAAAATTAATGTCAACCAGAATCACCCCCCTTTCCGTTTCATAGCTATAAATGCGCCTAGATATCTCAGGAGAGGATGGAAGCATACGTATTGACATTATATCGGCTAAGCGGGCTCCTCATCTTATTCCATAGCATACATGATCCTATTTAGTGTTATCTCTAGCAAAAAGTCATTATCATACAGTGAAATCATTTATTATATCATTTTTTTTTGTCACTTGCATAGGATGAGATGAAATACTCGAAATGGATAAAAAAGGGGTGGTCATTGTTCAAAGGCTCGGCCAGTCAAAAATCCACCAAACCAGGAGGTGGACGAAAGGGGATGCTCTCAATTGGGTCAACCAACAGTTAACATTCCAATCGTAAGTCTCACAGTCACCTTATCCAGGTCACTCCACATGGTCGTCATGGCATACACCAGCTCCTTGCTGCTTGCTATGCTATAAGCGTCACTGGGACGTAAGCTTTGGCTGTCTTCATGACTCGTCCTCTGCTTCCCATAGAACAACAGCGACATGGAATCCTTGGCGTTGGCTGGCAAGTGGATGTTGGATAATTTACTCTCAATCCTACTTTTAAGCTCCTGCAATGATATGTTTCGTGGTACTTGGAGTATAATAATATTATCAAGATCATAGATAACTTTGATTCGAATATTCCTGGCCTGCGCAGGTTGCGCATAGCAATTCAGAATCGGTGTTGAGAGGCAGCGTTGTAAAGGCACAAATAAAGCCGAATCCCGCGGTTCATTTCTTATATTTTTTCTTGTACTTTCCTCTTTGGCTTTAGGAAAGTGTGTATTCCTTTGGAGATGGGTATACTTTTTGCGTGGTGCAGGAGCTGAGAGTGATAATTTTGGATTGGGTGCCAGAGGGCTTTCTGCAATCTCAAGAGGAGACACAGACTCCTTTGCATAAGCCTTTGGCACTATCAAGTCAGTTCTGTTGAAAACTTCATCCTTGGAGGCAAAATGAATGGGGTTTGATGTCTGATCATCCCAAGGATCAGACGCCACATAGCTTGCTGGTGGGACATGAAGGGTGTTATGTGGATTTGGTGCTGACAAGAAGCGTTTCTGAGCCCGTTCTGCCTTATTGTATAACTTTGACGACACATTGACATTTTTTTCGCTAGGCTTGTATTGAACATATGCGTCTTGGTTGAAATTAGGATTCGAAATTGTCTTTTTCACAGCTGATGTGGGTACTTTTACTGCCAGGGCAGAACAAGACCTAGACAGCATTGGCGGTGGTATTATACTGTAACTTTTAGATGGCACCGACCCTAGTCTTCGACCATAGGAGTGTGGTGCCAAGTCAAGGTCGAGATAGCTACTGTCTGGCGATAAGAGATTCATATCATGGCTGACTTTGTGTTCCATATCTGATTTGTCAATGCCGAAAAATTCCAAAACTGGCAGTGACTTGAGTAAATGGTCTGGCAGCCGGAATAAAGAATCTAGAAAATTGTCGAGATCTTCCCGTCGTTGTGAGCTATCTTGTTTGGTGACGAAGGAGACGATGCGAGATTTGAGTCTTGGCAATGCCACGACGGGACTTGCACTGTCTTTTATAAACGTTGTAGCCAATGCCTTATATTTATTAGCTCGGGGCGATTTCGGTATTTTTGAACTTTCTGATGGTGAGGGCCCAACGACCTCTTGTAGTTTATTTGAAAATGCCAGAAAGTCTTCGTAGCGTCGAAAAACTGTGTAGGGAGCGCGAACTATCTTCCTATTAGGTAGGTCATTACGAGGAACTACGCTGATCGAGTACCATATCTTTTGGTCATGGCGTCTTAGAGTGGATATAATTCGTGCGGACGCAATAGTTGGAGCGAGCTTAATACCATGGCGCTGATTCGATTTTCTGCCTAGTAAGGTAGATGATAATGATGGGCGGGGTTGCGGTGAGTAGGACATTCAATTATAGCATTCACGTCAAGCTAAGGAAAGGAAGGGAGGGTAAAGGAAAGGCTAGCTATGGTGCACGGTGGAGGTATAAAGGAAAGAAAAGTGCAGTGTATGATTTTAATAGATGCCTCAGTTTGATAATGTTATCAACTCGAGGCAGCGTTCTTCAACGAGTGATTCAGCGAATAATTCAAGTCTGAAAATGGAAAGATTGAATAATAAAATAATAGCAGAGGTCTTTGATAACAGAAGGAATTTACACTGAAATTTACTTGTAAGCTCATTTTTAAACCGTAGTACTATGGTCAATTTTCTGACTGCCTTATCTCACGAATCCATTTGATATTGTGTGTAGAGAAGTCTACCGTCCCTCCCAAGGTAGACTTTACCAGTATCCCACCCATCCATACAAGCAAAACAAGGTTAAGAGAGAAAGACATTGCAATTGGCTTGCAAACCAGCCATTGCATGAGAAAAAATAAACCATTATTTGTAAAGAACGCTCAGCTAAGGCAGTTTATTTGTTATTGATCTTTCTTCCATAACAGTAACGGTTTGGCAACTACTTCCGCTTGCGAAACCATAGTATTTTATTAATCTGACATCTCTTTGTTACTGTCTTACATGAGGAAAGTTTGTGCAAGGATGTATGTTATTGGATGGGTTTGTTCAATCAGTACTGGTGAAAAAAACTGGCGACCTATAGTGAACTGCCGAAATTTTGGGCGGGCGGGTACGGTTTCTATGACCGATGCATCCCGCCAAGAAGAAATCTGCTCTGCAGGGCACCTCGGGGTTGCCCCTTCAAGAACGTCCATTGCTGAATATTAAAATGCACCTTGTCGTAGGCAAGAAAGCGTCTGTTATGGCAGAATCGTTTCTTTTTTTTACCTGAACTGGGTAGCATGTTTGGGTGGTATCCATTTTTGGTTGTTGTTGGCACATTGCCAAATTCAGTCTCCACAATAATTTTTGAAGTCTCCAAAAACAAGCTCGACTCAGCTTCGTCCTTTTTTTTCTTACACATTTATAATCCTTTCGAGACGTAAAAGTATCCTGAACATCATTGGAAAATATAATGTATAGTGAATACCTCTCAACTCCAGGTTCTCAAAGAAGTTCAGTTGCTCCAGAATACACCAGGCGATCTCCATCTCCCAGCCCCTCATCCACATCTTCCAAGGATTCTCCGGAGCGTACAAATTCAAGGATGCTGACAAGAAGACCGGTATCAGGACAGTCTATAGCATCGCTTCAACAGCAGCATCATATTGTTCAACAACAACCACAATTATCACCCACACTTCACCATTCACCATCATCATCCGCTTTATCCATACGGTCAATGAGCACGTCTAGAATAGATGATGACGATGCGGGTTCCGAAGACAACAGCCCCTCCGTAGAGTCAAAGGTAGCCAAGGAAGGATGGATCTTCAAGAAGAACAGCTTAATGGTAATGATATGATCCTGATCTTTGCGTGATGATCAAGTGTGTGACTGATTATTTGTTTTTGTTTCGCATGTCGTACAGCAATGGAAACTCTACTACGCGGTGGCGAAACATGGAAATGCTATCAAACCTGGAAGTTTGAATTTATACAAAGACGAAAAAGTAGGAAATTTCAAATCAATTTTATGATGTCATGCAAATTTTTTGTATTAACATCGTGTCTATATGGAACAGTTCGTCAGTCACCATCAAACATTCGATATGTCTGAAGTGGTGGAAGTCGAGCCTAGAAGCCAACAATATCACCAAAACATCAAGTATGAATTCAGAATGCTTATCAAGCGTGATGACATATCATTTGCCACTGAAGATCCACAGGATCGTAAGGACTGGGTGGTCGCGTTAACTGCCATCATGGGCAAGGTTTCGCTGGCATCTCAAAGTGAACTGAAGAATCGAGTTTCTAATGCCGAAAACATGACTAGGGGCTTACAGAACGTAGCTTCTGAACTAGAGTTAGAATGTGTTGAACTTCAAAGGCAGTTAGAGGAGCAAACAGAAGAATACATGGTCAAAGAAAGGAAGCTACGAGAGCAGTGGAACGCCAAGGAAAAGGCCATGAAGCGCGAGCTGGAAGATTCCCAAAGATCATCCCAAACACGAACTGAACTTTTGGAGCGCGAACTAGGTATCTGGAAGGGTAAATGCAGCGAATTCGAAAAGCGCAACGAAATGATCTTGATGAAGCGTAACTCCGAGGACCACTACAGATTGGAACAAGCTGAAGAAGACGCAAGAAAATGGAAGACCAAGGCCACCGATCTTGAAGCGACAAATGAGCTTTTATTGCGACAATATCATCGAGCTGAAAGTCTGGTTGCCCAAAGCAAAGTCGAAGGCTTGAGAATGGATGGAAAGCTCTCATTGGAACAAGCTGCTATTAAAGATGCTGTCAGTGAAATGAGACTAGATCTCTCCAAGCTTTCACAGCAGATGCAAAGTTCAAGTACGGAGTCTCGCCGCGTGGTCGAAATTCAAGACGACATACTAAGACTGAGTGATGCTATGGCGGATGCGAAGAAGGGATATGAGGTCATTCATCAGAACGTAGCTAAATTGGTACAACTTGATGAAGGTGATGAATTTCATAACATCAAGCCAGAGGCCAAGATCTTGGAAGATATTCAAAAGCAAATTACTGAACTTAAGGGCGAGCTGATTGGAAGCAGTTCTGAAGAAGACAAGGTGGACAGTGCTATTGACGTTTCTGCAAGTGGACTATCTATCTCCAGCAAGTTTGATGCATTGATGGCGCTTGTTGAAACGTTGCACAACAAAAAAGTAGATATGGATAACAGCAAAAGTGAAGAAATGTCCAAGGTTTTGGAAACCATTCAAACAGCTGCAACACAGGAGGCTACTTTGGTGGAAGAAATGCAAAAGGCCAGCGAAAAGGCGTTCCAAGAGATCAGTGAAAAATACGAGTCCTTGTCAGAGGTGATGCAACAAATGCAAGCCAACTCAGCCCGCGCTATGTCACATATGGAGTCTACTCTCAAAGATGCCAGGGACAATCACACCGCTATCAAGCCTGACGATCTTGAGAAGATCTATCGTAAAGTGAGAGATTCTCAGGCGCAAATATCCGATGTCTTGGCCACTGAGCTACAAAAACTTGGAGAACATGAAAGTCGACGCGCTGATGAACAAGAAAAGAGCCTCAGTGTGTTGAGCCAGTTATTCCAACATGTGGCAAATCAAATTGACAATAGCGCCATACCTGATCTTCCAGATTACATGCGGCAAATGGATGAAATGTTAGATCGACTTTCTGAGACTGAGCTTCGATTGACAGAGCTATCACAAGTTGGTGCTTTGCAGAATGGCCCCATGTCTCCTAGAGATAAGAGTGGACCTATGATCAGCTCGACGCCAGTGAATGGAGGAAATAGCGCCGAAATTGTTCAATTGCTTCAAAATACCCGTAGCTTTATGGAGCGCACTCTCAGAGTACTAGACAAGTTTGGTGGAAGTGCCCATGGATTTGAGCAAATCATCAAGAACGCCGTTAAGCAAGCTATGCCAGCCACTGAGAATTATAACATATCCAAGAAATCCAATGACATGAGCCCAATTCTTGATGAAAAACTGAAGCGCTATGAAGACAATGCTAGAGGCTACATGGACAAGTCCATGGAAGGCATGCGCAACCACCTTGAGGATTATACTGGTGTTATGTACAAGATGATTGAAGACTTGATACTGCGCGCGATGGAGCACTTGGAAAGTAGTCGCGAGAAGGAAAATTACTCAGGCTACACTCCCAAGGAATCCAAGTCAGTCAATACTGATCAGCTCAATAGTCTAATTGAAATGCAAAGCAAGCTCAGCGCCAACAAACAAGTACTGGAAGCTGATATCAAGCGCCTATTAACGGAAAAGGACGGCCTTTCGAAAGAAATACGTCAGTTGCAAGCTGAAGTTAAAGAGCTTCAAGAGCATCTTATGGAAGGAAAGGCTGAGTTTATTGGCTTACAAAGAAGCTCCGATCACATAAATCAGACTCTTCAACGTCTCCAGAACATGGCTCCTCTGATTAAGCAAATGGAACGTCTGCAAATGATGTCTGAGACAGCCCCAAGGTATGAAAATGATTCTGAGGGCGAAGGCAATAGCTCAGAAGAGTATGTAAATGTGGATAGGGAACAGGTCAGTACCATAGCCTGGTAGTTTAGATATGGTGTCGTACTTTAACAAAATCTAACTCTTGTACACGTCCATATAGATCCTAATGTCCAACCAGAAACACAATTTGAGAAGCGTATCTCCTACTCCTTCGCAAAGAAGCGGATCAGAGCCCTCAAGTTGGATGCAACGTAAAGCAGCCTACCATACCCCACCACCATCTGCCCCTACCAGTGCACCTAAAAGAACCCCATCCTACGACACAAATTATTCACTTGACTCTCCTGGAGGATCCCAAAGCAGCCAACGATCATCAAGATATGGATCTAATGATTTGCCCGATGTGCCACAGGAAAGAGGTCGCTTGACCAGTGGATTCGCTAACATGGTTGCGCGACGACGAGCCGCCAGCCCCAATCGACAAATACAGTGAACACACACCATACCTACAAATGATACCCTAGCCTATACTTTTGTAAAAAACGATTTTAGATCAACCATATCTTTATAATCTAAGTTCGCATAAATAAACCAGCGTTCAAGTTTTTGGATTTTCAGAGATTTTCTATCAAATTGGATGGGGTAAAGTATCTGCGTGCTGGGCCGCTCTAGCATGATGCAGAGACAGTCACCGAAACCTCATGAAATTCCTAAATTCCTAGTTTTCTGGCAGCGACTCCGTTCGGTTGACAGTTCCTTTGCCCAGTATGGTGAAAACCGAGAGATTTCCATCTGCCTTAATCAACAGCGTCAAGACTCCAAAGTTTACTGATTTAACTCGATGGCGCTTGAAAGTTGAACATGGAGCTCAGACATGGCACTACTTGGAATCCGATGAAGATTTAAAGCAATGGCCACAGACCCGCTGGGACAAATACTTTCTCGGCGTACCGTTCGTAAGACTGGTTTCTTTCATAGTTCCACCACGAACCATATCTAATTGTGCTATCAATTGCATAGGAATCCCCCAAGCTGCCTCGTGCACAAACCCCTTTGGAAACCGCGCGTAACGGTTTTGAATTTTACAAGGAGCTCCAAACCGAAGATGGCCATTGGGCAGGCGAATATGGCGGTCCAATGTACTAAGATCTGCGTATTAACTTATAGTGGTATCATTTCATTCCACTCATTTCGCCCATTTTTTTTTTTACTAGGTTTTTGATCCCAGGTCTCATTATTACATACTACATCACTGGAGTCCCTGTACCTGAACCAATGCGCCTCGAAATCATCCGATATCTGTTGAACCGAGCGCATAAGGACGACGGAGGCTGGGGAATTCACATTGAAGGCATTTCCACTGTGTTTGGTACCGCTCTTAATTACGTTGTTTTGCGAATCCTTGGTCTGTCGGCAGATCACCCCGCTATGATCAAGGCCAGAGCCACGTTGCACAAGCTTGGTATGAAGCATTTTTGACCATGTCCATTTTTAGGGTGTTTAAAGCACATAATCTAACCGTCCTTGTTAAAATTCAATAGGTGGTGCTGTCGCTGCCCCCGCGTGGGGAAAGTTCTGGCTTTGTGCCATGAGCTTGTACGAATGGGAAGGTTTGAATCCCGTTCCGCCCGAATTATGGTAGGTTCAATGGCTATTCATTTCTCTAAAAAGACGTTCGACCTCATGCCATTCGAATCATAGGGCACTGCCACAGTTAATCCCCCTCTGCCCCGGCAACTGGTGGGTCCATACTCGTATGGTGTACCTTCCCATGGGATACATTTATGCAAAGCGTCTCAATCCCGAACCAACGGACTTTATCTTACAACTTCGAGACGAACTATATGTCCAGCCTTACGATTCAATTCATTGGGATTCCCAGAGGAACAATGTTGCCGAAGCTGACCTGTTCCTTCCCCATACCAAGATCATGGATTTCCTCAATGGTGAGAATTATCGTAATCAGAGGCCTAGCGGTTGCATGTTACTGACCCGCATTTCGTCCATAGGTGCGCTCACTTACTATGAAATGATCCCGGGAAAAATTAATATGTTGCGCAAATATGCTTTGGATCTCACTATCGATCAAATCAGAATGGAGGACGAAAATACATTTTTCTTGGATATTGGTCCCGTCAACAAAGCATTGAATTGGTTGGTGGTGTATTACCATTACGGCAAAGACTCTAGGGAATTCCGAGAGCACGTCAAGCGGAACGCCGACTTTATGTGGATGGGACCCGAAGGTATGATGATGAACGGTACCAATGGCAGCCAACTTTGGGATACCACCTTCATTGCCCAAGCATGTACCGAAGCTCGACTGGTGGAGCATTCTGATTATCGATCCAATATGCTGAGGATCCTAGAATTTTTGGACGACTGTCAGATTAAACGCAATGTGCCCGACCACCAAAAATGCTATCGCCATGTTTCCAAGGGAGCATGGCCATTCTCTACTCGCGACCAAGGCTACACGGTCTCTGATTGTACTGCTGAGGGCCTGAAAGCTACTTTGGCCATGCAAAGCATAGAAGGCATGCCTCAACTTGTCTCCAAGGAGCGACTGCGTGACTCGGTGGATGTGATGCTTAGCATGCAAAACAGCGATGGAGGATTTGCTTCCTACGAGTGTATTCGGGGACCAAAATGGCTAGAGTGGCTCAATCCTGCCGAAGTGTTTGGTGATATTATGATAGAATACAGTTATCCAGAGTGTACCACCGCTGTTTTGACCGGTTTGAGTGCATTCAAGAAAACGGATCCCGACTACCGTCGTGCAGATATTGAGTAAGATTTGACATTTGTGGCACCGCCGGTGAGCCGCAATTAACCAAATTTTTTTTTTTTACCTTTTTGTGATAGGCGGGTCTCACAACGTGCTTTGCAATATATCAAGAAAAGTCAACGTCCTGATGGGTCATGGTTTGGTTCGTGGGCAATCTGCTTTACCTATGCCGCCATGTTCTCTCTGACTAGTTTATCTAGCATTGGAGAGTTTTATGAAAACAGGTAAAGTAGTATTTTGGAGGAAACGGTTGAATTTTTTTTGGCGATCTCCTTTACTAATCGGGCTGGCTGACCATGAAGCGATCACGCACGACGGGGCTGTGATTTCCTGTTATCAAAGCAAATGGCAGATGGTGGTTGGGGGGAGAAATACAAGGTGGGTGCGATAGTTATGGATGCCCTTGCTTACTGAACGCCGTGCTTACATTCTTGTTCGACATAGTCCTGCGAGACGGGGGTGTACTGTCAAAATGAAAAATCGCAAGTTGTCAATACCGCTTATGCTGTGCTGGCTTTATTGGATGCCAAGTATCCAAACGAGGAACCTATTCGCCGCGCAGTTAAATTAATCATGGACAGACAGCAAGAAAACGGCGAATGGCTTCAGGAGTCCATTGAAGGCGTTTTCAACAAGAACTGTAAGTTGTAGCCGAATTTTCCCTTTTTTTTTCAATCCCTAGAAGCATGGACTAACCTTATGGCAGGCATGATTTCATACCCTAATTACAAATTCTCTTTCACTATTTGGGCCCTTGGTCGCTATGCCGCCGTCTGGGGCGACAAGCGTATTAGGAACTAATGCACAGACTACACCAAACGATAATTGTTGACGATGAATAAAAAATCTCAGATGGTATGTTGCCATGGAACTTTGATCACCAAAGACCATGGGTGACTGAAAAACCCCTTTCCACATGCTCGTCCATGAAGGTGGTAGATGTTCATCCACCAGGGCAGGTATTTTTTTTTTGTTGCACAAAGTATTCCTGGGACTCATGAACGGGAGGTGGTGGTCGGTATGGCTGTTATTGGAAATGGGATTTCAGCCCACGGAGATCGCCATTTTTCATGCCCTCGCTTCACAAAGATATGAACAGAGCGTGGCCTTTATCGGGTTTGTGTGCGGCCCCCCTCGCTGAGCAGACGTATGGAATGGCGATAAGCCTCCCCGGTCGATGGGAAAAACAAGCTCAATTGGTGTTCAAAACAAGCCCAAACAGAGAGGTAAATAAACGTTGCTGATTCTTTTCTTTAAGGACTATTTTAGTGCAGATAGCTTAGGTACATTAAAGTACATTAAATTATTTTGTTCAAGTCATGCATGCTGAGCAAGCCAAAAGCAATTCATCACACACGTGAGGATGAATCAGTATGACGCCTTAACACGGCTTTTTACAAAGAAAAGAAGGTTCGTCTCCAAAATGGTAAGAAAAACAATCGACCTGTTACACCTAGCCAGAGAAAGGTGGAAGACGTCGATAAGACGTGTTGAATTCCTTTCGGGGCGTAATGGCTGCCCAAACACTGCACTTCAGCAACTGTGGCAAGACCTTGTAGTAAGAAGAACGCCATATGTTCTCCATGTGTTTCTCTGAATAAAGATGACACTAGAATCTCATGAAAGACACCCGAGGCAGCAAATGTCGTCATGGCCGATAGGGAGTTTTTCCATCGTCTTTGCTCTACAGTCTGGTCTTGTTTAGTGGGAGCAAAGACTGAACGATGAAACATATTGGCCATGATTCTGTTCCAACGACTGAAAGAAGAGGTGAATGTAAGTTTCTAATGCAAAGCTGGTAGGACGGACCAAACGTCCTGCTGGGGTACTCACCGGCTCCAGAAATCCTTCAGACTGACAGCAACATTTGAGCTCGTTAGTAAAACCGTTTCCACAGCACACTTATCTAACACAAGTTCACTACACTCACCTATAGGCGAAGTACGGGTTATCCATGAGTTCCATGAGATCCTTATTCATGATAGCCTGCGCCAAACCTGTCACCACGTCGGTGACGGACCCCACAATGCAATAAAGCACTGCTCCATAGCCTAATGTATTACCAATAGACAAAGGCGAATAGAAAGGCAATTGAAGCAAATCCTGTTCATTACTCAATAAAGGTACCAGTAGTAATTTAATACCATATTTGAGGGCTCCGCGAGCCATTTTTAAGACCCCTCGCTGCCTAATGCGAGTGGAGTCTGGAGGAGGATTTGGCTCCAGCATAACGGAGCATAAGGATAAGACAATGTCTTTCACTGGAGGCAGTGGCGCTGGTAACGACATGTTCTGAGCGCATACATATATGGGCGTAGGCACCAAAAATAGGTCGATGGCGGGATGATTGCTTGTCAACAGCAAAGGTAGGAGAGCATGGTAGCCAATGAGACATGACCGAAGTGTACGACTACGCGGGGATGATCGCAGAAGGTACAAGTCAACGGTAGGTAGGAGAGTATGCAAGAGAATTAGCCGCGTCGGTGAAACGACATGAGCATCAGGTAGACGAAGCATAGGCAGGATATAATTTCCATGCCGGCCCGTCGTTACATGCAAAATTCGTCAGCCAGCCAAGCTATTTTTTTCCCTTCCCATTGCCACAAACTGGGATGTTTACGACGAGGCAAAGCATACCATATTGTGCTTTGAGATGTGAAAAACCTTTTGTTATCTTGTCTGCAAATTTTTTTTTTTTTATATGGTTTTTTGTTCAATGCGTAAAAAGTCTTACATAATATTGTGGCTCTCGCTGAAAAGAAAAATGACATTATGCAGGAAAGGGTTGATAAGCTGAATATGTACAGTAGTATGAAGGAAATTTATGATACATCAAGAAAGGTAGTGTAGGGTAAAAGGCCAAATGATGACAGGCTCAATTCAATCCAACATCCTGGTCGGGCTTGTGTGTGTGTGTGTGAGTAAATCATGACCGTGTTGTTGTGGGTGGTGGTGGGGATAGCAAAAAAAAAATGTACATAGAAAATTGTGAAAATCGCACTTTCGTGTTCAGAGGCCGAGTTCCAGCTCAAGCTGTGCACCATGCTGTTGTACAAATCGCTCCACCTGAGCGAGATCAACATGAAGGTTGAATTTGATGAGTCCTAGAAAACTTCGTTCCATTTCGTTCATTTCTCTAGCTGAAAATACTGGGGCAATGGTGGCTCTAATGACTGTCGCTTGTAAGCTATAATCTTCTGTATATTTAGAGGCGATGACAATGGCAGCCAAAAAGATTTTGTACGGGGTGTCAAAGTCTAAAAGGAAAGGAGGTGTGAATGGGGAGGAGCGGTTTCATGAACAGATGCATGCAAATGGTAGTATGCAACGTACCTCCTCGAGCTTGTACTGGTAAACTGGTTTTGAGACGTTCCAGGTAGATCAGAGCGACAATCAAGACGGTGGGTGAGAGCTGGCATTTAAAGTATGTTTCTCGCACAAAGTGAGCCAAGTGTGGCAACAATTCATGTCGACTTCGCCTTTGTTTTGAGCATTCCAAGATACTGCCAACGTTTTGGATGGTAAATGAAATCAAGGCCTCGGGACTTCTCGTTGACAACGAGGGAGACACTGGAGGGTAGCAATTAGTGGGTAGAAGAGGCGAAGAGGCCATGCAGGGCAGAAAGAGAGATAGGGAAAAGAAGAAGTGAGAAAGAAGTGGGAGAGTGAAGGATGTATTTATACAGTTGATAGTATTAAAATACCTAGCATATAATAAATTTTTGATAGCCCAAGGTATTTTTTATTTGGATCAATCGCGTGTCAGTGATCCTTATGTCACTTTGGGCGGTCGATGCTTTATCAACCGCACAGTGCGTCGGTCGGCATGCCTTGAAATGGCCATGCCATGATTTGCGAGAAGGAGGAGGTGCTCCAAATAGATGATAAGTGGATGGATGATTATAAAGTAAAGGGGAAACGGAAAGCTCGCGGAATAGGGCAGGCCGATGCTCAGCAATGCGGACGGTCTGGAATCTCGAATGGACAAAAGTCTGGACCCTCTCGCTCATAATGGGAAAAGGGGGATCGCCCACGAAACAAGCTCATCGACGTCACTTTATTTTCGCTGCTTTTTCCTCTTTGGGCCATCAGCCTCATTCAGAGTTTGCTGTAATATGCGCTTTTCTCCAGCTCGAACTAGGATACTACTGTACTTTTTGGTCGACAGGTCATCTGCATTGGATAGCATTCTTTCGTCGTCCTAGAAGTCATTTGTAGGGTTAGTCGACAACATGATGACAGCGTTACGTAGCCAAACACTTGCGCTTTACCTCTAAAGTGGTCTTGTATTGCTCAAGTCGTTTGGATAGAATGAGCTTCACTTTGTCCATCACGCTTGGCGTCAATTTGGGTTTTGGCACTTTCCGCTTTTCCAAAGCTATGGAAAATTCCTGACTTGACATCATAAACACCTGCACTGTGGACCCCCCATTGATCATGTCAATGTTATCTATTTTTTTCAGCTTGCTTATCTTGGCATAAACGCTTACTTACCGCAGGCAATTAGTTCAGGAGGAATATCTCCATTCTTCTCAATCACAAAGTAGCTGAACCCGGAACATAAGGTAAGAATCATTCCATGTTTCGTCTCAGCATTCCATCATGACTTACTCATCCAACACATCCTCTTCTAACAAAAATGTGACCTATCATTGGGCTGAGCATTTTGTGTTCTCATTTATAGTAACGTTGTATAAATCTTTTATACTGACCTTAGCATCTTTCTCCTCATCCGTCACGTCGGCTGGGCAGCTCACATCGCATACCAAATCGCCGCTTATCTCGACAATGTCAAAGTCGTTGGGCTCATCCACAAAGCCGTATTTCCGTAACAGGTCTGCGTTGCACAGATCGCCATATGTGTTGTAAATCTGCTCTGAGACCTGGATATCCTTGATGGCTCTCATTTGCAAAGCCTCCGGTTCATGAAAAAGACGTGCATTATTGAAACCTGTGCGGTGATTGAGCATGTCCGCCATTGGTACCATGGCAATAATGCCTTCTTCCTCTTCCTCATCGTCCTCTTCCTCCTCATCGCCTTTGCTGGAAGGCTTGGGTGTAAGTTCGTCATGAAAGCTGTAAGCCATAATCAAAGACCCACAGATATGGAACAGATTAAGGTTATGGACATTTTCGTCAAAAACGTCGGGGTGGCTCTATGGCATTATCGGTCGGTGCATCAGTATCAGTTCAGCCCATGAGTAAAACCCTTTCGCTCCTATCGTAGGTTACCTTGATAATGGGTTGTATGGTGCTCTTAAACAGATTTTCCGCATCGTCCCGTCCAATTTTATCTACCAAAGATGGCTCTCTTTAGTTCACTCAATGACATGCACCGCGTTTTGTACAGAGCAATTTATGTCCCGTGTAACACCAGCAAATGTACCAGCAATTTTCTTACCTGGGACACCAGTACCCGCCAATTCGTCAATATCTTTCTCTTCCCAAAACATTGGGGTGTCAAATATATTGGGGAGAATGTCCAGATAGGGCTTCCAAAATGAGTTCTCCGACTTGAGTTCGTACATTAGGCAAAGAATCAACGGAGCCCAGCCTTGCTGCGAATTAAGGATATCCTTCATGCCCGGCTTGGTCGCCAATTGACTGGTTTCTTCCGAGAGTAAGACTTTTCGAGGTATAGAGAACAAAAGTTCATCTTTCTAAAGTCCCAATGAGTGCATTGTCATTTGGTATTTTGTCAAAAACACGTATTTCATCAAAAATAGTTATTTATTTTACTAACCTTTATGTCCTTTATTGCCACTACGCCTCTCCCAGCCTTTTCTGAGCGATAGTCTTTAATGGCAAGCGAATCAGAAATGGTAGCGTCATTGGCCTTCAGCCATTGTATGAAGTGGTTGGAAGCGTTGTCGAATTCTGACATGAAAGAACGTTTCGATCTATGTATGGCTTGATTTTTTTTTTTTTTGCGATTGAATTTGACAGCAGCTTCTCTCAGTCAACGAGCGGACTGTTTCTTGCTCCAGCATTAGTCGGACTGCCACAAACTTTCGGCCACTTCAGAAATTTTGTCGTGCCTGGTTGCAACTGAGTTTGCCACCCTTCTCCTTTCCCCAAAAGTTGACCATGTCGCTCACCAAGCAATTACAAACTGTTCTAGACAAGAGGAGGGACATACTGAAGTTAAGAAGGCTCGTTGTCAACCCTCCTGATTCAATCGACTTCTCTTCCAACGACTTTCTGGGACTTGCCCGGTCAAAGGACTTTCGAGACCGATTCATGACAGAATTGCAAACCTTTGAACATCCGCCTTTGGGATCCACCGGATCGCGATGCTTGGATGGCAACTCTCAGTATGCCTTGGACTTGGAAGCACGTATCGCAAAGTTCCATCATGCTGAAGCTGCTCTTTTGTTCAATTCTGGATTTGATGCAAACTCAGGTGTCTTCAGCACTATTCCTCAACCTGGCGACATCATTCTTTATGACGAGCTAATTCACGCTAGTGTGCATGAAGGAATGAAGCTCTCCCGCGCAGGATCAAAGATACCCTTCAAACACAACAGTGTGACTGATCTTGAGTCAAAGATTATCGACATCTGCTCTCAGGGTCAAACCAAACAGAAACGCCGAAACGTTTTTGTAGCGGTGGAAACGGTGTACTCCATGGACGGCGACATTCCTCCCCTAAAGGAAATAATCGCCATGCTTCGAAAATATTGGAGGAAGGATGAGAATGGCTGGGTCATTGTGGACGAGGTAAGCTTTCGGTTCGAGCTCCGTTGCGTTGCGTGTGAAAACCAAAAGACATACTAAATGTTTTGGGCTCGCTCGATGTTAGGCTCACGCGACGGGTGTTTTCGGAGAAAATGGTCGTGGGGTAGTCTGCCAGGAAGGCCTGGAAGATGAGATCTTTGCCCGGGTACATACCTTTGGAAAAGCCATGGCTAGTAATGGTGGTAAGTGTCTTTGCTAAATTTTCCCAATACCCCAGTTTTATTTTTTCTTAAACCGGTGTCAACTATTTTAGCTGCTGTGTTGGGCACCGAGACGCTCAAAAATTATTTGATCAACTACGCGAGATCCTTCATCTATACTACCTTCATGGGTTTTAGCAGTCTTGCCAGTATAAGTTGCGCATACCAGATGTTGGAACAAGGCGTAACCAGAGAGGTGAGGGCACACTATGATTTTTTCTTTGGCCGCATGTGACTTGGATTTTTGCCATTCAGTATTACTCATTGTCTTTTTCTTCAGGCACAGCACCACGTTATGGCTCTAGTTAGCCATTTTAAAAACACTATTCATTTACCGCATGGCCATCTACTTCCATCCACCAGCCCCATACAAGGAATCGTACTTGATGGTAAGTTTCACAGTTGACATACAAATATCATGACTTCAGACTCTAACCTCCATCAAGGTAATGATAAAGTTCGAGCACTAGCTGAATATCTCAAAGCTCGGAAATTCAACGTTAAACCCATACTCTCGCCAACTGTACCAAAGGGAACTGAGCGCGTGCGAATCTGCCTACACGGCGATAATACCATAGACCAAATCGATGCTCTGGTGAATGCCACCCATCAATACTTCCGCAACCCTACAAAGTCTACTACACACTTCTCTAGTTCTACGCCTATCATTGCCAGCAAACTGTAATATTACCGAATCGTTTTGTAAAATATAGATCTATCATCGAATAAAAGTTACCATGCCAATTGTGATATGGACAGCATTCAGTAATTGCTATTGACTGGGAAGAGAGCTCAATGGCTCTGAGAAATGGTTGGGAAATCATAACGAATGTTTATTTTACAGGTTGTTTACGTTATGTACTTGTTGTTTTCAAATGGCTCACAACTTTGGTGCGATTGTCATGTTAAATATTTTGGGCACCCTTTCTACCTCAGCACAGCTGAAACTTGGTTCTGCAATATTGGCAGGTGCAATTCCCAGATCCTGAAAATGGTAAGAGAGATGTGTTAGCAAAACAAGGCTATTATTCATCGACATAAGGTCGCGATACTTACAACTAGATCAAAGTAAGACCAGTGAGGCTCAGAGCCTCCTTCAACCTTGAAGTTCCAGAAGAAGAATCCGTAGCTTCCTGAGAAAGCATCAATCTGTGCATCGACATACATCTGGAGGAACTGCTGATATCCTGATGGCCAGACGGATGATTGACCTCTGTATTTGCATGAGCATTTGGGGCAGGACTTGGCAGTGAGATTACCTTGTTCATCGTAGAAAGTACCGTCCCAGCGGGAACCTTGGCCAACATTGTTCAACCACATAGCGCAGTCAGTATCAGCAGCACTCCATTCACCAATGATGGTGGGTCCAAAACCAGTTTCCAGGTTGTCTGAGTTTTTGATATAGTTCTTAGCGCCTTGGCAGATACCGTTAACTACCTTGTCTCTGTAAGTGGACTTCATGGAGTAGGGGTCGAAAATTTGGTAAACATGGGCATCTAACAAAAATGATTATTTAGAAATCGACCATTCAATACAGCTTATTCCTCCTTCAGTGATACTAACCAAGCATGATCCCTTCATATCGTTGCATCTTTCCCTTCCATTTGTCAAGACCAATAAATCCTTCACTGACACTGATCCAACCGTCAAAACCAGCTCCGCGAGCTGTTATTGAAAATAAAAAAGAAATGTTAGGGGTCGAACGGATAGAATACTCAGAATTTCTATTAGCATAATAACCAACATACCAAGACGATAGGCTGAATCATAAAATCGTAGCAGCTGGTGAACTTCCATCTGGCGCATATTTGGCTCGTTAAGTACACCAAAGATGCGAATAGTGTTCTTGTATCTTGGAGCTACTGCGATTTGGGTTAGAGCATCGATGATTTCCAACATTTGGCTGATCTCTTGTGTGCCGTTGGTAGTTCCCTTGGCCAACCAATGAACTTGACCTTGGCGTCCACTGTGATTCCATCCATTTTGCGATTGAGGAGCACTGTGTAAATCAACATTCACTCGAAGTCCATATTGACGGGCCCATTCCAAGGCTTGAAGGAAATAACCCATGGATAATCTTGGTACATACGGGTCACCTTCCCAAGTTTTGACAGCCCAAAAACCAAGTGGAATACGAACGTGGTCGAAACCAAGTTGAGCGACTTTAGCAAAGGTTTCTTCAGTAACCCATGTTTCATAGTGCTCCATGAGAACTCCATAAGCCTTATCTTGACCCAGCGCCTTTGTAAGCGTGTATTCATCCACAATACGGTCGGTGATATTGGGAGCTGGAACCTTTTCAATACCTTCGTTGTAAGGCTTGAATAAAGATGGTTTGATGAATGGTTCAAGGACTAGCCATCCACCAAGGTTAATACCACGGATTGGCTTGATACCGTATGGGAAAGGCTCTGATAGCGGAGGTACAGATGGATTAGGGCGGGCACTGTCAGAAAATTCCAAATCATTCAAGATTTCTGCTATTTCAATCTTGCCATCAATCAATGATTGGAATCGTCCTTCAAGGCCGCGCTTTCCAAGTCGATGTGAGGGAGTGTTTGCTTTGATATCTTCAGCTGGTACGGATGATACGAGGGTATCACTACCCCAAAATCCACCAAACACAAATCCTAGAACAACAGCTGATCCAAAGATGCAGGTGACAGCAATGGCTCGGTTAAATCTCTTTGGTCTTTTGCATTCTGCTGGTACTTTTTCAACATGAATGCTATAGATGAAAATTGTTCAGAAAATGTAATGGATAGATTGTACGTTTTAAAGTGCAAGTTTGCTTACTGGATTTCACGGGGCTGGTTTCCAGGCAAAGGGTCATCAAATGGATTACTTCCCATGATGAATAAAAGCTATGGACAGACCTTGCTCCAGAACACAGATGCTTTTATGTAGAAAGATGTTTTTAACGTCTTAAAATTTAATTGCATTTGCGGTGAGAATCAAAAATTCCATCCATGAAAGCAAGCAAACAATGTAGTGCGGGCTGTTGCCGACAATGGCGGTAAAAGCGTAACGAGCTCAATTTCATTTTTACGCACCCCGCGCTGTTTGAAATTCCTCATCTTTTTGCAGCAGGCCATTGTTACCATCCCCCCCAATGCAAACATGGCTGTAAACTTAAACGACCCTACTGTCGACACATATCTACAAGTTCTATCGCCACTAATACCTTTATTCTCATACAACCAACTTGAGACACTTTTATGTGCCTGGGTTCCTCATCGCTTGGATGGCGTACTTGAACGACATGGTCTGAAATCTGGACTCTATGTCGTAGATCACTTTATCGTTACAGCAACTATTGCCTTGCTGATAGTAAGTACCAAAATGATAGTCACCTACATAACGCATCATTTTTCAAGAAAAGCTATACCCGATGGAAAAGGCAGTCAGTCAATATCGGTCACCATCCATCCGTCCATAACGGACTCATATCACAACAGTCAGTAATGTAGCCCATATTGCTATACTTGTTTATGACTTAAACATTTTCTTGGCTTTGAGCGATTTTGTTCTGAAAATGATCTTCTCCCCCAGTTGCGAATGTATTCCATCAATCTTTGGCATATCTGATATCGGAACGAACAAAGTCTTGGACATCTGGCTCATTTTCGCTTCAGGCCTGCTTAGACATCGGTCACGATGAGAATAATCCGCCCATATTTAATGTTGTCCCCGATTTAAACCAAGGCAAGCCTATTTTTATTTTCATTTTTCTGAGTCCATCACCTTAGTTATGTTTCGGGCCTGCCACGTCTATACTTTGTCATGTTTTCTAAAGAACACCTGGACTGAATAAACCTCTATGCATTTTGCTAATCGCAGCTGTGGAGATTCGTTATGAAGGTTTTTGCTTCAGCGCTCGGTTCATTGAGAAAGAAGAATCTTCTCGTCAACCTCCACGTGAACTTAATACACCAGATGATCTGATCAGTCGTAAACTTGGTGCCATTACTGAACCTCCAATAGAGGTATGGTGCAAGCCCCAGTCGGGTATGAATACTGTGGAAGATTTAAGCAAGATTATCCGAAAGATAGCAAAGGAGTATATGGAGATGGTGGAAGCACAGAAGAGAACCATTAGGTCTCGCTATGAGTATTCAGCCTCTGGCAAATGGACTCGTGTATGCAATCTTCCGGAAATTCGCGGGCTGGAAACGGTAGCCTTGACTGAAGAACATGAAGAGCTCCTCAGTCGATCCATTAACAGCTTTGAAACCAGTAAGGAGTTCTATAGTCGTATCGGATCACCTTGGCGAATGGGGATCCTTCTGTATGGTTGTCCCGGAACAGGAAAGACAAGCCTGGTATTCGCTATTGCGTAGGTACCAGTGCGGGGATCGTATGAAACGTAATGATCGTTGGCTAAACACTTTGCCGTAGATCTACTCTCAAGCGAGATATCTATTTTATGAACTTGAACAACATCGATTCCGACTCAGAGCTACTCAGTGCATTTGCAAGCATTCCATGCAAAAGCATTGTGGTTTTTGAGGACATAGATGCCATGACACCCGTGAGTTTACCTTTTCGGCTCCGTATTTTCTCACTCATCGATCATTTAGCCTCATTGTGTCTATAGGTCCTTCATAGACGAGATCCTGGAAAGGCAGACAGAGGAGATGATCAAAAGTTTGGACTGTCAAGTATGCTTGGTGTCTTGGATGGGCACACTCTCGAGGAAGGCATAATTTTTGTTATGACTACGAATTATATTGACAAGTTGGATCCAGCCTTGATAAGACCAGGTAAGACATTTTAATTGGTACGCCTAAAGCAAGCTGAGCCATTCTTTTTTCTTACAAGCACTACATTGCCATACATTCATAGGTCGTATGGACTTGCATCTGCAGCTCAAGTATGCCACTCACCATCAAATGGAACACATATATCGATTGGTGGGCGGGGATAGCTTGCTTGAATTGTATCCTGAACTACGAAGGGAGATCCCGGAATTTGTGATTCCGCCGAGCGAAATCATGCAATTGATGGTTCTCCTCCGTAACAACAAACATTTGATACCACAGCAATTACAGGAACTGGCCTCCAAGAGAAGCGGTCCATCATGGCAAACGTAGAAGGATGGCAATAGAATTATATCAGCTATTTTTGCTATTATTAGTACGTTATTCTGATTCATAGACATCATCCTTACTACGCAGAAGGCGGACCAAAAATATATAATATTGGAGATGTTTCAATGATGAAACATAATTGAAAAAAAAAAATTGTTTGCATCCGACTGAACCTCCTTTCCCAAACTTTTTCTAACCTTTTTCACTCTATAACATTTTTCTTAACATGTGTCCTGACACACAGATACCCAATGCCGCACAGTCTACACCAACGACAGTATCACCAGACACACTGACCGTACCAGATGAACCCATTCAGTTATCACGAAGGACAACACTATCTTCTGTCTCGGAACAGGAGTATCCAAACTCTGTACCCAGCAGTCTTCCAAATGCAATCACTCCGTCAGATTATGATGACAGTATCGAACAGATTCGCACAAATACATTAAGTCGACGTAGCTCTCTGTCGTCTGGATTAGCAACGCCAGTCCCTCTTACCCACCGAACGTCTCGTATCTCTATAGCTTCCAATGCTCCATCACAATCAAGGTGGCGCTCACATACTCCTCGCAATTCCATTTTCACCATGTCGAGTCTTCTCTCTCGACCCCCGAGCTATAAACGATTCGATCCCATTGAGAGCGACCCGCACGGTGAACATGGTGAAGACGAAGGCCATCATCTAGGTGGTTGGAAAGGGCTACAGACGCAATTCCATGGAGTGTACTTTGCGTTTTGGTTGGTAGTGCTTGCCTTTGTAGGCGCTGTCGCTGTCATTGTCCCATCGTTGCCTCCAGTTGCTTTGTTGCTATGGATACCGCTGATTGTGTACCTAGGGTTTGCGATTTACTTCTTCCGCAAACGAAGACAGGAGAGAGCAGCCATGGAAGCGGCAGCACCAGAGAGAGAAAGACGAGAATCAAGAGTACGTGAGCTTCTCCACGCCATGCGTCTACCCGACAGCTACTTTTTCCTCATCGACAACCAAAAAGAACATCGGCATCCAGTTGTCACCCTTTTGCCACCACCACCTACCTACGTCAATGATAATAACACTAATGTACCGCAGCCAACCATCAACGAAATTCCCCCAAGCCCTCCTTCGTTTTACCCCAACACCACTCAAGAAGATGAAGATTATGTTCGTATCAATCTGCAAGGGTTGATCGACGCTGAACATCGTGATGAGCAAAGGCGAAATCCAGTATAAACACACAGAAAAAATTGGTCCACCAGTGTGGAAGCCGACCTGCTTCTTTTTTTTTTGGGTTATTATATTGCTACAAGAAACTATTCTTTTACTCTACTTTTCTTTCTTTCTTTTTTTTTTACGACATCGCCGGCGAGTCAGTTCCAATAGAAGGAACAATCGAAGTTGGGGCTTTGGCTTCAATATCTCGTTTCAATTGAAGGTACCAACAAACGGCATCTACTCTTCGCATATCGCTTATGCTGTTGCCGCTGACTGTCTCGAAGACAATTTTCAGCAGCGCCACAGCACTAGCAGGAGACTCATTGCGTATCAGATTTCCAATATCGTTCATCATCATGCTGAAGAAAGGTCCAAGCGATATGGGCTTCATTTGATCTATCAAGGTCACCAAGAACTGAGATCTTTGTATGACGTCCTTTTCATCCAGCTTATCAATGTGTTGTCGCAAATGATTCACTGTCAGCCACGCTACCGAGTCATCAATCTCACATAGCGCTTGTACCATGTTGGTATAGGCTAGTCGCAACTGTTGATGCGACAGCTTGTTAGGATAGCTCTGTAAATTTCGATTTTAATACATTAGTGCTATTAGTTGACTGTACAAATAAATACCAAAGCTGTAACTACAATCCAATCCACAAGGTGTGCCTTACCTCAATGAGTATCTTGGCATATACGCATGCCAATTCCCTTGACACTGGTTTTTTGGCTTCAAAAATGCTCAACACAACAGCATGCGCGCTTTCGAACAAGGCTTTGCTGTGGTCGTCGCCAAGCAATTGATAAATGACAGGAAGAATGTCGTTCTCTAGTGTGCTGTCATTGATGAGATCTACGACTTGTTCCAGCAAGTCCACAAAGAACAATACTCTTGTCTGCTGAACAGAAGTGAGAGCCAGTGTGCTATTCGTACTGTACTTTGAGATATCTAGAGGGGTGACATTATGAGTGTCAAGTTTTACAGTGGTTAAACATCAAGGACTGTGAATGCTTACAGTATTCTCGGAAAGAATCACGCATCAGGTTATTAAGATTTTGTACTTGGTCATCCGTTTTCAAGAAGGTAACTGCAGCAGCCAGAGTGTTTTGATAGGCTTGGAAATCGTTAGCGACTCCTAAGTGATCAGTAATGAAGTTGAGGTTGGCAAACGAAACAACAATGTCTTGTGCTGAAGCAGATACGTGATGCCGTGTTAGTAGGGGTATGGAATACGCTGCACTAGTGTGTTCGCAGCCGAGCTTACCAACAGATGGAACATGTACAAAGCCTGTTCCCCCAACTGCATCTACAGCCACCGCCAATAAAATAGTAGTAAAGCCAAAGAGGACGGTCTTAAAGACGTTCCACACTTGCTCGTGTATCCGAGCATTGACAGGTCGATCGGCTGCTATTGAAACAATTAGTTTGATTCCCTAATAAAGATTCGCTTGCATACAAAAATGCTGCTGTACTTGCCTGGTTCAGGCTTATCGGTTGATGCTGCAGAAGCAGGCGGTGTGGGGTAATCTGGTTGTCTTGTGCATTGGTCCCAATCGACGTACAGATTATAAGAAAATGCGGTCAAACTAAGTGATAAAAAGTATTAGGCTCAAGCGCAGATGTACCATGCCCACCAAATCATTTGTGAGTCAATGCTTTACCGTTCTACTGCTTGTGTAATGTATTCTGCTGGTTTGGCGCTCTTTGTCTTGACTTGCACTTGTAACGATGTGTCTATTATTCTGCCAATCGCTCGACAAAGTCGGCCAATGTCTTTAAACTTTTCGTTTGCTGTAAGATGTTCTAGCGCCTCTAATGCTGACTGGGATTCCCATGGTATATTTCGGAAGAAGGATCCATTTGCCCAGGTGTTTTTACTGGTTATCAAGCCATCGATCAGGCACTGGAGCATTGTCTGTTAACAAAGTTGGGTTAGTATATGCTGCAAGGAACACTGCCAACAGTGATAGTTACCTCATTGTCCAACGCGTTCAAGCCCTTTTGTGGCATTGCTGGTATACATTGACTTGCCATGAATAAAGTGACATCTGCCGAGAATTGGGTTAAATTGGTTACCATTTCCCAAATAAGAGCTACTACATATTCAAAGTTAATATACCTTGCATCGTACTGATCTCCTCGGCATCAGTAGATTTTCTCCACTGAGCTGTCACATCATTCAAGTAATTAACAATGACGGATTCGCCCTCCCTTTCAATATGCTGCACCGACTTTGAGCGATTTCCTTTTGCAAATTGTAACATACGGCTACGAAAAGATGAAATTAATGCGCATCCGCACTGAATTTTACAAGATCTTTGAGACTTACACCAGGCCAGCGATGGCACTAACAGATGCAGCTTTTGACGCCTTTTCGCTTTCAACCTTTTGGAGAGCATCCCATAACATTGTTAATGACGGGCCATTATTCTTGTCCTGCCACCGAAGGTCCGAGGCATTCTCAACAAGTAAGAAGATTCGCCGTAATTGGTGTCCAAGATGGTTTGTGTATGCTGACAGAACAAATGTAATGGCTTCGGGGCTGGTCGTGTTGCCCACGAAATAAGACAAGCTTGCATCTATCGTATCTTGTAGATCTTTGTCTTGAGGTGAGCACACCGCTATGGGTAAGGCCAGAGACATTATCCTAGCCAGTTCCATGTCATTCGTCACACCGGTATCTATACCAGTCATGCAGCTGAGAGCAATCACAGCGAATTTAACAGATTCGTCATGACTGCAGTCGACGGCGTTTTCCGTGGACAAGACATTCTCGAATTGCTTCACGACAAATGTCAATTGCGCCTGAGCTTCACTCAAATCGCCTCCAGAGAGAACAAGACGACGGATCCACGTTGACCATAAACCAAAGATGGGAGGTTGTGCCTGTGCATCGTCAGTGCTAAAATGAGCCTGAAGAGCATTCAGAAGTTGCGGAGTGAACCAGGACAAGGGAAGATGCGAGTTGTACTGGTTCAGATGCTTAAGGCTTTCGAGATCTCGTGTGTTAAGGTATTTTGAATAGCTCTGGTGTAGAGCAGCGGCCAACTGCTTCAAGTCTTGATCAGCCATGCCGGTCTGCAAAAAGCTGGGGATGGAGTGTGGGAGGAGTTCGGACGGTAGCCAATTTCATTGTTATCACGTGTCAATGTTATGCTGACACATCTTTTATTGCCAATTCTTTTAAACGTAAGTAACTTTTGTTCCCATTTGGAGGGTTGCCCATAATTTACTAGCAGCAAGCTGAAAAGCTGCTCTTAACCGAGCTCTCTGAGATCCCAGTAATCCCACTATAGATAAAACAAAGAGAATATATGCCATTGAAGTCGAATCAATCGACATTTGTTTGACCTTTTCAATCCACTGACTTGACATCGTGACCATTTTTCTTGAGGTAGGGGTAGCCTTGGATACCTCAGCATGATTTCCATTTGGAATATCTTTTGAATGGCTTGGGGTTGGTGATGTGGGTAATGGTGATTTTGGTTTAACTTCTCGAGTTTCCTGCTTCTGCCTCATAGCCTCTTGTTGTTGTCGTTGCTTCTTTTCCTCCTCGGCCGCCTTCGCTGCAGCAGCAGATTCCTGCGCCTTCCGTTCTTCCTCTTGTTTTCGCTGCTTTTCCTCAAATTTCTCATTTTCCTTTTGTTCAATACGCTGATCAAATGTCTATTGATGAACCCGTGTTATTTTCAAACATTTCCCACGTCACTTGATCATAGCATGAAACTTACCTTCTTTTGCTGGTCCGATATGTAGGGATTATATTTAATAAATTCACGAGCAGATGAATAGTCTTGCAAGGTTGTTAAGATGCTGACAGAGTAGAGTTCGAGAACCTCATAGTATGCACTGATAGGCGATTCCTCATCTTCACTGGACAGGATAGCAGATTCAGTCATTGGACCAGCCATATCCAGTTCTGCAATCAATGTATCTGGTACATTTGCCAGCCATTCCTCAGCAATTTGTTGACCAATACGTGCAGTACCTAGTCTCAGAGACATGAGCAGACTGATATTATTCAGTTAGCGCGCATGGAGGATTCAAATTCAGACAGATTTTCGCTTACCAAACTGCTATGACAGATCCATCAACGTTGCCTACTTGGCCAGCATAGCCTTCCAGTACTTTGTTCCAAACAGCATTCATCAGGTCCTCTTTTGTTTTTCCTTGAAGGCCTAGTATTCGGAAGGTGGTGGGAAGGTCTTTTGATTCGGCCAGGGAAGTAGCAATGTTAACAAAGAGGACATGGATCATACGTCGAAGGGACGAGTGGTTGGGAGATTCCGAAGTATTAAGTAGGTTGATGGCCTTGATGCACGAGTGTGATGCCGAGACATGCTGAGTCAACAAATACGCTCGAGTAGCCTTTTGGTAGAGGCTCTGAACAGACATGAGTGGTAATGTGTGTGGGGTTGATGGTGTGGGGAGAGAAAATATGAAAGCCGTCGGGAAGACAAGCAAGTCCCAAAATTTCCGCTTTCGCTTTATTAAGCCTCAGCCCAGCTGGAGTCCCTTTCATTTCAACCCGCAATGACTCAGCTACAGAATGGGGATGCTCTTATCTCGGCATCGGCCAGTATGCTCACTATTCAAGATGCTGTACTAGATTCTCCCATATTCAGGGCCAACATCGCCCACATTGAAGATCAAGTCGACCAGATTCAGCTGTGGTTAGAGGGTCTGACCAAGCAGTTGAGACTGTATCTCGACGAACTTAACAGTAGGTTTCATTTATGTGGAGAATACAAAAACATCATCAGGAGTTTGATATCAACGTGATTGCTGCAGAGTTCAATCTGTCTACCAACGCATTATGCAAAAAAGCTATACCGCAAGGCATTGACGAGTCGCTTCTCGGTAAGTCCGAAGTGCGCGATAACAATTTTTCTCGGGGCTGGCTTGTAATCCAAACTTTTGAACAGATTCCGACTTTACTAGTGGAATAATACGATCTTTTACTGATGCTCTTCAAACCAGTCTTGCTTTCAAGTCTAAACTGGTACGTGATATCTGGCGGGCGGCTGAGGCGCCTAAAAAGGCATTATTAACATCCAAAACATCATTGTAGGTCACGGATGTGGAGGAAGAGTTACTACAGCCTTTGACGCAATTTCTAAAGACGGATGTAAAGGAGTTCAAGGTGAGCGTTTGTTTGTTTGACCAGGCAGCCTTTTCCCCACGCTTGCGTAGACTAATAGGAGCTGAAACAGGAGTACCGAAAGCAAATGGAAAAGCAGCTATCATCCTATGAATCTCAATTGGCAAGGTATAGCGTACTCAGCAAGACAAAAGAAGCATCAGCTCTGCGGGAAGATGCATTCCAACTGCACGAAGTTCGAAAAGCATATGTTCGAATGTGCAATAACTATGTCACGCATATCATTGCTTTTCGGACATACCTGGACCGAGCCATAGTGACATGTTTCACTGGAGCCACTGTAGCGCATGTTGAAGATTTGGAAGGAGCTCATGAGGTTTGGCAAAAGCTGAAATCTTCTATAGGTGCTTGGCGGCGTTGGCTTATCGAGGTGAATATTTAAGGTTCCACTATGCTATAACTAGATTTCTCTGTTCTAATCTCCTGGCATGGTAACGGTACAGAACCGGCAGACCTGCGATTTTCAATTACAAAAATTGCAGAAGACCAGAAAACGCATCGAAAGCAATTACCTCAAGCAGGTTCGGCCAAGTCGCGATTTAGAGGATTACAATCTCACCGCTGCCTCAGCCGCTGGAAGCAGTGCCATAGCCTCTCTTACCGCTCTATCGCCAAGCGATTCCGCCGCATTTCACAAGCAGAAGTTAGAGGAGTTGGTAGCGACCTCTTCTAAACAAGGCTACCTGTTCAACCGCATTGTCGTTGGAAAGCCTGCTAGATATTCTTGGGTGAGAAAGTGGTTTTTCTTGCACGATGGCTGGTTTGGCTCATGCATCGTAGGAACTACAAACAAGATCAAGGGCACCATCACCGTGAATGATCGTGTTAGTGTTCTACTTTGTGATATCAAGGTTGTTTCTGATCTCGACCGACGTTTCTGCTTTGAAATTGTGTGTGCCCAACAGTAAGTATTTCATTTTAAAAACGTGCTTTAGCTGTCTTTGGAGAGCTTACCTAACAATCCACTAGGCCATCTTTCATGCTGCAGGCTGAGACAGAAGAGGATATGCAGATTTGGATTACGGCTTTCAATAGCAGCAAACGACTCGCCTTGGAAAATACCTATGGAGGAAATTCGAGTCCGTCAGAGAAGAATTCAGATGGGGAAAAATCAGATGCCATATCTAAGTCATTGAACTTGGTTTCGTCCAAAGCAAAGTCCACTACGGTGGTCACCACTGACGCCAGTTTCCCTTCAACTGCGACATCCACCACTATCTTACCATCTGGAGAAACCGCTACAACCACATCTATAGTCACACCGTCCATCCAATCTTCAGGTTATTTCCCTAAAGCGGCTGGCAAGAACTTTATGAGCACTAAAACCCTCTCTACCAGTAGTTCCCTTACATCTCTTTTGGTTCGAGATGTCTCTAAAGACAACTTGCATCGCTCACCAAGTGGTTCACCCACTATTGGTTTAAATCCTATGAATACATCCGTTACAACTTTATCAGGAAACAAGGAAGATGAATCTCGGCCTACAACCCCCGGTCAACAAAATCCTGCCGATGGACAAAATTCAACTTGGGGAATACCATGGGCTCTCGTACCTGGAATTAACATGTTTTCCAATCCCTCGGAAGCGGGTACTGAAGCTGCAAATGGATCGTCGCCCATTGAATCGAAATCAATGGTCGTTTGGCCAGCGCATATCGACGCAGATGTCGAAAAAGTCAATCTTAGCGGATATGATACCAGTATGGAATCCAAAAATCAAGAATTGAGGCGTCTATTTGGTGGAGTTGGCTCAGAAGAAGTTGTTGTTGATGGTAAGTAGTGAGCTTAGTAGGAACCGGTTAAAAAAAAAAATTAGAAAGTGACAGTGCATGGTAAACAGTTTGTGTACGGTAACTAATTCCGTCCTCCTCGATCATCATTTTTTCTCCTTTGACGTATAGCTTTTCTGGCTTCTCTTCATCGGCCGGCTTCCAGCGAGAGCACCGAACCTGCCTACGACGATCCGCCTATGACTCCAGTCACACCATCAATACCAGATATACCCATCAAGCTAGATTCAGAAATCCAAGAAGTACCTCTATCCAGCTATGGACACGCCTACACAGGAAGAGCTTTCTTAACACAGGAAACTTTCTGGTTTTACAGTTGCATGATGATGACGTGCGTTAACACGGTAAGGGCACATTTAATGGCAACGACTTGAACGTCAGCGTGTTGTCTCATACATCAAATTCTAGATTGCTGTTAAATTGAAGGACATACAATCTGTCCGCTTGGTGCGTGATCCTTCAGTAGCTGGTCACGGTAGTGGGACGAAGGACGATATTGCATTGTCCCTCACCATCAAAGAAGGAGAGGAAACCACTCAATTTGTACTGAAAACGCTTATGCATGATGTTGAGGCTGTTGCCGAACGAATGAGACTGGCCATTGATAATGCTAAATCAGGACAAGTAAGGGAAATCTCATATTTCTGCTATTTGTAGATTTTTTTAATCCTAAACATTCAATTTATGTACAAAGGGAATGCCACTGCAAGACTTATATGACATCATCCAAAGTATTGCTGTATCGCGCAGTCGATCAAAGGATAGTCAGCCCACTACCATCATATCAACTTCAAAAAGCGCACAAGTTCAAGGACCATCCAAAGTTTCGGCGAATGGATCTGAAGCTACCCTAGTTGATAAGGCCGCATCTAAAGACAAAAAAGAGGCAAAGGAGGCCAAACCTAAGAAAGCACCTCGAAAGACTTCTAGTGGTATCAAGCCTATGCCTGCTACTTCAGGCGCCCTTGCGGCAGCTATGATGGCGGCCACCGCAGTTGCTGGTGGTAGCAAGTTCTTTGACGAGACTCAACTAAGCAAAAAACCAGACGATACAAGTCACACCGCTTCTCCAGCGGCTGGTGTGGAATCGAGTGCAGATGTAACGGCAGATGCCTCTACGGCCAATACATCAGATGGTATGCGTAACGTGAAGCTTGATTTATCATCCACGCTGGATATATGTAACTAATTATTTCCAAGTAGATGACTTGCCCGCTAATGTGAAAGAGCCATCGGGTCCAGTATCATGCGATTGCAAGGATCATTTGGATAAATTAGAGGGTGAAATTGAAGTTCCTGTTTCAGCCAAGAAGTTGTTTGAGTATCTATTTTCAGATGAGCAGACCGGACCAAGCGCAAACGGTGGTGCATGGAACAAAATGAACACGTCCAAGGGTAATAGTGGTAAGTATGAGAAGAAACATGGCCGTGATGGAGGTGTTTTATGAAATCTAATTTTTTTTTGCTAGGGCTTTCCGTAACCAAATGGAATAACAATGGCGAAGGAAAGCCAGAGCGTGTACTCAAATATATTATGCCAGTGAACAACCCTATGGGTAAGTATGCTGTGGTCTAACTGAAGACACATACGAAGTTTTTCTAACGACTTTACATATTGACCATTTCATGTAGTCAAAGTAAAGGATACTGAAGTTGTGGAAACACAAACCATTGTCAAACAAGATAGTCACTTGTAAGTGTTTCATAGGTTTCTACCGTTTGCTTACATTTCATTGTTTACTGACTCCACTTTGTTTTCTGAATGCAGATGCTATGTAGTGACTGCCTCGACCAAGACTGCACAACTACCATATGCCGATGCTTTCGTACCCTGCCTCCGGTTCTGCATAACATGGGTCAGTAAGAAAAAGTGTAAGCTGACTTGTCATATCGGCGTCAAATGGCTCAAGAGTATCATGGTTAAAAGTAAGGCCAAACATTCTCTGGTTTATGATGGTGATGGATTCATGCTAATGATTGAAATATAGGTATGGTGAACAAGGCTGCTCTGAAGGGTATGGGGGATACGATTGCTGCTTTACTTCCTATCGTGAAGGCGGATGCACAAAAACTCGGCCAGCCAGCAGGAAAAGTTTCGGGTGGAGACCTGGACATGAAGGAAGATGTAACGGCTCAGACATTAGCGACGGACAATGTGAAAGGCAAAGAAGAAGCAGCAAATAAAAAGGTTGTTCAAGAGAGCGCGTTCTTCTCTTGGATGCCTAGCCTCCATGGGTTATCGATTCCTCAAATGGCCATGGCCGCTCTTGTCCTAACTTTATTAATATGGCGCTGGCAAGCGTCTGCCCCAAGCGACAAGAACAGCCTGCAGTCGCAAGTAGTTTATTCCCGAGCAGTGTACCTTCAAGACATTGAAAAGGAATTAATTAATACGAATCCTGCCCTAAGCGCTTCACAAAGGTAGAATGGTTACTTTATTTCAACTTGCATATTGAATCACTCCACTAACTATGAACCCGGAGCAGTGTGGACATGTTTTTGCAGTCTAGACCAACATTTGCGGATACCCCAGGTGCCAATGGCACCCTCGCCCAAAAAGCATCAACTTGGTTTACTTCTTACCATCGACATTTTGCGTATGAGCTCTCTTTCACCCGAGAGAGAATAGGATTGCTTCGATACGATGTAATGGTTATATTCCAAACTCTCAACAATATTGAGAAGCGGCTTTTGGAAACAGAATATGTGAATTGGTTACTGGATGGTCAATTACGATGTGCGTCAGAGGAACCGGGCGAGAGCAGTAAGACCTCTTGCAAAACGGTGGAGGATCAGCTAGCAAAGTACATATAATGCAGCTTTTCAAAATGTAGAGAACAGCTGCCATAGCATTTTTTTTTATCTTATTACAAAAGTTAGGTCAATAAAATTTTGAATCAACATTACTTTTGCGACATCACCTGAATCAGAAAATAGAAAGTATGAGGGAGACGCCGTCGAATCAGTTGACTGATATAGAGAAGCAGAACTTGGATGAAATCCCAGGCTCAGAACGACACTTTGTCAATATTCATTTCTTTCATGAAGCGAGCATTATGCTAGATCTGTAAGTTGTCATTCTCAGTTCCACAATGCAGCGATTGGATTCCACCAACTGAACCCCCAACTCAAACAGACCAATAAAAACTGCAGCGACAGCAATAATATACCAACAAAGGTTCAAGAAATTCATGGCGAGTCGAAGAAAGAATCCAGTTGGAGAATCTAACGACCATGCTATAAGCGTCAACCTCGCGCTGGATCGCGATGACGAGGTGAGCCCTGCTGTTCGGTATAAGTATCAGCTTGTGTATGTCTAATGAAATTTTTGACAGCTGCTAGCTACAACATGCTTGCATTTGGCTTGTAAGGCGACAGAGGTGGTTCGCAAAATTCGAGATGTTATCAATGTGTGCTATAGGTAAAGCATGTTTGCAGCCTGTACTGTAGTGAAGACACCACTGTAACATTATTGGTTTTCCAGACTTGTACATCAAAGCGACAGTATATTGGAAATTGATGAAGTGAGTGGACATTTGAAAGCATAATCATATAGCGCCGATCAGTGACCTCCTTTGTGCTGACAATGAGCTTTAAAGTATTACTATAGACTTCGAACCTCGTTAACAACTAGCGAATTAATACTCACCCGAGCCTTGGGATACAATTTGGATGTGGATCTACCTTTCGCCTTTGCTCTCAAAGTGCTAAAGGGAATGGGATGCGTTCCCATTTTCATGGAAGATGAGAACGACCAACGCCTTTGGCATACAGATATATCACGGAATGGCCGGTCGGCGAATGAAGGACTCCCAGACAAGCAGGTCTTACAAAATGCCATTAGCCGATATTTTGAGGAGGACCTTGATGTCGACCTTACATTAGTAGCTCGGTTAACCTGGGTATATGTTTGGGATAGGTGAGTACAAAACTGGATTGAATCTTACAAAGTGTACAGTATTAAACCATATGAACTTCTGTAGCATATGCTATCCATCTATTGCTCTCGAATATGACTCGTACTCTATCGCCTTAGCTTGCATTTATTTGGCTGTTCGTTCAGCCGGAGCGTCACTGCCAATGGAATTATTCCAGGTAATGTTTGATACAAAACCAATAACGTATTTCTATGTCGTATTAAAAAACGCTGTTCTCATGACTTCTATATTAGTGGGTTCGCTTTTGGGGAGATGCTCATAATGTCACCATTCAATCTATGAAAGGTCAGTAGAGTAACTAATGTTAAACGTATAATAATACTATTTTCTCACATTGACAATTTCATATTAGCTGCTTTGACCACCATCATTACAGTGCTTAACCATTTACCCAATGAAACCGCATAATAAAAAACTTGGTGTCATTGGCGGGATACTTTCAAAAGACGCAATTTCATTGGCTATTGGCATGTGCGGGTGTGTGTGTTTTTTTTTTTTTGAATTGAGCTTTCACCCAAGCAGTCATCATCGAGACTGTCTTGTCTGTGACTCTTTCTCTTCGCCGTCCAAGTGCGCAACCCGCTATTGTAAAAAAAGAGCGTCGAGTAAGTAGTCCCAAGCTGACTTTTTTATGCTCTATCGTCGACGAAAGGTTTACGCGCGAACAACGTGCGAAATGGAGTATCATTTACTGAGCCCTTGAAATGATGGTTGTTGATGAATCAGCAACTTCCATTCGGCTCTTCTCTACTCTGCACAGAAGCGCTTGACCTTTTCGTAGACCTTCTCATATGCTGCTGTATTCACTAAAGCACACATTTTGTCCCTCCTTATTTATCTTAGCAGCCTATCCCTAGCAATTTTCCAGATTTATCATATCTTGGCGTGTCCATGACCCACGTAGGAACCGAAGCCCAACAACCAACTTCATTAGATACTACCTCCCATCAAAATCAAATGGAAGCTGTTTTTGGCGAATCTTATCCTTTTACGTCAAATGACCAAGAAAGAGACCAAGCAACCACCCAAGCTGAACTCGTTGCTGCTGCGGTTGCTGCTGCTGCTAACAGCACAAATGGCACAAGCAACTACCATACGTTAGTAGCCTCCGCTGACTCAAGCAACGACAACGTCATCGCTACTGCGACCGCTCAGAAAATGGAAGATGTCACTCATACCACAGAATTGGTTAAACGAGAGCTGGCAAACCAAAAGGTAAGGAATGAATCATTTTCTGTGTGAGGATTATTTTCCGCATACCATCCATTCTCTAGTGAGGCTGCTTCAGTTGCGTTCGTCGATTTTTTTATTTTTATTTTTTACATGCAATTTGATTACATATGTAACGAAATATGCATCTTATGTAGGTTAGAGCTGAAAACAGAGAGCGCAAAAAGAGATGGAGAGAACAAAACGAAGACAGAAGTATGTCATACCTTGGTGTTATTCTTTAAACGTTGTCGTTACTGACTTGCTTTATCCCAGACAAGGATAACGATTTGCGATGCCGCGTAAATAAGAGAGCAAACCGGTTATTCGGAAAGGCAGAAAGTGCGAACAAAAATCAGTGGATACAAGCTGAATTTGCAAAGCGACAGCGAAAAAGACAAGAGAAGGAGCGTCGGAAAACAGCTGTCAATGGTGCTATTGGCGCAGGCACATCTGCATCAAGCGTGAATTCGTCAAACGATTATCAATCACCAAATTCCATGGCTTCATTTACTCCAGCTCAACTTGAGGCATTACAGCAACAAGGCTCAGAGCTTTTCGCCATGGTTAGCAACAATCTCCCGCCTCTGTCACCCACTACGGCTGCTAAGTTGCTACAATCCAACCTTGCCGTTGTCCTTAGTAAGGCCGACAAGAACGACCCAAATGCAACAGCTGCTGCTGCCGCTGCTGTCTTGCAAAGTCCTCATTTCTTGCAATTAAATCAGCTCTTATCACAGCAATCCGCTGAGGCTGCTCAATATACCTCGGTAACTATCAACGTGTAACTTACTTTGTGTAATTTTCACTAGTAACTTACACCTCATCTCGTTCAGGATATCCCCACTTCAAATGCTGACACCAAGCCCGAAACCATGGACTATAAACTTTCGCTTGATCAGATTGATAATAGCAGTAATGCGGAAGGTTCAAGTGATGGCAAAGGAGGAAGCTCCATCAATGACCAAGAAGGTAAATCATCTGCAGAGCAGACAGAAACCGGCAAGTCAGCTAACGGTCAAGGTGGAGACTACCCTATGGACGCGGTCATGACTCTGATGCAACTGAACGCCGGCTGGCGGCAGTAAACAGAGAAACAGAAGTCCAACCATATTGTGAAAGGACGGGATGCCTTTACGATGTACAGCTTCAAAAAAAAAAAATTCTTGCTTGATGTTCTCAAAGTTTTTCTTTTATTCCTGGCCCGTTTGTCTTTTACAAATTATGTTATTCTAAATCAAGCTTAAATACTCGTATGCCGAAAAGATATTTGTGTGTGCTGTTTTGGTTATTTTTTTGACTCTATTCAGTGAATCAATCCACCTTTGAAAAGCTATACTGTCATTTGGTGATTGCATGTGGCGCATGTGGCTGGTGGACGTGCACATCAATTCGCTGTTCAGGGTCAGCGCAATCTGCTCTCATTTTGGTCTACCATTCTCTTCAAAGGATCGGCATGAAATCGCCATCTATCACAGATGAAACTAGTGCTGAAGATCTGTTCACTCAGATGAGTGTGTATGAGCTCAGGGGCCTGGAGAGAAAGACCAGGCAAGTGACATTCGATGCAGTTATCCGGGAAATTCAATGACTTTTCTACAATGCTGACAACCCATGCAGAGCCGAAATCGAGGAAAAGAAACAGGAGCTACGCTCCATGGTCGGGTAAGGACTCATAACATATGCTTATCTTTACAAGTTTGCCATTGCTGATATGGATCACGTACGCTTTTTCACTCTACAGTGAGCAGTATCGCGACTTGATATCCGCTGCCGACGCCATCGTTTCTATGAAAAAAGCCGCCCATGCCGTCCAGTCGAAGTTTGATTTAATGCAGGTTGCATGCGATGTAGATACCATTCACCAGAAAACGACCAAAATCAAACCTGGAAACGACAGTGGCGAGGACAGTGAGTGCCTTTGATGTCAAATTAGCTGTGGCCAAAAAAGCATATTGACTAATCGAGGATTTAGATGAAAAAAAGAGGTACCTTTACGTGTCAGCAGCTCAGATGAAGCTTTTGGTTGATGTACCGGAGCAGGTAATGTCAGCATGAACCTCGCACGATTTCGGCTTTTTGCATAACACTAATAAGTCGTACAACTTTTTGATCCACCATAAGATCTGGCATGCATTGGAAAACGACCTTTATTTGGAGGCAAGCAGACTTTTCTTATTAGCCAAAATGGTATACAAAAACCTTCAGATTGAAGAAGATGTTCCATTTGTCGTGATAGTAAGTACGAATTGGAAATTGTGCTCTTGAGCGGTATGTCGTTGAGATCTAATCTCTTCTCTCCAAAGAACACCTTCCCTGTAGTTCAAAAGCAATGGGATGCCATTAGCCAATTTAAACTTCACATCATTCAAAGAGCTGAAAATCACCTAAAGAATACTAGCTGTGGCGCCCAGGTAAAGATAGCACGTTCAGTATGGGACGCTAGTTGTAAAGATGCTAATACCACTTTCACCAGGTTGTAACAGAATCATTGTTGTCACTGATGATGCTGGACGACGCGACTTTGAAAGATAGTTTTCAAAAGCTTTTGAGTATGCGTATGGCGGCATTGACCGCTACTGTAGAAGTTCCTAAATCAAAAACCACCAATACATCTCAGCCAAAAGCGCATATCATGCAACAGCTACACGGTGCAGTTCAGCTCATAAAGCAAGTCATCACCCAAGTTTGGAGCATCTTCATCTTAAAAACTTCATCTTTGGACCAGCCCTCTCATACAATGCCCAAAGATACAGAGCTCTCTGATAATTTCATATCATCGTACGTCAGACAATTACAACGAACTTTTTCCATCCAACCCATCGAAAATGCAGATCAATTATATCTCCAAAGCTTGGGAATTGGATCCCCAGCCAGCTGTACACAACCTGCCATTTCGCGTATCTATTCTCCAAACACGAATGTGCATCTATTGGTACGATATCTACCTGAATCCATACAAAAATATACACCCTATATCAACCTTTTTGGCGAAGACAGAGATGCGATGCGACTAGAGTCTGTTCAGCAAGATGTTAGTCATTGGTTGAAAATGTCAACCGACCTATTGACGGAGAAAATCGCACAATTATTGACCGAATGCGCCGATATCAAGACATTGCTGGATGTACGACAGTCAGTTTGGGAGGCTCTGATAGATGATGAAGTCGCCACTAATAGCCAAGCGACAGTTGCAAATGATAGTCATGTGTGGGTTTCTGCTTGTCGAGCACTGTTTGGAAAGCCTCTCTCTATATGGCACACTATTTTGAAAGCACCATTCAATCAGCGGTTGGAGGCCCTCATTGACGAACGTACGAAATTAATCAAAAGCCAAGCTGATGTCCTCTCGGATTATCTTGCAGAGAACCTTAAGGAGTATGCGAACGGTAAAACTTCATTACTTCTAAATTGAATCTTGAATGGTTGAGCTCGTGTTTTGACCTTGGTGTATTCTTTTACTCAGAGTCGGATCTAGGCTCATATATTTGGTCATCGCAACCAAAAGCCAAAGAGCATGGAAGACGAGGAGAACAGCAGAGTGCTTATGGATTCGTACTTCCACCTATCACCTCTACCATTGACATTGCCAAGCTGAAACAAAATGTCAAGAACTGTGCTTCATGTTACCCGCCAACTTGCCGAAAAATGCAAGAGAGCTTTGATAAAGCCATCAGGAATACCTTGAGTGATTATCAAAGTATCGGTGCGGCGCTAGATACCTTTACAGAAAAGACAGACATGCCATCCTCCACCATAACGTCCTTGTTCTCATGTTCAAAGTAAGTATCACAACCTTTGGTTAGCGCTGTGCCAATGTGGATGCATACTAAATGACATCTTTCTTCAAAAATAGGGATACTCAATACTATCTGAAATACCATCATGGTAAATGCATTACGGCTGTCACTGAATACGTTGAGCGAACGTTAGAGATGCTTTCATCTTTCAGTAAAGAGGCAATAGAGAGCGATCAGGGTCAGTGTTTGAACGCATGGTCAACTTTCATAACAGCAGCGAACAAATGTCTTAAGTATTATGTTACAGATGGCGCAAGGAGTCAAGTCATATTCCTTGGTCGATTAGCTCGTTGCATCGGACTTTCCTCGGAGGACCTACTTATTGCATTCACTCATAAGACACCCCACAATGGGTTGCAATATACTTTAGGACTGGATAGTTATGCAGATAGAGGTCAGTACCCATCCCAGATTTGAATCCATATGTCCCTATGCTTATCTATGTGGTTGAACAGTGCAAGCCTACTTGGATACTCAGAACAAGTTTATTTCTATATACCACGCCGCTAATGAATTGTGGTCCGAATATTGCGCGGCCGAATTTGGCCGGAAATTGATACACATGTTGGAGGTTGAGCAGTGGAATGAGCTGAACACCACTGCCGTATTATGGCAAAGTAAGCTTGGCGTTTCCGATGCCATACTGTATTCATCATTATTTTATCTCTAACCGACTTACCTTTTACCTACCTACCTAGCAATGCAAAATGCTGGTGATGCTGAGGGTATGCGGCTACCAGCATATGCGACCAATGCACTCATAGAAGCACTTTTGGCCGTTTGTAAAGAGATCCACTCTGCTCACAGTGGCACGCTTGATGAGGTAAGACCACGGACATTACATAGGCTGTGTCGGCGTGGAAGTTGAAATAGAGTGCTAAATTAAGCTATTGTTAACACAGACGAGCGTTAATATGCTGTGCTCTAAATTATTGGAAACTACGAAGGTCAACTACGAGACTATGTTGGCTGAGTTTCTGGCTGACGAGAACAAATTGACGGAAAAAGGTGCTTTGCAATTGTTATTCGATCTACAATTCCTCTCCAAGCTGCTTCAGAGCAGCACTGGATCCGACCCTCTAAAGACGGTGCTCAACCAAGTGAAGTCAAAGGTAAGATTTTTTAAGACATTATGTGGACTTGAGGATGGCTTGTTAACACACTGATACGCTTCTCCATAGATTGATCCTATCAATATGAGGGTCTTCCAACCGTTCATCACCACCAATATCGAACGTAATTATAGCAAATGCGCAGTTATGCTTGGTTTATTATTTCCTTCATCAAGACGACCAGCATCCATGTAAGTCTTTACTTTATGATCCAATGCGCTACGTAGTCCCGCACTAAATTTTTTCTTCGCAGTACTCGAAAGCATGCTAGTAGCACATCTGAGCTTCCCAATATATTACCAGCAGCAGAGCAAGTTCCACGCTTTGCATTGTTACCCATTGGACATCAAACCTCTTCCATTCTACATCGTTACTAGACTTCATGAAGAAAAGAATATCAAGTGTACTTTACTCGCCCCCTGTACAAAACGAAGAATAAAATTCACGATAGCATACCATTATGCTTGCTCAAAGGCGATATGACGAATTGATGTTACAAGTAGGATTGAATTGGACATATACGAATAAACACATAATATTTGTCAAGAAAAGTATTAAAGTAGTTGCATTGCGCATATGCCCAGCAGAGAGTACATTTTTGCAAAACTGAGGTACACAGAAATGTACACCAGTGCTATATTCACCATCCGATTTATTACTAGGAAGTCAGCTGGGGGGAAAAGCCGGTGCAATAATGACCCAGCGCCGTGAATTCTTGACATCTATCAAAGTATTTGCTATTCCCACTTCTTTCGTGTACAAGAATTATCATGACATGGGTCGTATCATAATTGCAAACCTAGCTAAGGGAGTTCGTCAACACACGAGCTCACCTTAATAATTGCCACAAACGTTGATATATATTTTCTGAATTCATTTTCCCTCCATTCCTCTCACTTTTCCTTTCATACTAATCATGATCTGCTCACGCCTTGTTTCCTTTGTCGTCATCGCATTTGCCGTCGTTGCATCTGCCGCTTTCCCCGAAAGAAAAATCGAGGAACACGCAAGTATGGTTTTTGAGCCTTGCTGCCGTAATAGGGTATGGTACTGACACTCATCAATGCGATGGTTTTAATCAGTTTGCAGTCAAAACGCTGTGTGCAGCAAGGGTCTTTACTGCCGCAGATACAATGGCGCTGTTTACGGCACCTGCGAAAAGCCTTTCTAAATCTCTGTCCGACTGTATAGCAAAAACTGCCGCCCCTCCCATCAAGCTCAAGATTCAAACTTTAGTTTCTACACGTCTTCTATTTTTGGAGAGCTGCGCTATATTTGGCTTTCATTCGCTTGCAATCAAGTACCCATCTATTTTTTGTAGTTCTTTAGAAAAAGGAAAAATCGAATTAAAGAAAAAAAAAAAAAAAGCCTTGTACATTTTTAGAGTGCGTATAAAAAATGTGGTATGTTTGTTTTCCAAGTAGGATAGGCATTAACATGAAAGATATATTCAACTACTTTGAAATTATACATTGTTTGTAACCTAATATTATCCGTACAAGTCCCCCTACAATAGGCACACAGCGAAGAATGCGGTCATGAGAGCGGAGAGAGAGCTAACGGTCATAACAGAAGAACCGGATGTTGGTTGGCTTTCGGCAGAAGCACTGGCACTCAATGCACCGTCTTCATTGGAGGTTTCTGTAGATGCAGGAGGAGCAGTAGACAAAGCAGAAGACATGTCGGTAGTGGTGGGGTCGGCAGAGGCAGAGCTTGAGCTAGCGGTTCCATTTTCAGTAGCGTATACAAAGTTATCCTCCCAGTATGGGTTGGAAATATTCATGCACTCGTGGACAGGGACAACGTTGAAAGTGGTTTGGAGAGTGGGGAGCCACTTTTCAGCCATGGAGACGGTAGCGTTGTTCAATTCGTGTTCCAAGACAATGTGACCGTTGGTTTTGTCAGTGCCGTTCTTGTATGCGTCAATCCAGCCTTGGAAGTAACCGTCAACAGTGTTAGGCGAGAGGTTACCGCCACCATCGCCAGGCATGTTCCAGTCATTGGTATCTTCATCCCAGATGATGGTTCTCATGCCCATTTGCCAAGCGATAGCGCGAACACGATCATCGACATCACCGTATGGTGGACGCCAGCAGCGAGGAGTAATACCAGTGGATTCCTTGATAGAGCGAAGAGTCCAGTAAAATTCAGCTACAACCTCGTCATTGGACTTGGTGGTCATTTGGGGATGAGACCAAGTGTGAACGCAGATTGTCAACCCATCTTGAATAGCTCTCTGGGCAGCAGCAGGGAAACCAACAACGTTAGAGCCGATATCTAAGGAGTTGACCAACGTTAATAAGAAGGATTTTTTTTTCAAAAAAGATAAATAACGTAGATATCATGTTTAAAATTCATAAATCAGACTTACAGAACAAAGTTGCTTTTTGGTTATGAGCAGCCAAAAAGTTATACAGGTTAGGTTCTGCCCAAGGGCTGTCACTCAACTTGCTGAAGTCGGATGGGTTGAAAGGACCATCGTCGTATGTCAATCCCCAGTCACCTGAGAAAAAACTATATTAGTGCTATTTTGGAATTACAATGGACATGATGTATCTGTTACTCACCAGGGCGAGGGCAGTAATAAATATCCTCTGGGAGGTAATCAACCTTGGGCTTAACGCAATTGGTATCACTCCACCAGCAGTAAGGGTCGGTGTTCTCGTTATAACCTGTCATAACCAGATCTCCGTTGGACTTTCCCGTACGGGTGGGAGCAGCAGGAACCTTAGTCCAGTCAATAGCACTGATAACGGCTTTGACTTCATCACTGTCAATAGGAGGAGTCTTCCATCCTGTAGGATAGGCAGAAACGTTGAAGCCAGGAATACTGGTGGCGAGTGCCCCCGTAGGAACTGTACCACTAGGCACCTCAGTAGGCAAGCCGGTTATAGGTGTAATGGATGCCAACCAAGCAGGAGAAGTGACGGCAAGCAAAGCATCGACGGTGGGAGAGGGGGTAGTAGCTGCCTTTTGGTTAGCTTTGGTAGCAGCAGCATCTGATAAGGCTACTAGAGCGCTTCCAAGAAGCCCAATAGCAAGAAATTTCGTCACCATATCTGGTTAATAAAAGTAATTGGGAAACAGAACAGTGCACTTCTTAATATAACAGGGCATTTTTATACAAAAACGGAGTGTTTGCATCGTACAGTGTACCACTCTAGTAAGGTGCGGTGCGTATTCGGTGTCTGCGCTCTATTTTTTTTAGTACGCTTTGAAGCGGACATATCGTGCAGTTTGCGGAGGTCATACAAACTGTGTGTGCCAACCATACTTCCCTTCCCATAGACTTCCCTTCCTCTCCCTACCGCATCGAAGGAAAGCAAGACTTTGTGCACGGGTAAAGGATTAGTCCTGATCAATGAAGAAACTGATTCAATTGAAACTACTGATCATCGAAAACAAGAATCTGGAAAGGGGGTCGAGTCAGAATGGCGGAGAGTAGCGTTGAATTATGGTTTATTTCGGGAACCCATTAGAACAGGAGTTTTTGCTGAATGATTAGAAAAAGATTATATTCAAGCATGTTCATCTATTCCTGTCATTACACAAAGGATAAAATATATCCCCTTTGTGATCAATGTTATAAAAAAAAATACATCATTTACAGTAAAACATATCGTCGCTGCCACACTTAATTTGGGGCGTTGCGCATTACAGTAACTTTTTTTGTCTTACCAACGACTGTCAAAACCTTTATCCATGCTTTGGAGTACCGCCTCTCTGAGGTAATATGCATCAGGTTTGTCTGCTACTGCGTCCACCTTGTAGCCCCGATCCTTCAAATGCTTGCTAGTGGTTTGCCCTATAGCGGCAATGCGCGGCTTTGAATAACTTTTCCTCTGTAGATGGTGGTATAAAATGTCTAATGCCTTGGAGCCCGATGGGCTGAACACCACCACCCAATTTGGCTGTGATAGTGTTGTGATTGTGTCTTGAATGGCGTCCTCTAGGTCTTTGCGCAGTTGTGTTTCATAGACCAATATCTCGTCCATGATGATAGACGCGTTCTTCATCATCATGGGTAATTCGTCTCTGCGCTTATCGCCAACTAAAAACAGTAATTTAACAGGTTTTTGGTCATCTTGCAACTGTTGTATAATTTCTTGGCCAAGCCTTTGCGCGCACCCTGACGTTTCACCAACTGACCGCAAACCTAGTTCCCGAACCAGATTGGCAGTCGATGGTCCGACCGTGAACACCTGCCTCTCTATCCATCTTTGTTTGACTGTAGTATCAAGCGATTGCCAAACTTGACTCAACGCATCTACGGCTCTCTTGGAAGTCACCACCATCCCCGCGTAATCTTCGCCTGTGTTGTTTAGCATGCTTCGCAGGTCTTCAAGGTGTGTCAGGCAGTGCTCTAAGACAGGAACAAACATACAGTTAAACTTGAGTTCCGTGAAATGTGTCTCATATGGGTCTGAATGGGTTTTCGCCTTTTCCTTTAACAAGAGAATATTTGGTATTGGTGTCGTCATGGCCAGTGCTGTTAAAGTCGCAATGTCGACGTCTTGAGCAATGATGGTGGAGAGAACCAAGCGTTAGTTGTAGCTTGTAAACAGAGGGTAAATGAAAAAAAAACTAAATATGTTTTTAGAGAAAAGTATGGGTGACCATCGTATTAGTTTATAGTGTCGGAATGTCCATGTTTACTGGCTCATTCTTACCTTTAGTTCAGCATGCGCCTCTAGCAGGGGTTCAGGACCATGCCCAATTTCATGACAGTGACTGGTGTTGCGGGGTCTTGAAATTTTACATTTGTAAAAAACTCTGGGCTGATAGTGAGGCTGTACATTTCATAATCGAACGACGAAGTTTTACCTGGTAAGTTGTGCCTTTTCGGTTAACTATTCAAGGTAGCCGGAAGAGCCTCTGAGTAGAGGGAGGGAGCTTAATAATCACTGGTATAACTTCATATCCCAAGGTACATAAAACAAGCTGAATGAACCACCCACCGGAGTGTAGCTGATATCGCGCATTATTTGTCTCCGTGAATTTGTCTCTGTCATATGCATCTGAACTAAATTACATAGACCGGTTCTGGTTTGTCATCAAAACCAAAAAGGAAGATAGTATGAAGACATATCATTGAAGCAGCCCAATAATTGGGAATTGACAGGCTTTGTGACTAAGCTGCAGCTATTTTGTTCGTAAGTCACCAATCAATTTAGTCCCAAAACAGAAGCTGTCGACAAAATCTTGTCAAGTGGTCGTTCTGTAAATCTGTTTAATAGCTATTACTTGAGGGATTCGTGGTACATTTTGTTTATGAGTAAGACATTGAAGATAATGTACTCTACCTTGATGCCTGCCTTTCCGACGTTCGATCTAATTTTCAAGTACTGGAGCGCAGCTTCTCCTTGTTCATTGATCTTTTTAGCCGTGTACAATTTCTTAACACGTACAAGTTGAACCAATTCACCCAAGAGTGGCTTGGAGCAAGCCGTAGTACCTTAAATTGAGTGAAGACTTCCTCAGTACCATAAAAACTCACGTCTGGCATTTCCATTGACGAAGCCATAAAATCAACAACGACTATTTGGCCACCAAGTTTAGTAGAAGCAGCTAACTTAGCGATTGAACTCGCTCCGCCATTGTCGATAACAAAGTCGACACCTTTACCATTTGTCAAGCGAAGTACATCCTTTTCGCAATCATAGTGTTCTTTGTAATTGACTACATGATCTGCACCATAATTTTTCCTCAGATAGTGTAGTTTTTCATTGAAGAATATATTATAATGGTTTTTGCACTAAGCAATGCGTGCCAAAATTAATGGTAAAAACAGAGACACCATCTGTACAGAGAAGAAGTACAGAATCAACAGCAGTAGAGCATACGCTACCTATTCCAAGATGTTATACCTAAGCAATCTGAAATGGTAATAGCTAGAAAAAGCAGGATACATTTATTTTGAATTATGTGCTCATAACCTAAAAGTCGGTGCATGTGAGAGGGTGCCAATCCATATTCCAAACAGGATTTTGTTGACTTTTCATTTCTGTGATGATCTTGCTTTTAAGCGGAAATATCGCAAAATTGACAACAATGATTTCTGGCTCAATTGCATGTCAATGTTTAATAGACATTATATTCGAAGCGTAAACAGTTAGCCCCCGTCAAGTTAGATTCCACTTCTGCAAATTTTTTTCTTCATAAAAGTATCCTTTGCAATCTATTTTACCGATTTCTTACTGCTTCATCGGAAGTCTTCATGACTTTTTGAGTTGTTTCCAAATTATCATCAAATATTGATGGTCAAATTGCCAAAATGAATCCTGCAGAAAAATATCAAAGGTAGACTATAACATACCGTATCAAGCACTAAATACTCTTCACAAATATAATGAAAATGTATCATTATAGCAACAAGGTGTCATATTATTAAGTGCCTTGAGAACACCTTCAAAACCATGGATTATTCGCTGAAAATTGACAAAATTTATTTTTATCATATTAACTTACGTCATCATGCGATCGACCTTGTTCCTTTCCTTCACAATGGTCGAGCAGGAAAAAGAGGAACCTCCCAAAACTGCATCGTGCTGTCAAGCGATTCACACTCTTCATTGCGTCGGCTCCATTTGCCATATCATACACGCCACTTGCATAAAACGCGTTGTATACTTTGATTAGGATCACGCGCTTTGGTCGTCAACCTTTCCGAATTCTTTGTTCTCTCTCTTTTTTTTTGGCCTTCCCCTTTACTGCTGACCGACTCGTGAATCCAAAAAGCTATATTGCATTGACTCTTCTTTAAAGGCCAACAAACTTGTACATCTCCTCAAATACCAAGAAGTGGACTACATTATGGATCCAAATTTCTTTTTACAGAACGCTCTTGCTAATCAGCAAGCTGGTGCTCAAGTAAAGCGGCAACAGATGCAAAATCCTCGAATGATGATGCCCTATGGCCAACAACAACAACAGCACGCCTCCCCTGGAATGGCCAACGCCGCCATGGCGTATAGCTCTCCATATAACCCGGCTGCTTCCCCCATGAATAGTTATGCTACGAGCATGCCTCAAGCCAACAACCCCGTTTTCTCTGCTGCAGCATTCAGCTCGGTCGATCCGCAATTGATGGCTGGCATGAATCCCGTATTCAATCAGAACTTGCAGAGTATGATGAGTCCCGATGGTAATATGATGGCCAATACACCATATAATCAAGCTCCTCAACAATCCCAATCGCCCTTCTCACAACCTGCGTACTTGGCTGGGGCAAACGGTAACGGTATGAATCAGCCATCCATGACTGCCAATCCCATGGCTGGTCGTTATCAGCAATATGCCAATACACCTGCTCAGATCCAAGCGCAAATGCAGCAATTACAGCAGAACGCTGGGAAATTCAAGAATGGACAGCAAATGGGGATGGCGGCGGCGGCTACAAGCCCGTTCATGATGCAGCAACAGGCAGCAAATATGATGAATGCTCAGCAACAAGGTTTGTGTTGACCCATAGTTCTGACGAGTTGCTCGGCCTTCTGATACCAATTCTTTGATTTATCCATTACAGCTAAGCAATCCCCAACACAATCTCCTTCCATGAATCATGCAAATTACACAAATACAGGAAATGCTTCACCTGCCATGGGCAACAGTCCAATGATTGGCGGGCAGAATTTTGGCAATGGTAAGTTTGAAAAGACCAGGCGCGAAAAGGTGCTGTGTTTGGCCTGATTCACTAAGCTAGCTCTTTCCCTCTTGACAGTCATGAGCAACAATGCCAACTCGAGTGCTAACAGCTCTCCTGCTAAAACCTTTGCCATGGCCAACCAATCGAACTCTGCCAATGCCTCTCCTCAAATGGTAAAATATATTTTTGTTTCCTTTTGTTTGGGTTACCGATTGTCTGACACGCTATGATAGCATCGTAACGCAGCTCAAGGATCCCAACGATTTAGCCCTTACAGTAAGGGCAATTTTCCTGGTCCTAACGTGCATGCTGGTCTATCACCACAGCAAATACAAGCTATTCAACAGCAGCATTTCCAACGTCAGCAAGCATTACAGCAGAGTCAACAACAACAGTCGCAAATGGTCGGAGGTGCTGGCACGCCACAGCAACTATCGGCAGGTGTTGGTCAATCCCAGATGAATCAGCCTACGAGAATGCAGCAGCCGGATTATGCACAGATGGCGCAAGTTAATATGAAGGCGAGTGAGGATAAGCCATCACCAGAAAAACTATGGAGTGAACATCTTCAATCTCAAAAACCCATACCCATGGCTTTACCACCCTCTATTGCCCAACAAGCTCGAGCACGAACTGCATCACAGTCATCCCAAGATAACAGCCAGGTGGTAACGCCTAGTGCTACACCGTCGATGCCAGCTGCAGAATCACATTTGTCTACTAACAGTAGTACGCCACAGCAATTACACGAGTCTCCTCAAGCGATTGATACACGCGTAGCCACTCAAGGGTCACCAGGAGTCAAAGCGAATGAAAATGAAGCAACAACACAGTCACCTGCTTCAGCGGGGCACGATAAGAACGTCACTTACATCCCCAAGACCAGAAATGTGGATACTTATGGAGGTGTAGATTTAAAGTACTTTGACCGATATGAAATCCGGCCAATGTTACCAACTATAGGCGAACTAGGCAAGTAGTGTCCGGGTTTGTGTGTGCATATTCAAGTCTGTTCAACTAACGATTCATCACAGGCATCGTAGACATTCATGCTATCACTATGTCTCTCAAATCCGAGATGAAATTGGAAGTCAGTAACGCACTCAATATTTTGACAGTTTTGACTTCCAACCGAAGTGTAGTGCTTTCCATGCGGCATTGCGACGATCTGCTAGACGTCTTGTTAGACTACTTAGAACAGGATCTTATGGGAGTCAATTCTCGTTATGATACACAGCCTAACAAGGAAGACAAGTTGACACTGGTGTCTGAAAAGGATCGAACCTATGGTCAATTGTTTGAGATGTCTCTGGACGAAATGAAAAGCTTAATACCATCACTAGAGAAAACGACGTCGGATGTTTGGCTGTCCTACCGAGAACGCTGCCTATGCATTATCAATATCCTTCGCAATCTGTCGTTCATGCCTGAAAATCAAGAATACTTTGGACGACATAAACGTCTGACGGATATATTAGCATATGTACTGGCCAGTGATATATCTATGGAAGAAAACACGCACCATGACGAAGATACCATGAAGCAAACCAATGGTAATGACCACTTAGACTCTGATCGCCCCGCGTGGTATGTTGGTGTACGACACATGGATACCTTAGACTATAGGAAAAGTGCTCTTCTTATCTTTTCCAACATTGTTGTATTCCTCAAGCTGGCCTCGGCGTCTTCCGCTCTCATATTTATCAAGTTAACCGACGACTTCCTCAGCAATGGTCCCGATACCTACTTTTCCCAAATTGCCGTGGAGACCTGGGCTAAAGTGTCGGTCAGTTACGACAATCGTAATGTTTTTGCAGCATTGTCACTCACATCTGCCATGGAGAACAAGAATACTGATGTGGTTCAGCATGAAGATGCGTTCACCTACCTCGAAAACATATGGGAAGAACTTGGTAGCATCATACGAAAGGACTTCTTTACCAGCGATGGACGGGTCATAGCCAACATGAAAGCACATCAACTTGCCCTTCTGGAAATGGCAGTGATGGGATTGTACAATATCATGGTGATCGCCAAAGACGAAACACTACGCTCACGTCTACTGGTTCGCGACCGAGGTATTGGTATGGTGATTGTCAAGCTTTGTGTTTCCTTGGCCGAATATGGTACTCAGCATTTCGGTGTTGTCTGTCGGAGAGGTTTGGAGCTTGTACGAGGTTTGATTACTGGAGGAGATGGCCTTCGACGAAAAACAGAAGACGATAGACAAAGGGATAATTCGGAAAATCCAGAAACGTCACCACAATTAGGCACCGAAGTGACTTCGCGTATAGCTTCTAAGTTGGAACTCGATGCCTATGTTATAAACCAACTCCTCATGTACGCTATGCTTAATCCTGCCACTGATCCTGATACCACTCGAGAATTGTGGGACATCCAATCACTTTTGGAAGAAGAATCTTGATGAGGAGGAGGGTCTATTCCTGACAAAAAATAACCATGTCTCTTTCCTTTTTTTTTTTCTTATTTCTTCTTCCTTGTTTTTCTTCTTTCTAATATATATACACTTTTGCTAGTTGTTTCATTGGTTCGTTTTTCATTTTTTGGGCCTGTGCTTCACTTTTTCAATCAATGAATAAAAAGATGAAAAAATGTGCACCAGTTTTCAGCAGTCCAAGTCGTAGCCAATCCCAGCCACATTTCAATGGCCGGTACTTGAAATCCCTCTGTCGTTCTTTCATTGCTTCCCTGATCTCGTTCAGCTGCCAATGTCAACCAATTCCATTAGTCTTGCCAACTGTGCAAAGCAGAGAGTTTCTTATTTCTACGACAGTAAGTTTGCATCGATACCGTGAAACCCCCAGTGACATCTGACGGCAACTAACCGCGAACACGCAATCTGCTCTTGTCCAACAGACGATGTTGGAAATTTCAGTTACGGCCCAGGTACTCTATTGTCCGCATTGGCCACGTTAGGCGACTTTGAAGACAGCTCCGTCGTCAAGAAACTAACCTTTTTATTCCCCATGACTTTTCCGTCTAGGCCATTATATGAAACCCAAGCGAATGCAAATGGTCCACAACATGGTCGTTAATTACGGTCTTTACAAGCACATGGATGTCGTGGTAAGTGGGTGGCGCTAAGGGGGGTTGCCAAGGAGAAAGACATTGTATCGAATCCTTTTAATTCTTAAAAATGATTTTAGAAACCTGATCGGTTAACGGCATACCAAATGACCCGTTTCCATTCGGACGAGTATATTAATTTCTTGCATCGGGTTACGCCTGACAATGTCAGTCAAATAGCCATGCAACATGGTGGATTGGAGCAAGGAATAGCACGTTGTAAGTACTTTTGTTTTATTTGAAAACGATGCGTGCCCGTCGGTAATAGCGCGTCGCCTATCCAGAGAGTCATTACTAAACCTACAATTGAAAGTCAACGTAGGAGAAGATTGTCCGGTGTTTGAAGGCTTGTTTGAGTTTTGCTCCATATCTGCTGGCGGATCTATAGGTATGTTCTATCCCATGCTCTTAGGACGATGTGGTAGCATTGGTCTGATTTCGTTTCACTCGTGTAAAAAGGTGCGGCAAACAAATTGTTGAATGGTGAGGCGGATATCGCCATCAATTGGTCTGGAGGTCTCCATCACGCAAAGAAGAGCGAGGCTTCTGGTTTTTGTTATGTCAATGATATTGTTTTGGGTATTCTGGAGCTTTTGCGGTCAGTAGTTTGTCATGATTTAATGCGATTTCCAAGTTGGATTAGCCATTGACGCTTTTTCTTGCCATTGACAGGTACCACCAAAGAGTTTTATACATTGATATTGATGTCCATCACGGAGATGGCGTAGAGGAGGCATTTTACACAACGGATCGCGTCATGACTTGTTCATTCCATAAGTTTGGCGAATTCTTCCCTGGAACTGGTGATGTGCGGGTACGTTTGGCATCCATTTGTTTTAATCACAGCTTTTTCTTTGCGGAGGCTGATCATTGCATAAATCACAGGATACTGGCCTCGGAAAAGGTCGACGCTATGCTGTGAACGTACCTTTAAGAGATGGTATAGACGATGACAGCTACAAAAACATCTTTCAACCGGTATGATAAGCAAGCCACGAGGCATTGGGTGGTGCGAAAAAAAAAATGGAGTTGAAACTAATTCAGTTCTTACTTTTTATTCAGGTGATTAAACATATTATGGAGTGGTACCGACCAGGCGCTGTTGTACTTCAGTGCGGTGGCGATTCCTTAGCTGGCGATCGATTAGGTTGTTTCAATTTGTCTATGAAGGGGCACGCCAGCTGTGTCGAGTACATGAAATCTTTCAACGTTCCGCTTATGATGCTTGGTGGAGGCGGTTATACCATTCGTAATGTCGCACGAACATGGACATATGAAACTGGTCTGGCTCTTGGACTCGATTTATCTGAGCGTATGTAGTGCTTTTAGAGTATAGCATCAAAGCTTGCTTCTATGACTAACTCCTACTTCTTATGCAGAGGAACTACCTTACAACAATTACTTTGAATACTTTGGCCCTGAATACAAGTTGGATGTTCCAAGCAACAATATGGCTAACCACAACACACCTGAATACCTTCAGAAGATGACGCAAGTATCTTCTCTGGATTTTTTTCTCTCTTGCTTGTTATACTTCATACTAATGTTTGCGGCGACTTTACAGTTCTAAGATAATAGACAACTTACGCAGTATGCCATTCGCGCCGTCAGTGCAGCTACAAGGTAACGTATCGAGAAACCGGATAGTCATATATGGAGTGAGAGCATATGATGGGGGGATATTAATACACAAGCCTGTCTTAAAATAGAGGTGCCAAGAGACCTTACTTTGGAAGATTATCTTGACGGCGAGGACAGCGATGATGAAGACTGGCGTATATCTCGTAAGTATTGGCCGGCGCTTGGCATGCAGAGCAAAAGACGTGTATTCTAACCCCACATGTAGAGCGATTTGTAGAGAAGCGTATAGTGCCCAACGGGATGTCCGATTAAATAACTTTTTCCTCATACCACATTTCCAACCTTGTTTTGATCACCACCAATGTCTTTGTTTCGCTTATCTTTTTTCACTTTCTGAACAGTTGTTTGCGATGGAAACGCTCATGTTTACACCTAGGTCGGATACTCTGCAAGTAATATAATCGCAATAAACATAAAATACACCCCATCAACTTGATGTCCTGTACTGTGTTCGCGCAATGGTCCACCTCATCGACGAGATGAATTCATCCGCTTATATCGTAACATCTGCTGATCAGTAACTAATGTTTTGTACGTTTTATTGGATAATATGGAAACAGCAATGTAACATTGACGCTCAGGGAAACATTTCTTTCAGGTGTTTTTTTTTAAACTATGGGTCTTGGGGGATGTCTAACTTCTCTTCTGTGCAATAGTGATCTTATCGCCCAAACTCAAGGCAATACCTTGCGTCTTGCTGCGAATGCGGATGTGACCGCTAATAGGGCCCTCAGCACTTCGTTCAATGCTCAAGTTGGCCAGTGCGTCCTCTCCAAAGATGCTTCTAGCATACATGTTGGCCGACAGGAATCCACAGTCACCCTCCAACTGCTTCTCTGGTGTCAAGCAGCTCATGTTGGTGGACTTCATGATGTGATCGAGATATTCTCTCAAGTCCCTAAAAAAACAAAACCAATGGTGAGTTGGATATTGACCAAAGTCATATGCATGCATAGCTTGAATTGAAAAGAAAGTTAAACTTACAAGATGTTGGTGTTAACGTTGACCTTGTTCTCCCATTCAAATTCAGTCCACATGCTGCGGAACTGAGTTTCAGTGCAGCTGGCAGGGTTGATGTAATCCATAATGTCAATATGGATATCATTGAGAACCACGCAATTGCTATCAGAAGCTCCATGGGTGTCGTATACGATGTTGCCAAAGATGACACCAGTCTCGGTGGAAGAGACCTTAATAGGAGCTTTGACAGTAAGGAAAGAGTGGGGGGCAAGATTATGTGCGGCGGGACGATCGACAAGTTTGAGATCACCAAGAGTGGCAAACTCCACAGTCAAGTTCTGCAACGTCGTGTTGGTCTGGTTGACGATGAGGACATCTACATTGGAATGAAGGATACTCTTGATCAGGACGGGTTCATCTCCTCTAGTAAAGCAAGTCTATGATAACTCACCTAGAAGAATATCATATTGATGAACATTAACAATGGCTTCTGCATATACAGGGTCAGAAAATCCAGTGAGTTGTACAACACGGCTCAACTTGGATATTAAGTCATCGTTCAAGTCAATAACGCCAGTGGCACGAGAGAGATCCAACTCATACTTTTAAAAAAGGAATGCCGTCAGTATACTCGGGAATGGTGTGGAATCTTTCTTGATGGCTACTTACTTCATCGTTGCTATCTCCAGCAGATTTCTTTGTGAATTGTCTGAATACAATGGCATCGTCAACTTGGATAGTCACAGACGCATCGTCCTTAGATCTTTTGTCTGCTAATCGTTTCTGTAATGGATTAAGAGGACAGGTTAGGTATTAATTTTCGAGATTTTCGAGGTCGTAAAGATAACTCACATCTTCAGCTTGGACTTGTTTGGCAAACGCTGCTTTGGTATCATTGAGATAAACTTGTTCCATAACACGATCGTTGGGTATGTTTTCGACTACATGAAGATCTTGCATGATACGATCATAAGAATCCTCGTCTATAGGCGAAGTGACAAATTGAGATTGGCCGACACGGATGATGCTGGTCATAATAAGCATTGCCTAAACGGAGTGATGTTAATAACAATGCAAAGCGGGCCATTTAGACGAAATGAAAGTATCCTACCTCAGCGCGCTTAGCATTGACAAGCGTGGGGTCTTCTTCCAACTCGGAGAAGCGCAATGCCAGCTTTGTTACGGTGGTAGCCAAGACAGAACCAAGGAAGTAATCACCGTTCAAAATCAAGGCTATCGATGCAGTTAGTAATCGAATGTGGGTAGTTAGAAATCATGGCAATGATCATTACCTCTGAGTGGGGGTTTAGCTGCTGCCTTAACAGCGTCTAACTTGGATGCAGTGACAGCGTTAGAAGTGTATGCGCTTTCTGTAGCATAAGTGCCATCAGGAAGAATGCGACGGGGAGCAGCGCTAGTGGTTGGCACAGGTTTTGAATCCTCCTCTTCGCCATCTTGGTCCTTTTGAGCCTCTTCCAGCAATCGCTGCTCAGATGCCAAAATTGGGATTTCACCCAAACCAGCACGAATCTGCTTCCATGCTTTCTCAATATCCTTTGTTCCCATGCAGTATTCACCAATAATCCAGAGAGCGCCACGGAACACCTTTCCAGACTTCATCTCTAACAAGTTCTCCAACAGGTTGTCGGTAATATCTGAGCGGAGATCGGGGAACTTTTCAACGACTTCTCGTACGAAAGCAATGACATCGACAGCCGAAGGGTTGTTAGAGTCGCTCAAGAACTCCATGAGGACGTGAACGACATTTGCAGCAACTTCTGAGAATTTGATGGCGCAAGTGTGAATGGACTGAATGAGCAATTGACGATATTCGTTGTTCTGAAATAGGAAGGTTTTAGCCCATGGTTTCAATTACGATTAAAATAACGCTACGCCATGGTTTGCCCCCACAGTACCTTTTCGTATTCTTGATCATGGGTTTTAGCGAGCTCCTTCTTAAGGAAGAGGACAACCTCTTGCACGTTTCTGCTTGAAGTCATCTCGAGGGCAATGCGAATTGCTTTACGACGGACATCAAGATCAGGGCTATTGACAAAGCAGTCGAGTTAGGGTTTTTTGCTAAAGCGCATGATGCTAGTAGCTTCCAATGCATTACGTACCTTGAAAGCACCCGCAAAATTTCCATGACAAGATCATCTAGAACCTTTCCATGCTTGGCACGAAGGTCTTCGAAACGATCCAAGACAATCAACTTCACATTGTTGTCTGATTCCTTGATACTCAAATCAATGAAACAAGATGCCACGGCTAGTAAAAGTTAAATGATGAGGTCGAGAAATAAAACCAGCAACAGAGTTGGTATGATGGTTTACCTTTAACGGCAGCAGGGTTGTGAGTAAGGGTCATCAGGGTAGTGGCGGCATCGTATTTGACAGAGTGTGATGGTACATTGAGCAACTCAAATATGCATCGAATATAAGCAGCCTTATGATTAGGGTTGGTTTTGCTATCCTTGCGAATGAGTTCAATAACAGCAAGCTGCAAAAGCTCATCAAAGGTAGGGACCTGAGGTAAGACATCCATCAAGTACTCGACAGCGCGATCAGGAGCAGTATTAGACAGCATGATGAAAGCATTTCGCTTGCAAGTCATATCAGCCTCCTACAATACAAGTCAGTAATAAGAAATGACGGAGGATGTTCGTGGACGTTTACTTACGCCAGCCAAAAAGCTGTGGATCAGCTCTGGAGCATCCGGAATCAAATATTCGAAATGTTTGTAGATAGAATAGATGGTAAAAACAGCGTTTTTCCTAACATATGAGTGGCGATGTTCCTGTTGGCGTTGATAGAATGGTCAGAATAACGTGGTATCCACTGCATCTGCGAAAGGTTGACATTTACCAAGCAAGCTCTGCAAGATGGTAGCAGTGGCTCAAGCACTTCTGGTTCTCTAATCTTGCATAAGAAACGAAGAGTAGCGCCTCGGATGTATTCGTTAGGATGCTGCAAATCTCTTCTGATGGTATCGCTAAATTGAATTGAACGTTAAGGCTGCGACGGTTGATGAGAGGGAAACATAAAAGGCCAATGCATACCAAACAAGAATGAATTCCTGCTTCAGCTTGCCATCAGGATTGGTCTTGGAACATATCTCCCAGTAGAAATGAAGCAGCTTCTTGAGCTGCTTGTTCTTTGAGGGTAAGACGAAACGAATAACGTGCATCAGCAGCTTCTCCATGGGGTCACCGTTCAACATGATGAGGAGGAGCTTTTTCATCGTTTCGATCTTAGTTTCCTCAGAGCCTTTTTCGAAAGCTCGCTGGAAGTCTTGGATGCTCGGTTGTTCGGTCGCATCGTCCAGATGGACGAGGGTGTAGCATAAATCGCTAGCCATGTAAGAGCTATAGCCAGTTAAGACCTATAAAGTTGGATATAGGCACACGCGCCTCGCGCTGGAGTCAAAGTGGCCAGGCTTTAGGAGCCAGCAAATTGGACACGTCACTACCGGTTTTACCATTGGCACTCCGCTTGGCCATGCCTGCCATGCCTCTTTGCTGCTACGGCAACAACATCCTTTTGTATGCCCACGAACTTTTTATGTGAAAACCATATTCCTTCTATTATACAAGTACGGTGCAGACGCTTTGGAGTCATGGTAAAAAGAATTAATTAAACTGTATGCAGGCTAAATGCATTGGAGTGTTATAACATCGGATTGTTTCTATACGACAAAGTGTGCATGTCCAAACGGCTACTTTGAAAAATTCATGAGTAGCAAACTGTACAGGGGTGGTGGAAAGATTTTGAGAGATGTCAAACAAGACCTTGCTGAAAATTTCAAACCCTAGTTTAAAAAGTGGGTGGGTGAATCCTAGTGCGAACCATGTAGGAGTGGTGGTATACTTTGAGCAGCCAATTTGGATGCTGTGGTGGTAGCAGATGCGGTGGAGGAGACGGAGGATTTGGCGGTTTGTTGATTATGTTCAAATTTGACAAATGTGTAGGCTACCGTGCCTGGGATAGACAGCACAAACTCGGGTCCAAACGCTTGACTTGGTGTCCATACGCCTGGCGAAATATGTCGATCGCTGATGATTCGTAGAACACCTTGAATAGCAGCCTGTTGGGCAAATCCATACGCTTCCATAACTTGAATAGATCCCCGAATAACCTTTCCTTGTTGGGCGTCTCGTACTTCACCCCAAACATCAATGCGCTTCCCTTTTCGTTGATATTCCGTGGGGCCCTTTGTCAAACTATAATCCATCACATGTAGAATAAACCAGTGCATAAGAGGGATCCATCGAAGTAGGAAGGCAAAAACCCGCCATAAAAAAAGTATCAAACGCATTATGTTGACATCAATGGGTATAAATGTGTCGATATTTTCAATATGTGTGGATCGACTGGCTATGTAGCAATTTGCTCCGCCAGCGGTGGCTACCAAAGCTTTGCCAGCATTGGGGAAAGTGACGGTTCGTGACTTGTAAAATAACGGGACCTCTTGAATAGCCCCTTCAACACATGCAAGATTCATGTCAGCGGCGGAGAACATATTTCGAACATTCGTTTTCCAAATACCACGGGAGACAGGGATGCCATCGGCAATATTTGAAAATGCAAACGATAAGTTGAGGTGAGTTGCCGTTGGGAGATGATGCCGCAAAAGTGCTGCGAGGCAATCGGTGGCTACACTGTCGAATCCTAGACCAGGGATGGCGATTATGTTTGCACTCTGGATCTGCGCTGATAGACTTTGGAAAAGCAGTTGTAGTGATTGTTGTTCTTTGGAGATATCTAAATAGTCGGTATGGGTTCGTATGCATGACATAATGAGCGGTTCCGTTGTTTCAATGTATGGTCCAGCCTACATTGAGTCAGTAAAGCAGTACAAGATGAGGTTCAGATCGGACAATATCATACCATGTTCAAGACGACCTTGATGTCTTTTAGATAGTGGTCGATTAACGAGTCTGACAATTTAAATGAGCACCAAGGTAGCGAGAGTCGAGTAGCTAAGTTTCGCACTTTGGTCGTGGACCTGCCACTCAGCACGCATAATTGACTTAATTGAGGATGTTGAGCCATGGCCTCGGATACCATAGTGCCCATGTATCCCGTACAGCCATATATCATTACAGTCATGGCAATGAATGGGAGAAAGAAGAAGTGAGGAAAAAGAAGAAATAATAAAATATCGCTGGTTACAAGGCAGATCCGCGATCACTAACATGTGAAAATGATTAGGGCCGCTCGCATGGCAGCATCAGACAAACGTTGACGTCAGCAGAAAGGGTTGGGGGAAGTGACAGACGGAGCACCAAAAAAAAAAAAAAAAAAAGCTCCGGGCGCTCAGCTTGGTGATTGTTGTTAAGGACCAAATTCAGAGAAGTGCCTTGGCATGGAAAGCAAGGTTTTATAAATATATCTTACGAGCTATTTATTGCTCTTCTTCTTTTCCTCTTTCTCTCTCGCTTCTTCGGATGAATGTACACTTATCCAACTGACTCCCCCATTCCACGCACTCCTCCAAATATGTATCCTATGGAACCCAGGCATTATCATTCGGAGCACGAATACCTTCAGTCACCACATTCAGGTTACCCAGAAACAACGCCTTACCCACCGTTTGATTCGGTTCCTACTCCTCCAGTACATGACGTTGGTGCCAGTACAGCCCTCAACCACGGCTCCTATCCATCAGATTTTGGCCATCCACGTCCTCGTCCACAAAATTCAGAGCTGGGCCTAGCTCCGCAACGTCAGGTACGGCGCTATAATACTACACGACGAGTTCAACTGGTTCGAGGTAATCTCGTACTAGACTGTCCCTGCTCTACCCGGCTACTGGCTGCCGTTCCACGTAAGGACGGAAAGGAATTTACGCATATGAGGTATACAGCGGCTACGTGTGATCCGTCTGAATTTGCCAAGGATTATACACTGCGTCAAGCACTGCTGGGCAGGTCAACTGAGTTGTTTATATGCATCACAATGTATAACGTAAGGCTTTTGATTTTCTCACATTTCAATAGGTATTGGGTACTAACAAGATTGGGGTGGGGCACTTGCTTGATTAGGAAAATGAGGTCTTATTTACACGAACGATGCATGGTGTGATGAAGAATATCGCCTACCTATGTACAAAAGAGAGGTCCAGAACATGGGTAAGAAGAGCATTGTGGCAGATATGGAAGTATAAGAATGTATGGATTAAACTGGTGATGTGTCATAGGGCGTGAACGGATGGCAAAAAGTCACGGTATGCATTATAGCGGATGGTAGATCAAAAATCCATCCTCGGACTCTAGCGGTATTGGCGGCTATGGGAGTGTACCAAGATGGCGTTGCCAAAAACGAGGTCAAAGGCAAAGAGGTCACAGCTCATATTTACGAGGTAATACTTGTTCCCCATAACGAATGTACCACCTCTCATAAAACACTGACGCAATAATTGACCCAAAAAAAAAAAAAAGTACACAACCCAATTATCCGTGGATTCCGGCATGAAATTCAAGGGCGCGGACAAAGACATTGTACCCACTCAAATTATATTTTGTCTGAAGGAAAAGAATGCAAAAAAGATCAATTCACATCGTTGGTTCTTCCAAGCCTTTGGTCCCATCATTCAGCCTAACGTGTGTGTGCTATTGGATGTCGGAACGCGACCCGGTAACACGTCTATCTACCACTTGTGGAAGACCTTTGACGTCAACTCAAATGTCGCTGGGGCCTGTGGAGAGATCAGAGCTATGACAGGAACTGCCGGTGTCAACCTCATCAACCCATTAGTGGCCGCTCAAAATTTCGAATACAAGATATCCAACATCCTTGACAAGCCTTTAGAGTCCGTTTTTGGGTACATCAGCGTTTTACCAGGTGCCTTTTCCGCTTATCGCTATATTGCTCTACAAAACGATGTCGATGGAAAAGGACCGCTTGAGAAATATTTCCTTGGTGAAACTCTTCATGGAGGGATCAAATCAGGCATCTTCGAAGCCAACATGTATTTGGCTGAAGATCGTATATTATGCTATGAGCTGATTGCCAAAAAAAATCATGCGTGGCTGTTGAAGTATGTGTCCAAAGCCTATGGAGAAACAGATGTTCCAGATGCTATTCCAGAGTTTATATCACAACGTCGTCGATGGCTCAACGGTAAGCAGTGATGTTTACAAATTAAAGAATCTATCCTGGATTTCTCATTAACATACGTGTAGGTTCTTTCTTTGCTGGCATCTATGCTCTTTGGCACTGGGGCAAAATCTTTCAAACAGCTCACTCATCAGGAAGGAAAATAGCTCTTTTAGTTGAAAACATTTACCTGACCATCAACCTGTTATTTTCATGGTTTGCTATCGTAAGTAACATCTTGCGCTATACTGACGTTGCATACATCATCGCTAAACCATGCATTATATAACAGGGCCAATTCTTCCTCAGTTTCTTCATCCTAACTGAAGCCATTGTCACTATTAAAAACCCACCCTTCTCATCAAGTGTTGCTAATATTGTACATCAAATATTAACTTATGTATACCTTATCCTCATCATTGTATTATTCTTAATTGCTATGGGTAACCGACCTCAAGGGTAAGCAAAATCGACCTGCATGTATAGCCAGACGGATGAATGCTAACTATCTTGCTTACTATGTAGATCAAAGGCGGCTTATACAGCTTGTTTTGTATTTTTCGCTCTGCTGATGATCTACATTATGTTCTGCTCAGTGTGGTTAGCGGTTAGCGGAGTACAGCAAGCATTATCAGAATCTCCAGGAGCTTCGCTGATTAGCAACGGTGCCTTTAGAGATATTGTTGTCTCAGTAGCTGCTACATATGCTCTTTATCTTGTATCAAGTATTATGTTCTTGGATCCCTGGCATATGATCACCAGCTTTGCGCAATATTTGTTGCTAATGCCAAGGTAAGAAAGACCGTTTGATATCCCATAAAGCAGCTCCTGACACAAGTTACTCATTGACTCTCGTCTAGTTATATCAACATTTTGAATATATACGCCTTCTGTAATACACACGATGTCAGGTCAGTATTATGAAGTACACTCTTCTGCCGCTACGAGTCCAATTTGAATCGTTGTGTTATTAATCACAGTCAATGGCGGGCAGTTGGGGAACCAAAGATCAAACAGGTGTAGCAACGGACTTGGGTGTAGTCTCGCAAGCATCGCATGGTGAAAATACGGTGGAAGTCAGCTTGCCGACCGAACAAAGAGATATCAACGAACTCTATGAAGATGCATGCCGAGAGCTTCAGAAGAAGCCAGCGCAGGAGACCTCGCATCGAGATGCTAGGACCAAGCAAGAAGACTAGTAAGCCGAAAGCGGTTTGTGTAGCCTCTGGTCATCATCACAACCAAAACTAACCATTTTTTTTACCCTTATAAAAGCTACCGAGCTTTCAGAACTAGGCTTGTTGTATGCTGGATAATAAGCAATTTAATTCTTGCTATTGTTGTAGCAAATGCTACCATTCTTGAATGGCTAGGTAAGTGGACTTTTCACATGGCTTGCTTGCACTTGGTCTGTGCCACAACTGACCCCGCCGTCTGTAGGTGACTTTGATACTCGTACCAACGGCTACCTTGCCTTTGTATTATGGAGTGTTGCTGCACTTGCTGCGTTTAGATTCGTTGGTAGTTTAATCTATCGTATATCGACATTGTTTAGCGCATGAGGCATTATATCCTATTCTGTGTATTTTTCTGGCGGAGTATTTTTTTTCTCAATCCTACCAAAAATATAGCGCAGACATTTTTTTTCTATTGTCGACGAGTTCTTCTTGGCCTTCTTTAAACCTCCTAATTTATCCTTGTCCATTGTGTAATGACCAATTCATCACGATTGACGTTGCTCAGGTTATCTATAGTCTTGGGGACATCCCTTTTGTCCGCTACCCACGGCTCCCCCATTTACGCTCAAGATGTCGAAGAGCCTGATATTGACTTTGGATCCGCTGAATTCTGGACAAAAGTAGGCACTATCCTCACCCTTGTGCTCTTGGGAGGAGTCTTTGCTGGTGAGCAACATGTTTTGTAGTAGTATCATTCGTTTGCACTCTGGTACTGACCATTGCTGTTCGTATGACGACCTTTCTCTACTTTTTATGACGTGTAGGCTTAACGCTGGGTTTGATGGTAAGATTTCTTGGGTCGACGCTTTCTTTTATGAACCGACATATTCACCAGCATTCTCTTCGAAAAGGGTCTTGATGAGACGAACCTTCATGTATTGATCGAATCGGGAACGGAGGCAGAAAAGGCAAACGCGCAGAAGGTTCTCAGACTTCTTGATCGTGGCAAACACTGGGTGTTAGTAACCCTTTTATTGTCTAACGTTATTGTCAACGAAACGCTTCCCATTATTCTCGATTCTGTGTTTGGTGGCGGTTGGCAAGCTGTTGTCATTTCTACTGCATTAATTGTCATTTTTGGAGAGTGAGTTCACCTTTCGGCCATTAATATGCACACGTGCGTTTTCCGTTCTGAGCTAACTTTCCAATTTGTAGAGTCATACCTCAGTGTAAGGATCAGAGACAAATCAAACACTCTTGAATATTTGGATATCGTCCTCACAACTGACATTCTGCCTTGACAACAGCTATCTGTGTACGCCATGGTCTCGCCATTGGAGCACGTTGCTCTGGGTAAGGTGATCTTTCCACGGTTATAGTGAGAGAACATGGCATGGCTGACGAAGAATTTTTTTTTTTTAAACAGGATGGTGCTATGCCTTATGTATGTTATGTATCCCATTGCCTATCCTACTGCCCTTCTTCTTGATTACTTCCTTGGAGAATCCCACGGTACCGTTTATAAGAAAGCAGGTAAAGTGGATACACTTATCAGTTTGAAAGTTGTTCAGCAGAGACATGGCTTTATTGACACTAGAGTAGGTCTTAAGTCGTTGGTATCGCTCCATCGGGCTGTTGATGAGAATGGTGATGTCGATGCCTTGACTGAGGATGAAGTGACCATCATTGGTGCTGTGTTGGACCTTCGTGCTAAGCCAGTGTCCAAGATTATGACTCCCATTGCCGACTGCTTTGTACTTTCTATTGACGCTGTTCTTGACGAAAATGTGATGGACATGGTAAGGATCGGCAACCCATTGCCACGCTGAATACGGCGACTGACCTACATATTATCTCTCAAACTTAGATTGTGTCTGCTGGATATTCCCGTATCCCTGTACACTCTCCAGGCAACAAGTCTAATTTCGTCGGTATGCTTCTTGTCAAGCAACTCATTAAATACGACCCTGAGGATGCTCTCCCCGTTAGCAACTTCCAAATTAGTACCCTACCTGAGACTGGGCCGGATACCAGCTGCTTGGACATCTTGAATTTCTTCCAAGAAGGACGCAGTCATATGGCTCTTGTCTCCAGCAACCCTGGAGGTGAAGATGGTGTTCTCGGTGTCATCACTCTTGAAGATGTCATTGAAGAGCTTATCGGCGAGGTATGCGTAAAAAAAGAGTAGGCATTGAAAAAAGACGTTTATGTTTTGCTGATGATACTTGGTGTTACAGGAAATCATTGACGAGACCGATGTCTATGTCGATGGTAAGTATAATCTCGTAGAGATATTATGGCGTTGTAATTTTTTCTAAACCATCATTCTGCCAATAGTGCATCAAAAGATCAAGGTTGTCCGTCGCTCGGCGGGAAAAACCAACATTCGATTATTCCCGTTCTTGAATGCTCGTCGAAGACACTCTCGAGACATTCGTAATGACAAGATTGTTGCTTCTCAGCGACAGTTACAGCGTGCTGGTAGTCATCCCAAGCTGGATGTTGACCATGCAGGCATTGAAACTAGAATGAAAGGCTATGGTGCCGTCTCCAATGGAGGCATGGATGCAGAAGCTGGAGCAACCCTTGGCTCTACAACTGAAAGTCAACCTCTGCTCAATAACAGCAATCAGTAATCTCCTTTAGGGGTTTCCATTGAGGCTGCCGTACCCCTAACACTCCATTGTAGACCAAAATGCCATTTCCTATCTATTTTTTTCTTTTGTCTCCATTCATTAACTTATGTGCGCGTAGCTCGTATGTTTGTTTCATTTACTATTTGATTTATCATTATTGAAAGCCTCTCCCTTTTATAACCACAAGCATCCCGTTTTTTCTATTCTCCATTCTTTGCACAGTAAAAGAAATGAAGAAACATCATGAACATAACACAGTATTGTAAACAATGTATTTGTGGAAATCGTTGTATTCCTATGTTTTTATTATCTCCAGGAGGTTACAAGCATTTTAATTTTAGTTGAGCTTTCTGCGGAAGGAGCAGCCTGCAAAAAATTGGGAATGAGAGGTCATGTTGGAGATTACCAAGAACTTGCGTAAGGCTATGCCTGTAACTTACCCTCAGTGAGACGGGCACGACCACCAGTGGGTTGGCACAAGACGGTGGCGCAGGAAGAGCAGAGAACGACAGTCTGAGCATGGCTGAAGACAGTGGTAATGTTGAAGCAGCCTGGAGGTTTACAAGTTAGTGACAGGTTTACAGCAACAATTTTTTTTTCACTTGGCGTTGAAACATACCAGGGCACTTAACGTCCATGAAGTAAGAGTTGGGAGATTGCACCAATCTCTTAAGCTTGTGGGAGCGCTTTTCTTGTTCAACGGAAGGGTTGAGGAGATCGACGGCCAACTGGTAGAGATCAAGGAATTGGAAGGTTAGTCATGTTGTTACAATGCATACCATGGATAAAAAAAAGAGTGGCGCAAAAAAAGAAAAATTTAAGAAAAAGTTGAGTGAGATGGAGCAATGCATGAGCTGACAGGACATGAACTAACAGGTTGCTGCTGGAATCGTAGCGTACATAGTCGTTTGTCGCCAAGTAGAGTGAGTGCTATGAATCGGCTGCGTTTGCAAAGTCGAACATTGGCATGCCAAATTGCAAGGCCAGCCATTTTTTTTACAACCAATTCGAAATGTGAAGCCAGTTGTAGAGTTGATCATATCATGTCAGCACATCCATCTGGGAATGCATGCATCCATCTCATTTCAAGTCTCGTTCTTAAGGATAGAGGATGCTTTCATATAGGATTGGAGTAATATACGTACGACCATAGTGATGCGCAGAAAAAGAGGAAGATTTCAGCTTGCCTGGAGCGATAGTTTAAAGGCTTGCCGATGGCCAGTGAAATTTTTGACGTCAGCAAGTTGAAACCAATGTGGTAGGAAACGTAATTTTTTCATCCAAACCTTTTGCGGAGTGCAACGAAATTGTCATAAGCTGCAAGGAATCTTTCTGGCTACCTTCTCTCATTCTAGATACTAATTTTATCTTCTTGTAACGATAATACAAAGAAACACTATTTTTATCATCATTAGTTTTTTTATTTCAATATATTTCATGATCAAAAAGGCACATTAGATGGTACTGTACAAACATATCCACTGATTTTATTACTCCTCGAGAGCCCACTTGTAGGATCGTGCACGCTTCATTTGTGAAGTAAGCTTGCCGCGTTGGGATGCGCTGCCAACCTGGTTTAACTCCTTGGCTCGAGAGCGAACGGACAGCCATACATAGTCAAGATCTGGGTCCTCGATGTGGTGTTGGCGAATAAAGGCTTGTAGTCCACGCTGGCATTTCTGGCGAAGCTTCTTAACTTCTTGTATACGATCACGCCTCTTCCACATGCCTCTGCCCATTACAAATGCATCGAATAATCTCCAGCGTCCAATTAAATCCTTCCAATCGTCATAGCGTTCATCGATGGATACCACATGGTACCACATGAAAGTAGCAGTGACACCAACAGCTACGAAAAGACCCCAGAAAGATGCTCCAAAGAGTTTGAACCAGCTCCAGAAGAACACCCAAATGTAGGTGAAGATGGCGAGCAACATACCCAAGAAGATCTTGTTTTGAGCACGAACTTCCATGTAGATCTCAGTCTTACCAGCATAATAGCCGGCGATATACAGCGGTAAGTGCGCAATGAGGCCAGGTAAGAAAAGAGGGAGATCGACAAGTGACATAAGAGACTTTTGGATAAGCTGTGCTATGGTAGCAATGGCCGTGATGGTTTCTTCGTCGTATTTTGCGATATGCTGATCACGCAACTTCAGTTTCTTCAGGTCCTGATGATATGTTTGCAAATCCAATTGCAAAAGTTTAACATCGTCCTCCTTTTCAGCCCAATCATGCAATGAATTGATCAAACTGTAAAGATAGATGAATTAGGAAACAGAGTAATGTATCCGATCATCTGTCCACCATCAAACTATACCTTTGCGTTACGGGCACGAAATCAGACACAAGTGTCTTGTCAGAAAAGAGGATGTCTCTGGCCGCATATGCCGAGTAATACGAAAGCCAGTCTGGCGCATTTATGGTCATTCTAATGATGGCTTCCTCAATGTCTCTCGAAAGCTGCTTGACAGCTGGTTTGCCTTCGCTCAAAAAGAGGGGCAAGTATTTGTCCATGGTTATCGGTTCACCGTATCTTGAGAATGACAATTTAGTCCAGCTTCTCAATCCAACCCGACTCCTGATTTCTACAGTAACTTGCTTCTTACCTGACAATCACATTGCTTCTATAACTTGCTTTGTCATCGTACACAATGGCAACAGGAACCACGACGGCTGGTTTAGGAATTGACCCATCAGGGTTTGGCTTATTATCGTCTACCAATGATTTGGCATACTCAAGTGCCGCCCAACTGACTCCGTCCTTGAATTCTCCCATTCTTGGTAGCGTGTGAGATGTACCTTCGGGGAACACAGCCACCACTTCACCCAACCTCAATACCTGGTAAGTAGAGGCGTATAGAAGGGTGTTGTTCTTAGTGGTTCTGTCGACTGGAAGAACGCCACTGTCATCCAGAATCCGTTTGGCCAGAGGGTGCTAATCAATTGGAAATAGTTAGTATTTGGCTCTCAATGGACCCATCCAAGTCTTCAAATTATTTACCGAAAACATGGTATGTTTGCCCCAGTAATGGCATCTACGACCATGTGGAATAGTATTTGATAGTGCAGCAGGGTCGACAATCATGTTATGATGGGTGGCAGCTCTACATACGAAGAAAAGCTGTCAGTGGATGAAGGCAAGGTCATGCCAGCGCTTGTCGGAGCATGAGTTACTTACATGATGACAGGGCCGTCTTCAGGCATGTTCTGTTCGCCCTGTACTTCTATTCGTCGGTAAAAAGACCATAGTGCAAGCCGAGAGATTTGCACAATGGCTTCATGGGATGTTCCAAACGGCATGGAGAGTTTGTTAAAATAAAAAAGCCTGGCTTGAGTGACCCCAGGTGGACAGCATGTGGCACAATTTCCACCGGCATTTTTATGTGTAAATTTGCGGGGCGGTGGTCATCCAGCTGCATGACTGGGGTTGTCACCAACCTATGAAGATTTCTTTATACAAAAGATAAGGGAAACGGAATCTCATATTAATCAATAAACAAGAAATGATAGTCAAACTAAGAGACTGGTAAACACATATAGATCAGCTTTTTTGCTATCGTGGCAACTTCACTTGAATTTCACGAGAATATGTGTCATTTGGAGCTACCAAAGTGCTGCAAAAACCATGGATATAGCTTATCATCTGAAAAATTCATTAAATGTAACTTCAGTCCTCTATATAATAGATAATAAATCTTATAACAGGCAGGCGGGATGTTCTTGGTTGTCATAGGGTAGCTTACAACCATTCTTCTTTATACAAACGCTGTGTATGGGAATAGAAGAGATGAATATCCCTAAATCGACGACACGTTATAAGCTATCTAAAAATACTTATTAACAAAGACAATAGAAGAAAAAAATAGAAAAGAAAAAAAAAAAGATCAATGGCAACGAACTACGGACAGATATCCTATACGCTAAATGCTCTCGGGTATCTCGGGCGATAACAAGATGGAATCGCTTGGGTAAGCAACTTCATTATCACCGTCAGGGCTAAATACTTGGTCACCTTGCAAAACTGTATGGTATGCACCTTGGGGAAAATTCTCAGCAACCACTTGAACAGCATCCTTGTCGTCCATGTCAAAGTCGGCCGATACGACCTCATCGTCATCAAACCGAATGAGAGAACTGTCTTGCATTTGGTCGGATGAATCGTCTTCAGTGTGTTTGGAGATAGCGTGAGATGGAGGTGAAAATCCGTTGCCGTGTCCTCCTGCGTGCTCGAATCCAGTAGCTCCACCGCCCATGCTAATCAAATAAGCATCCTCAAAGGATAACGATGGCACTCTGTCTGTTGTTGGACGGCTACTGTGTGATGCATTGCCTGCACTGGAAGATATGCGCTTGGTGCCAATAGGGCTGCTACCGAGCATACCATAAGGTGAAGACGAGAATGATGTCTGCATTGCTTTGGATAGATTATCTATAGTAGGCTAGTTAGTCAATCGGTTCTTATTTCTAAAATCGTCCGTTGTGGCAATACACACCTTCAAGTTCTGCAAGGGCTTCATCCATATTACCGTCTTCGTTACTCTTGGTATTCCTCGCCATGGTCTTATTGACACGCCCAATTCGTCGACTGATTGGTTCAGGCATATCCCGTCGGATTAATAGCCGCTTCGTAGGAGGGATTTTGCCGCCATCAAGCATATTATGCAGCTTCTTGCTATCGGTCTCTTCATACATCTGAAACCTGAATTGCGGCAGTGACCACAAGTTATGGTCATCAGGTGTCACCGGGTATGTGCTGATCTCCGCATTGGACAGCCAGGTGTGGTTGGTTGATTGAGCCTGGCGCGCATGTGCCTTCTTTGACTTGTTTGATTCATGATGTCCTTTCTTGCCATTGGCATGCGAAGAATTGACCACTGGCATCTCTAAGGGTAACTTGATCTCATCCCAATCCATTGCTCGGGCCACTCGCCATTCCGCTATGTCTTCCTCGCGAACTGACAGCTCAATCCGTTCAACCATGCGTCCATTTTCTCTGCGGCGGACAATTCCTGTTGCTATACAGCATCTATGCAGGGTCATTATGCCGTTGGGATGGAAGGAGTACATATCCTGATAGCCAACTTCGTCACCAATCACTTTGGTGGCATCGTCATCTAGAGTGGTTTCTTCTTCTTCAAACCCAAACACTCGATTGTCGTTATTCTTATCACTTGGAGAAATCCAGGAGGAAGGACGCCCTTTTTGTGGAGAAGGGCTTTGATGTTGTCCATTAGATCCAGAAAAACTGGTGATCATTGAGCCAAGGCTAGTTGCCTTGTCTCGAATGTTTCGTAGTGATGGAGAAGTAATGGATGCTAGACTGTTTAAGTTGACTATGCCTGGTTTTGGGCTAGAAGAGTTTCGCCGTTTAGGACTACTTTGATTGCCACGGAACAAATGGGTTGGTTTGGTGGTGGACAAGAAAGTAGTGATCAGCTTTGCCCGTGCAGTCTTTGGATCGCTTATCAATGGAGGAGGCGGTATGGTTTGAGGAACAAAGTAGGGCGGAGATTGCCCGCCGTATGCAGGGTGGACAACATGTTGATAGCCGGGTGGGGGAGGGTAACTGCTGGCATCCGGTTTTGGGGCTTCTACATTCGGCATTGGTGTTCTTTGCTTGATGCGCACTGCAGGGCCCTGAGATACTGGTTTCGGCTGTGATATGATGATAATTAGTATTCATCAACAAACTGGAACTAAAAAACGAACATGAAAGGCAACGTACCTGTTGTGGACCTCGAGGAACAGCAAATCCGGCATACGAGTTTCTGGCTTTACCACGGACATGACCTAAAATCTCAGGTCGCCCGCCATCTGGGTTGATGGCGTAAAGGTGAGTTGTGCCTCGAGCAGTACTTACGGCACACCATAAAGAGTCAGCCGAAAATTTCGAGTCTTCTACTCGAGCATCGGTATAACCACGCAATAAACTGTATAAATGCGCGTTGCTGCCAGTATGGGTACCAGAAGGCAGTATTGAGAACACATGGAACGTATGCCCTTGGTTAGATACAGACATGAGTAAGGTTCCCGCAGAATTGAACGTGAGATCCATGATGGGATGGGAATGAGGCCGATAATGTGCCAAGACAGATGCTGACAGGTTTCTGCTAGGACTTACTGGAAGCTTCAAAATATCCCGCACCATGATCTATATGTGGTGATGTTAGTATGTCGTGTACACATATAATGAAGTGAATGATGAGATGAATATTGAAAACAGTCATACCATGCCACCATGAGGAACTTTTCTATTCGTAGCGGAGGATGCTGTATGTCCATTCCCACTACGATCATTGGGATCTTTTAGATTGAAAGGTACTTCACGGCGAACGGCAGAAGGAGGCATCACTGGTGGCATATTTGCATGTTCACCAACAGGACTGCTGGTGAAATAGTTGGATAATGTTTGATAGCCGTATTCACTGAGGGCTTTAACGCCATTAACGACTTCCTTAGCAACTTCTTTTGCTGCATCCTTTACATCTTTCTCTCCACTCAAGACGCCTAAACCAGCTCCGCTTATGCCACTGCTGCCAGGCGTACCATTATTAGCCGCGTTTGTCACAGGCGTGCTAGTAGCATAGGCTATAAACCTTGATCCTAAGGTAAATGGCGGGCCTTTGCCAGGTTCATGGAAGACATCTGTCAATGGCGCAGTAAATGGTTCCAAAGTGAACGACGACAAAACATGAATCCTCGATCGACTTTGAGTATTTGTAGCCTGATAAAAATGAACATCATGAGTCATATCTTTGTTTGAAAGGAAAAGTACCTCCGTATATTTACCAGTGTGATCACCCTTTCGTTGCTTTGAATACCTGTCACTTCCAAAGATTCCTCACTATCAAGATCATCTAGAGTTTTGACCACCTGATGTGTGCTCAAGGAGTAAATTTGGACCCGGCATTTGGTCTGCGGTCTCAAATTTCCTGGTTGTGAAAGTGTATGCGCAGTAGGATCAAGCGAGTTTCCTTCATGAGAATCTTTTTGAGCATTCTCACTTGCCACAGGGTGGTTCGAACTGAAAATAACAAACATCAGTATGCATACAGTGATGCCATAGTGATGTGTGTATACTTACACAATAGCAACAAGAGGGCGTTGCTTTTCAAACTTGTCAGATTCCTTCCCATGATATTTATCTTTGCGAGGTGTCACGAGGCTGTGAATAGCAGTAACATTGGCAAAGAGGTCTTCATCTCGAATAGAGCAGAGTTCATGGATATTGTCAGGATGAGAAACATCCCAAATTTGAAACCCATCATGATATCCAACCGTCAAGCATTTGATACTATATGTAATCGATTATTTGGTGAACGACATGTTGGTTGTAGGTCCGTGCTTTATAGCGGAGCCAATAAGTCTGAACTCTTACCTGCCTAGGGTCTTTTGATCCTTCCTTCGCACATTCATAGTGTCAAAGGCGGCAAAAGTAGGAGACGAAAATACTTCGGCTGGGGTATCGAGTTCGGTTCCATTAAGTTGCTGCTCAGATGGTTCAGAACTCATAGTTGAAGGCAAAGATTGAGGTACGCCGTACACATAGTGCGTGTTGTACGGTGGATCGACAGTCGACATAAAGGAGGGTAGACTAGTTCTCTTCTTTGGCAGATTGGATGCAACGTAAGAAGAAATACGAGATATACCAGACGACAGTGATTCCAGGGAGGTTGGATCTCTGGAAATTAAAAGACCGGTTATCAGCGATAGGTATCCTTATGGCTGCCCCACCATCGATCACAATGATCCTTAAACTGTTCATAATATCAGGCGCACATACCTCAGAAACTTAGGCTCTGCTCGGACACCTTGCTGTGAGGTTGCTGTCCTATCGGTCATGTTACTATCACCAAGATACTGACTGAAGTTGCTGCTGGGCTGACTTGCAATAACGTGGACGAAGCGTGTGGTCACAAGTTGGAAGTAAGTAAAAGGAATATATGAGAGGCGACGTACAAATTAGACGTGAGGTTTCGGGAAATGAGGGTCAACGTTGGATGAACTGGTCAAGCGGTTGCAGCAATTTACGGAATGAGCGGTAGTTAATAAGCAATGTCGGAGTGATGCAGTGAATATACGAGTTGGAAAAGGAGAGGATGATACGGGAGCGATAGGAGATAAGTGCCTATTGGATTGTTTTGAGACGGGCTGAAAGTAATATTGTTGTTGCAGCCTATTCAAACAATTTAACAGTGCTTGCTGGCGAAAGTCATGGATGACCCAAGTCACAAGGTCAACTGATGAAATGTCACTGGTACGCAGTGGAAGAAGCATGGTTCACACCACGTAATTTTTTTTTTATATTTTTTTTGTATGGGCTATCATGCACTAATTACAACGGCTTTATCCTCTCTTCTGCTTCTTGGCTGTTTGTAAACATAACGGTGTAAACATTGTGTGAGGTTCCTAGAATAAAAAGTTTAGACTTTACCTTTGCTGGAACTGCCTTCTTGGCTTCGTTTGCCTGCCTTGCCAGCTCCTTCGTCTTCGGAATCAGCTGAATGGCCATTGGGATGGCAAGAATCGCAGTACCAATCTCCCTCAGGTATATCCTAATTGACAGTTAATTGAGTATCCATGATGACAGGTAGTCAGCTGTGTTATTCAATATACCTTTAATGGCGGTACGGCACAGTATGTATGCAGTGGGTTGTCACACTTGTCGCAAAGTAAAATTTGCTCTTCATTATCGCCTTTGCCACACTTGACACATCCTCCTTCATACTGTTTGTGGCAAAAAAGTGTTCATAAAAGATGTAGAATGTGAAAAACATGGTTTGCTAGAAAGACTCACCTCTGGCATGGCTGGCCATTTTGGCAGATCCTGGATTTTTTCTTCACCGGGCTGGGCAATGAACATAGTATGACCCATGCCACCAGAAATACTGTATTGTGATTTATTTAATCATTATGCTTGAATATAAATAATAATGGGTGCACATACCTTATGAGGGGAATGCCTTCCAGGGGTTCGATTTTTTGTGGTCTAGTAGCCGACTTTACACTTGACTCTTCTCCAAAGCCAAGTTCGCTACTCTGGACTTGTCCCCAAGCGATGGCAGTGGGATCTTCTTCAGCTATCGCAAGAAGACTTTGACTACCTGCAGAAATATCTACGGAACATAGCAAGCGTGCGGATAACAAGCACGTTTAATAGAGAGTTATGCGACATAGAGCTGTGATCACCACATGTACACTACCTTTCATTTTCCAACCATTCAAGTCATAAATGTACTTAGGTTGCTGCAAGGAAAGAAAAGGATTGGCTAACTTTGTCTACAAAAACAAACAAAGAGCATTCGAACTCACCATCCATGGCTGGCCGGCGCTACCATCGCCAGTGTTCTTCCATTTGCCCCATAATAAGACTTGTTTTTGGTTATCGAGGGCCATGCTGCAAGTTGCACCACAAGTAATAGTATGGCATCTAGATAATTCATTGGACCCAGCAAAGAAGGAAATGGACTGAGGGACCATAGCATCCTTCTGCTCGCCATGGCCAAGACGGCCGTAGCCACCGAAACCCCAAGAATAAACATGACCATCTTTATCTTTCGCCAAAGAGTGATTGGCACCACATGCAATTTCGGTAATTTCCTGGTTCTGAAGTCCTCTGACAGCCACTATGATAAGAAAAGTATTAGAACAATGAGGAAGATTTCAATGGGTAACAGATTGATAAAAAAAAAAAAGGATGCATACATGGATAAGGTTGTGGACTAGTCGACATTTTTCCTGCTGTCTTGATATATTGTCCATCGCTACCATTACCAAGCTGTTAAACAAGTTAGTCAAGGTGCTGTGGAAGAGGCGCTTCCAAGTTAAAGTATGAAAGAAAAAAACAATACTTACTTGGCCATACTCTTGAGATCCAAAGGCAAAGATTTGGCCCTTATCTGCAAAGAATAAAACATGTTGTCAGTGTGATTCGTGCAACAAGTTTGGCTGTGTTGAGCAGAGAAAATATTTACCAGTCAACACCAAGCTAAATTCGGCTCCACAAGCAACCTGAACGATTTTTTTGCCAGCCAGAGAAGTGACGGGTTTGAAGGTAATATGGTCGTTCAAATCTGTCAAGCCCAACTGGAGCAATGGTCAGGGATTGAATTAATTATGAGGGAGAAAGTATTAGAAACAGGGCGAGCATGACATAAATCAGCCATCGGCTTTCGTTATACCTGACCCAAGCGATTGTCACCAGCTGCAAAAACTTCTCCCGAATCTAGGAGAAAACAAAAATCGTTACCGAATGTGATCCATACCTGCCATTGAAAATACCAAACTTACCACAGAGCAACAATGTATGGTTCCTTCCAGTTGCAGCGCCAACAATTTTTCTGGTACCAATTGATTGACGATTTTCTGCGATAGAAGTGACTTTGACAGGGAAATCTTGGCAATTCTTGGACTTGGTTCCCATTTGACCTCTTTCATTGCGACCAAATACCCAAGCATGGCCACGTTCAGATATAATGACAGAGTGACATGCTGTTGGACCTGTTACGGCTTTGACCACTCTGTTTCCAAACCGTTAATACCGCATCATCAAATCGAACCACCCACTACCACTGTTCGTTCTTACTTGATGTCAACTAAATCGCGCACCACATGGGGAGAGAGTAGAATTTGGCTGTCAAAAAGTGAAATCGCGTAAGACAAGATTGATTAATGTCTAGGAGCAACAACACGCGTTGTTTATCAAATTCAAACACGTCCAGGATAATTGTACCTTTCAGTCTCTTCTGTTGCTTTGTTCTTTCTGTTGATAACATCCCATGCTGTGGTGCCGCAAATAAGCAATTTACCTAGAATAGAGGGATTGAATTAAGAAATAAGTCAGCGCATGAATAAAAGGTTATTTACAACAAAGTCTGTAGCGTCGTAGTCAGAAAAGTGAGCACGGTCAGGGCACTGGCCATGGCGTGAGACACCCACTGACTGAAAGCGTGCAGTGTCTCTGAATGCTATGGTGTCATGGTACCACATTGCCACAGCAAGTTATTGTGAACATCCAACTTACCCCAAGAGGGTGTAGCTTTAGTCTGATCGGTTGCCATTGAATTGAAAAGCTGTAAGGGAACCAAAAAAAGGTTACCGCTTGCCTTTTCTTTGGTGAGCTGCATTGTCACGTGTACAGACCCACCCTATGGCTAGCTGGAAGAAAAGGGCCGGAGCTTTGCTGAAGATTGTTTCCACCTCACTTTTTTCAACTCCAACGTTCGCTTGGATCACCATCGCTGTATGCGCATAAATCCTAGGAGATATAGGAGTGAAATTTGAACAATGAAGAACAAAATATAATGCCAGCCATTCTCTTATCTTATCAACAAGAGCACTGTACACTTAGTCAATTGTAATAAGCGTAGACAGTATGAAGTGAGTGTGTTGGCAGGTTAACATAGTGTTCATGCTACGAACCGCAGACATTGTATTCCAAACGTCAGAATTGTTTCACTGGGAAAGATCCATCCTGGGCTATGGCGGGCGCTGCGGAATTATACAATAGATTTTCCGGAAAAATGCCAAATTCCACAGGCATGAAGTTTATTTTGTTTCGAGTAATAGTGCCAAGATGATCCCCTTCCTATTACGTCAGGCAGGCAGTCTATGCTTTGAACAACTCAGAAACGGTGGTTGTCCATAACTATCAAGACTTTCCGCAAATAGAAATTGTCAAAAAAGCTATATAATGTGGTGGTTCCGGTGGAAACTCGACGCCAAATACTTTTTCTGACTGCGCCGATTTTGAATGTCAAAACCTCCCTTAGGCTCTGCCAATACTGAATATTCTATTGATGTGAACTCATTCAGAGACGGAAAGCTCTCCATCGAGCAACAAATTGAAATTTATGGTACGGTGTTAAGATATAGCTGAATTTTTCCACGCTTTAGTCCGTCTAATAAAGAGTGTTATTTAGTGCATGACCTCTTCAATGTGCAAGACAACAAGGACATCTCCCTTGATGAGGTGTTAGCCGGCATCCGATATGTCCTGGACTTCCGTATCAAAGGAGGCCGCCAAGACCATCTGGAACCAGAGCTTATGAAGAGACTTTGTGAAGGTTTATTGCTATGCACCGGCATCACGAATGGGCATTTTCTCCGAAAAACCACAACTGAGGACGCTGATACAGCATTTTTCCTGTTTGGCGAGTTCCTTGAAGAAGGTATGTAATGGATACTGTTATATTTGGGGGGGGGGGCCGCTTTGTATCATAGGGTCTGACCATGTCCAGTTGAGGAATTCCGAGTTGCTGTTGGTGAGAAGCCTGCATTTGACTTACAGCAGTCACTCAAGATCCACCACAGATGTCAACCTTCTTCCACAAATGAACAGAAGCAAGCGGCGATCGGCATGATTCACCTCCTGACCACACTTTTCCCCCAGTTCCATGACTGGCGTGATTTGGTCAAAGAGCGTGAACAAGGCGATATGGAGGTTTTGCTATCATCCGAATTAGCAAAGGATATTGAGAAGAAAGAGGTTGCGAAGATGCCTCAGTCGTCAGCTCCTCTATTGCCTCCCCCTTCTCTCTATTTCGATAAGAGTGTTAAGAAACTTCTGAAGATGTTTCCAAATACAGATCCTGATAAGGGACTTCCATCCGACGTGGTACCGCTGTTACGAGAACAGTTTGGCCAGAATAAGTTGCCAGAACCTCCCAAACCTAGTGCTTTGAAAATGATTTGGACTCAATTGACTGACTTTATGGTCATCATTTTGATCATTGCTTGTATTGTTGAAGCTGCTGAACAAGAATTCAATAGCATGGCTGTGCTTTTGGTGGTGATTGTCTTGAATACTGTTATCGGGTTTACCCAAGAATGGAAGGCTAGCAAAACTTTGGAAGCTTTGATGCATCTGAGTACCCCGCAGGTAAAAATTTTAGCCAGTTAAGCTGGACACGATTGCCTAGTTTTGTAGGTGGTGCCACTCACCAACTTATTTTTCTCAGGCTACCGTTATTCGTGACGGCGTACAGCAAACTTTCAGTGCAGCTGATGTTGTTCCTGGTGACTTGGTTGTGCTCGACGAAGGTGAAGGTATTCCAGCAGATCTTCGTTTGATTGAAGTGTCTCAATTCGAAGCAGAAGAGAGTATCTTGACTGGTGAAAGTGTACCCGTGGCCAAAACAACTGATGCTATTAAGGCTAAAGTCAGGAAGATACCGTTGGGAGACTGTAAAGGAAATGCATTTATGTCTACGGTAGTTGCCAAGGGCCGTGCAAAAGGTATCGCTGTGCGAACTGGTGAACAAACAGAAGTAAGTTTGAGATAGTGATCTATGCAACCCATGTGCTTTGTTTAGCTAAACATAGTGTCTGCAGATTGGAAAAATTAGCTCGGCTATCAATGCCAGCTCCAAGACCAAGGTTAAGACCCCTATTCAAAGAAAGCTCTCTCGCCTTGGAAAATATCTGGTCCTCATCGCAATCGTTCTCTGTGTGCTTGTCGTGGTTATCGGTATTGCATGGAAGAAGGAAGCTAGGGCTATGGTGAACGTCGGGTTGAGGTATAGTAAATCACAGTCTGTAATAAAGACAGAGCGTTTCTTGATGAAGATTTTTGACTTTGCATGCTTTGTATACGTAGTTTGGCTGTATCTGTTATCCCGGAAGGTCTTGTCGCTGTCACTACAGTCACCATGGCACTCGGTGTCAGACGAATGGCAGCATCGTAAGTGACTTTTAAAGAATATCTGATATTGCATTCTAGCTTCTATTAAGAAGATCTAATTTATCATCAATTTGTACAGTCAATGCGTTGTCAGGACACTCCCTGCTGTTGAAACATTAGGTAGTGTAACAGTAGTCTGCTCAGATAAGGTGAGAAAGCTTATTTACACACTGTAGTGAGGTCAACATTTAAATAACCTTCACTTTATTTACTTTACAGACTGGTACATTGACAGAGGGAAAGATGAGAACCACACAGCTATGGACATCTGATAACTCGTTATATAATTTCACCAATGGAGCCTCCTTGGATCCAAAGGAAGGGTCAATATCAGTCGAGCCTAGTGAGCTCCGCAAGCGGATGATTCACATTCACCGAAGTACCAAGGAAGAGATAGAACGAACCCCAACTCCCACAACTGCAGCTGACTATGCAGCAATGAAGCCACATGTTATACCAAGAAATGATGATAACCACATTAAAGCAAACTCCAACATGTTATATAGCATTTTGGTAGCTTCATTATGTAATAACTCCAGTATCCGCCAATCCGAAGAAAACAACGAATGGATCTCCGTTGGTGATCCAACCGAAGTTGCTCTTCTTGCAGCAGCAAATCAAGCCGGTTTAAATAGAGAGTATCTTCTCGAGACATTAGGATTGAAGAAGATTTTTGAGCGTGCATTTGACAGTGAACGCAAGCTGATGAGCTCGGTCTACACACTCAAAGGCCAAGAAGACGGCGAATTTGTTTTGTGCAAAGGTGCTCCTGAAGAACTTCTCAGCAATTGCTCACATTATGCCGTTGCCTCAGCAGATAACAAAAGTATGAACCAAGAATTTCTAACGGAAAATATAACCACCTCTCCTGTAGACGATGTCTTTGCCACTCATGTCTCAGATGAGAATTCAGCTATGGCTCAAAAAGGTTTACGAGTTCTAGGTTTTGCTATCAAAAAAGTGAGGTCTACTGGAAAGACATCCCCTGAAGATGAGCCAGCTTGGAAGGAAGATAACTTGGTCTTTTTGGGACTTGTTGGTCTAATCGATCCGCCCAAGAAGGGAGTTTCGGACTCTGTTGCCATTTGTCAAAAGGCTGGTGTCGATGTTATCATGATCACCGGCGATCATGTTGAAACTGCCACAGCCATTGCCACGCAACTCGGGATCATTCGTCCTAATGTCCCTGGTATGGTATGTATAGAACAAACGCTGCTGAAGGCCAAGACGTCTACTAATTGCACAAAACCTTTTCTTTTCTTTTCTTTTCAGAGCCGAGCCATTCTTGGAAGAGAACTGGATTTGCTTTCTGACGATGCAATTGTTGAACTGAACCCGTTCCCAAATGTATTTGCTCGAGTCAGCCCTGACAACAAGTTGAAAATTGTGACCGCCTTACAAAAACGTGGAGAATTAGTTGCTATGACTGGCGATGGTGTCAATGGTAAGTTTACTAGCAGATAACAATAGGAAGGCACTCATTGTAAACTAACGATTTGGCTTGTTAGATGCTCCTGCTATCAAACAGGCTGATGTCGGTGTCGCTATGGGAATGGCCGGAACCGAAATCACCAAACAAGCCGCTGATATTGTGCTGGTTAATGACAAGTAAGTTTTGTCTTACAAGGAGCAGCATATTTTGACCACTTTAGATCTCACATGCTTCAATACACAGCTTTTCTACCATTGTTGCTGCTGTCGAAGAAGGTCGCCATGTATTTGACAATATTCTCAAATTCATTGTTTACCTTTTGAGCTGTAACGGAGCCGAAATTTTCCTCATGTTGATTTGTACCGCTGCCGATATCGAAACGCCTCTGACGGTCATGATGATTCTATGGGCAAACATTATTGGTATGTTCCGTTTAGTTACAGTGACGGCACTTCCTTCTAATAGTTTTTAACGCATCGGTTTTAGCTGATATCCCACCTGCCATGGCACTTGGTGTTGAACCGCAAGAAGTTGGCCTAATGTCAAGACCTCCTCGCAATCCAAAGGCCGGTGTCCTCAACCGTGTTACTTGGTCCGTAATTGGACTTCAAGCCTTACTTATGGCGGCCCTCACAATTGCTGCATATACGATTGCAATATATGTTGAGCATTATCCAGTTGCGGATGCTAGGTCCCTAGCCTTTGCCTGTTTGACGACCATCCAACTTTTGCACGGTCTATTGTCCCGCACTATCAGTCGCTCTGTGTTTGAGACAGGTATTTTCGGTAACAAATGGATGATTGGTGCTCTCGTTTTGTCTTACGGATTCATGCTGATGGGTATCTATTGCCCTGGACTGAATGATTGGTTGGAGCTTACACCGGTGAGCGGTTGGTCGTGGATTAAGATCGTCGTTTGCGCCGTCGTCCATGCCATCTGTGTTGAAACTGGAAAATTATTACTCAGATATTTTGGTGGATCCATCTAATAAGATCAATGTACTTGATATTCATTCGCTGATAATATAAAAAGATTTACTCATTTTGAAGTATTGAGCTATGATAAAATTGTAGGTTGTAATTCGCTTTAGATACTTCGCCTATACAAGCCCCACATTAGTTTTGAACCGACTGCACTTGGGTTTTTCCTCTGTCGTATAATATCTTTTTCCGTCACTGGGTATGTCGAAAAAGACAACGAAGCTTATCACAAAACACAATATGTAGTGTCACACGTCCACATAGAGGTACGATTCCGTCCATCGCTTGCAATACAGTACGGCCCTTTGCAGCATGACGACGTATATTGGACCTCAAATTCGTTCACATTGGTATAGGGTTCTCCTGCTAATTTGATTGGAACGGAGCCAAATGTAGGATATACTTTCAAGAGGTTATGTACCCCACATAAGAACCACTCGTCATAACGACTCCAAGATGAATCAAGTATTAGGATTCAACGATAACATGGTCATAAAGTTAATTCGTCTTTTTACAACGGTATTTTTTTAAAGCCTTAATGACAGCCCTGTGATGATGAGCCTTTATTTATTGAAAGTCGCACGATGAGCTTTTATTATTTTTCTGGTGAATTGGCGGGTTGTCAGCTCAAATGGGCGCTCTTTTGAAGCTCCGCTTGCGATAATTGCTAGGCTCGCCGGCATGGATTGCGATGCCGCTGAGTGACACTATTTGTATAAAAGCAAGTCATATTTTATGCCAACTGTACACCAACGCAACTGTGCCAAACCAAGTCAATACTTAGCTACATTTAACATGGATTCTATCAAGATTGTAACCCCCATTGGTATGCTCGGATATGGCTACAGCGATGCCCTATTGTACAAGGCATTGAGCATGGGTGCTAAAGCCATTATCGTGGACTCTGGGTCTACCGACAGTGGCCCGCAAAAATTGGCTCTTGGTGAAACTACTTGTCCTCGTGAAGCCTATGTTAGAGATCTGAGCACTATACTGGACGCCTGCTATCATCACCGTGTCAAGGTATTGATTGGGTCTGCCGGAGGCGATGGTTCTAACGACCATGTCGACTTATTTGTAGACATCATTGACGAATACAGCAAGAAGAAGAACTACAAGCTGAATGTCATCAAGATATATTCCGAGATTGACAAGAGCATCGTTAGAACAGCCATGGAGCAAGGAAAAGTATCGCCTTGCGGCGGCGCTGTGCCTCCTCTACAGGAGTCAGATGTTGACGAGACCGTTCGGATTGTCGCACAAATGGGTATGGAACCCTTCCTTGCTGCTATGAATGATTATCCAGACTATGATATCATCATTGCTGGAAGAGCATATGACCCATCTCCGTACGCTGCCTTCTGTTACAGCAATGGTTTTACGAATGTTGGAAATATATACCATATGGGTAAGGTCATGGAGTGCGGAGCTATGTGCTGTGTTCCCAAGTCAAAGGAAGCATTGGCTACGGTATGGCAGGACAAGTTCGAAATTACCCCGTTGGACCCTGCGTCGAGATGCACTGTTGATTCTCTCGCTTCTCATACTTTATATGAGAAATCAAGACCTGATCTTCTGGCCGGACCTGGTGGTGTGTTGGAGGTTACCAAAGCAACATATGCTGAGACTGGATCTGTCTCCTGTACCGGTACCGGCGCCATCTTTCATCCAGCTACCACTTATACCATCAAGCTTGAAGGCGCTAAACAAAGTGGCTATAGAACAGTTGTCTTTGGAAGCATTCGAGATCCAATTTTGATATCTCAACTAGATTCGTTTTTGGAACTCGTCAAGCAGTACGTGCTTTCCAAAAAGGAGCACCAGGGATGTGACCTTGCTTTTCATGTCTATGGCAAAGATCCAACAAATAATATGCAGGATTTGAAGAAGGCTTTAGCGCAAGAGGTAAGCTTATTGGTCGAAGCCAAGGCACCAACACAGCAACTAGCTACGACGGTTGCATCGTCCGCTAGAATTGGACTAGTTCACGGACCTTATCCAAATCAAAAGGCTACTGCTGGCAACTTTGCCATGCCGTTGACTCCTTTGGAAATTCCTCTTGGACCTCTCTCAGAATTTAGTATCTACCATCTAATGGAAGTCGACGATCCTATTGCAAACTTTCCATTTTCCTTAACTGTAGTCGGAACAGAAGACACTGTCTCCCGTCAAGAGGACTTTGGGTATGATTTGATTCAACAAACTAATGGTCATGTCACTGACCACGACGCACAAACTCTTAAGAAAGCAAGGGAAAGTGCCTTGAAGCGGTCTACACAGGATTTTGTTGACCTTCCTTCTGAAGAAGGAAAAGTATTCTTGCATACGTTGGCACGAGTTATTCGGTCCAAAAATGCTGGCCCATTTGAGGTGACCTTTGATGTCGTGTTCAAGGACAGAGAGTGTTTAGAAAAGGCAAGGGCATCCAACATGCTTGTGCCAGAAATTCTTGGTCCCTTGTACAACATCAAGGCTGAATCTGTTCTTGTTTGTATGTTCTACGAACCGGCTAATGCCTTCAAGTTTACCATTCCAAGATGGTCACCAAGTGGAGGATTTGGAGAGATAGATGTGCATGCTAGTCAGCAGCACGTACCTCTCATGTATGTAGCAATCTAAGATCAAAGCCAGTCTAAGTAAATGAAATAGTTTTGTATTAGCTATTACTGTATACTTAATTATTTATTTTGAACCTTGAAATAAACATCATAAGCATCATTCAACAATAGGCAGCAGCAGGCAATGCTTCAACCCTCACAGAATGTTGCTGGCAGAAGACTTGGGCGGCATAAAAGGCACTTGCGTTCTTTCAACAAACTTATTGTTTCCACAACGCCGAAAATCATTTGAATAGATATGGAGGCACTTAAAGTCGTTCAGGTTGCTACAAAATGTGTTTCTGTGTACTATCACGCTGTCCATTTTTTGCTCACTTCATGATATCATCTCATCACTAATGGAAATTAACCTGCCGAGTGTATAATAACACTAGTCAATCTACTCGGCAAGCAAATGATGACCATTTTGACCGTAATTGTTTACCTTGAATTTGCTAATACAATAATTATTTATGGAGGGGCTATCAGGTACAGGAACACTCTCTTGAGCATTGGCACATTGGCTTGCTCACTTTTGCTTATGCGAACATAAATTAGAAGCGTTTCCAGATGTCAATATAAATCTTGTAAAACAAAGGTCTTTTATCTATGAAGCACAGTTCTGTACTTGAACATGTGGTATGACATCGACAGGCTTTACCTCATAGTAAACCTGCAGGCACAGTTGCATAGAAGGGGTGGTTACAGGTTGGAATGCTACGATAGGTCAAAATGGATTAATATGTTTTCGTCTCTTCGCAGTGGTTTGCTGGAGGATTTGGTTTTCAGAAAAAAAATGGATGGTCAATTTTAGGAATTCGGAACACGCGCAGTGGCTGCAAATGGTTCATCTGCAGAAATCACTGACTGACGTATCCATTTTCACTTTCAGCTTCAGGTTCCACTCGTCTTCTCGTTATCCATTTAGACGCTTGCGATGGACGCTACCTTAATCAAAACAGGTAATGCAGTGCTCTATACACGCTCCCGTCTGTACTCTAATATTTAACCATTCACGTTGATTCCAGTAAACAAGCTTCAAGATGCCTTCGCGACTGTAGGTGTCCAGAATCCTGTGGACCTTCCACAAATCACAGTCATTGGCTCTCAATCGTCTGGCAAAAGTTCAGTTCTGGAGAACATTGTATGTAAAACAACCTCAATGTCACCATAACGTACATACGCACGCCATCCACTAACCACGAATCAATTCATTTTACCCCTTCATCCAAACAGGTTGGTCGTGATTTCTTGCCTCGTGGTACTGGTATCGTGACCCGACGACCACTGGTACGTAATATTGTTAACAGCATTCACCTATGGGCTTTGAGTGGATGGAAATGATGAGCAACTTGACGCCAAGTGTGTGTGTTTGCTTGAACTTGGACTCATTTTTTGTCTTGGCACACCCATATGCCATCGATCAAATAGGTTCTACAATTAATTCACCGACCAGCAGCTGGCGCGGAAGTAAACGGCAAGGCTGAGGACGATAAGGAAGAGCATGATTTCAAGGGTGATGAAAATGCAAATGAATGGGGTGAATTTTTGCATCTTCCAGGTCAAAAGTTTTACGATTTCCACAAAATCAGAGAGGAAATTGCCAAGGATACTGAGCTGAAAACAGGAAAGAACGCTGGTAGGCTGATTGTGTCATTAAATACGTTTTGCAAGACCTATTGATAATTAAACATATTGCCCGCCTCGCAAAGGTATCTCGCCACAGCCTATCAACTTGAGAATCTTCTCTCCCAACGTCCTAACCCTTACCCTGGTCGATTTGCCCGGTTTGACAAAGGTAACTAGTGACACAAGGAAGGCTGAAAGCACCTAGAAGGTTATTAACCGTTTCTTTTAAGGTGCCTGTTGGAGATCAACCAAAGAATATTGAGACACAGATTAGAGAGATGATTTTAAAGTATATCAACAAGCCCAACTCCATCATTCTTGCCGTCACTGCTGCAAACACAGATCTTGCAAACTCTGATGGTTTGAAGATGGCGCGAGAAGTCGACCCTGAAGGTTCTCGTACTATTGGTGTCTTGACCAAGATTGATTTGATGGACCAAGGAACTGACGTCGTTGATATTCTTGCCGGTCGCATCATTCCCTTGCGCTTGGGTAAGTTTGTTTCAAGGATAACATGGGAGGCATTTACGCATTAGATGCTTACTACTCTTTTTTTTGGATTTCTAGGCTATGTCCCAGTAGTGAACAGAGGACAGCGTGACATTGAATCTAAGAAGTCCATTAAAATTGCATTGGAAGCTGAGAAGGACTTTTTCGAAAATCATCCTTCGTACAGAAGCAAAGCACAATACTGCGGTACTGCTTATCTTGCTCGTAGATTGAACATGGTAGGTTTTCGTGTTTTTCGAACGAAATAGAAGTAGACGTTCAGAATCGCAATATTTCTTGTTTTTTACTAAATTGCCTCTATCTCCTTATCTGACTTGATAGGTTCTGATGTATCATATTCGAAGTACTTTGCCTGAAATCAAAGCAAAAATTCAGGCTGCCTTGGCAAAATATCAGCTCGAGCTTGGCCAACTTGGTGATCCTCTTGGCGATAGCTCAGCACATCAAGCCAATTTGGTTCTTAGCATTATAACGGAGTTCTGTACCGAGTTTAGAACAACTATAGATGGTAACTCCAACGAATTGTCCAGCTTTGAACTGTCCGGTGGTGCTCGTATAAGCTTCGTGTTCCATGAGCTGTATGCTGGTGGGGTTAAAAGCATTGACCCTCTTGACCAAGTGAAGGACGTTGACATTCGTACAATCTTATATAACTCCTCGGTAGGTTTCATTCAACGTGTGAAATATGACAAAAGATACTTGGGCGCTAAGCGGTTGGTTTATAGGGTTCCTCACCGGCACTCTTCGTAGCTACTACAGCCTTCGAAGTTATAATCAAGCAGCAGATTAAACGCTTGGAGGAACCAAGTTTGCGATGTGTCACTATGGTGTATGATGAACTTGTTCGTATCCTTGGACAATTGTTGAACAAGCAGGCAAGTATAACCAGCAATTTTCATTTTTTATTTTGGCATGCCCTGTTGACTTGCCGTGGTCATTTTCTAGTTCTTTAAGCGTTTCCCAACTTTGAGAGAGAAGTTCTATCACGTTGTCATTGCTTTCTTCAAGAAGGCATTGAACCCTACCAACAAATTGGTAACTGACCTCGTTAGGTAAGATTGCTAAATAAGAGGTGTGTCTGTTCATAGCCATATGCTAATCCATTCGCGTTTTACAGCATGGAGGCATGCTACATTAATACCGGCCATCCTGATTTCCTCAATGGTCACAAAGCTATTGCTCTCGTTACTGAGCGCCTTACCAACAAACAAGCTCAAGCAGCAGCTGACCCTAAAGCATCCAAAAACCAGCTTGCAGCTTTGCAAACCAACAACCTTAGCACTCCCAACGTGGATGCCGATGGCAACTCCTTCTTTGGAAGCTTCTTTGCTGGAGCCAAAAAGTCAAAGAAGAGCAATATGATGGAAACAGTAAGTACAACAGAGCTTGTGGTGCAAGTGTTTTTCGGGAGATGTCGTTCTAACTTTTCTCTTATCATAGCCTCCTCCAGTTCTCAAGGCTACTGGAAACCTTTCAGAAAGAGAAATGATGGAGACTGAAGTTATAAGTAAGTAGCCTCTGCATCTCACCTGTATCATTCATTTCCAGAAGACGGCAACTAATACCTTTCGTCCTGTACTCCAGAGCTCTTGATTCAATCTTACTATAACATTGTAAAGAGAACCATGATCGACATGATTCCCAAAGCTATTATGCTCAATCTTGTGGCTCACTCCAAGGAAGAGCTTCAGCGCGAGTTGTTAACAGAGCTGTACAAGACTGATGTTTTGGATGAATTGTTGCAAGAGTCAGATTATACTCAACAAAGGCGAAAGGAGTGCAAGAAGATGATTGAGGTAGGTGTCACACATTTGGTCTAGAACGGATGATGAATCATAGTCACTAATGTTTGGATTCTTTTCGACAGGCCCTCCAAAGAGCCGACGAAATAGTAGCAGCAGTATAAGCAAACAAAGAAATGTCACATTAATATTCCAACTTTCTTCCTTATAAAACCCTTTTGATATCACATTGTGTTGTTGTAGTGGGGTCATGACCTGTAATGCTGGTTTTCAGTGCATATCGAAACCCTTCACTTTTGTCGAGTCAGTTGTTACGAAAGGAATATATTTTTATTATCCATAGGATTAAAAACTGTCTCATAAGCCTCAATACCTTATAGTTCCAACTTCTGACAACTGTAGCTTCCAGGGTTATGTACATTACCATTTGTCGACTTGACCAGCGCTGGGTCTAATCCATTTTATGAGGCTGGATGTTTCTACGTGATTTTGATAAATGGCAGTATCATAAAATTATTTCCTTGTTCATCTTATTTACCTTTCTCTTCATCTTCAAGAGCACGAACGAGAGTCTACGAGCTTTAGCTTGTTTCTGGTTTGTTGAATGTTTTCGTTTCTGAGCCAAAAATGTCTGTGCTTCAGTATTCCAATCTCCGCTAATGGAATCAACTGAACACTCACGGTCGCAACCACCTGTTGAGCTTCATACTCAAATGACCCGTCAGTAATTGGAGACTATTATGAATACAGAAGCCAAGCAGCTTGAGGAGGAATGGGTTATAAATACTCCAAGCACAAGCTTTCGGCCACGTCCCAGCATGTCCAATGCTGTCAATCTAAAGCTACAAGCTGATTCAGCTCACCATCGCCAACGAGGTCTTTCCCATGAAGCTATCCCCTTTGTGCCCAAGCGCAAATCTGAAGATCGCAAAGCCGACGATACGCTGGAAACTCTCTGTAAATTGGGAATAGCCATAGAGCTGATCGAAAAGCTTGTTGACATATATAATACCGAAAAGCAACTTACAACCAAGGTCCAAAAGTCGGCCGCCAGCGAAACTCGCCACAAAGCAATGAAAGCCGGCTTATCGCAATCCGACGATCCTGTCGGACTCATTGTGGTAAGTCTTACTTCTTTATCGTATCATACTACGCATCCGATAAGCTTTATACTAACCGTGCCTGCCATCAGCAATGTATCGATATCTTAGCAAATACCTCGGCACGAGACGATAAAAAGAAGATGTTAGACGATAAGTGTGTGAGAACTATCGGAAGGGAACTGTGCGATTACTTGGAGGATTTTATCTACAGTGCCTCTAAAACGACTGCTATGCGCCTGATTGGGGAAACCTTGCCTGATAAAGAGACAGCATTGATCGTTCTTGAAGAAGATGGCAACGCCTCCGATAATGTTACAGCATCCGAAACTGATTTGATAGTATTTCAAGATGTACAAAGCGAAGACGTAGCAACGCCCTCATCCGACGCCACGTCCAAGGACGAAGTGACATCCGAAGTCATCACCATTGCAGATTTGCAACGATCAATGCCAGATAAGAATACCTGGAGAAAAAAGCTGATCAAAGAAGATCATCAGACGTACTTGACGAGTTTTATCGAAGAAGAAAGAGGCCCGCTTTTGCTCTGCATGTGTTTGAAGACTTTCAAGCTGCCAGAGATCCTTGCAGCTGGACAACCACAGGAAGAAACAGGTCGCCGTTTAGTACAGCTACTGTATCAAACTCACTATTATTTGGAAGCTTTGAACTGTTTGGAAACGCTTAGAATGGTGGATCAATTTTCATTTGAAGATTTAGCGTTCCCGTTATTCAAAAGCAAGTCTACTGCAACCACGACCTGCATAGTGAAAATCGCCAGCTTCGGTCAACAGATGAGGGACGCTGTACTGGCTTATATAGACACACAACTCATGTACACCTTAAACGGAAGTGTTGGTATTGTCTCAGAAGGTTAGTTGTGTAAAATATAGTGTGCTGCTGAACTTAGAAACCGTGATTTTGACATGTTCTTTTGTTAAAGAGCGATTGAACGCGGCTTGCAAAGGAAACCGCAAACTTACCTTATTGCCCGATCTACACGAACGACGAACCCAAAAAGATCTTGCCAACTGGGGTGTCAAGGTTATGGACATGCATGCCATCGACCATGCCACCTACTTGTTTATATACTTAACCCAAAGATACGTTTCACTTCGATGGCTTATCAGTCAGAGAGCCTGCCAACAGGCAGAGGAAAATGATTATTCCATCGAAGCGTCGTCCAACTATAACGGTCTTATCTACGTTCTTTGCCAAGACGAAAGTCTCAAGAGACTTGCAGTTAAGGAGTTTATGGATATGCAGGATCCATATGCAGCACCTTATTTCGCCGAGAAGTTCCAACAACAAGCTTTTTATGATCATTATCTAGCAATGCCTATATCACAACGCGTGATTGGATCTATTCCCGGTGAACAAAATTCGAGAAGTAGAGTATACCTACCCCGCAGAAAGAAAGCGGCAACTGGCGAAACAGCCATATATTCCTTACCTCAAAATGTACAACTCGTCATCATCGATAACTCAGAGGGGCTGGTCGCCATGAGAACATTGCTGCGACAAAGCCGACTTTGCGGCCTCGATACAGAATGGATACCCCATCTTGCTAAAGATGATCTTTGTAGAACTTCGCTTATGCAGGTCGGTTCCGAGCTCGGCGTGGTGTTCCTGATGGATATGGTCAAGCTTAGTGGATTCAGTGACGGACGCATCGGCTTCGATGGCTTCAGTGGGCAAGAACCGGAGCCTGGCATACAGCAACAGACCTTTGAGTTTTTGAAGGACCTCTTTACCGATCAGAGAATCATTAAGCTAGGTAAGTCACTTCGGGTGGATATGTGTGGTCCAGCAGTCTATAACCTCATTCTCGTTGTAGCGTATGATTTTAATGGTGACATAACCATGTTAGCCCATACCTTCCCTGGTATCCAGAATGTTCAGATGCAATCATTTCTTGATTTTGCAAACCTCAACTCGGCAGTGGATGAGCAGGTTCACTTTGGAATCCCCAAAGTCAAGTCTGGATTAAGTGGTGTTACGGAGATCATGCTGAATCGTATTTTGAATAAGAAGCAGCAGCTTAGCAACTGGGAGCAACGACCCCTCAGCGACGAGCAAACAAAGTATGCTGGTACGTAAAAATAACATCCTGCTCCCGTGTTGTTTTTTATGTTCCTCCATCTCATCATTCTCATACATTACTTCACCACAGCTGGTGACGCTTATTGTCTCATCGAAACTTTCTACGCACTTTGTAACATGAATCATCCGGTTTTGTGGAACGATGCGCTTGGCAATGGTTCTGGTAGTTTGTAGCTACTCAAGTCCTTCTTACCGCCCTCCACGTGAATTACTTCAATCTATTATCATACCTTTTTGTTTCAATTGGTATAGCAGTTGATCTTGTACAATACAGTTTTTTTCCTCAGCAGGTTTATTGCATTTATTGGTTTGGAGAGGGGGGGGGTATAAGATTTAGCAGCTGGGTATGCGGTAAGGTATGGCTAGTGAAAAACAGTGTGGCTCATGCTCAGTTCATGTACTTCCATCTCATTCATCTTGTAGTAGTTGAGTTCATCTCGTATAGCCGATTTGATATTTGGCGTTAGATTCATATAGGTTGCATCAGCATGCTGTCAGAGGCAAAATAGATCATTAGCTGGATGTCCAAATTGATTCTCAGCCTAACCACAGCAACGTACCGGTTTTCTATTGTACTTGGTCCCGGATAGCGCAGGCACCACCTGGACCTCTTCATTCCAAGCGAGTGAACTCTTTCTCTGTGGAACATTGGGGGAAGCCGTAGGAGTATGGTACATTGGGTCTTTCATATGGAAGTTATCCATGGAATAGTACCCCATGGGCGCTGCATACGGATGGTGCCATGGGATGGTTTCGAGTTTTGGCATGGACAATTGAGAAGCATAGTATAGATCACTAACAGAAGGAATATCAAAGTTGGGTGGAAACGTAGCCATCTTTTTCTTCAAGATTGGCTTCAGTACGGTTCTCTGCTGGCCTGAAGTCGACTGTGTCTTGATCTTCTTCACACCTGGCGTATCCATTGATTAGCGCGCAGATACAGCTATACTGATGGTAAAGGACCCAGCTTACCTGGTCCAGAAGGCATAATCTTCTTTGGTATGTTTATAGATGATTTAACCGTAGACCACCATTCTTTCAAAGTTTGTATGTTCGTCACTTGATTGGCTGCTGATAGCTCTAAATTATCACAATTGAGAATGATGGAATGCTCGAATTGGACCCTTTCTCGAGAACTACTTACCATGCGAGGATTTTCGTCCATCTTCAGCCGTTTTTTTCTTGCTTATCTCGAACATCTTGGCTAATTGAAGGATGTACCTGGTTGTAAGTTTTAAGCTATCGCATGACATACACGTAAATCCTTCATTGTACCTGAAATGAGTGGTCTCTGATCTGTGGCAACTGACAAGCCGTGCATAGTGGAAAGGAGTGGAGAGGGACCGGCGACGGTAAAAAAAAAAAATTGAAAAAAAAAATACAGGCAGATAAACGGTAAGAGCGGTGTGGTCCAGAAGCAATGTTTGGAATCGCCACAAGCTGCATCACCTATATAAACAACCAATCGAGTCGGGATATTTTCGAGATGATGAAAATAAAAACATACAGAACCGTAACGTTTAAGACCAGTTGTTGGCTTTAGTGACTCTGACCTATGACTGTTCAGTTACAAAAGCAACTACAGCGCCTTCTTTATTATGTTCAACCACTTTTGGAAGTGAAAGACATAAAAGATATGACAAACCGAAGATGATCTAACGAACGAACGACAGAATACAACAAAGTTTTTTTCCATTTGTGCAATGGTAGTGGTCACAACGGGCAAACGCAGTAATGAAGATACGTCTGTATAGCTACACCTTTATTTTTTGGTGCAATGTCGACGACATACAGCTAATGAAACATTTTCTCTTTTGTTTTGTTTTGCTTAGCTTAGGCTTTTGCTATGGTCACGCTCGCCAGCTGACCGGATGCTTTAAAGCAACCATAATTGAATGGTCAAAACGAGACTAGTGGTTAATGTGAATGTGTCTGCCTTAAATAAAATTCGTTTTCTCAATCTTTAGAAGACAGACATGCTGGATGCCGAGCCGAGTGGGAAAGAAGTTCAGTCAGAAAGGTATCATGTTGAAAATACAATGCATTAGCTAGGGATTATATTTCATAGTATTATATGTGGCTTAATGGGATGTTGATGTTTTTGGGGTGGAGGAGAGGTATGTTGCGCCAGGATCCAAGGAATGTGAATCTGAACCAAGGCATAATTCAATAGGGCTAAAATACAAACAATTCATAATATACAAAATCAATCTACATAACTGGAATAAATAGCATAGTGGATGACAAAAGCCTCTTTCTATAAGCCGTCTATATCGTCGTCGATATCTTCATGGTTATTGGTATCGTATGCATCGAGATTACTAGCAAGACGACGGAAAAACTTGGTGCTGATACTTGGACTGCCGCGTGCAGTGGCTGCTGTTGCTGTCCATCCGGCGGAACCTCGAGGCATAGACCTTAAAACATAGCCTCCAGATGGGGCTAGTCCTCCTAAACCAAGAAGTGTATCACTAGATGAAGATAATGGTCGAAGACCACGGCTCATGAAAGATGGTTCTGATGTTCCTTGATGCTTTTTAGTAGACGTGCTGTCGACTTTTTGAGGCGTCGGTGCTGGTGGTTGCTCGACTTGTTCCTTCACCTTGGGCCGACTTGCAACAGAAGACGAAGTGCTAGTAGAATTGCTAGCAGACATTATCTCTCGCTCCGACAGAAGGTATTTGAGACCCTCAGCAGCATGAGACCGGTCCAATGTCATGCTATCATGTTTGACGATTCTATGCCTCATATCATTTCGCATTGACAGTTCTCTTTCTATTTCCTTTTGCATTTCTTGCTTGAATTCTGCGGAGAAAACAGGTCCCTTTCAAATTGGATGGTTATTCTCATGTAATGACAGCTAGTACGCAGGTGTAGTGGGTTATTACCTTTGTAATTTCAGATTCTTTTAACATGGTACCATCCCACCCCAGACTTGGTGATTTCGGTGTGAATGTGCCTGTCATAGGAGGATCCATATCACTAGTGTAATTGTATTGGTTCATCTGATAGATAGCATCTTGAGCTTGCTGAAGTAAATGAGCATATTCTTTGGACTGGTCGACTAATTTGACGAGCTTTTTCTCGCAATGTGTCTGGTATTCTTCCAGTTCGTTTATCCGATTCCTCAAGCGATTGTTTTCATTCAATACCTGGTAATCAAATTAGCCCATTGAAATCAAGATTATCCACATGAATCTGAAAAATACCTTTGAAACATCGCTTTGAATATTGCGAACAACGTGGTTTGTGCTAGCATTGCTTTGCTTTTGCGAATTTAGAGCTTTTTCAAGCAGTATCTGCAAATTCACGTTCATTTCTTGTGTAGTGGTGAGACTATGTTCTACTTCGGCTGTCAATTGAAGAAATTGTATGAGCTGTTACGTCCTTCCTCATTCAGCGTTTTCTACACCTATTCACTCTTACCCAATCGCTTAGAATAGACTCCAACTTTGCTTTGAGATTCGGCCTGGAAGTTAATACACAGGGGTTATGAGTAAAAATAAATGGCGTCGCTTCGTATTCAAACTCTTAAATGTATATACCATTTCTGCAGCCATATCGTTCAATTGCACCGATAAACTATCCATTTCCTTGTGAAACCTTGTAAGCTCTCGGGTAGCTTCGTCTAGTTCAGCTCTTAATTTATTTCTTTCTTCAATTGGGGACATGGCTGATGCTGATGTTGGAGAGCCATTTTCCGATCCAGAGATTCGTAAGTCGTTCATATACCGAGAGAAAGAGGACGCACTGTCATCTGGGGAATATACCGGATGTTTCGTGGCAACAGTAAGCTCAGCTTTCAAATGATCACGCTCTTGTTCTAGTTGCGATAGCTATCACAGAGGGTCAATGATGTCTTCATTACATAAGGAAAATTTGAGATTTTCGTACCTTTGCTTGCAGCTCTTCGTTGGCTTCGGAGATAGCCAAACCGAGTCTAGCAGCCATATCCAGATCACTCGCCATATTCTGTCTTTCGCGTTCCTTTTCAACAATGTATTCATGAAGTAAACGAACATCGCTGCTTGTAAGGATTTCTTTCAAGGTATATTGGGTGCCTGTAGTGACGTTAAAGCCAAGGTATTATTACCCAGAAGTGACACACGCACACATATATTTCGAGCGTACCATTCATTGACTTGGTGCTGTGATTGCCGTGAGACTCCAACCCAATGTCGACAGACTCATATCCGGTCATTGGACTGCTGACTTGAGGGATGGGAGGAGCGAGTTCAATGTTTATGCAAGTTCCTACGAAGCTGTGAATTGGAGGCCAGTCAGTCAGCAAGGAATGAAACTCAACAAGAAGAATGTTCTAGTGTCCGCTTTTATGTCCGATGGGGGCTACAATGAGCGAAGCAGGTATAGAGACGGAAATGCGTACCTTTCGTCGTTAGCAACGAAGAATAAATGAGAGTGAGAGTAAAAATGTGGAAGGAGGTTAAGAAGAGGCGGGTTGCCATCCACCCTCGGAATTGAAATGAAATCTTTTTAGGCGGAAGAGTCAAAAGTCGATATCACTTCCGCTCTGCTTGCTTTGTACATTCCGTTTCACCATTGCCACGTCTTTCTTTGCGCCCCCCTTACATCACTTTGGGATCTCAAAGAACTCCTTGTTGAAACACCTGTTTGTTCATACCATATAACTTGTACCTCCCTCGACATCGTATGCCAATCTAATGACACAATGGCGGCCGTTAATCATGATCGCTGTGGGTTTAGCCATAATATACCTCGCTAGTCTACTTCAAGATCCTCCATTCACTCGACCAAAAACACTCCATGTATCCGATCGCCCGTACTTTCAACGTAAACCTGACGAGATCGTCTTGTCGGTTGTCGGGTCGTATTTATATATGTCTGCTATTTGGATGAATGGTGAATATCCAGACAAGAATGGTATCAAGCGTGGAACGAGTCATCATGCTGTTGGTGTAAAAGGTAAGAATGCAAGCCAAAAAAGAGACGGCACTTTTGAGTGTTTGTAGTAACCAATTGCTCATTTTATCGGCAGCTACCATCAAGCAATCCCGTGCCCCACTTGAGCTATTCCGATCCAATTCGAAAATAATTGAAGCAGAAGGTAAGCTGAAGATATGGTATTGAGTAAAATGGGATATGCAATGAATAACTAGATGTTAATACTTGATGTTTTCAGCGCATTGGGAAGAACTCTTTCATCACGACGTGAATGGCATGATTTCTCATGTTTCCAAATATCCCGACCAAGTTTCGCCTCCTGATGCGTCCGGAAAAGCTTATTTCGCAGTAATGTACCAAGAAATTGAAGGAGAGGATGTAAAGAACATTGTTCGTGTGTATTTTACCCCGCCTTCCAAGCATGAAGCGGTAGACTATGGAACTTTCAATTACAATGAGATTGTACTACCCGGCTCTACATGGATAAGCACTTTCTCACTTGAAGATGGAATGCTGATATATACCAGGTATGTAGTTTTCCAATGCAAATACGAAAGTGGTATTTTTATTCATCCTGGTGTTGCCTTTGTTAGAGACCCCGACCGATATTACTTTAGAACTCTGCCTCTACCACCCGCAGTATTTTCACCCCACCATACCGGTGAACCAAAGCGCATTGTTGCCTCTTCTAGCGTTGAAGGCAAAGTGATGAGAGGTACGGAACTAATGTTTTTCGTTTGCAATTGGTAAATTGCTTATATTAACGTTGATCGAACCAAAGGTTTAACTCAACCTACGGCATTCACCGATTATGATACAATGATTGTTAGAATACATTCACCAAGGTAGATATCCCTTTATGTGTTTTATGCGATACTACTTATAATGAATCTAACGTACTATTTTCTAGCGACGATTCGTTGCGTGTAGCAGCACTTCGCACCTTCAAATTAGCCGATCATGCCACTTTAAATGTGACCATCATGGACAACCTTACATCAATTGATACCACAAATGATCATCAGAAAGAGGTTAACGCTGGCTGGGTACTTCGAGAACGTGCAGATATGCGTGATGCTCCACAATTTCATGAAGATTACTCGCCAATGAACGACAACCCGTACTATCAACCTGAAAAAGTTGTGAAAATGCCGAAACTTGCAGCTGGTAAGGACAATAAACCAATGATGATGCAGCGCATATTTATCTTGGTTTTAATCTATTGATATGCATTGCAGCAAGATCAAAATCGTTGAAAACACTCATGTACCCATTCAAAAGCTATTTGATGAGCGTCGATTATGTTGATGACTACGAATTGCTGGAAATCTCTCAGAAGAAGTGGATGAAAGTCGTACGTCTGTGGAAATCACAATCAAAGGCAGGTATGCCTGGCGGTGTTTTTGTCGATTCAAATTACAACGAGGACATTATTGTACCCTACGTTGAAGGCAATTATGAACAAGAATTCGTCGGTGCTGCACTGAATTCGGATGGTAACATTTGTGTTGCTTGGACGGATTTCAACAATCTCTTCATATACAAGCGTGGATTTGGCCAGGCAAACTGGACAGCCCATAAATTGGTTGACCAAGGATTGGCCGACGAAGAAAAGTCGAAAATAGCACCTCATGTTATCAAAGTTTTAGATATGAGATGGGGCGCACCTTGGGGAATCACTTGGTACCCTGGCCATGCTCGATCGGTGGTACGTACCTTGAACGACTTGACCTGAATGTACCTCATTGTATTAATCGCATTTATCCACTTAAGGGTGTGGCATCTGTAGAGGTCTGGAACGCAACCCAGTCTGTAGATGTGGTCCCTGAAAATATATTATGTAAGTGCCTGGATTTCTGCCACCGCCCCGCCTTGGCCAATAGATGCTAACTTGTAAAACAATACAATAAGTGGTTGCCATGAAAGATGGCCGTGTGCATTCGTTTGATTTGGAGAATACAGAAGAAAAAGCTCCATCAGGATTTTACAGCTTCTTGACCCAACAATTGGGCATGTTGATAAGTACGTTTTTCATCATCATCACGGCTGTCATCCTACTTTGGTGTAGTAACATGTTCATCATTTTATTCTTCAGTGATGCTGGGTACGATTGCGTTGTTTGTGATCAACGAGGTAAAAAATTATCCAACCACACCCTAGTGGTTCGGATACCCAGTTGTTCTCATTTTGATATCTCTACATTCAATATGTACCACGTAGAATCACCATGTTCGTTGTAAGGGCATTTAGCGAAGAAAAAGGACCAAATACGAATAAAATTAATACATTGACCAAGAATACTATTGCCGAGGATACAGCGCTACAAAATGTTTGGGGAATGGCTAACACAGAACGAAGAAAAGCAAAAGAAGACGGAGAAAGAAAACGCTATCAAAATTAGACAGTAGCATGCTTTTTGAAAATGCAATAAATCAAAAATTTACAGGAAACACACTGTGATAAACAGATGTGGGAATGCATGAAGCAAGAAATCATGTCATGGTATTGGATGCGAGCAAGGGGGATCTTTCACTGACTTGCTGGTTTTCTAATTCATCTTCTTCATCGTAAGTGGATGAAATACCGCCTATCAATACGCAGCAAGCCGCAAAGCAAAAGATGATAGAAAAGCAAATCATGATGGCATAATTTGTCCAGAGAATAAGTAAGCAAGTAGTGGCAGCCTTCATGATAGCTTCTGGTAGAGGAGCTTCTTCGTAAACGGTGAAGAAAAGTGTATGCGATCCTGTTTGAAGGATATCAAATTAATGCATGGCCGCACAGAAACCGTCAATGGTGTAGACTTGACTTACCAAATATGGCCCAACAGAATTGAAGTATGAAAGTCATGGTAGAAAATCGGCTAATCCAGCTACTTGAAGGATTTTGGAGGAAAGTACTTTGAGATGATGACGACTGTTCACTTTGAACAGAGTGTATCGACTCAGCGATAGAGGATGCTTTTGAGCCTCGTCGTTCGCGACCCACTCGCCTGCCACGGCGACTTCGCTGCGGTCGGCTTCGTGCGCTGGCATTTCTCCAACAAGTGGCTAATAGAAGCATGATGGCGATGACTGAGAAGACTATTGTGCCAAACAAGAACACCTGCACAGGCTGATAAGGCCCTGGTATCAATATCGAGCCACGGCCATAGGCTTTCTGCAGTTGTGCTAAAGTCTGAACAGCTAAAGCAATATTGTAGGCATTCAAAGGGATGAGCGCTATCAACGAGATTACTAGGCCAACAATACCAACAAAGCCTATTGAAAAGCCAATGGCTGTCAATGGATTATGAGAATGGGGAGCATGAGAGCTCATGAGTTGGCGAAGTTAGACTTGGGGGTCCGACTCCACACCATTTAAACGTTTGATATTTGTGTATGACCATGCCCAAAAAAACAGTCTTTGTAGAAAAGTAATTCTGGTTCTTTTATGCTAAAAGGTCTCTCAAATAAGCATTTTGTTCTATCTCTCGGCTATACTTGTTGCGTATGGTGTCCAGTCGCTGAGACAAAGCTTGTTCATCCATGTTCTCAATGTCGTCAGAGCCAAACTCTCTCAAACATTGCTGTACAATCTCGTTTCCTTGGTTAACTTCCATTTTAGTGAATTTGGTCACAGGTTCATCATTTGCTGGTAGGAATGAGCGCTTAGGTCAGTCATTCATCAATAAAGTGCAAGGCAAAAAGATCTCATGCCTACCTGCGATACCGGTGTCTTCAAGTTCATCTGCTTTTCGCTTGGCAAGTCGTACTACCGTGCTAGGGAATCGAGCCAATTCGGCGACGTGGATACCGAAGCTTTGGTCGCAAACACCCTCGTTGACTTTGTACAGTAAAGTGATATCCCTGACACCCCCGTCATTATGGTCGCCAACATGAACGGCAACATTTAAATTTCGAACGTGTGGAACCTTCTCGTTTAAGGCGGTAAGTTCATGAAAATGCGTGGCGAACAAACAGAACGCTTTGATCTTGGTGGCAATGTATCTTTAACACAATGGATCAGTATCATGAGGAGAAGACGGTACGTTATTCATGATAGACTTACTCTGATATAGCCCAAGCCAGGCCAAATCCGTCGTAAGTGCTTGTACCTCGGCCCAGCTCATCAATGATGATAAGTGACTTGGACGTCGCCGACTGAAAAAAAAAAAACCCGCATCATTACTATGAACAAGCGGTGTTCTCTATCCATTCCAGGCTCATCTCTTCATCTACTTTACCTGTAAGATGGTTGCCGTCTCTAACATCTCTGCCATAAACGTTGAAACACCTTTAAGTTGACTATCACCTGCTCCGACTCTGGCAAGAATTGAATCAAAGATGGTGAGGGTTGCCTCGGAGCACGGAACAAAGCATCCAATTTGTGCCATAAGAGCGACCACGCCAATTTGACGAATGTATGTAGATTTGCCACCCATATTAGGACCTGTTATGATCTGAAATTCTGATTCATCTGCACCAATAGAGATATGTCAATTCATCCATAGCACAAGTGGCGTGATAGTGGTTGCAAAAAGTTATGTTTACCTCGTACAAGTTTAACATCATTAGGTATAAACGCCACGTCGTCTTGTACTTCCAGACATGGATGTCGCGCTTCCTCAAGCAAGACGTTTCCTTCACCTAAGAGACCAGCTGTTACAACCACTGTAAAGTACAATTTTACCTATGAACACTGTACGTACCTATCGGGTGCAATGTAGGGCGAACATAGGGTATGGGAGCCATCACAGAAACATGAGCAAAGCTAAAATTTTGATAGTACGATTAATTTTTTTTCAACTCAAAATAAAGACGCGTAAGCCTTTTCCCTACCTAACAATGACATCCAAATGAGCAATAAGGCTACCTAAGCTCTCCATGATGGGACAATAAGTTGCTGGGAAATAACATAGGGTTAGGAGACCGCCGTAAAGGACAAACCAAAACAATGGTATTTTGCACGACTTACCAACAATGCCAATAACTTCCTTAACTAGCGAATTCTGTTTCTTCTCATACTGATTGGAATGATCTGTCCAGGTGTTGTTCAGTTCCTTCAGGCTGGTTGTTGCAAAGTATGTACCGGCCTTCTGTGTCGCGTACTCTATAAATTCACTCTTGTTTCGAATCGCGCCAGAGTCCGCTCGGCTGATACGGAAGCAGTATCCATATATGTTATGCTTTTCTAGTTTGAGTTTTTTGTCAGCGTCAAGGTTTAATTTGTCCGCCAGCTGTCAATAATGTGGTTAGATGGATAAAATCGAAAGAGTTGGCAGAAACTGAGTGTCAAGCTGACCTTCAAATGCTCTTTATCCATGCGTGCTCGTGCTTCGTTGATCTGCTGTCGTAGTTCTAGTATGCCCGAAAGATTATTGGCTTAGTTTTGTTGCAATCAGGTGTAAATAAATAAGTAAGATTGTGTACCTAACAGGTCCTCATCAAAGTCAGCTTTGATGATAAACTCGTGCTCAGCAACCGCTTCCAAATCGATCGTAGTTTCTATCATTTCCTGTAGTTTTTCCAGGTTTTTAGCATGTTCCTACAGAGGATAAAGTTAGTATGACATAGAATGATGGCCGACAAAAAGGGTTCCAACAATTATTCATTACCTTTAATTTACTGATGTACACCTTGTCTACAAGGGATTTGAACTCGTCTTCGCCACTGTAACCTTCCAAACACGCTTGCAATCCAGGTAGTTTGATAATAACTTGGTATATTCGAACGACATCCTATTTAGAGAAATTAGTCAGCCGGTGGCAAAAGTACCTATCACAGACTATTGCGTTGCGCACCTGAAGGGAAGCAAATCCACGTTGAAATCGCTTAGCTAATCGATGCATGTCGGGCACACTCTTCAAATGGTCTTCTTGCACTGACTGGCGGATCTCTGTATCTTCAGTAAAGATCTGAACCAGATCCTGTCTTTCACCTGCAACCACATGTTGTCAGCTTCATCCCCTTCAGTCTCATATCACTCATCAAATTAGTTATCAAAATTACGCACGAATACTATCAATGTCAAGAAGCGGCTGTTTCAGCCATTGTCCAAGAAGTCGGGATCCTTGCGCTGTTTTGCATTTGTTCAACAAACCGAACAAGCTCATCGTCTTTGAAGCTCCATCATGAGGGCTAGGCATCAAATTTAACGCTCGAAGTGCTGAAGCATCTAGACGCATGTATTGTGAGAGATCATGGTGCTTGAGGGTGTATTTGCCGAAAGCCGTTTCATCTGAAAGGATCTGCAATGGCACATAAATAAAAAAATTCGTCAAATGTTCACATTAATCAAGGAAGGAAGGAAGGCAGGCTACTTACCGATAGATATTTGACTAGACATGCACAAGAGGCCATTGCATTCTTCATCTCAAATTCAGCTGTACGAGAAACTGTGTTAAGCCTAGAACAACGTACTACACTTCAAATCTCATGTAACTTACGAAGGGCAGCGACGGATATTTCACCGTCTAAAAGGCGATTGAGATCTTGCTCAATGTCCTTGGTATTGAAATCAGCTGAATGCGGATACAGATGAATAAATATATCATTAAAAGTGATTCTCTGTTGTACTGTAGTGGACCAGTCTTACATCTTTTGCGTTCAGTAGCCACAACATTACAGCGACTCAATACACCCTTGAGCTTAATGAGTTCATAGTCTTTATGAGCCTCATCTTGTGGTATAATACATTCCTTGACACCAAGTTGGATAAGCAACGACTGTTCAGGAGCAAATCAAAGGTGAGTTCAATGTTGCATACCAAGTACTACATCTTCCATCCGCCCGTATTACCTCAAAGTTAGAATACAGTTCATTGTCTACGAATTCGGATACACCAATTTCTCGTACAGACGCATCGGCGAAGGAAACGCCGACAATCTGGAGGTGACAAAATGTTTAAGATATTTGCCGCAAACAGTCAATATGAATGGTGGTGAGCAAACTATACCTTGTGCTCTGCAGTAGCTGCCAGCTTGACCGCCATGACAACAGGAGCAGACGTCAGATTTGAATTGAGAAACAAATAATCCTCTACATCTTGCAAGTTGCCAGGAGAAGCCTATTTCAAGTCATAAGTACATGACCGCGAGAAGGAGAGAACGTAACAAAGACAGCACCAGAAAAAAATAAAGTATCTCATACCTTCCGGATGACACTCCATTGACCAGTTCCTTTTTTAGGAGCCCAAATCTCGATTCTCAGTTGTTTGTTAAGTAGCGCGTCTCGCAAGAACGATTCAGCCGCGCTGTGAGTCAAACTCGTTGTTGCTAATCCTTTTGGAGCGGCACCTGCAAGACATACAGTCATCAGTGTTTGAGACAAACCGGAATTATTGATCGAAATAGATGCGTACCTCCCCAGTACTTTATAGCCGAAGTGGTTTTGTACACGGCTTGCGCAATATAGACTGCGTCTTCACCATGCAAGGTGTAATATCTTCTTTGATTTGCATCTCGCTCGAAGAGGTATATTGTACCTTCTTCTTTCTAAATCGGTGCATGGGAGTTGAGTTATTTTCAATAATAGTGAACCAGGTTAGCGCTGAAAGTTACCTCAGGCAAAGCTCGGAAGAACTTGACAAAATTCTGTTGTTCAGGCTTATCTGTGAAATTGTCGAAATGGAGCGAGGTAAGTACTCAATCTCGCTTGAGGATGGTTTTCCGGTTGTTCTCTTACCAAGCTCTGGGATTTCCTTTGGTGAATCGAGTGCCATTTCAATTGTGAACAAACGCGTTGGGAATCACGTTGGTAGAACCAAAAATTGAACGCGACAACATTCAAACTCGGCATGTCCGTGACTGTCGCCTATTTCGGCCTTCAAAAGAGAAGCTATTGCGTTCTCAGGCGAGTGGCACAGTTTCAATCTCTGTTGCCCAAATCATTATGCCAAGAATCACTCATTGTATCTTTGACATGGTAAGATCTTGAACTTCTTTCAAAAAGCATTTCGTTGTTCTAACTTCACCGTGATCGTACAGGACGGTCTGCTCCTAAACACGGAGCAAGTCTATTCGGAAGTTACTCAGGAAGTACTTGACAAGTACGCACCTGGACAACAGTTTACCTGGGATTTCAAGAGCAAATTGATGGGAAGAATTGGACATGAAGTAAGTGAATCCATTTTAATGTTAATGCCATCAGCATACCGCGTATTAAGACGACATACTCAGTCTGCAGCCATGATCGTCGAACACTTCAAGCTCCCAATGACGCCCGACGAATACCTCGAAATTTCGTCCGTTATACAGGAGAGGAAATTTCCCTACTGCAAGCCCCTTCCTGGTGTCGAGAAACTGATTCAGCACCTTCATGGCCACAAGATACCCATTGCAGTTGCTACTTCATCTACGCGCTCTAAATTCGAGGCTAAGACCAGCTCATGCAGAGACATGTTCAAGCTGTTTGATTACATTATTTGTGGCGACGATGCTGATATCAAGCGTGGCAAGCCTGCTCCTGACATTTTCTTGGCTGCCCAACGCCACCTCGGCAATCCTCCTGCAGAAAATTGTCTTGTATTTGAAGATGCCATCAATGGCATCGAAGCTGGTCTTGCAGCCAATATGCATGTAAGTACTTGTGTAGGAACAATAGCATGGTGCTTATAGACTGACATCATGCTTTACATAGGTCGTTTGGATCCCTGATGTCAATTTGTTGGAGCTGAATGGAAAGGATAATACTCATGGTGCTTCCCAAGTGTTGGAATCTATGGCTCATTTTGATCCCGAGGTAAGCGTTGGTGTGGTGTGTATATATAAACCTTGATGATGTCTGACGAATTCCTTTCTGTTAGCATTTTGCTTTACCTGCTTACAAAGGCTCGGATTCTTCCAAGCCTACTGAGGTCATTACCGAGAAAGACTTCCAGTGATGTTCTGTATTGTGATAATAGGCTGGCAAATATCTCTTAATGTTATTTTCATTTCTATTAAATAAACTAGAAGCAGCAATTGCTTTTCAGTATGGAAAATTGTCAATTATGAGAGAGAAAGTAGTGAGCAGAATAGCAAGACCCGTATGGCAATCAACTTGGTGTGTTCGGCGGCTGTCAATTTGAGGTCCAGCAAATGTCGCCAAAAATTTCCAGCTGTGCGGGGTTCAGTCACAACTGTCACTGCACCACATACAATCCCTTCAATGTCTTCCAGACGCTCAAGAGAAGACGATCGCGAAGATAGCCACCGCCGGTCGAAAAAGCATAGCCGTAGAGATCGAACCTCTCAGTCAGACGATGAAGATCATCTAATCAAGAAAGCTAGATCCATGATCAAAGGTATGTGACCCATTCCCAACTCAACGCAGGCGCAGTACAGGAGCTAATGAAACCGCCTGTAGAGATCAGCAAAGACGACTACTTTATCAAAGCAGCTGAATTCCGCGTTTGGCTCAACGAGAAGAAGCACAAGTATTTTAACGAGCTTTCATCGGAAGACGCTCGGTATTATTTTGGCAAGTTTGTAAAAGCTTGGAATAACTTTGAACTTGACCGTATGTTACATTTCATTGATTACAACGACGTTTGCCTTTTTGTCTATCTTTATCTGACTTTCCATGTAACCTTAGAAAAATACTATGAAGGTATCACATCGGCACAATTGTCATCACAGGACACTACGCGGTATAAATGGGGTTTCTCAAGGAACGTTGATCAACATGAACTGGATTCCATACGGGATAGTGTTGACACCATGACGAACTCACAAAAAAAATTAAAAGAAGCTAGAGAATCGACCAGGGAATCTGCCAGCGATAGCCGTAGAGTTCGAAGAAATGTTGGACCATCGTTGCCATCCTCTAGTGGACGGCACCAAAGTGGTAAGGTTTCCTGTTTGCGGATAGAGTCAGGCTGGTATGTCAATCGTACGCTGCAAGGTAACTAAATGATGTAACGTTCTATTAGATGATGAGGATGCAATGGACAGGCGAGATCGTGAGCGAGCGGAACGAAAGCGTGAAGCCAAGGGCAAGCGACAGCGAGATGAACATGTGTTGGATGAAATAGCACCAAAAGAAACAGGTCGAGAAGCACAGCTAGCCAAACGAAGGGCGCAGAACGCTTTCCACAAGAGAGAGCGTAGTCCAGATGTTGAACTGAATGAGTCTGATTTATATGGAGATGATAGATCAAGGTACGTCGATATTCAAGCACGCACATTCGAGAACTGCTGTTAATTAAATTCTTCTATTTGCATAGCCTTGACCACTTGAAGCGACTGGAGAAACAGAAGCAGGAAAGGTTTGCAGAACGACAGCGACAAAGAACAGCTCCCATTCGAGACAAACTGGACACATACCGCGCCAAAGAAGATCAAACCATGGCGATGTTCCGGCAAATGGCTGAAGAGCAGAAAAAGCGCGGCGGACTGTGAATGCCCCCCATAGGTTCATTTTTTCAACCTTTTTTTTTTTTTTTTTTGACATGCTCTTCCTGTAATTTTTTCATTCATGTCGCAATTTCTACCTCCAACGGAACTGTTGCTTCCTTCGCATCTCGAGCACTTGTCACCCACCGAGTACCTTAGCCACCTTGTTGCATTAGCTGATAAATACAGTGAATTTACCTCTTTGCACATTGTGCACTTCCTGTCTCGGAATTTCTGGGATATGATCGATCCGGAATGGCAGCAGGCTTTGATGGAACCTGAGAGCGAAGACGAGTTTATTGACGACATGCTGAATCTTGCTAGTCGCTATGAGTGCAAGGTATGGCCTTCCAATCCCTCAATGCCCTGAAATATATTTTCATACTGCGTCGCCACATTGAGGCTCGCTGTCACTATCTGAAGCACAATTAACCATGGTTTTGCTGTACTTTTTGCGTTACAGTCTTCGTGGCCCGAAAGTTTGAAAGCTTATGTTGAAGAGATGAAAACCACTCAGTTGCCGTCCTTTGATCCAGAACAATGTAAGATTTGGTGACTTCGAAATTTGCATACCCTGTTGCAGCAGTACTAATCGATCTATTGGCATGTAGTTAATACCGACCATCTTAGCTGTACGATAGATCGACACTTACTGTCTGGAATGAGTGAAAAGAAAGCACACGAAGTTGAAACACTGAGCATGCTGATCAAGCATGTTGCAGAAGCAACCGATATGACCTCCATCATTGATCTGGGTGCTGGCCAAGGATATCTGAGCCGCATGTTGGCGCTACAACACGGCTTGCATGTATTGGGTGTGGATGCGGATGAGATTCAGACCTGCGGAGCCAAATTTTTCCAGGGAAAAGCAGAAAAATCCATCAAGGGCAAGAATATTCGAGCACTGGTGGCGACTGAGGACGACCCAACGGAAGCCATCGCGAAGGAGAAGGAGCGACAGTCTCACCTGAACCATGTCACGCAAATGATCACACTGGAAAACATACCGACTCTGTTGGCCGACTGGACGGATACATCACGTTGGAATTATCGAGAAGTCCCAGCTAAATCTTGGATGATATGTGGCCTTCATACCTGTGGTGATTTGGCGCCTACTATCATTCGACTGTTCCAAGGAAGTCCTGAAATTGGTGGTATGATCAGTGTCGGGTGCTGTTACCACTGGCTTACAGAGGAGAAAGATGCACAAGGCACCTACGCATTCCCTATGAGCACAAATCTCATCGACCGTGGCTACAAGCTTGGTCCTACGCTTCGCATGCTGGCATGCCAAGCACCAGGACGCTGGGAAAGTCAACGTGAAGCCACTGTCAAGTCCTTTAAACACAATTTCTATCGCACCATGCTACAGGTGAGTTTATGGCAGGACTAGCACTGCACTGTAGAGCGATATTTTTTACGGAGACAAGATAGTGATCGTATACATCATTTTTTTTTTTAGAAAATCATGGTCGATAAGGGATTAGCTACTATTAAAGTGGCTCCGGTGGTGGGTCGTATGAACCACAAAAGAGATTTCGCATCTTTTCCAGTGTACGTCCAAGCAGCATTACGTCGGTTTGATTTATCTGGAACCATCACAGATGAGGAAGCGATTGAATTTGAAGCCAAAGCTCGCAAAGACGGTCAATACCGCAAAATGGTCATTCTCTGGACCTTGCGAATTCTCTTATCCCCTATCATTGAATCCATTATCCTTGTTGATCGTTGGCTCTATTTGAAGGATACCCTGCCGAATGCAAAGATTTGCATGTGGCCACTGTTCGACAAAGTTGCCTCGCCCCGCAACGTTGTCATTGCTGCTCTCAAAGAAGGCACCACCCATTGAAGCCCTCTGCTTTTCATTCTGGAGTCAAAGTATACCAAGCAATCGGTTATTTATCACTGTGTACATTAAATTATGTTGACTCTTCTGATTACAAACAGTTAAGGAAAAAAAAAATACATAGAAGTAAGACTTGACTATAACCTAATAAAATAGGGTCTCTCAGCTAATATTAGCTGGTACTTACGGAAACAAGGGAAAAAAAGAAGCAATATCTTTAGCGAACATGATTTTCCTTTGTGGCTTTCGTTTGCATGCTCGTAGTAAATGAGAAAGAAAGAAACCAATATGCGCAGTATGCAGTATTAAAATGAAACTTTTTTTACACGGCCTGTGCTTCATTGGCAGGTTGGCCCTTTTGATCAGGTAAAAAGGCATCTGTGTCATATGGCACACCGTTGTCTTTGCCAGAGTAGCGGTCCTCGTCAAGGACGACTTTGCCAGGCTTATACTTGATGTTGCGAGGGATGTGAGCGCCAACAGAGGTAGCCTTGATGTTTCGTGAATGAAGGTCCTCCAATTGGCGCTGAGTGATACCCATATCGTCTTCAGCCAGCCACACGGTAGGTTGCTGACTGTAGAGCGATGGATGCAAGTACGTCGTCGCTTCTGTCTGAGTGTTCTGATCGGCCGGGATGTCGGCTTCACGGTTCTGGAAGGCTGCAGTGTCGCCAAGATTAGTGTCCTTCGTGGCCTTCTCAAGGTCATTCGCATTGACGGCTGGATAGTTGCGTACTTGTTCCGAGCCACCAACAGGTGTTTGGTGGGACATATTGACGGGTGGTTGTTTGGCACTGATTTGCTGACCATCGACGTAATGTGGGTTAATGTCCGCAGGGTTCACAGGTACGTCTGGGTTAGCGAGACTGACAGGCAAGTACTTGAACATAGGCTTGAAGGTTTTGTCGTAAAGTCCCATAGCGAAGGCAGTAACGACCAGGCAAATAATCATAATGACAAACTGAGGTACAGCGCCACCAGGTTGAATGGCTAGAATACCAATCATGGTCAACTGGAACAAGAACAAACCTGTCCAGATGTGACGCATGGAACGAGGGAAGTATTGACCGCCGGATTCAAACTCTCTATCATATACATACAAGAACTGATGCAAATAAACAAAATAGTGCGTGATGAAGAAGAGGAGTACGAAGGGAAGCACCAGTGGAGCGATGGTGGAGTAAAGTAGACCTATGGAAAGATGGCCAGTATTATTAGCAAGGCGTAAACATTTCATCCTTTAACTTCCTATACTCACCAAGTACAAAAACGACAGTATGAGATGGAATCAAAGTACCAAGGTTAGTAGTACTGCATCCTCCTTTTTGAGCCCAAATAGAGCGGGGAGTGGAAGCAAGGAAGGAAAACACCCAAGAAAGGATCAATGGCACGATTTGCAACAACTCCAAGGCAGCACTGATGGTGGCTTGAAGCATAATATAAGTAATGAAGAAAGTTGCAGCTTGAGGTAACTTTTGAGCCAACGTGCTAACGATGCTGGTAGGGTTCTGGATGAGTTCTGAAGCTTGGAAAACGGCATTGGCGATGGTTGTAACGAGTACGACGTTGAAAAACTAAAAGGACAGGAGTCAGAATGGACATAATAAAGGGGTTCACCATAGGAAGTTGGACCATCATCTTACTTGGAACACGAAGTATTTCTGCAAGAGACTCATTTCAATGGACGTTCTTCGAGGGATACCTTCAAATCTGGCGAGCACTGATGGGTTGAGAAAATGGTTAGATGAATTGATCAAAGGGTAGCCACAATAAGGGGCGATATAGGGTAACGAAAGGGAGTGGAGTGGAGGGCAACAGCTAAGAAGGCGGGTCACCCTGGGCTTGATTACTTACTAACAAAGACAACAGGCAGCAGAGCCATCAAGATGGACAAAGCAATAGCGGGCAAAATACCCTGGATGACACCAACGGCAACCGGGGGCAAGTTGTTCACACCAGACAGGAATGGCAGGATCGTAGCCAAAGAAGACAAACTGGAAATACTGGAAACAAAAGCAACTAATGAGGTTCAAAAGAGGCATTAGATCAATAAGTGAACATGGTGGTAACAAGGCATTCATCCGTATTTTACCTGGAATAGCCCAAAACACGATGATGGCACCACTGGCACAGTAACTAATGAGTTGGCGACCAATGCGAACCCAAGGGTCAATGTTCATGTTGGCCCATTCGATATCCTCTGGTGCGATTTCGATGTAACGAGGCGTCATCTTCATAATTTTATGATGAGCAATGGTTTGTGAAGCCATATGAGCAGCGATTTGTTGATTGAATTCGATGAATGCTGAGTTGACCTGTTTGTAAGAATCGACATCGGATTGAGATTTTTCGATAGACTTGTTGAGCAGCATGATTTGGTCTTCATAGTATGTGATAGAATCGACTTTCTGGCCAATGCAGGGCATAGGGATTGGAACAGGAAGAGGGTTGACACGGTGGGTGGGGCGGAATTGATCTGGGATTGCGCCATGGCCGCCTTCTGGTCCAACTTGAGAGCCACGGTTAGGGCTGGCCTGATGTTGCTTCATGGTCTTTCGTGTAGCATTCAAATGTGCTCCTTCCAGCCCTTTCACCATTTTGAAACGCTTGTTGACTTGGTCAGGGAGTCCGTTCACTTTTCTGAAATAGTTTCCAATATGAGTTTACTATTTGAAAATCGTATATAAATTTTACTGGTGGCACTTTACCTGTTGAGCCAAATTTGTCTGACTCCACCAGGATACTTGTCGAAAAGGGATCGAAGGGCTTCCACATTATTGTAATCAGGCGGGATACCGGATACGAGAATGGTGCGGGCTGCTGGTGAGTTAACATGCTCGGGATCGAGAAGATACTCATGACGAAGTTGGATGTAACGTCGAGTTTCTCGGAAGATGGCGTAGATTGTAAGAGCTGTGATTGAAACCAAAAATTAGCATACAATGTTCTCACCCATCGGTCGGTTGAAAAAAATGACTACACATTACCACTAACACCGACAGCTAGCCACATATGGGCCCAAGTTCGAGCACTGTATCGAACGTTGCCGATGGTCAAAACATTGATACCAGCGTTACCGTAACCGTCGATGTAATTGAGTGGAATAAGAATTGGGATGCAAAAGAACGTGATGATAGCGAACAGCACAATGCCCATTCTCAACAGTCGGAGAAACATGTATCGATCAAGACCCATACGGATTTTCATGTCTTCATCTTTGGTTCTCAATAAAGCTGGAATCCACCCAAATACGCCTTTTGGAAAAGGCGGCGATCGTTTACTGTAACACACGCAGGTCAGAAGGAGTAAAGGTGTCAGTCGCCGATGTCACCACCAATTCCTCACCTTTCTGGTACAAGATACGTGCGTGGAGCATAGATTCGTTTACTGACGGTTCTTGCAATACCAAAACTGCCAATGAGAACTACGGAAATCACGGCGTTGAACACCAATGACGACACAAAAGTGCTAGTTGACGGATCAGCACTGGAAACAGCATTCGCCGACATATTTCGTTACAGTGTCGATGGACGAGCGAAGAAGACCAAGAATTAACGGCGATACGATTTTAAAGTGACCACGAGATTTAGGGAAATGTTTAAGAATACAAAACATTTTTTTTTTAGTCCGTGGAGAATTTTGGCTAGGTTTCAGGTCATGGCTAACTTACGACAACTGTTCTTGAGCAGCATCACTGTTGTTAGACATTGTTGTCCTTCAATGTTTATGCCCTTTCAGCTAGCAATGGGAGTGAAAGAGAAAAAAGACAAAAAGAAGCTGAAGAGATCTTGGGCTTTTATGTACTTTTCCTTTTTGTTTACTTTTTAATATCAGCCCACCTATTTATGTTACTCCTTTCTGCATTTCACTGTCCAAACGACGTTTTTCCCTTTGACCATTTTGGTGCTCTGTGAGCCTAAGCACGTCACTGCTATCATTGAAATGACAGGCATATCACTGCCTTCAATCGAAGCATCGAGCAGGATGTCATGCACTTGAGATGAAAAAGGTGCTTAACCCACACCAAATATAGGCATCCGAAGATTGCAAGAACGTCATGTTTGTGACACCGACGCATATGAACGTTTCGTCTAATGCCTTCAAGAGTAAATAAAAACTTTATTGTTCTTTGTGTTTTACCCTCCAAGCCGTTGACCTTGACCAGGGAACGTGGATGGAGAAGCGGTTGGGGCAGGGCTGGATGAATCCACTGGTTCTTCCACATAAGACCGCTGGAAGATCGGAAGGAACGTTCTATCTTGCTGCACACTCACAAATCCACGTGCATTCACTATCGGCCCTAGACTTTGACGGGCTTCAAGCCACTGGTACGAATCAGTAGATGGAGTCAGCTGTGAGCGCCTTGTCGCCACTAGCAAAAGAATAAGGAACATCAGTGATTCTCTCTCTCCAAAAAGGCACTTCCTCACCAAGACTTACATAAGTATGAAATGCCTGCCACCAGACTATGCAAAATGAGAGATGACCCTGGCACTAATAGCGTGTAGAATACGAATACCACGAGCGGCAGATATTTACTAGGAATCCGCAAAACGCCAAATAGCCTGAAACAAAACATACACCCGCGCTAGGGTTAGCTCCGCTCCCATATTTTGTCGGCATGTCCGGTCGACTTACATCCGATCTGGTGCCTCGCCACTTCTGTTCTCATCGACTGCCGTCCACACCGAGAGCCCAATGGCCCATCCAGAAAGCCCCGCACAACGCCAAGGATCGATGAACGACGTGTACAACAGTGCTGCACATATTAAGTACCCTATAGCAGGGAGTACAGTGCATACCGTGAACAACATCCACAATGTCGGTACCGTTCCATGCGTGCTTTCAAACTGGAGAAGAGATGGGATCAAGAACAATAGGTTGGTGATCAGCAGTGATAAAGACGGGGTGACGATCGGGTAGGTGAAGAGTCGATATACTGCAGGATAGGTTGGTCAAGGTGTAAGAAAAAAAAAAAAAATTTGGCAGACGCTGACCTTGGAAGCTGTGGCGTACACTGTTATACGACAAATCCAACAAAGTTACTAATCGTCGCGAATCCACTAGCCAGAAAATAAAGTCGACCAGCCCCAAAGTCACCGCTACGGTCAGTGTAACAACTGTGGCCAGAGGTAAAATCGAGAGATAGTGATTAAAGTGATGATTGAACATGGCAGCAGGCCCACCATTCGCTGGAGGAGGCATGGTAAAAGGAGCAAGCGCTAGTCAAGTTTAACGTCGGCTGAGCTTAGTAAAATTAAGACGACTGGCTGAACAATAAAAAAAAAATTATGTTCTGAGAGATATGTGTAATTGAGAACAGAAGTATTGTAGTTTATTCAAGTAACCGTTGCAGTGGGTAAAGGAGCTGATAGTGTACATCCTTCTTGCAAGCGTTGGGCGCGCGCTTAGGAACAGACATGCTATGAGCAGCAGAAGTTATATTGATGGAAACAAATGCTTGGCTTATATTAAAGAATTGTATTGAATTGTATTGAAATTTTTCGTAGTTTTTCGTTGAGAGCGCGGGAGGCCATGCTTCATTGCAGTTGGACTGGCAAAAAGTTGCCAACGATTACCGTCTGCAGTAGGGAATTTCAACATTAGTAAAAGGTTTATGGGCCATTATGCATAGCAATCGACAAGAACTTACGGGTCTAATGAAACATGAGAGTAGGGAGAGAGGAAAATTGTGAGGAAGCGGTAGACACTGATTGACAAGAGACTGCTAGCGAACTTACATATTGTATTTATCGCGTCGTATCGTGAATGAAAAGCAGCATGAAATGACGCTTGTTTTTTCTGGATCCGGGGACTTTAGTAGACATGAGGTCAAAACAGCCTTTTGTCCAGCGTCAAATGCAATATTGCCATATTTCTAAACACATGCACTATTAGTATGGACGCCGGCAAGTCCGCACCGCACCGCTTGTTCTAAAGCTTACCTCCCAATAGTTGACGGCAGAGTCTTCGGCCATCATCTCATATATACAAAGATGGCCCTAAGGGGAACGGGTCAGCATACATGCATCGAACACTTTTCAGAACTTGAAGCAAATGATACCTCTCGTAATTGCTCGATTGGCACTCCTACCAGGGCAGCAAATTCTTTGTTTCCTTTGTAGATCTCACCAGTTCTCCGCCACAAGCAAGCCGGTATGCCCATGGAACTGAATACACGATCATAGTCCTGGATTCAAATTGGAGTCAGTACACCAGGCTACACTTAATTTTTTCGGGTACTACTAACGCCAACATACCAAAAGAAGTCGTTCAAACGCTTCCTCGACTAAAATAAGATCAATATCAGTCAGAGACTGAGCAACGTGTCTAAATGCCGGTCTGAAGGTGCCCATGACATTCAATATCCGCTGACGACTATTTGGTGACATGCTAATAAAAAAGATTTCAGTCATAAACATGTGAGATCACATTGCGTTTCCACACCAACGCAAACATACTGATTGTCCATGTAGCGTTGAAGTCTTGCATAACCGTTCACGTAGTTGTAGGGACGAAGGAAACCAGCTTCGTATTTAGCATTGATGACTTCGTTGAGTCGATCTTCCAATTTACCGTCGTGCGGGTCGGCAGCTGTAATAAAGTATTGCTCGGTTGTATTGGTTGGGTCGTTCCCAGGCGTGAGATTGTTGGTCAATGCGCTTCCATTGGTAATAGCATCGCCGCTGGCGGTTGCCAATTGATGTTGTGGTGGTTGCTGTTGGTGCTGTTGGAGTAAATTAGCGGTTTTGGGATCGAGTGAGTCGAGGAAAGCGCTTTGAAAAAAAAAAAAAAAACCAAGATGTGCATCAGATTATCGGACTCATCTGTTCTATCCAGAGACAAAGATGACCTACCTAATGACACTAAATTCATTTCCCATTTCCTCACTGGCAAAGGCCAATGGTACCGAAGGCATCTGGAAAGGAGCTATAGCGGGTGCGACATTAGTATTGGTCATGACGAGCCACCGATCACTATTTGAATCCCATCCAATTACCGTCAAGAATAGCTTTAGGCATCATGTTCATATTGTTCTGACCACCGTTATTTTGAGTGCTTCGGTTGTTCTCCTTGTCTTTGCCAGCAGCATTACGAGCAGCCGCCGCTACTGCTGACGGCTTAGGTTCGTCGTGACAAAGATGCCCGATGCTTCTTTTGATACAGCGCTGACATGGTCGACCTAGCCAAGTCAAAATGAGAAGCGGTTATAGACAGGATCATCCTCAGCTCAACTACAAATAAAAACACGTACCGTCATCACATGTCATATGGGATCTACGGCAATACACACATGCTAAGGAGCGCGCAAGAAGAGTCAAGGTCACGTTAGAATGAAGCAAACAGCATGAGGTGAATGAGGGGGGCTTTACCATGAGTGACCTTCTTTCGTTTCGGACCGACTCGTTTCTTCTTTGAGTCATTGCCATTATTTTCAGACGGTCGAACTGATCCAAGACCTGACGTCGAGCCATTTTGCTCGAGCTTTATATCCGAGCTAGACGAGTCCGAGGAAGACTCAGGGCCAAGATTGGATTGAATCGAATGGGTTGTAGGAGATTCGGTCAAATGAACCGGCGGAGGATGAGTTGTTGAGTTGGTCATGTTGCTAATGAAAGGAAATTGGAAACTTTGATCTGTTGGTCAATTCAACTTCCCCCCACAAATGTAACAACAAGGAAGTTGGGAAAAGTCTTGTGAGCGTGAGTGTGTGAACAAGGTTTATGGAAGCGGGCATTTAAATTGTCATTTCGAGCAAATACTTTGGGTCGGCCCTATTTCAACTTGCGACTCATCCGCTTTGTGTGATGTGATGTGTGATATGTGACTTGGCCGTTGATCCAGGTTATCAAAGATTGAAGCTTTTAACCCATCATAAACATTACTATAAAATTGCTGTTTGGTTAGTGTTAGCGCCGCTGAAATGAACGAGAAAAATTGACTCATAGTCTCCGTGATGAGCACATTTACAGGGTGTTTTCATTTTGGTGCAATATGTATTGTGAAATAAGCAAAGACTTAGAGTAAGCGAAAATTTGTTAAAATAAAGGGTAGCAAAGAGTTCATTTTAGTACTATGCAGGTAGAGACATGGGCTAAATGCCAATACATGACATACACGGATACGCATTGACGATCCGTAGCTAACAAGGAATATATGGATTGGTGGTATCAGGCTTTCAGGTACAATGGTGTACCTTATCCAGATTGATGTGACAAAAAAAAACACACCAATGCTGTACATGAAGTAGGACGGTGCAACTTTTTGCCCTCGCCATTCTTATAAACATACTTCTCACTTGCACCAAAATTATTCGCTCGCTATGGGTAGCCGAAGTGAAGATTGACCGCAAGTAGCACTGTCACAATACCGTAATCGAGATGGTTGGTTGGTCCGCCGGTGAAACACACAGGGTCAATTTCGATTGGGCAGTAAATTGATCGTATTTGTTCAAAGCGATATTTATATGGTAAAAAAAAAAAATATGCTGTCCAACAAGGGAGCCATCCTATTCTCAAAATAAATGGTATGTAAACATTGGTTTCAAAGATATTTCTAATGAATCTCTACTATAGATGCTTCTAAGGTCTAAAAATAAGGAAAGTTGTTATGGGGAATTATCACATTGGGAGTGTTGTTATTTTTTACATCTTGCTGCGACGGGCAACACCAAGTTCGATGAGCTTGAGGAAAGCTGAAGTAAAGTCATCGAAGAATCTCTGCTTGTCCTTGGCATAGATCTCGACATATTCGCGGAAAGGTTGTTCCAAAAGGGCCATATCAGTCGACAACATCATAAGGTCGGCATCACCCTTGTTCTCAAATTGTGTAGGACCATCCCATTCACGCTTGACCCACTCTTGGCTGAGCAATTGCTTGAAGCTATCCGACATACCGTTAGCAAGGAGATCATGGGATTGGATGAAAAACAAACTTAAATATCTCGTTTTATACTTACAATTGGTTGGAGAAACGGGTAGGGGTGACAGTCCAAGGACCATCGAAACCAGAGCGGTCCTTGTGGCATCGACCAACAGTGTGAGCACCGATCAAGGCAACAGTCTCTTGAACAGTAAAACCCATACGTTGCACAAAAACGTCAAGAACGTGGCTCTTGCCCAAAGCACCATCGGGAAGACGTCCAATAGGGGGGCAATCAGCCTCGCTAGCCTTATCACGACGACCACCAGCCCAAGGGATGTGAGGACCACCCATCTCTTCAACAGCAACGCATCCAGCAAGACTAATGTAAAAGCCAAAAACAATGAATAAAAAAGCCACCTTTCTGTCACTGTGCCAATTTGACTGTACTTACGTCCACAAATCAGCATATGAAATCCATCCGTGCTTAGCCTTGACAGGTTCAAGCGCTTGGCGAGCAACGTCAAGACCGGCATTAGCGCCGTCTTCAGCTTCAGCCTTGAATCGCATGGTAGCACCGTCGGATCCACCATTCTTTTCATTCTTGGAGTATGTTCCACTTGCGTGCCATGCAAGGCGAAGGCTAAAAAAGGGGCTGTTACGATTCACATTCATAAAAGTGAATCAAACTCAGATTCGGATGACTTACATGACAGGGGCCATTGAACCATCGTCATAGTCTGCCTTGGGGAAGATCTTGGCGATGTCTTCTCGGACAGCTTGGTATTTGTCTTGGGTGACGGCTGTGGACATGATAGAGTAGGGAAAGGTAAGATAAAGATAGTGATAAAAGTTCAGACGAACCTATTATTTTTTTTTAATTGAAGCTGACACATCGATTTCACATGTACTGGATGATATCGGAATAAGAAAAATTGGAGACTTTCGGGTTCAGTTTCATGTGGAGAGAGAGTGGAGTGGAGTAGAACACTTGAAGTACTTCGTGTTATGTTATTAAAATATATAATGACCACATGGAATGACGAGATAGGACTCCCATATTTCACAAGGAATCCAAAGTTCTTTTTCACCAAATACTCCAGATATCCTGTCATTGTGCAAGTGCTCCCCCGAGGCAAGAAGTCATCTTCACGTGGAGTATGAATTTGTCAAGCAACTTGATATTTGCTGACTGTTGAACAAAAGTCAAATCTTACCATTGAAAAGGACACGCCCCGTGTGACTACCTTCTCCTCATTATCGTTCTTCTCTCTTCTGTCATAATGTCGGATAATGTTGCTCATGCTCTCTCTGGTACGTAATGTTCAAGGAATTAACTCCTTGTTTTGCTTTGAGACGTAGGCTAACATGGTGTTGTCACCAGGTGCCGGTGGTGGTATCGTCTCCATGGTCTTGACCTATCCTTTGGTCTCGATTTCTACTCGTCTTCAAGTCCAAAAGAAGTCCAACTCTGAGGACGCTTACAAGGTATATTTCAAAAGCTTTTGCGAGCTCACTGCATTCACACAGATCGCTTACTTTATGATGCAAATTTACTAGAACACTTTGGATGCCTTCGTCAAGATCATGGCCAGAGAAGGTCCCAAGGGATTGTACTCGTATGTAGATCTTTGATCTTACCACTCAAAGCGTCTTGCTATTTTACTCACCCTCTGTACCTTATTTCAGCGGTTTGAGCTCTGGTGTAGTTGGTATTGCTATTACCAATGGTAGGTCCTTGAAAATCGTATATGCCATTATATAATCCGCTTCCCCGAAATTAAAAATTTCCTCCATATGCAGGTGTTTACTATTACTGCTATGAGGCTGTCAAGGCTGCCTTCGAGAAAGCCAAGGGCAAGGGTACTCCCTTGACTACTGCCCAATCTATGGCTGCTGGTGCTCTTGCCGGTGCTGCTGTCGTGCTCGCCACCAACCCCATCTGGACCATTAACGTGAGCAGCACTCTTCAACATTTTCCCTTTAACGTTGTCTAACATTTCTCTATTGTCATCTTAGACTCGCTTGACTACCAGAAAGGGAGATCGCAACGGAAAGTCTGCCGATGGTTTCTTCAAGACTGCACTTAAGATGTTGAACGAAGAAGGTCCTCAAAGCTTCTATGCTGGTGTTCGTGCTGCTTTGGTTTTGGTCATGAACCCCATTATCCAGTACACCGTTTTTGAGCAGGTCAAGAACTTTATCTCCAAGAAGAGACAACTTGGAAACTTTGATTTCTTCCTTCTCGGTGCCGTCTCCAAGTTGGCTGCCACTAGCATCACCTATCCTTACATGTAAGTCGCAGGTTTGAGGTTCACATCAATGCAAAGGTTTCTGATCCATCTATTATAGCGTTGTCAAGTCTCGCATGCAGGTCAAGAGCAAGGATGAGGAAGGTTACAATTCGATCTTGGATGGCTTCAGAAGCATTATTGCCCATGAAGGTATTGGCGGTTTGTACAAGGGCATTAGCTCCAAGATTGTGCAATCTGTCTTGACTGCTGCTTTCTTGTTCATGGCAAAGGAAGCCCTGTTCGATTGGGCCGTCTGGGCCCTTGTCTTGGCAGGAGCCCGCCCCGCTAAGAACACCATCTCCAAGGCTTAAATAGATCATTTACTCCAACCACCTTTAGAACGATGCTGCTTCTTCTATTCCCCCAATGTATCAATATGGAACCTAGTTATAAAAAAAAATAAAGCAACCGTACTTTTCCACCAACACATGATTGTAATATAGCCTGATAATAGACAGTATCGCTATTGGCTGAAGACGTCCCATTCATTGAAAGGCCGAACGCGCACTCTGAAAATCCAATGCAAGCGGGAAACCAGGGGCCAAAAAATAACGTATAAAAAAAAAGAAACTATTTCAGTTTGACAGCTCATCTTTATTCCTGGTTGGCACTTAAGGCATGTATACTAATTTGTAGATTAGTGAAAGTCATGGACAAGGAAAGGGCATTTTCGACGCGCCTCCAAGTGATCATCACGCGCGCGCTTCCCCTTAATCCTAGTCATCAGGCTCAGCCCGTCCACGCTTTGGCTCGAAATGCACCATCATGGGTTCCATCCACCCAACCTGAGGTCATCTTGCCTAAACATTGACTCGGATCATAAATGGGGTGGCGAAAACTTGCGATGCAGTCCTTGTCTTCATCTTACTGTCTCCCGCCTCGAGACGACTTGCCATAAGCTTTAATTGCCTTTAAGTTTGGTTTTCCTAATCTTGCTATTTTGTAATCTTATAGATGACAGTTGCGAAACCTTGGACTCCCTCTGCTTGGGCGGCCATTCACAATGCGCCTCTTCCAGCTGAAGGTGCAGGTAATCAAACCTTTGATAACAGAATCTTCTTTGGTCTCCTTGGAGGCGTACCTTTGATCGTTACCGTCCTACTCCGCTGGTCTTTGTGGCTGTACCCGGTAGTGGCTATTGTGCTCGCTTTGCCTATTCTTGCCGGCAGTCTGTACTTGGCCTCTAGCTACTCTCCTCGCTACAAGAACCGTGTTGCTCTCCCTGAACGACCCCTCGAAGACTATATCACTATCAAGGATCCTGAACTCAAGTCCTTGTACAACGGACGTAACCTGATCCCTATGGAAACCTTCTTCGAGGCTTACTTTGATGGAAAGATTGACTTTAAGGGTGATGCTTTGGACATTATGGAGGCTCGTCATGATTGGGCTGCCTTCCGTTTCACAATGGGACAATTCAAGTTCTTTTTGACCCAATGGATCCCTGAAACTCTCTGGCACTCTCGCAAGCAAGATGAAGATCAAGTTCGTGAGCATTACGATCGTGGTGATGACTTTTATGAGGCTTTCTTGGGCCCTCGTATGGTGTACACCTCTGGTATTATCTCTGACCCCACTAAGCGTGAAACTCTGGAAGAATTGCAAGATAACAAGCTCAACTTGATCTGTGAAAAGATCCATCTCAAGCCGGGTGATAAGCATTTGGATATTGGCAGTGGATGGGGTACCTTGGTTGCTCACGCCTCAAAGTACTTTGGAAGCGACTCTACCGGTGTCACTCTTGCTCGTAACCAAACCGAATATGGTAACAATCGTATCAAGGAATGGGGTGTTGACCCCAAGCAGGCTCGTATCAAGTGCATGGATTACCGTGATATTCCTTCCAACGTCAAGTATAACAAGATTACCTGTGTTGAAATGGCCGAACACGTTGGTCTCCTTCATTTCCAAAAGTTCCTTTTGGAAATCAGAGAAATGCTTGATGACGATGGTTTGTTCTATATGCAAGTTGCTGGTCTCCGTGCCACTTGGCAATATGAGGATTTCATTTGGTAAGTTGAATGGCTTGATCTTGGATTTTTCGATGGCCTGAAAGAAAATATCTAAACCCGCTATTGTAGGGGCTTGTTCATGGCCAGATATATCTTCCCTGGTGCTGATGCTTCTACACCTTTGTACTGGTACATTAACCAGCTCGAATGCGCTGGTTTCGAAATCCACAACATCGATACCGTTGGTGTTCACTACTCTGCTACCCTCGAGAGATGGTACTACAACTGGATGGAAAACAAGGAAAAGATTACCAGCAAGTATGGTAACAAGTGGTTCCGTGTCTGGGAGATCTTCCTTTCATGGTCTACCATTATTTCACGCCAAGGTAGTGCCACTTGTTTCCAGATTGTTGCTAACAAGAACATGAACTCCGTGGATCGTGCCGCTCTTATTTGCAACCGCACTAACCCCAAGGCCTGGACTGCCAAGCGCGGTTAAGAAAAAGAAACCGCCCTTGTGTGGTATGGATCAAACCATGTAGACCTTTCTATCGAAGAAAGAGAAAGAAAATGTTATATCATAACTCATTCACAACTCAAGCTGGCAAGTTGTTGTTAACGTGCCTAGATGGTTTTGCGTTGTCACTCAATCATGAAATAAATAAAAAATATCATAACCAAAATGAACATATGGTGCTTCAAACCAAACCAAATCAAAGAGGGGGATACATTATTGTTGTTTTGTAATGGCATTGTGTGTTTTTTGGGTCAGGTTTTTATTTATATATCGCTAACAAGAACGGTTTTCAAGTACAAGGAATTGTGCACATATTTAGCCTTGCCAGTGAACTGAAAAATAAGGGTGGTATCGCGTTAGATCCAGTGAGGTATCCGAGAATCACAAGTGACTACATTAACTTACCGGGAAGTTTATCACCAGGCACAAAGAGCCTTTCTACACCTTTCTCGGTGATAACAGCCATACGAATAACACCACCCGAAGAACCGTCGCGAGACATAGCAAGTGCAAGCGCTAAGCAAGGAAATGGAATGTCAGCGTTGCCAATCAGATTACCTTCTGTGAAGAAACGATCACTTACAGTTCTTAACAAACTCAATGCACTCCTCCCGAGTCATGTTATCCTTGTATTGAGAATCACAGTAACCGTAGATGTATGTTGAACCTGAACCGCCAATGGCAAATGGCTGTTGAATGAGTGCACCACCCAATGGTATATTGTAAACCGTTCCTCCCTTCTTCTTATCCCAGCCTGCAACAATGATACCAGCGGACAATTGGTCCTTGTTCTGGTAGCACATCTCTTGGAACAACGTAGCAGCAACATGTACCGTCGGTGGTTCATCTTGTTGTACGCTAGTAAAGCAAAACGCATCGAGTTAAGTATTGCTGGCTCCAATAGGTAAAATTCGACATCATTTTTTTCTCCTGTGTTCCATACCTGTACATTTGTAAGTAATACTGGACGATATCAGCAACGGCTTGAGTATCTGCTGCTGATCCGGACCGACAGCAATAAATCAGATCGTGCACTTTTGTTAATTTGTCGGTGACTCGGTTTGCAATGTACGAGCCGGTGGTTGTGCGAGAATCAGCGCCAACTATAACTCCACCGTTGAATGCAACCGCCATGATGGATGTCTAGAAGTTCATGAACGGCAAAGTTAATATGACATGAACAGGCGTCAGGTACGAAACTTTTGCTCCACTTGAATGGGACAATCCCATAAGCTGTATTGGCTGCTTACTCCCAAATTAACTTCTCCTGGTTTAAGACTCATGTTGTGAAATCGTTGGGTGTGGATAGGTAGCAAGTCTGTGGTCGTGCTTGTCTGGTTAATTGTCGGTCACTGCACGCGTGCGTACGCGGCAATTTCGATGACGTCTACACCTTTGCTTCTCATTCATTTGTAAGTCCGCTCATGGTCTTTTCATCACATCTTTTTGATGGAATAAACTGCAACAACAGATTGCCCTTTTATAATTTTAATTTTACGTGAGGTTCTTTAGGTAGTCTTTTTTTACACTTTCAATTGAGATAATTCCCGCAACAAACTCGCTTCATTAGCGATTTTAGCAACCTATGAGCCCGCTTATTAGAAAAAAAATCCCTAGCTTACATGAAGCGTCCATCATAAACTTAACTAACCTGAGTTGCCTCCAAAGTATCACCCTTTGACTGTCTCTCTTTGAGATCTCGGATCTGTCTAAGCTTCTTCTCAAGATTTCTGACCTTCTTGTCTTTCTCGGACAAGCCAGCAGCACTTGCATCTGATGGTGAAGCAGCACCTGCAAATCAAAAAAAGCGAGACAAGGTTAGTTTCTCCTGTAGGTGAGAGTTTCCCGCTTGCACCAGCAACATACCGTTGACCTCCTCGACTTTCTGGGTATCCTTCTTTTTCTTGTTGTTCTTTGCACCTGATTTAGGTGATGATCCAACAGGAGCGCCAGGAATGGATGGTCGTGGGGGAGGAGTGGAGGACTTTGCGCCATCACCCTGTAGAATCAATATAGACAAGTCAGCCTATCACTCAAAATAAAAACCATTTCTTTGGATACTTACCTTGAAGGATGGTGGTGTGACAGAACCACGCAAGTGGGGTGGTACGTAGGCACCAGCAGGTTGAGCAGCAGGCTTGGCAGCTACACCATTCGTCTCGGCCTTGACAGCCTTAGGTGCTGGAGACAACGCACGCATGGGATACGATGTAGCAGCAGCAGGTCGCCATCCGATCTGATATAACTCTTCAACGCTCTCATGATAGATCAAATTTCCAGTATAATGCCACATCTTGAATCCATTGTCGACACGAAGGCGAGGAGTAAGGGTGGCAGTCAACAAAAAGCGACCATCGGGTGACCACTCGCAGAAAGACGAGTTGGCGGCAGAGAAAGTGCAAATCTTTTTCAAAGTCTTTCGATCCCAGAAATCGACTGTTCCGTTCAAGTTACCGAATCCAGCGAAGCAAATGATACGTCCTTGGGGGTTGTATTTGACAAAATTTCGTGGATTGGTGCCAAAATCGAATACAGGGTTGGCTCTATGATCGTACAAAGTAGCTTTGGAAGGCATAGATCCATAGACGACAACAAACTCCTTTGAGTCTGGCCCCCAGGTAACATCGTGAATGGGGCCCTCTTTGTCAAGCACTACTCGGCAATCAAAGTTGCCAGCAACAGCCAGATAGTACAAGTTTGTCTCTCCATAATACGACTTGCCAGTCTTGTCGACTTCAGTCTGAGTCAAAACTAGCAAATTGGTGCCGAGATCGTTCCAATACATCTGAATTTTATCGGCCTTATAGAAAGTCTTGTTAGACAAGGCTGATTTGAAGTTGGGCAATCCATACATGCGGACAATGGCTGGTGCGCCTTTGCGTTCAGGAATGAACACAGCAACAGCAGGGGATCTTCCAGGGCTAAGAGAGAATTGAGAAATACCCTCAAGCTTGAGCTTTGCCCACACAGCCTGTCCAACATTTTTGCTCTCCCAGAAATGAACTTCTCCTGTCACCATTCGAGCGCAGTACTGTTCATCTTCTGTCCATTGAATGTTTCTAAAAAAAAAAAGGAGGGCAAAAAAAGTGAGTTAGGTTTATCCAATCCACTGATCTTTAAAGCATATTTCACCATCCTGTCCCTGATAAGCTGAAAATGGATAATTACGAGTTGCTATATGCTTTTTGAGAGAAGGCTGCAAGTTGTGCACCAGTATCGGATTCCCAGATGATAAGGTTGTTGCTACCTGAGCCGTCTTCAAGTTTAGCTGCACAAAAAGAACAAATGGTGTATTAGCCAATGATGTGGCACTTCCCGGCGCTGGACTTAAATGAATGAAGGGGTCTACTCACTCGGTCGCTCCCAAGTGGCAAAGTAAGTGCCTTTAGGAGAGAACCAAACATCAATGACATTCATCCTCGTCACCTCGCTGATCTGCACATCTGTAGCCGCATCGAACACTTTGACGCTAAATAGTGGAAAATTTAATGAGGTATTCAGGAGAGTTCACGTGCATAGTGACGATAGGTACCTTTCGTTCGTCACATAGGCAAACTTATGTCCATGTTTACTGTAGGCAAAGGTTCTAGCCGATCCTGCAGGCCTAACAAAGCAAGAATGGTGTTAGTCCAGTGAAAACTTTCGGTTGCAAGAAATTACGGCTGATCCAGTTACTTGTCAAATCCGTCTAGTGGCTTGAAGTCTGGGTATCCATTCCACACAGCCAGCTCCTTGAGCGAGCGATCTGGGCAGCGATTTATTAGGTTCAGGGCCTAACATAGTATACATGGTGAATTGGTTTACTTACAGGCAAATTGAGGGATTGCTGCAGTCATGAGGAGGAATGATCTGAGGCGAGGGAGAGCAGGAAACGAGAAAAAAGCGGCTTGGGTCACCCACAACAGGGTCGGAATTGTGACTGCTGAAAAACAATTCCACCATGTTTTTTGAAAGGCAACCCTTGCCGTCCCCAGCTTGCCTTATTTTTGTCCTTTTCCCCCCAATGTCAATGTACAGAGCTCTCGCTACTTCGACTATCAAGCAGTCTCTTGCATACAGCAGACCATCAGCAGTCCTTCTGAAGTCCAACCCCCAGACTGTGTCTGTCCGTCATAATTCCGTTTTCAAAGCCTTTGTGGAAACCATTAAAGATCAAGTCAAGAAGAATAAGGACTTGCAGCAAGGAGTTAAATCTCTCCAGGATGAATCTGGAAAGGTTTACGATAGTGAAGCTCTCAAGAAAGCCAGAGAATTGTATGAGAAGGTAACGTAACGTCAGAGTACAAGCGAACGGTGTAAGTTCAAATAACTAAATGGCTCCCACAGACTGCTCAAGGTGTAAGCTCAGAAACATTCAAGCAGGCTTCCGAAACAATCGGCAAGCATGCCGAAAAGGTTGGCAGCACTGTCAACAAAGCATGGAAAGAAGCTTCTGAAGCTGAATTCGTCAAAGAGGCCGCAGAAAAGTATAAGAAGGCCAGCGAAGAAATTAACAAGGCCGCCGACCCTCTTAAGAAAAACCCCGTGGTCGGCAAGATTTCCGAATCATTCCAAACTGTTTTGAAGGATGAGAGTGGGCGATATGGTGGTTTCGTTGACAAGGAAACCCGACGTAAGCTGCGTGAGGAGGCTTTGAAGAAAGATCCCCTTGCCAAAGCAAAGCCTGTTGAGGAAAACCCCGAAGCTGGAGCTTCTATGGTTATCCATAAGGACTCTGCCTGGAAGGAGAGCTGGAACAAGTTCAAGGAAGACAGTTCGTTTATGCAAGGTAGAGTATCCAATTCGCACAGTGGAGCATCGGAGGTGACAAAGAATTATTTTTTGACTCATATTCCGGTTTAGGCATTTTCAGCGCACGCAAAAAATATGAGGACTCTGACAATGTGTTTGTCTCATATACCCGCGCCTTTACCGATCGATTGCAAGATACCTTTGGCTCGATTTTCGAGGAATCCGATCAAGCTCAGGCTATCAAGGCTTTCCAGCAAGTCGACCGTACCTTCAACCTTGAAAAGTTCATGAAGGAAGCTCGTGAATATATTGTTCCCGAACTTATGGATGCCTACTTGAAGGGTGATACCGAGACCTTGAAAATGTGGTGTTCCGAAGCTGTAAGTACCTTTATGATGTGAGAGGAGTTATGTGATTTCTATACTCATCGTTTTACCTGTGATCTAGACTTACAACGTCTTGACCGCCGTCGCTCAAGCCCAAACACAACAAGGCTTGATCAGTGACTGCAAGATCCAGGATCTGCGTGATGTCGACGTAAGTGAATCGAATGTGTGCTTTTCTATAAAACAGTTAGTAACCCAACCACTGTGTAGCTTGTTACTGCCAAGATTTTGGACAATGATATCCCCGTTCTTGTCCTTTCTTTCCGAACCCAGGAGGTTGTTTTGTTCAGAAATGCTATTAGCAAGGAAATCGTGTTTGGCAAGGAGGTATGTATTTCAAGGAAAAGTTTCTTACGTCGTTGTATGGCTTACTAAAGCTTTATTCTGCGGTAGGATCATATTGAGCAAGTCACATACGCATGTGTTTTGACAAAGCAGGTCGAGGACCTCCAAAACCCTGTCACTGGTGGATGGAGAGTCATCGATATGGCCAAGCATGACTCCAGACCTACCTGGTAAAAGCTTTTCATCAAAAAAAAAAAAGTCATTATAGAAGAAGCCAATCTGTAATTTTACAAGCATACACTGGTTGACCCCTTCCTGTTTCCTGCAATGCTCTCAAAATCCCAAGTGCCCCTTATACAACTAGAGTTTAGACAATTCCACATCCATCCGTTTTTTTTTCTTTATTACTCTTTCCCTACCACAAATTATGAAAGGCACCGTCGCCTGCAAAGTTCATGTAATATAACGCTCTCCCGTACACCACCAATTCTGTCGATATATATGATTGTTGTTTACATTGCGGAAGCCTACCAATCAACGGAACGTGAGATTGAATCCCATAACTGCTCTGTTCAGTAAAAGAGTAACTTTTTTCAAACGTTCAGTCATTATGGCATGCCGCAACGGAAAGCCTGATGAAAATTTCCATTATAGTGTATCACACAATGTAGTCAAATCCATACAAGAAAGATGCAGAATTGGTCTATTTCTTACTCGGCAGTAATCATACAAACAACCATATAAAAATGGGCAGGGGAATATAACGTAATAGGAACAATTACCCTGGTGGCTACTAGGTATATGAGCATCTGTGAATAACCAATCAATTGGCAGGTTTCTGGGCCCAATTCATAAACAAGTTCACCTCTTGCTTCACTTCGTTATTTTCCTTTGGTACGTTGTCAAGCAGTTCTTGGAATTCTTCGTCGCTGAATTTTAGAATGGGCTGTACAACAGGTCGTAAACTCTTATAGGCGCTAACAATGTCTTCGAGGAACACTTCGCCGAGCTTTCCACCCCAGCCTCCAACAGGGATCCGAATTCTCAAACCGTCGATATTGACATAACCAGTGTCGCCTAACTTCAGGTCAATGTCTCTGACAATTCCGTCCTTGAATCCCCGCGTTTTCAAATATTGTTGTACTGAAAGTACTTTATGAGTGACTTGTTAGGCCTATGTAAGCGTATTTGCCGTAAACTTACCAGCATTCCAATACAGGGTGGTCTTTTGGCCGCGGTATACTTGCTCGCCGTCCATCTAAATATCAAAAGTGAAGGAGATAGCAACATGAGTATCCATCGTACGCTGTATGTCTCAATGCAGCAAATCTTACTTCGACTAATTCTATCCAGCCTCCAGGCTTGAGAACCTTGTACAAGTGGGACAGCACAGTAGCATACTGTTCATTTGGTATACCCATGCCCACTATCCGCATGTAGACGAAGTCGAACGAATTCTCGTCAAATGGTAATTCATGCACGAGGTTGCCAACAACGAAGTTACAATTATGTGGTCTAATCTCAGTAGGCCAGGTAGAGGAAACGTCTAGACCGGTGAATATGCTGTTGGGATAGGCGCTGGCCATTTCCTGCAATTGGCGACGACATTAGTACCTTTCCTTCAGGGTTGTACAATATGGAGTCGGCTCAATACTGACCAAAGTCCAGGTACCACCTCCACAGCCTGCATCCAACACTTTGATTCCCTTTTCCAGTTCAGCTTCGATAGGTGAACTGTAATTTCTATTGAACGGAAAGAAAAGTCATCAGCTTCACTGGTAGAACTAACAAACCGGAGAGTATTGAATTCTGGATGCACTTACCTGCCCACAGCGTTTTTCACAATCCAATGCTGAAGATGCAACTACAAATTCCAACAGTTAATAAATGATTTGGGCCATGAGAACGTGAACAAAAATCCTGTTACCCTGTCGATTTCTAAATAGAACAAAGGCAGAAGTTTCTAGTCAGTCTCGGTTAACTGAGCTGACCATGCGAACAGAAGACACTCTACAAACCTGTGTCATCGTTGGGTAGAACATAGGCGCAATCCTTATAAGCTTGAAAACGTCTTCCATAGGTATAGACTGAGGCTGTATGAATTTGTGGCAGCGACTTCGCACTGTCGCTGGTTTCAGAGACGAGCTTAGGTTTTTCCTCTTTGATTTCTTTGTTCTGTGGCTTCTTAGAACTTAGTGTCCATTTCAGTCGAGAGAAGAAGCCTGGCATTGCTGACTACCGGTTGAGCGAGGAAATACGAGGTGTATTTGAAAATAAAAGTGAAATAGCAATAAACCTAAAGCTCAATTTATATACTTACATCTCCTGTTGCTACGAAGCTTGACTATGTTCCTATGTTGCACAAATGTTGTACATGTTGAACATCAGTGCCTTTGCAAGATGTCTCCAAGCGCTCGGTCCAAGTCGTTCAGCAATTTAGACTAATCCCATTCCACTGTTCATATTCGGCAGCTACTTGGTTAATGTTAATGATGATAGGGCCCCACAGTTTCAGCTCGGCGTTAAGCAAAGTTTACCTTGTGGGGTTCACAAGCGTTGCGTAACTGTAACGCTGACTGATTCAAAAGAGTCACTTTTATTTTTACTTTGTGGATAATATGCTTGCGGCTAGTCTATAGGACTTTGATACGACCGGTAAATAGAGCAACTAAGACGCTTGATGGCCATTTCCTCACACTATAATGTATGCGTATGTCATACAGCAAATGCTGTCGGGGGCACGGACTACTTTTTCCGTCGCAGCCATGGCGGCCGTCAAATATTGTGTGCCGAAGCACGTTTAAGTTTACTGGAGTGCTCAAGCCAATGGCCGATCAAGCTAAGCCAAATCGACAAGTTGTGGTCTAATCCTCAACGTTGCATAAATACAAGACTCCACCATTCCCACCAGCAAATACATGGTAACAGATACGAATTGCCAGAAAACAACGGCTATTCTATCGAACAGTTGCCATAAGTCGTACAAGAATATGGTACAAATCACAAATGTTTTGTGACTGAAGGCACAATTGTTCGAGAAAGCTGAGTACCTTGCCAACACAATTAACTTACACATCCTCCAAGAATAAAAATCTACAGCATGAGGGATTGGATACCTTCACTGCTTTGATTCTCATTTGGATACGCTATTCAATAGCCTATCCACATACCTTACAAGTCTGCTTGGTACATGTAGTCACAACGGCATACCGCATGGGGAAGTTTCCTGGAAGCAAGTGACTCTAATTACTAGTTTATAATTCAAATGCATTAATCTCTTACTTGGCAGTAATATACAAGCACCCACACATTCGGGATGGGAATGTAGCACAGTAGGAGAACAATTGCTATTATCACAATTAGTTTTATGGTGACTACTAGGTATGAGTATCTCGGAATGGCCGATCAATTGGCAGGTTTCTGGGCCCAGTTACAAAACCAGTTCACCTCTTGCTTCACTTCGTTATTTTCCGTTGGTAAGTTATCCAGTAATTCCTGATAATCGGCGTCGCTATAGTTTAAAATCGGTTGCACAACAGGTCGTAGACTTTTGTAGGCGCCAACAATGTCTTCAAGGAACACTTCGCCAAGCTTTCCACCCCAGCTTCCAACAGGGATCCGAATTCTCATACCGTCGATGTTGACAAAACCGGCATCGACTACCTTGTGGTCAAGGTCTTTGACAATTCCTTCTTTAAACCCACGCATCTCCAAGTATTGGAGTACTGAAAAGTACTTTGTGAGTAACCTTGGTATGCCTATGTGAGTCTATTCGCGGGTATCTTACCTGCATTCCAGAACTTGGTGGTTCTTTTGCCTCGGTAGACTTGTTCACCGTCAATCTATATTACGAAAGATAAAGGTAAAGCAAAGTGAGTATGATGATAACCTTCATCGTCCAAGCCTCAATGTAGCAAACATTACTTCGACTAATTCTATCCAGCCTCCAGGTTTCAGAGCTTTGTACAAGTGGGATAACACAGTGGGGTACTGTTCGTTTGGTACACCCATACCAACTAAGCGCATGTAGATGAAATCGAACGAATTTTCTTCAAATGGTAGTTCATGCACGATGTTACCGACGACGAAGTTACAATTATGTGGTCTAATCTCAGTAGGCCAGGTAGAGGAAACATCAATGCCTGTGAATTCACTGTTGGGATAGGCGTTGGCCATTTCCTGCAATTGGCGATATCATTAACATCTTGCTGTCGACGGTTCGAAGTATGGAGTCAACTGATTACTAACCAATATCCAAGTACCACCTCCACAGCCTGCATCCAACACTTTGATTCCCTTTTGCAGTTCAGCTTCGATAGGTGAACTGTAATTTCTATTGAGCGCAAAGAAGAGCCATCAGCTTCACTGGTAACCCACCGGAGAGTGATTGACTTCTGGATGCACCTACCTGCCCACAACGTTTTTCACAATCCAATGCTGAAGGTGCAACTATAAATTTTAACAGGTTAATATCAAAGATAGTACGCAAAAACGTGAAAGATGATTTTGTTACCCTGTCGATTTCTAAAAGAACAAAAAAAAAAAAAAGGACCATAGTCAGTTCCACAGCTGAGCTTATTCCGTTGAACAGTGACACTCTACAGACCTGCATCATCGTTAGGTAGGATATACGCACAATCCTTATAAGCTTGAAATCGTCTTCCGTTGTTGTAGAATGAAGCTGAAGAGATTTTGGCTTGTGAGTTTGAGTTTGTAGCGTCGCTGGTTCTAGAAGAGTCTTTGGACTTTTCCTCTTTGATTTTATTGTTCTGCACCTTCTTGGACTTTCGTAGCCATTTCAGCCGAGAGAAAAAGCTCAGCATTGCTTAAGATCGTCTGAGCGAAGGGAAATCCGTGATATATATTCAAAGAAAAAGAGCAATAAAAGTAAAAGAGATTTTATATATTTGTATCTCTTGTTTGTACAGAACGCACTGCATCCCTGAGTTGCACAAATACTCTGCATGTTAAAGCATCAGTGCTCCAGCACGTTGTCTTAATTGCATAGTTGAGTCGTTCAGCAACTGAGAGTAATCCCTGTTCATCGTTTACATTCAAGTCATTACGAAAATCTGGATGATTTTAACGGTCGTAGAGCCTCATAACCTAAGCTCGGGCGATGCGACGTAAACCATATGGGGGTTCACGGACGTTGCGTAACAATAACGCTGATTGATTAGGACGGGTTATTTATCTTTTGTTTTGGACATAGCACGCTTACTGCCAGTTTGCAAGAGGGTTCTATAAGGAGATCATACAGAACATCCGCCGTCGTATGATCGAATGAAATCAGCTTCATATTTATCAGAAGTCAAAGGGGTAGGTGTATTGGTCAAACGCTAGCGAGACATGAGCTATATTCCCGAGGAACTGGTTTTTAGCTACACCTGAAACAGCGGTCCGTAGTTAAGGCGGTCGTCAAATATCGTATGCCCAAAGCATCGTTGTAGAAGTGCTCAAGCCAACGGACAGTCAAAGCCAAACCAATATGACTACATGGGAGTTTAGCCTCATCTTTTTGGGAAGCTAGAGTCGAATTAAAGAGCCTTTTAATAAATGATCAAAAGTATGCAATAGGAGCTTCCGAGAAACAAACACTTACCCTGATCAAAAGTGTTGCCATGAGTGGTACAAGCATGCAGTACGAACATGCAGTGACCGACAACATATTTAACCCAGTTGTGCACCTTGAAACCACAGTTTACTAACACACTCTGATAACCCTGAAAGCGGCGGATAGGCATGATGCTACCGTTATGACATTCAACGGACTAACATAAGAACGTATTAGCAAGATGGTAAAAAAAGTCTTATCTTTTCGATGCCTAACCTAACTCGCTTGGGCTTTTTCCTGGTTTACGATCATAACACTGAAGTCGGATCGTCCTTTGGGTATGACCCAACAGGCGCGCTTCATTCACAGACGCCATATGCTGCAGTATAGCAACCTTCGTTCGCTCATACAAGCAGCCATTATATATAGTTTGCGATCCATCCAAATAGACTGCTGAATATCAATACGATGACTTGCTATTCTGGTTGATAGATGAGTATCTCTCTAGGTTTATCAGTTCACAGGTATAACATCTCAAATCATCTGCAGGATGTTTAAACGGTGATAAATGGCGTCTATATCTTTCAACATACCTTCTCCGAACTCCGTTGTAGAAAACTTCATTGCACCCCACATTGACCGAACAAGGATTCTCCTCAAAGAGATCATATTCATGTAATCTAATTACCTAAAATATATATATTCAAGTTCAATAATATGAAGATGCGAACTCGCTATCTCTTATATATGACAGTAATCATACAAACACCCCCCAAGAAATGAGATAAAAGTGGGAGGCGGCTACAACGTAATAGAAACAATGATTATTGCCACACTTTACTATACGAATGGCTACTAGGTATACATCTATCTGAATCTGATCTGTTCAGGGGTAGGTTTTTGAGCCCAATTACTGAACCAGTTCATCTCTTGCCTCACTTCGTTATTTTCCGCTGGTAGATTGTCCAGCAAACTCTGGAAATCGTCGTCGCTGAAGTTTAGCATTGGCTGTATAACAGGTCGCAGACTTCTGTAGGCGCCCAAGACATCTTCTTCGAAAACCTCGCCAAGCTTTCCACCCCAGGTTCCTAGAGGGATACGAACTCTCATACCGTCGATGTTGACGAAACCGGCATCCTCTACCTTCTGGTAAAGATCTTTGACAATACCCGTCTTGAATCCACGCATTTTTAGATATTGAAGTACTGGGTTTGACTTATAAGTACCTTGCTACGCTCCCACTGAACCTATTCCACTTCTTCCTTACCTGCGTTCCAAAATTGAGAGGATCTTCTGCCTCGATATACTTGTGCACCGTCCACCTAGTCAATCAAATGGCAAGTTTTTAGTAAATAAAGAATGATGACCTTGATGTTATCAGTCTCCAAGCTTTGAACCTTACTTCGACTAATTCTACCCAACCTCCAGGCTTGAGCACTCTGTATATATGATACAACACAGTGGGATATTCATCGTTGGACACACCCATACCAACTAAGCGCATGTAGACGAAATCGAAGGTGTTATCTTCAAAGGGCAATTCACTGACGATATTGCCCACGACGAAATCACTATTGCGTGGTCTGATTTCAGTAGGCCAGCCAACGGAAACATCAATGCCTGTGAAGTCGCTGTTCGGGTACTCGTTAGCCATTTCCTGTGTTCGGCGATATCATTAGTATCTTTCGATCGGTGGTGTATCCAAGATGAAGCCGGTTGCATTACTAACCAGAACCCAGGTACCACCTCCACAACCAGCGTCCAGCACTTTGATACCCCTGTCCAATTCAGGTTCGATGGGCACACTGAAATTTCTATTGAACGTAGAGGTCATTAGCTTATTTGACAGAATCAACCAACCGGCGAGCAGATAAACATGTGGGTGCGCCTACCTGCCCAATACGTTCTTCATAAGCCAATGCTCAAGATGTAACTGCAGATTTCAGCGGGTTAATATTTCAAAATAGTACATAAAAACGTGGAAGGTGTATATTACCCTGTCAATTTCTAAAAGAACAAAAAACCTCCATAGTTAGTTTCCGCAGCCGACGTCAATATGTTGAAAAGAATACACTCTACAAACCTGTGTCATCGTTGGGCAGGATATAGTTGCAATCTTTGTAAGCTTGAAAACGTCTTCCGTTGGTGTAGACTGAAGATGTCTGGATTTTTGGTTGCGAGCTGGAGTTTGTGGATTCGCTTGTTCTAGACGATACCTTTGAGATCTCGTCCTTCTTTTTACTGCTCTGTGTCTTCTTGGACTTTCGAACCCACTTTAGTCGAGAGAAGAAGCTCAGCATTGCTTCCTATCAACCAAGCGAAGGAAATCGGTGGTGTATATAAGGTAGGGAAGAAGAGCGAGAAAGGTAGGGAATATTTTTATATATTTTGAATCTCCTGTTTGTACAAGCCATCACCACAGCAGCTTTGTGTTGCACAAATGTCGTACATGTCAACCATCGTTACCCCAGCACGTTGCCTCAAGCGCATTGTCCAAGCCGTTCAACAGCTGAGACTAGTCCTTATTCATCCATTCCATTGAGCAGCTATGTTGGATTTGGCTATCTGAATGGTTCTCGTAGTTTCAGCTTTAAGTGAAGTCAAACCAAATGGGGTTCACAGGCTTTGCGTAACAGTAACGCCAAGGATGCAAAAGAGGTTATTTTTTTATTATATTTTGGGAACTGTTGCTAATTTGCAGTGTTTCGGTCTGAATTTTTGGTAGAACGCCAAACGCTGTATAAACGAAAAGAATCTCACTTTCGTTCTCCCATGATGGCGTATTAGCGTTCATACAGCAGTCGAGACATTGATTCGAATCGATGAAAGCCACACCCTTGAAAGCGGCAGTCAAATACTGAATGCCGAAAGCAACCTTTTTTTTTTGAGTGCTCAAGCCAACTGGAAGATCAAGCTAAACCAAAACTGACAAGCAGAGAATTTAGCCTCGTCATTTAAGACTATGCTTCTAAGTAGTCGTTGTATCATTAACGTTTTCAATAGTGATAGTTACAAAGGAGCAAAGTCTACCGCATGATAATGCAGTAGTACAAAATTGTTCTGTGACTTATCCTGACGGCCCAGACGTGCGCCTTGGCATTCTGAGATTTTGACAGGCGACAGAGCACCCGTTATAACATGAAGTAGACATACATTCAAAGATTCCTCGGCAGGATTGAAGTAACCATAAAGTCTCATCAGGTAAGTGCTCATCGTAATCTACATTTCCGTCTCCTGGTGAACGAAATGGGATTGAGACAGCTGCCTGATCATACGCAAATGACTTTTTCGACGCGAATACCATATTATATCAGATATCAGTCTTCCATTTACTCATATATGCAGCCGTGATGACACAGAATGCAATCCTCAAAGAAAACCGCTTTACATCATTACAATGACATGGATATTACTGTCAACTAAGGGAAAAATCGCCAGGTGTCTTAGGACATTGGTCGTGAAAAAAAATATTCAGGCTCCTATACGCCTGATAAGTACATCCTTTCATCCTTAGCCTTCCCCTCTCTTCTTAAATAAAAGCCAGCTGTTCACCAGATTGGCTTAAATCGACACGTTCAACTGTGAAGAGTGGTTTCAACCTCAGCTATATGGTATCTTATCACTTTATATCACTCTGTTGTGTCAGAACAGGAAGTAAGACCAGTCTTCGGTCCCTCATAAATCGCGCATCATTACCAGGCCTTAGAGCTCGAGAGTACATGTAAGCGCCCTAAATGTGCCCTTTCTTCAGCAAACTACACACTGTAAATGGAGTGGTATTTTAACACAGATTCTCCCGGATATCATAAACTGTATTCACGGGGAGGTCAAGGGCCATCTTCGAACTGTAAATTTCGGTGAAACAGGTCGTTTGTTCAAATGGATCAGTCCCTCTTTACAAGAACATGGATCTACTGTCTCTCAAACCAATTATCTTTCAACAATTTGACATAGCGACGAATCCATTTATTACCTCACCAGAATGTTCAGAAAAAAAAAAGTTAACTGGACCAATTCATTTCATTTCAGTGATCTGCTTGATAATTCATCTTGCTATGGCTGGCCCTGCTATTTGACCATGGTCTTTCATAGCTTGATCCTGAAGGGAACATTCATTCCTGGTTCAAATGATGTCAAGCTGGTGGGCATATTGTATTCGCTTCAACGTTTGTGACCGTCTGTTCATGACGTCAACTTCTAATATCAGGGGTCCATCCATTGACTTTACGGTCGTACACCAGAGATCCGCCCAACCCTCTCTATCAATAGATGAAACCGGTGGAATATTGAGACAAGGTAGCTTATATTCTTTCTCACACCCAAAAGCAAACAGTGACCTTCATTCAAAGGCGCATTGATTCCTTTTGAGAAACAACGTATGTTCACGGCTTGAACCTTATCAGGTTCGGCATTCTTCCAATTATGTATAGACATCATGCTAAATGTTGGCAAGTATTTGACATATCCCGCTGTGTTCGTGATGCGGCTGGAAGGCGGGAGCAACTTTGGCATGCGCTAGGGCGGAAAATACCGTAGTATGATGGATATACCGATAGCTGAATGTGAAATTAGCTTTTTGCATTAAAAGTTAACTCTTGATCCCGTTTGTATAATTGACAGGTTTTACTTTTGTAAATTTATACACCAGTGAAACCCCGTTCTCATTGAGCAGGTCTTGTATAATGATGATCATATCCAGTGTAATAGCTGATATCTCATTTTTCACTAAGCATTTGTAAGCTTAGAGATAGATTTTTGCCACCATGCAGAAGTGGCCTTATTTCTCTCTCCATTGGCATTGACGACTTTATGACCCCACGGCGGACATATGGGGTTGGCATCCCCATGTTGCAGTCATTGCGTCTTTTCAGCTTGAAGTGTGTCAAGAATTCATGCTCTCCCCCATCAACATTGTCTCAGTTTATCGTGACTTTTGAGTAATTTTTTGATCAAAAAAAGACAGCTATGGACATGGCATCATAGGCGTCAAAATCATCGTACGATATAATTTAGCGTCCGAAATCGGCTTGTCAAAATTGATGATACTGACCGAAACAACTAGGGTTTCTGCTAAAAGTAAGCAGCGCTCCTGAATAGTGATTATATAAACTACCAATTCTTTCAGGTCTTATTAAGTTTTTTGTTTTGTCTTGCTTCCATAACATCGCCTCTTCCTTTCTCTTAATACTGGTTATGAAGTCGCCGCAGACGTATTCCACAATGGCGCCCAAAGCAATTGACATACCCGATATCAGCTCAGACCCGATGTCGACGTTAGAGAACGTACTTACTTCACCACGACGCTTGACTGGATTTGAGAAATATTTGAGGCGAGATGCTGATCACAAACACCTTGTTTTGTTGGAAGAGTTAAGACAACTTCGGTACGAGAAAGATCCAGATATCATGTCTACCATTGTTCAAAGGTGATGATCAATTTATTTGCGCGCCTGCCCTTTTCCCAATTGCACATTGACTAATATCTCTTTGCTTAAATTTTTAGAATATACCATAACTTCATCGAAGACGGATCCCCATGGTTCGTTGAACTCGAGTCACAATATATCATTTGCCAGCGATTGCAATTGATGGAATGGCAGAATTTCACAGCAAATGAATTGATCGCCATTTTCGAAGAAGCTGAAGCAGAAATCATGGAGTATCTGGTATGTACCGTCTCCGAATAGCATGGACATTACGCCTTAAATTTAGTTTTGATGCTAATAATATTTCTCTCACTTACCACTACAGAGTAAAAAAATGAGTAGCTTTCGTAGAAGCATGGATTCGCCAAGGTACCAATCAATTGCTTTCACTTTGTTCCATGTACACTAGAATGAAATTGCTAAGGAACTGTTCAGAAATTTCAAGGCACCCTTGCCAGCCGAAACGGACGGCACTCGTAAACGGGTCGTCATTGTTGGCGGTGGATTCACAGTATGTGTCCCCTGAAATGTCTAATATAGCACTTTTTTTTTTTTTACCCCATACTAACTTCATTCCGCTGCTCACTTTAGGGATGTACGGTCGCTAGCATCTTAGACCCAATGACCCGCTTCGAAGTGGTGTTGATTGACAACAAAGGTCAGCATAAGATTTTTATTAATGTTAGTGTTAAAGAATTAGCCGTTAACCAAAATTTGGGGAGCAGATTCATTCGAGTACACCCCGAGTCTGATAAAAAATTTGGTGTCGCCTGAACATTTCTCTTCATCCGTAAGAATACCTCATAATACCTATGTTAAGAACGGAAGAGTTATTATTGGTCACGCACACGGTATATCGTCATCTGCACGACATATACTTGTCAATGACACCGAGGTAGGTTTTACGAAAATTTGCCCAGAGTTTATCGTTATTAGTGTCTCAAACTTAAACCCCCGTACTGATACATTGGGTGTTCTTTAAAGATTTCTTTTGACTATCTAGTCTTGGCAACGGGTAGTACCTATAGGTCTCAATTCAAATCCTCGGATACGTCAACGCTGTACCGTGCTTCTCAGATTGACAATGAAACCAGGGAACTCAGAAAAGCAAACTCTATCTTGATCATAGGAGGCGGCCTAGTAGGCTGCGAACTTGCAAGTGAGGTGTCGCGTGTTTACGATGGTATTGATCGACCAAAGAAAACAAAAATAACCATGGTCGAATCTGGCAAATCTCTGGTGCAAAGAAGTACTCCAAAGCAACAAAAATATGCCGCACAATACTTGGAAAAACTAGGTGTAGAAGTCATTCTCGGTGAAAGAGTTATACCGTTTGAAGACTTTCACAAGGGAGAAACTGTCTACGTCGGTGCAAGTGGTAAAAGATATACCGGCTACGATAAGGTCTTCTTTGCCACGGGCACCAGGCCTGCCAGTGAAATTCTCCTCCGGGAAACCGACGAGTTCGCCAATTGCATTGATTGCAATGGTCGTATCTGCGTCAAGCCTACCCTGCAAGTTGACCACTGGTTGTTCCAACACGTTTTCTCTGGCGGCGACGTTACCAATGTTAAGGAAGAAAAAACCGGTTATGCTGCCACTCTCGCCGGTGTTGTCATTGCTCGTAATATTTGTCGATTGGTGAAGGGCAAGCAACCCATTCGCCAAAGTGAATGCGGCACCATTGCTCCTCCTCAAAAACCACTGCATGGTGTTTCCAGACAGGGTGGTGTAGGCAAAGGTAAGCGGAAAATATGTTATTATGACTATGTGATGGTAAAAAAGAATGGCTTTATTAACGGATACAAAAAAATTCTTTCAGAAAACCTGAGTTCTTTCAAGAAAGCGTTTTCATTTCTTTCTCCTAATTGGGCTGCATTGAAGCAGTTCGACGAGACTCAGTTTCTTAGTCTAGTCAGTGGAGAAAGTCAATGGTCTTCATCGGTCATTGGCACCCTACCCAAGAAACTCATGCTGGACAAGCGCCAGAGTGCGCAAGACAAACATGAACGTCAAACCCCACTAGCTCTTCCACTGACATGGACGCATAGCGAAGATACCCTGACCAATTCGATGCTGAGACATTTGTCTGTAAGCGATACTGCAGCCTAAGCATCTTGGGCTTCACCATTAATAACACATTCGTTAAGCGATTCTGTCGCTTAAATCCCTCGCAAGGGCCATCAAAAGTTAATATTCTGGCCTCCACTGGACACCCAACCATATGAACGCTAGAAGCTCCCACTCAAAAATAGACATCAATAAATCACCCCATTGTTTCTCAGAGACTCGAGCCAGGCTAACCATTCCGAATGATCACCCGGGTGGTCATTAGTTTTGCCTACAGCTCAGCTCAGCGGCCGACATAATTCTCTCCTAGCGGCATCAAAGTGAGAATCAAACATTTTTGTACATAACTCCGGTCGAAGAGACCAAATTGTCTTTGCAATAATAAAGAACTTCTTTTTTTAAATCATCAGACACCAATCACAGTAGTGTTCCTATCTTTAGTCATGGTATTCATGGTTTGTTGGATATTTATTTTGTAATTACTTTGAAAAAAAAAAAAATCATGACAGAGCATCGCTTTGAGACATTCCAGCTTTGCTTGCGACGACACAATCTATAAAGTCACTACGGCCGATATTCCGTAGCACCCTCTATTCTAGCTCGCTTGGATTCAGAGTCGTAGGGGGCCTGGTACTGCTCTTCATCATTGGCTTCAGCTGGCCTCTCCTCGGCATGGTGCCGAGGGCTACCGCTTCTGTCTTTTCGTCTTTCATCACCACCGTGTTTCTCTTCTCTCTTCTTCTCTTTGATGGACGCCCGTTGTGCTTCGAACAATTCTCTCCTTAATGCTCGTCGTGGATGTTTCAAATGCATAAAGTTACAGAATCCACCTCGATTGCATTCCGCTATTTCGTGCTGTCTGCAGCATGCTTCCTTGAAGTCAGTTACAGGCGAAAGTTCAGCGTATAATGGTCGTCCTGTAAGTTTTTTTTGTAAAAAAAAAGAAACAAGGTTGGGGGTTAGTCATGCATCAGGGCATTGAGATAATGGGTCATTCATAAGCTTACCTGCATAGAAACGCTTGTTGAGATCGTCAACTGCGTTACCGGCCTGCTCTTCATAGTGGTATTGAACATATACGTTGCCGACAAGGTGATCACCAACGTTATCACACACGACCATCTCCTCGATCTCGCCGAACTTTGCCAGCTCCATGAATATATCTTCGTAGAACAAGTCAAAATCTTCTTGTAATTGTTCTGGCGACATGTTTTTGGTGGGATCGTGTGAGGGATTTCGATACAGGTTTGACAGTAACAGCGTCTGTGAGAATGACGGTTTAATGTGCTTTCGAGAGCATCTGTCTCCATGTCTGCATGCACCGATCTAACAAAGGGAAAGAAGTTTAGTATTTCATAGCAAGTGTTCATTATGGATCAAGAACTGCAAATCATGGACCTACCTTGAAGTAAAAAGAGCAATTGACCCTAATAACGTGTAAATGGAGAACCGTGTCAGTTATATGCGATGGCTACGTACCAGATCAGATTGGATTCAAACTTACTTGTCCTTCTCGGTACCGTAAATGCTTGCTAAATAATCAGCCATGGTGTAGGAACGATTTGATTTATTACAGATCACAGTTTTCACCAAGTCCTCGTATTTTTAAACGAAATTGCAGTCGGCCCAGGTAGGTATCATGTGATCTCCCGCTTATTAATTTTAAACTCAGGATGCCGTTCGAACGTTGTTTCATCGAAAGCAGCGAAGAAATTGCCAGAAACAACCGCACATCACCAATAAGATACATTGCTTAATCATTCATCCAATTCCCTTTCTAGTGATTGACTATGATCTTCTTTAGTTTGGTTTGGTTTTTATTATATGCTTGATGTGCAAGATATTAAACGATGCTGTATATGAATTTGTTCGGCTCGGTTCATGTACAATTTCCTCAAAACCGTACTTTTCCACTTCTTGCATTCTTCATCTTCTTCGATCGTATCTTTGACATTTCCGCATTGAGGTACTTTCTGTCAGCTTTATCCATTAGCGCAGGGCTGCTTCTGCCAGTATCAAGCTCTGCATCATCATCGTCTGATCCATAGTACGGTGAGCCACTTCCAGAGAGAACACCTGTAGGTGACCGGTGGTCACTAACTGGAACATATCTGAATATGGATTGCAAAAGGTCGTTCTCAGCAAAGTGATGATGCAAGCCTTGCTTGATGATTTCGCGGAAGGCGTTCAATTCGACGATTTTTGCTACAGGTGCGACATATGAGTTAGTCATCACAAAAGGCACACTTGTAAATCAATATTTAATCAATACATACTCCATCCTCGGAAGGTGACGAGCTTTCCACCAAACTTGAGCCGCTCAGCTGGTCGTTCTCCTTCTTCCACTGTTCGAATGATGTCTCTGAACGCCGATCGCTGTTCTTTCCTTTCTTGCTTTCCACGATGTCGATTGCTGTCGGTTGCGAGTAGCTGTAATGCTCTGACTAATTCATTCATATCATCATACTCAGGTAAAGCTTCTTCGGGATCACGTTCATCATCCTAAGTGCATGCATTAATGATCAATAGCACTTTGAAACAATTGAGAGAATGATCTCATAAATCAATTACTTACCAAATTATGATGCGTATTGATGCTTTCAAATATAAGTGCGATATTTTCGCCTGCAGCCACTCTCGTTTCCTTTGTACCCGATTCAAGAAACATTGTAAAGACAGGGACAACTCTGCAATGACGTTGTGATTAATTTCCAATTATGCCGTTTGACGTGCTCAAATCCCATTCCTACACTTACTTTTCTAGTTCCTCCCAAGCATCCTCAAGATTACCGCTTCCTTCGCCATAAGTTGAGGCAAACAGAAGTCCATACCCGCGTAATATCGTAGCCATAATATTTCCAACGTCTTCTGCAGGTATATCTTCCAAATTCAAGTCCGCACCATCGGTTTCTAATAACTGGAAGAAAAATTCCATTATTCGAAGTGTGTCTGCACTGGATGCCGCTATAAACGTGATCATAGCCATGGTTTGTAAACACTGTGAAGAGATATAGATGTTAGTGATGGAATCTCATTATGATATTTTCTTGTGGGGTTCGATATTTACATGCTCCTTCACTTTTCCGTTTTCATCATGCAGAGCACAGACTCGTAGTGACGGCATAATCTCTTGATATAAACTTTCTTGTTCCGCAGCCGATATTTCACCGTGATTTATAAACGCTAGAGATATGCCTCTGATAGCCTGTAAGGACTCCTCGCCATTGCCTCCTTTCTTCAAAGAACGCTTCAGCAATTCGAGCAATTCCTGTTGCCGTGACTGCAGAGCAGCGGCGACAAAGTGTCGGGCCATAATTTGATTCAGCTTTGCTAATGCGTCGGTGCGAGTACTGGCAAACCAAAAGTCAGTTTTTAAATCGTTAGAGATTGTTGGTTGCAATGCTACTTACCTAGCTCGCTTCTCTGTCAAATCTTCAAGTGATTGTTTGAGATCGTCTTCCCAATTGGAGGAGCCTAAGTCGTCTCGATCTCCGACAGAGCCAAAAGAGTCAATGGTAGAAGCTGAAGTGTCAGACCAATCGCCTTCGTCTTCGGAGCCTCCTCGACTTGAGGCTGGTGTTCTTGCAAGTCTTTGATGTCTTGCTGCTTTTTTTCGAAGTTCTTTCGACATGTGTACAAACACTTTCTTGAGGAGCTCGTTGCCTTGGTTGACTACTTTTATAGGCTGGAAAAAAAAAAAAAAAGAACTGACCAGCAACACGTGATTTACGTCAATACCCAATGCGGATTCGGTGTTCCAACTGCATATGGGACTTCCCTTTTGTCTCCACCAGACATTTTAAAAGATGTTGTCTCTACGTCTTTGAAATAAATTGATATTAGATAATGATTCATGGAGTGATTTTCATCAAACGCATATTGGATTGATAGGTGTAATATGTGAAAAACTGATAAACATACATTAAGTCTGCTGCATCGGCGATGGCAATACCAAAATGAAATTGAATATAACTTCAATACAACCTATTTTTCGTTTGAAGCGTTAATTACTGTCCCTTTCAGTGTCTACTATAGAGCTAGAGTACCACTCAAAGACTTTATGCTGAAGATCGCCTTCAAGCAAACAAGAGTGTCTGCCAGGGTCCTAGCAATACTACAATCGAAAGCAATGCCATTTTGTTTCTATTATGAGGCTACACAATCACAACCTGAGATGCTCACAAACACTGGAACAATTTTAAGGCATATTAAATAAATAAACTGCGGCGATAGCATTTGTGAAGAAGGACGTGCATCGCTTTCGAGACGACAACAGTAAACAAGATCATAAAAATGTAGGGGCACGATGATCTAAACGTCCTAAATATGTAACAACCAATCTTTTGAAAGCAATAATAATCAATTGACAACACATAGTGATCTGCTGCCTTCCTATATTACCAACTTGAAGATGATTGGTAAAGCACCACTTCCAAAGTGGGCCTTAGATCCAGATGCTTTGCCTCTCTGTCCCGACTTCTGTCTTGTACGGACAACATCATGTAGACTAAGTTTCCATCTAATTCCATCAATGATCGCTTACGAACTGACCATTCATGTCCTTCACTTCAATTATCCGAGTCAACTACGGTGCGTATAATGCGGAGACGTGAGTGTCCAACTGAGTTCAAATTGCAGGGAAGCAAAGAGGTGTCACTCAAGTTTTTCAATGCTGGCCATGCAAACGCTAGCCAGTCTAGGGATGGCTACAATTCGCTCGGCCATGGGAGTGCTGTGGACGTTACCAGTGACGCAACGATCTCTTCTTGTTGTGTGCATGACGAAGTTTGGCGTCTGATTCTGTCGAGCAGAGTATGGGAGCCACACGTGATTGTCAAGCTTTATAGTCAAACAAGGACGAAAAATATTACGGGGAGTCGGCTCACCAAAAAAAAAGGCTCGCCCCATTTTTTGTTCAAATTCACGGAAAAGTTCCAGTTCATTCGCATCTCTTTCACTAATGGACTCCATTCAATCATTGCTCCCCTACATCATCTCCGGTGCTGCAGTTGCTGCCGCTGCTTACTTCCTTGTCAACAAGAAGCGTACGTGTTTTTCATCTTTACCTGGGTTCATCGCTTGAGTTTAGGTACTCATCCCGTATATTACTTCTTTTAGAACCTGCATTGGATCCCAAGGTCTACAAGAAGTTTAAGCTCATTGAGAAGATTATCATCTCCCACAACACTGCCTTGTAAGTTTTCTCATTCGAGCTGCCGACCTTCATATTTCGCGTGCTAAATCAAAATCCTGCAGGTATCGCTTCGGTTTGCCTAACAAGGATGATGTCCTTGGACTGCCCATTGGACAGCATATCTCCATCATGGCAGAGATCAATGGTAAGCAGATCTCACGCAGCTACACCCCTACTAGCTTGGATGAGGATAAGGGTCATTTTGATTTGCTGATCAAGGTAAGCATCGTGGTGGATAAAGAAAGACCCATCGATCGCATGCATCTAACATGACATTGATGTTACGTAGTCTTACCCTACTGGAAACATTTCCAAGTATGTCGGCGAGCTTAAGGTTGGCGATAGCATTTCTGTTAGAGGACCTAAGGGAACTTTCAACTACACCCCCAACCTTGTTAGAGAATTTGGCATGATTGCTGGCGGAACTGGTATTACCCCCATGCTCCAAATCATTCGAGCTGTTCTTCGCAACCCCAATGACACTACCAAGATCAACTTGATCTTTGCCAACGTGAACGACGAAGATATTTTGCTCAAGAAGGAAATTGATGAGCTTGCCAGAAAGCACAGCAACTTCAATGTTCACTATGTTTTGAACAATGCTCCCGCCAACTGGACTGGTGGTGTCGGCTTTGTCACTCCTGACATGATCAAGCAATACTGCCCTGCTCCTGCCAAGGATATCAAGATTTTGTTGTGTGGCCCTCCTCCCATGATCAGCGCCATGACCAAGGCCACCACTGAACTCGGTTATGACAAGCCCCGAGCAGTCAGCAAATTGGAAGATCAAGTTTTCAAGTTTTAGATCCATATTACCCTCTTGTCGCGAAAATACTACATTACTTCCCCCTCCATCTAGGATTGACCTGATAAGACAGATAGATAGACCAAACATTGGCATGTAAACAATACGACAAGTCTCACATATTTTCTGATGCTCTTCGAGTTAAACCCCCCCCCCACTATATAAAACCATTCAATTAAAAGGAAAGCAGTTTTCTTATTTTTTCCCACATATTCTATGCTAACATTTCCGATTGAAACGGCATGGTCGATAAGCAATTACGTCGACGTGTAAAATATGTTGGGTAGGGTTTAAGATTGTAAAAGTACTCAGCAAAGACATAATGTCTCACTGCCGAAATGGAAGCCCTCAGAAGTGGGGATGGTTTAAATGGTACATGTGTCGGGTTTATTTTTCTTTTTAATAAAACAACCCGGAAGATCCGTGGAGAAAATGTTTACAAGAGATGATTCAGAGTAATAAACAAATGAAATGAGCAATATATACAGTAATAAACGCTTGGAACAATGAAAAGAAAAAAAAGAGGTTCAGGGTTGGATCATCAATGATTGCAGGTGACTGGAGTCAAAATGTGAATGGTAAGGAAAGGCATTGATGGGCGGTTGTTGTTCTGTCTGTGCCAGTTGCTGCAATTCCGAGGGCGATTTTCTTCGTATGCATTCATTGACGGCACTTTCAAGTAGCAGCTCGTCGTTGGCCAGACAGGGATTCTTGACCACCAGGCGCCAGCTGACTTCGTTGCACCATTGACGGTACTGAGCATTTTGTCCTACGTCTATATCGTTGTACAACTTGTATCGTTCTTTTGAGCTGGCACACGGCGGTATGTCGTTGATCACAAAGCAAATTCTATGTCGTGAACCTTTCTTGGGATGAGAAATGGTGATGGTTTCTCCGACTCTTTTCGGACGATTGGAGGTATCTGGTGATTCACATAGTTCAGCAGAAGGTGATCGTAGTGACTTCTGTTTGCGTCGCTTTGCTTGTCGCTTTCTTAACGTTCCATTCGCGATTTTTTCTTGGCGTGTCACTCTTCGCGATCGGAGTTCTCGATGACGATTACGATAGGAATCGACAGCACGTTGAATAAGACCTCTTCGGCCAAAGAGTGTTTCGCAGTTTTTATGAGCTAATTGCCAACCCAATTTGTTGCATGAGGTCTCATACTCCCATCGGTTGCCAGTATATTCATCTAATGGCACGTTGGCTCTAGGATAGACCTATTTGGGGGGGGATTGATACATGTAAATAAAGTTTATCTTTTTCCCAAATAAAAAAGTATTTCCTTAACTTACCGCGCTTGCTAGTCTAAATTCGTCATCAATTTCACTGAGATCGACATCGTCAATATCGACTCGAATGGTGTATTGCTTGATATGACGATCATGAGAATACATAAAGGTCAGATGTTCGATATCGTTGATAAAATGCGTGGTGGGCTCATGAACTGTCAAAGCCACTGCGGCAGCCACAGAGCTATGCGAAGACTTACGTCTTCCAGCAGGCTTGACGGAGGAGGCGGAGGAAATTGTTTTAGGACTGCTGGCGAGAGACGAGGCTTTACTGGATTGTAGGCTGGGCTGCAGGCTGGAGTGCAGGCTAGATGGGCCACTCGTATCCATAAATGGAGGTGAGGGCAGCGCGTCGACAAACATGGCCGGATAGTAACCGGGTAATGTGAGTGCATCCATTTCCGTAGTAGGCAATAGGGCTGGGGCGACTTCATCGAAGGCATTGGAAAGACCAGCAGGCATAGTATGTCGACGATGGTGTGATATGTCTACCGCTGGACGGCCTCGATCAAGTGAAAGGTGTCGAACTGGAGTTGAATTCAAATTCATCATCATCCATGCCGATTGATCTTCCAAAAGAGGCTGCATAGCTAATGGATTATTGCTATTATGATCATACGGAGCGGTCGGGAATAGGTCGAATTGACTCTTTGCAAGGACTTCGGCGGGAGTCAGCACGGCGGACGAAGCATTGCTAGCGGCCATTGTTTAACGCAGTATGATTTACTTTTTCCCGAAATAGGGTTAATAATAATAGTAGGGAAGAAACGATGGGTTCTAAGAGTGTTTGCTTGTAGCCAAATATGAAGCGCACGAGCGTGTTTAACTGTTTTAGCGCTGGGGGGTCGAGGTTTTTATATGATTCACTCTGTTAGAAACAACTTTTGTCTCGGCAGCTACACAGCAACTGAAACCAAACGTGGTTGAGAAACAAAAAAAAAAAAAAAATCTGCTGGACTTTTGGCTCAACGTCAACGCTAAAACTGAAACCTCTTTTTGTTTCTCTCTTTCATGCGCATGAACGTCTGGCCATCGTGTAGTCTTTTTCCCTATGCAGCTTAGACGTATGCACAGGCATCCTTCTGAATCGCTAAGGCGGCAGTAAAAGCAGTAATAAACATTGCCCATCGTGATTGGTGGCTGAGAACTAAACCATCGGTTGTTCAATCTAAATTAAGCGGCCATGCTTGTACAACATTTGCAGTTGAATTTCAAGGGACACTATTTTGCCCTCAGTTGGTGAACGTAGAAAGGGCAGCCCCTTCTATTGAATAGAATATTATACAAAGCAAGGCAATTTAACACAAATAGTCAATTTAACACTGTTTTAGCCTTGCCTACTTCTTTACCAGTTCGAACCACCGCTGTGATCTGTCAGTCCAGGGTCGATCCTTCACTCCAACTTTGCATTACCACAAGGTCCATTCCCGGAAAAGGCGCGAAGAAGCATTCAGACTCCCGGCAAACCTTGTGCGTGGTTGCAATCCTTTTGCTGAGATTATATTGTCACTGAACCTTTTTGGGGAGACGTGTAACTTATAAAAAGAGCAAGCCAATCCTCAGCCTTGAGGCTTTTGGTCTTCCAAATTTTCTATATATCCTCTCTTTTTCCCTACCTCTTCCCCATTACTCTCCTTTGTTAAACCAACTAACTACAACAATGCATTGGAAATCCTTTGTTGCACTCACCACCTTAGCCGCCGCTGCTCAAGCTGCCGAGAAGAAGGCAGTTTCTAGCGCTGCTAAGAGCAGCACCACTGCTGCTCCTAAGAGCACTGCTGCCGCTGCTACTACTAGCGCTGCTGCTGCTGCCTCCCCCCTTACCGGTGGCACTAACCCCCTCGCCATCACCATCCCCAGCATCCCTCAAACCACATCCTATGACGTTAACACCGAATGCCAGGCTTACAGCGTCCCTGGTTTGACCATTGATCCTAAGCAATGGCCCAATATTTGGGAAACTGCCACTACCAATGGTATGAACACCAGTGCTGAATTCACCTCTTTGTACAATTCCATTGATTGGACCAAGAAGCCCACTGCTCCCGTTCGTAAGGCCACTGCTGCTGGCGGTCTTGACTTCACTGGCTACAGTGCCACCACTGATCCTGACTGCTGGTGGTCTAGCTCCCTCTGCACCATTCCCAAGGCTGCTGGTATCAATGCTGATATCTACCGTTGCGAGGAACCTGAAACCTGGGGTTTGACCTACGATGATGGTCCTAACTGCTCCCACAATGCTTTCTATGACTTTTTGCAACAGCAAAACTTGAAGGCCAGTATGTTCTATATTGGTTCCAACGTCTTGGATTGGCCCTATGGTGCCATGCGTGGTCTTAAGGATGGCCATCATATTGCTGACCACACCTGGTCCCATCAGCTTATGACCACCTTGACTGATCAAGAAGTCCTTGCCGAACTTTACTATACCCAAAAGGCCATCAAGTTTGTTACTGGTGTTACCCCCAAGTACTGGCGTCCTGCCTTCGGTGATGTTGATGACCGTGTCAGATGGATCGCCACCCAACTCAACTTGACTGCCGTCATCTGGGATCTCGACACTGATGACTGGGCTGCTGGCAATTCCGTTCCTGAAACCACTGTTGAACAGACCTACCAAGATTTCATCACTATGGGTACCAACGGTAGTTATGCTACCTACGGTAACATTGTCTTGACCCACGAAATTGATAACACTACCATGACTCTTGCCATGAAGTATCTTCCTCAAATTAAGGCTGCTTACAAGAACGTTTTGGATGTCGCTACCTGCAACAACATCACTAACCCATACATGGAGGACTCCGTCACCATGACTCCCTTCGGCAATGCTACCACCACCAACACCACCACTGCTGCTTCTGGTTCCGGCGTCGCCCCCGCTGCCAGTGGTTCTGCTGCTCCCGCTACATCTGCCAAGTCCGGTGCTTCCGCATTGACTGCTCCTGCTTCCCTCCTTGCTCTTGTTGCACTTGCTGTCTTTGCTCAATAAAAAAAAAAAGTAATTTGTGGATTTCCCTCCCTCTTTTCCTCCATCTAAAAAAAAGCCCACTGAAGGAAAAAAAAGCGACTAGTCAACAACATAGAGGGTTAGTTGCACTCCGTCACACAAGTCTCTTTATTTTTCTTATTATCTATTCTCTCACGCACAATATTTTTCATAATTTCAGCTGTACGCAATTTGTATCTGAATAGAACCTTCTTTGCTATATATATCCTTATGCTTGACTTATTAAACAAGAAATCATATTGAATTGAGTTGAGTTGCAAAACGAATGCAATATGTAATGCAATCATGTCCGTAGCACGAGGGTAAGTAATGCTGTTTTGATTTGCGTAACGTGCAAATTTTTATTGTATGGTGTAGTGTGGGAGGAGAAATGTGGGTGGAGAGAGAGAGAATGCACTCCCATTGGAATAATATAGAAATAAAAGAGAGAGACACATATTGAATTGAGGAAATACTATGTTGATTGGAAAAGAATATGTACAAACATTGCAAAAGCGAAGGTAGTAGAAGGAAAACACAGAGACGGCTAGGTTAGTTAATGGGGGTTGTGTATAATTATAGGTGCGCATTAGGATTGCATTTAAGCGTTGCTGGCAGTAGGGACCGTTAGACTGTGGTCTTCGGCACTACTGGTGTTTGGCATTGGATCCAGCGCCTGCCTTGAAGGAGGGTGGTAAGACGACGTGCTAAATTTATTCTGAAACTTGATCAATTCGCGCGTTAACCGATCCATGATCTCCAGCGACGTCTGCTCACCACCCCCTGGCTCTTCAGTGTGCGAATCCAGCGGTAAAGTCGTAGCACTGCTCACGGAGGATGCCGGTGATGCTGGTACATCGAGACGGGCAGATGAACCGTCTTCAACTGCCTTGCCTTTGAGAGGGGTTGGCTTGTTGGCCATCTCCACTTGAACAGAGCTGATGTACTCCAGAATCTGTTTCGCTCTACGATTCATCTCCCATAGACTCATCTTAGCAGACGGGTACCGGACCTTGGCTGGAGCGCTGGATTCTTCGACCTTTTCCTGTGGTGGCATGACTTCGTTATCAGATAATTGTGGTGTAGACGTTCGTGATCGAGCATTCTTGGTTCGTTTGGCTGGTCCTTTCCTGCCAGGCTGCTTTTTGGGCATAATCAGTTTTTTATCGCCATTCGATCGTTGACCGCCAGTCCGTCTTGGTCGTTTGCTTTTGATATCAGTATCGCTTTCTTCAAGTCCAATTTCAGGTATTCCATCTTTGGGTTCTGCTGGCTTTTCTTCTTCCGTACTATGACTCCGTGATCGTTTGTGTGCGGTTGCTGCGGCGGCGGCGGCTGCGGCTGCTAGGGTTGCTGCATGTTGGGCTTCTTCCACACTTCTCCGACTTCTTCGTTTAACAGCTTCTTCAATTCCTTCAACAATAGGAGGTAGCACGATGGTTTCTTCTACTTCCTCTTTAGTGTTTTCGTCACTGGGGACGGTCGCAGGTCCTTCTCCGTTGACAACCGCCCGACTTAACAAAATATCTGCTAACGGTACATCAGCTTCACGGCTATTATTTGTCATTCGTTTCTTGGGCTGTTGCTTTTTATCTGACGAACCATCAGGATGATACAGTCTTTTGCTTCTAAAAAGGTGACAGTGAAAGCAAAGAATGAGTGAGCGAATGCTACAAATGGCCCGCGGACCCTGTAAGGAGAAATGCCTTACCTTCCATTAGGTTGCTTAATCCAACTATGATTCTCTGGACGACATTCTTCACAATAATACTGCTCTGGAATGTCTTGTTCCAAGAGACCAATGCAAGAGCAATGTTGCCAGACTTCGCACTTATCGCATTGGACCATGAGGCCGACATTGTCTAGAAAGAAACGGTGGGTAAGCTGAACGTCTACTTTGTCAAAGCGGAAAAACGGAGCACCACATACGTATTTCGCCACATATACATCGTGTCACTGAGCCAGAATCAGAGCTGTCGTCTTCTGAAGAAGATTGTGTTTGAGCAAGCGGCTGTCGTCGTCGTGAACCGTTGGCGGATCTGCCACGCCGTTGCATGGCTGAAGGAGACATGAAGGTTAGCAATACACTATTAGTAGTAGTTTTCTCAGTATCAAGCTACACACTTGGTAGAAGTATCGCTCCTAGTGAAATAGTGAAAATGGGTAGCCTTTGAAGGGAATTGCTGAAAGAATGGAAAGAAAAAAAAAAAAAAAAAAAACTCCCGTAAGGCAAAACCTGTGGCAGCGTAGTTTTTGATTCGGCGCTTGAATACGATGTCTCATCACGCAAGCTGCCGCTTTCCAAAAATGTGTGGTGGATTTCACGGAGACAGAGTCTTCTCATAATGTGAAGCATTTTCAACCAGACAGCAGAATCCTATGAACAGCATGTCTTTTTAGTTTGTCGAATTCAAGTGCATTGACAAATGTCACCGACTAACTCATACGGATGATCTCATCTACTCCTAAGTAATGCTATGGAGCAGTTAGGAAGTATATGAGATAGGATACTTCGATGCCGAACAATCGATATATGGTCCACTGTTTTCTTCATGAGTTGATTTATTTCCTTTGTTTGCCTGATTATGTTAGCTATACTTGACTCTACGCGGCGCAGTAGTTCGCTCTTTGCCATATGTCCGCGAACAGTTTGATTGGATATATCGCGATGTTGAGAAACCCACAAGTAGCAGTCAGCATTTGCGGTTTTGAAAGAAAAGTCATGTCATACGCTTCCATGTCGTTCTAGACAGATCATATGATGGCCCAATTGATAGGTGTCTTGAACATCCGATAGTGGAATAAGGTGTCAAACGGATGCATGAAACTCGCAAATAAACATTAACATTGACACAACCAAATGGCGTGACAAAATGCCTGGGGTCAGTGAAGGTCAAAACCTGTCACATCTTTTGGATTTGCTTCTCACTTTGTCTGTGTATTTGATCCGTCTTCCACCATAAAGTGAACCGGCCTTGCAAAACTCCCAAATAGAGTGCGTGTGTGCACCGCACCTTTAGAAAGGCACAAGCCAATCGCGAAGTGGGATTATTTATAATCGAGTTACAGTTGCTAGATTGTCACGTTCACCATTTTCATAGCGAACCAAGATGCTTTTTACAATTATAAAAACGCAAATACGTACAATGTCTAGTAGCATTAATGACTCGAGGTTATATCAGCCATCATTCTTATCAGACTACTGATCAATCTCTTGATGATAAGAGTTCCCATAGAAGAACCAATGGACATTCACGTTGGCAGAGTAGATTAAGAAGGCTTTAGCTTGTTGTATATTCTGTTACAGCTGTCACTGGTTCAATTTGACAGGTTCATTTCCTCTCCTTGGCAATCTAATGTTTGGCTCAAAGCCTGAATAAGCTCATCCTCTCAGGAAAGAGTTGGAAGACAACATCAATTATTCCAATATAGCTCTTTTGAAGGGAGCTCGCCAGCTTTTCAAGGCTAATTTCCACATTTTCCAGGTTGAGTGCTTTAAAAGAATTGACTGCCATCTCATGAATATGGGATGCTGCTGTAAAGTCACGTGGCCTAAATTCAACAATGCAAACCGTTCCCTATGCCCGACGGCGCTCACTGTGTTCAGTACCTATGCCCCAAGAATATCAGAGCGAATGATACTAAAATAAAAGATATACGTCCTCTCTACTGAAACTGACCGAATTATTATTACTTGTCGAATTCCTCTGACTCTTTCCCAATAATAGCTCCTAATACTACTAATCGTGCTCTCTCTGCACGGTATGGCTACATGTTACTCACTGTTCCTTAGGTCTATCTTTAAGACGTTGACAATTCCTCTGACTTCTCTATAGAACTAACAGGATCAAAGTATTCAAAATTAGTTCCTCGTTATATGTCAAGGCAATTCAATGCAGACAAGGTCTACTACCTATAGGGTGTTCAAATACTTTAAACCCATACAAAAATCACCACATAAAATATGTCATAAAAATGAATCCTGCCGGACATAAAAGCTAATTTTGAATAGGAAGTGGCAAACTCTTACATTCGAAACCATGCTTTGGAAAAGCATTTTGCTGTCGGCATGCGGCATTTGCGCTGTCTCTGCGAGTCTCCAAACTACATTGTCGAAGCCGGAACCTACTGATCAGCAGTGGCTGAAAACTTTGCAAAATGACGAGCTGAAAGGCTACTCCGTCCGTATCAAACAGCCTAACTTTTGCGACGACGTTGTGCAGGTGAGTCTGTGGCAGTATGCCATTTGCCGGTATCCAATCAAGTTCGTATATGCTCATTTCATTCATTATCTGCTCTACCAAGTACTCCGGATACCTTGATATCGAGGAAACAGACGATCACTTTTTCTTCTGGTTTTTTGAATCACGCTTCCAATCGGTTTCAAGCGAGACCGTGCTCTGGCTCAACGGTGGACCTGGGTGTAGCTCGCTTACAGGACTGTGGATGGAACATGGGTAATTTATTTGAGATAGTGAAGGGCTTCATTCACACCCCTTTTTAACCGCCACCCGATAGCCCATGTCTTGTCACAGCTGCTGGAAATGAAACTGCTTACAACCCTTATAGCTGGAACAACTTTGCCAATATGATCTTTTTGGACCAGGTAAATCATTTATCTTGCGTTCATATGAGTTCGTACAACGCGCGGACTCATACATTATATGTGTAGCCTATCCAAGTTGGTTATAGTTATGGCAAGAGCCGAGTCGGAACAAGCGAACAAGCTGCAAAGGCTACTTATGCATTCTTGGTATTGTTCTTTGAGGAATTCCCTCAATATGCTGAAAAGTATTTCCATATTTCAGGTGAATCCTATGGTAAGTGTGTGAAACTCCCACCTCTGCCCCACTGAATTAGACTATTTATTCCGTATTTGGTTATCCGACAGCCGGCCATTATCTTCCTGCTCTTGGAAGAGAAATTGTTAAGCGTCAACAAAGCTCTACACCACCCAACTTCCAATTGGATTCCATGTTAATTGGTAATGGATGGACTGACCCTCTCATCCAAATGGAAAAGTACATCGATTTTGGTTGTGATGAAGGTAGGTTGTTGTGTTCAACAAGTCACTCTGTCAAGTATAACTTCGTGAAAGTAACGCTCTTCAAAAGAAACACCTGTGTTCGAGGAGGATACCTGTGATTCCATGAAGAAGGCACTTCCAAGATGCAAGAGGCTCTCAAAATTCTGCTACGACCACCCCGGAACCTTAACATGCCTTCCTGTCCTAGCCGGCTGCGCACCTTTGGAGTCAGCATGTGGAAAGAACGGCCGAAGTAAGTGCTGAAGTTTGATAAGCACGAAATGAATGGCAGTTAGCTTACTTGTATGTAGATCCATATGATATCCGTAAGAGATGTGACGAAGGAAACTCGTTGTGCTATGACGTTTTGACCGGCCTCGAAATCTGGGCCAACCGACCTGATGTACGCGCTGAACTTGGTATTGACGATGCAGTAGAGAAGTACGAGAGCTGCCAGAATCAAGTTGGTTACCGCTTTGGCTTGACTGCTGATAAGTAAAGTATCAAATTAGAAGTACGGCTGTTAAGATATACTGCTCTTATGTTAACGCTGTTGTCCAGCCCCAAGAACTTTGCCCCCCTCGTTTCAGAAATGCTTGCCGCTGGCATCCGTGTGTTGATTTATGCTGGTACGTAACTCCGGGACGCATATATAAATTGCGAATTTGCACAGATTAACACCGTTTCAATAGGCGATAAGGATTGTATTTGCAATTGGTAAACATCGTATCTGAAAAATTACAAGGACTGGACATTATGTTTAGTTATCTGATGATTATTTAACTTTTCACATTAGGGTGGGAAACAAGGCATGGACTCTCGAGCTTGATTGGACTGGCAAAGAAGGATTTCAACAGGCTGAAGATGAGGAATGGTTTAGCTGGATTACTCAAGAGGTATGTTATGCTCGGTTTCTCCTGTTCAATTTTTCAAGGTCTAACATAGTACTTTGCTCAGCCTGCTGGCGAAATGCGAAAGTACGGCAACTTGACCTTCCTTAGAGTCTACGATGCTGGTCACATGGTATGTATATTTATTGAATATGTCGGGCTCTAGTATAAAGTTAATTGTTAATTTATTTGACGTAGGTCCCTTACGATCAACCAGAGAACAGCTTGGACTTCTTCTCCAGATGGGTCAAGGATGTACTTTATTGATGATTTCCCCACTCCATATTTAATTCCATGTATAATCATTGTGTCTAATAAAAGAGGCATCTATCTATCGTTGAAATATATAGTTTTTGTATAGCAATCCATCGAATCATGGTTTGCAGTGCTGTGCTGTACAATAAATGTTGACCTTATCCCCTAACCCTGATTTCAACCCAGCGCAAAACACACAAAAAATTGACGAGACTGCGATTACACTCTTCCTAATCCCAATCGTTCAAACCATGTCAGCCGATGAGATAGCAGGATATCGCTACCAATTGGAGCAAATTGAGGCATCGCTAGAAAGCGATCCGCAAAACAGTGAGCTAATAAAGCTGAAGAATGATTTAGTAGAGCTCATCGCACTTACAACCCAATTTGAGAATGTACAAAGTCCAGCCCGATCGGCGGAGGCGACGCCTACTAAGACACAAGAGAAACCAAAGGAAGACGAATCTCCATCAACGAGGACGGCCACAACGCTTTTCCAGCAATACAGTGTCGGCCAAGAGGTAATGGCAAAATATCAAGCAGACGGAAAGTATTACAAGGCAAAGATTTCTAATGTAGGAGGAAGTGGAGTGGTGTATTCTGTCATCTTTGCTGGCTATCAGGACGTTGAAATCGTAAAAGCCGAAGACATCAAACCTATAGAGAACAAATACAAGAACAAGCGACCGGCTAGCAACGTTGAAAGCGGCGACGGGACGAAGAAGCAACCACAAGCGAAGAAGCCAAAGAAGCCAGCGGCAGTGGAAGTCAAGAAAAATGCATGGCTCAACTTTGCCACCAAGGCTGAAAAGAAAAAGAAAACGTCAGCGATCCCCATCAATAAGAAGAGTATCTTCAAAACACCCGATAATCCAGAGGGCAAAGGTAAGCAACCGTCATGGTCTATGAATGGAAAAAGTGGGTTAGACGACCAACTAATGTCCTCCTTTGAACCTAGTTGGTGTGATTGGAAGTGGCAGGGGAATGACGGGATTCCAGCAGCGTGGCAAACATCAGTATAGCTCCAATTCAAATGTAGATGAGGAATGAATATACCTTTTTCAAACCCTTTTATTCTGTAACAATGACCATAAAAGCTTTCCATGGAAGTTTTGTCAGTGATATTCGGAGTGTGAAAGTAGAGGGTGGGTCAGAGACAAAGCGACATTTTTTTTGAAAAAAGGAACCGACGACCCGCTAGCCTCAGAACAAAAATCTCCTCCGCGCCATTCCATTTTATTTTCAATGCTTCCTCAATTCGGCTACGTCTTTGCTCAAGCAGGAGCAGACCGCAATGGTCATAATCCTCCCATGACTTCTCCGCTCCATCCATACCCTAATGACTCAAATCAAAAGTACCCACAGCAGCCCCCCCATGCTGCAGAACGATTCACTCCCCCTCCACCAACCCTACCGTATCGAGACTCACAAAGGGACGAACGCTACTATGAACATATGACTCCATCCTATGCTTCTCAGCAACAGCCCCCAAGTTCGGCTTATCCACCGTATAGCCAAGTGGATCCATATCAGAACCACACGGAAGGATATCGAGGATCCGAAGCGCCTTACTATAACCATGTGTCCATGAAGGTTTACAACCATATGGATGAGCCAATGTATAGATACGATGAGTACCAACGGTGGCATCCTGAAAACGATTCCTATAATCAACATTCCTATCACGACCAACGACAGCAATATGGGCAGGATTGGTCCGATGGTATTACTTGTTAAAGCATGTAATCACCGTGTATTTTATACATTTTAATAACCTATATCGCTTTTGCTATAGACGGTATGGACATTGTAGAAAGCAGATTGAGTCGAAAGGTGCGAGAATATGGCGAAAGACTAGCCTGGCTAGACAAAGATTTTGAAGACGCCAAAGAAGAGTAAGTTCAAGCAGTCCCTGTCGATATTTGCTTCTAAAAGATTCTAATATCATGCTGTATATCACTTTTAGTATTTACCGAGAGCGATTAAGAAACCTACAAGAAGAACTACAGGCAATTCAAGAAGGCAAGTTGTAGCCAGCATGGTTTCCTTCTTTTTCATTTATTTTTTCAATGTTTAAATTTTATTTGACTATATACACCACTGGTCGTGATGTCTGGCTTACAAAATTTCTAACGAATCCTGGGACCCACAGGCACTCACGCTGCATTCCAAGAGGTTGTACGTGACCTAGAAGAAATGCGGAACAAGGCAATTTCTGACGCCAAAGCATTTGGTGACTACCAACTAGAATGCGTTCAAAAACAGTACGAGTTGGACTCTGAAGCTGTGGAAGAGGAGTACCAGGTACAGTGTCCTTCATCCATTGCCTCATATAAAAAAGTTAAAAAAAAAAAAAATTAATTTACATTGTTTTACTTGAAGTTTGAAAAACAAAACCTGCACGACATGATGATGGCAGCGATAGCAGAGAAAAAGAAACAAATCGTAGAAGACAGGGATGATATTGGTGAACGATCGAGTGGTGAGTGACATCTTCCCCAGTGGCTTGAAATTTCTTTCCGGCAATTCTTATTAACCTGGCTTATCATTAGAACTTGCTCGTGAAACGGCTTACCGAACAGCATCGAAGCGAAATCTGCGAAAGCGCGCAGCTGCAGGTCTGGAATTACAAGACAGACGATCCCATGGCTATAGCAGTCGGGGTGATACTCCAAGACGCCGTGCCGCCGCTGATCGCTCAAGCACCCCGTTACGACTAGATGCGCCTGTTACTGGTAAGGAAGAGGATGAACTTGAAAGCGAATTTTTGCAACTGAAGGTAAGGGTGAATGTCACAATGATTTTTAATTGAATGGCACATGGTCAAACCTCCCCAGCGTTCTGTCATCTAAGCGTATCATTCATTTTGATAGGGAATGAATACACCTGCCAACAAGAAAACCAACAGCGCTGGCGCCAATAGACGATAATACCAAGACTTCCCCTCGTTGCTCCTCCTACAGAACATCATCCCCCTCATCCATCAATGTCTAATAACATTACACTGCTTTCTTCTTCTGCCGCGACTTACATAAATCACCACCTTCTGTTTACTTACTGGATCTCCTTTTTGTTTCATTTCTTCGGTGCCTCTCATAATAACTTTGGCCTGCACTCTCTTTTATTATTGGTAGCAAAGCAGGATCTCCTCCACTTTGATCAACACTATCTGTCATATCATTTCATTTCTGGTTTTTCTTTATTCCTCAATAGTAATGATCAACTTCACAAAAACGATCACAAAAGCCTCATTTGACAGTGTATGGGACGGAGAAAAGGTTAATCACAGACAAATTTGCCTTCTGCTTTGCACATAAAAAAATTTACAGTAATAATATTTGAATACTTTAAGACCATCGAACCGGCTCATGGGATTGTTGGGTATTGTATCCTTGATAGGTGTTGGATGACTGTGCATCATGGGGAGGTTGGGGCTGTTGCTGGTGCTGTGCAGGCGAAGTATAATAGCCACCCTGAGCGGGTGGCTGCTGGTATCCCGCATACACATCGGGTGTGGCAGTTGGAATCGGCTGGTGCTGAACTGGTTGTTGCTGTGATTGGCTGGCGTAGTAATCTTGTCGTGGTGGTTGCTGCTGAGGATAGTTTGGGTATGGTTCGGCTTGTGATGGAGGGTAAGCGCCATATTGTGGTTGAGGCTGTCCATATGGGTCTGTAGACATGAAACATTGGTGACTTATTTTAACAGTGCGTTCTTAGCATGTGACAGAATAACTTACCAACAGGAGGGGAACTATATCTTGCAATTGAATTCTCGAGCATTTTGTCATAGGATGTTCTTGCTTTCATGAACTTTTCATTTAGAGCAACCAATTCATCTGCATATACCGGAACAGTAAGTTGTCATTGGCTATGAAACAATGATCTTACATTCTATGGAATACCACCGTTTTTTCCATACCTTTCTTAAGACTGTATTTCTCGATCAGCTTTACTAGCTTGGGTCGGATGGCCAAAGTCTCGTTATATAGGGATTGCAACTGTTCGTTCTCAGCAAAGGAGTCTCGTCGGGGGTCAATTTTAGACAACAGTTGAATCAATTGCTCTACTTTAGGAGACATATCCATGACTTCGTCTTCCATTTGAGCTTCACGCAATAAGTCGGCAGGGGTAGGGTCGACGATCTTTTCCTGCAATCATACCTCAGTTAAACCCCAATCACTTTACATGCTAAAGTAGAAATGTAACCCATACCACATAGTTAACTGGGAAAATGCCCGTCTTGCCGCGAAGCTCTCCTTTCCACCAATCTCTGTAAACACTTTCAAGAACTCGTATAATGTCACCCTTCTGGAATCCAAGTTCTCCCTGCTCAGTAGGTTGAAAATCGTATAGGGCTCGGACACGGCTAGGCTTTCCAGGTTCGGACGGTGGTGCCTCTGAGTTTGGTGCCTTCTGGGTAGACGAAGCTGTTGCCTTGCCTGGTGCCTAATCATTGTGCGACCGTTTAACTTTTTGAAATTCTTCAGGATCGATCGTACAAAAGGGACTTATGATGGTCCTACCTGGTACTTGGGCTTATTCTCTGATTCAGACAGTGATAACGCCAATGCCAACTGAAATTCCTCTTCCTCCTTCTGTTTATCTAATTCACTCTGAGTTTCCTTCTTTGGCTTCTGTGGCGACGGGAATATCACACCTTGTGATCGAAGAGAAAGGTACGTCTCGTTCATGAGTCCAAGACTAGGATCAGATCTAAAATCAAATGCACACGACTGTATGAGTTCCAGAGCTCGCTGTCGAACGCTGGTATGCGTAGTCTATACGTCGAGTTAATTAGACAAGTGGATGGCTAGACAACAATGTCTCGAGAAACCCTCTTACCTTGTCATTTATTATTTTGACCAAAGAAGAGGTAAAAGTTCTTGAGGAGATTTCACGATGAACTGTTAGATCGCAGTTCTTGACTAGAGCTTGTGCCAACTAGGTGAGAGAAATCGATAAACTCAGTTCAAAGGGCTTTCAGCTGAGTATATAGTCGCAGCCGTTATGACGGTTGCCAAGTCTCTCACTTACCGCCAAAGAATACAGCTGAACATTGGCGTTCTTGCTTTGTAATCGTTTTTGAACAGCTGCTACACAGTCTCTTGCGCTTGGCATCGAAAAGTTGCATAATAAAAGTGAGTTAGAAAACGATATGCCAAGACAAGGGGCAATGGTTGCCATCGTCATGTAGACAGTGGTAACCAAGTTAGCTTGAGTTGTTAATGCTTACGCGTCGGGAGAGCTTCTTGAAACACGATCGCATACGTTCAAGAGAAGCTCCCAATTCTCGGAAGTCAGGTTTTCGCTGGTAGCGGATGCTGAAAAGGTTAAAGATATGTTGAGTAAGCTTGGCAAAGTGACCCGAATGCGAGTGTCAATGGTAGGCTGCTTTTGCGAGTTTTTACTTACTGACTACTTCGTCAAAAGGATTAGCTCTAGAAAACATGGCTAAAGGGATGTAATGAGGAGAAGAAGATGTAGCGATAAATCTGAGTACGGACTGGTCAGAGAAAATAGGCACCGGCTCGAGCCTCAAGACGTCATTGCAGATTTTGGTATTCCAGCGTTTTTGGCATTTGTAAATTTCTCCCTACTGCAAATGGAGGCAAATGCTGATCAGGTATGGTTATCTACCTCGCATTAGGTTCCTATTTGAATCTCCTTATCTGATTCCAAAGGTTCAGAACATCCACCTTCAAACAAAGCGAAAAAGCGAGCAAGAGATGGAACCTCGGATCAAAAAGCAGTATAAAAAGCAGATCAAGACAATTGACATCCATTCTACCGACGATCTTAACGATGTTGAATTCTACTTTGAAAAAGGTTTGAATAACTTGACTGAGTAACCGAAATGAAAGACATTCAACTCAACGTTCATTTTATTGATCTATATCTGGAGTAGGCTTACGGAAAGTTCGACCGTATTACTACAAATACCAAGCTTTTGCAAAAGGCCGATGGATGGGGAGAAGTCTCCTGGAGGTATTCTCAACAGAGTTCCGAGATCAAACTCAAGTCTATTATGTATGTATTGTCTTGATTGCAAACATTGGCTTGAGTGTGCTGACGGTAACATTTTTCAAACTTATGTCCACTCATTAGGAATATGCTATCAGCAAAGGTCTCATAACCATCAATGGAGAAAAATGTTCTCCTGACACAATTATCAAAAGCCAGGATGTAATAGGACATCAGATTCATCGCCATGAACCACCAGTAACGGATCAAAATATCAAAATTATTGCACGCACGGATGGATACATTGTCATTGACAAACCTGGAAGTATTCCAGTATGTATTACAGCATCTTTTCCACGTATCTTTGGAGCATCATTGTAATAACTTTTTGGAATTACAGGTCCACCCAAGCGGGCGCTATCGCCATAACACTGTCATACATATTTTGCAAAAGGAACATCAAATACCCAAATTATACCGTGAGTCCAACCTCTCCATCCGTGCAGCTCAAGCAGTTTTCTTGACAACTAAAATATTATAATGGTTGGTAGCGATTAACAGATTGGATAGATTGACGTCTGGATTAATGCTGATAGCGACAAGTCCACAGAAAGCACAAGAATTTGAACGACAAATGTCTACAAGAACCATCAGGAAAGAGTATGTGTGCAAAGTCATTGGAGAGTTCCCTGAGTAAGTCTCATTCAAAAGGATTGCAAGAATGTATGGCTATCACTTTGTCGTGCTCACTGTTATCGTAAAATTGATTCAGAGGGCGCATTGAATGCAATGAACCGATCAAGACAGTCTCGTTCAAGTTAGGACTCAACTGTGTACATGAAGACGGAAAGGAGTCCAGAACGGTTTTCGAACGACAAAGCTACAACGGGAAAACCAGCATTGTACGATGCTATCCATTTACGGGCCGAACACATCAGATCCGTGTTCATTTACAATACCTGGGCTATCCAATTGCTAATGATCCGCTATATTCCTCTCCCCTTGTTTGGGGCGACTTGCTTGGCAAAGGGAAGCACAATCCTGACGATATCAATGATGTCGTCGATAAAATGACCAAAGCGTCTTCTTACGATGATGGCGAATGGAATTATCCGGAAACCAAAAAGGATGAGAAGTCTAAGGATATGATTGCGTGCCCCGTGTGTAGCATATTGTCTCCACCCGACTTCACGCAAGATGAGCTCTGCATATGGCTACATGCTATCAAGTACTCGACTGACGACTGGTCCTATGAGACAGATTATCCTAGCTGGGCTAAGGATGATATCTGAAAAGCAGACAGAATATACCTTTCTTCTTCTTTTTTTTGTAACAAATTGGTTCAATTTTTATTCAACTCATTTAGACCTAATCACGAATAGCAGAATATTCGACAAAATAATTTGTTTGCTGCCATTGCTTATGGACGGTATAATATCTTTGGTCCGTTCACTTTGACTTTCTCCAATCTTCCTGGAAGAATATTTTCGTACATAAGGCGAACCCAGTCGCATAAAATCGGTCTGGTATGCCTAGGATCAATGATTTCAGGGATATCGAAGTTTTCAGCGGTTCGAACAGGCGAGCGAACAGCTTCGAATTGAGCAAGAATACTTTCATAGAGCTTATTGCGATTCTCTCCAGCTGCATCAAGTTCACGTTTATAAGCAGCCTAAGACGGATGACGACTCGTTAATTCTGTCATAACCTTGCCATTAATAACCACTTTCAAAAACTTACGTAAATACCGCCCTCCAAAGGTAAACTTCCCCAATCTCCACTGGGCCAAGCGACTCTCATGTTTGGTATTCTGTTATCTACAAAAGCTGCTCCAGCTACACCAAAGACTTTTCGTAGGACAACGCTGAAGTAAGGAACATCACCCTGGTAGAGCGCGGCAATGAGAGTGGATCCATATCGGATTGTACTGTAAATTAGACGCGTTAAATCAAGTCTATGTTTCCTTTGAGCATTTTTCTCCAAGGACACCTACGCTTCCTTTTCGGCTTTGGTACCAATAGTGAATCCCGCGTAGTCAGCAAAGTTCACGATAGGCAGCCCAAATACCTCGCAGAGATCAATATGGCGTCGAAACTTTTGTGACCCTGCAGTAGATATGACTGAACCTGTCTTGCTGCAATCAAAGGCTAAGATACCGACTGCGTAACCGTTCAGACGCCCGAAACCACAAACAGCTCCTTCACCCCATCTTTCGCCTATTTCGAACCAAGAACCCTGATCCAACACAAGTTCTAATATTTCTCTGACTTGATAGCTACGCTGTCTCCGTTTGGGTATAATATCGAGAAGTCTATCGTCGCACCGATCAACGATATCATTCTGTGTTCCTCGAGGTGGTAGCTTGGTTGTGTTATTTGGCAAATAGGATAGAAATTGTCGGATTTGCTCAAAACACTCTTCCTCCGTTTCTACCAAGTTGTCTATAGTACCATTTGAAGTATGCAGCAGTGCACCGCCCAATTCCTGCTTGGTAACCGTCTCATATGTCGCATTGGCAACGACAGGTGGCCCAGCTGCGAAAAGAGATCCGACTTTACTAGCCATGACGGAGAAGTGAGTCAAAGTAGCACGTGCAGCTCCCAATCCCACGGCTGTTAAAAGCAAATTTAAATAAATTATGGTACCTTTACTGGATAGCTTATGATGATCTTCACTTACTGGGGCCTAATGCGGCAGCAACAACAGGTATCTCGCTCAAACTTGCTATTGAATCGTGCATACCTATGAGAGGAGGAAGATATGTACCATTTTTCAGTGCCAAAGTGACAGAACCACCACCGCTACTACCGTCTATCAGGCGGATCTTATGTGGTAAACAAGTTGATTAGATTCAGACATTGTTTACGTTCACAATCGAGCGCTTACCAATGGAATTTTAAGTTTTCTTGCCAACTGCTCTGTATAAAGCTTCAAATTTGTATGTAAGTTTTAAGGTTTGTGCCATTAATTTTGTCTACAGAAAAGCACTTACTGATTTTCCCCAAACGGCACCATCAGCGTGTCCGGCACGGATAGAAAAGTCATCAGCGGCAATGACAACGTCTCTTTGATTCACTTTTGCTGTTCCAGATATAAAGTTGGCTGGAGTGTAATCCAAAGCTTTTCCTTTTTCGTCGTACTTTGCGTTTCCAGCAGTACTGCCAATCTCTCGGAAAGTCTGCTTGTCGACCAAAGCAATGATGCGCTCCCGGACCCACAACTTCCCTTGAGTTTTCTGGCGCACATAACCATGATTATTGTTATCTGGCTGTCTGTTCTTGTTTCTTCTTCCTTTCACAGTGTCCAGAGTATCCTACATAAACAAATTGGTTATGCATGCGCGCTTTGATAAAGTCATTGTTCCGAGTATGATCGTACCTTCCATTCTGATTTTTCATAAGCTTCGTCTATGGAAGAAGGTGCATCTTTGGGACTCAAATGATCTTTTATCAAATCCAATCGCCTGTTAACTCCATCGCCCATAATTTCGGGGTCTTTCATGACAAAAAAGAAGTAAAAGGGAGGAAGAGAAGGTTTGAAGGTTCAGGGAAAGCAACTGACTCAAGAGAAATACGCAATTGAACTCCCGACTTGCGGGGAAATCAAATGCCTGTGTTTAAAAACTTTGGAAAAAATGGTGAGCGCAGACTCTATCAAATGACACCTACCAGCGACGATGGTCAGCCATTGAAGGCTGGCAAGCGTACACGATCAGCAAAAGCCTGTACAGCATGTCGTCAAATGAAGCTGAAATGTGATGCTATGGATCGATTTCCGTCACCTTGCTCCCGATGTACGAAGAACAGCCACTTTTGTGAGATTGACCGCAATTTTCAAAGAGAAAGGAAGCGACGCTCTGAACCTGTACAGATTCCACAACAGAATCAAGCAAACACTATGCAAACCATGTTGACGCCTCAAAGTCAAGTTGATTCCATCAATAATGTCGCTAATAATAATGAAAACCTTACCGAGGGTCGCAGCACGAGCCCTCCATTGATAGCGGTGTTACAGTCAGCAAATGACCTGCAACCGAAAGATGAAGCTCTCCTCGGTACTATTATTCCAGGACATCGCATTCGACTGATGTTTGACATGTTCATCAATCTCTATCACAGACACCTTCCTATTTTACCTTTGGAATATATCAGTCCGGTCAAATTATCTGACGAATCACCTCTGCTGTTTTGGTCCATCTGCTCAGTGACCGTCGCCACTACTTGCCCAGACCTAACAGATGTGATACACGAGCATGTTAGGGATTTGATTAGCAAGTCATACCTGACCCATTATATCTTCAAGCCATTTACAGCTCTATCGAATGTCTGCGCTATGGTGTTTTTATGTTATTGGCCACTAACTCACCGAACGATACAAGAAGATGCCTCATGGACGTATTGTGGGTTGGCTACGCATATGGCTCTCCAAATAGGCTTGCATCGATTTACATATACTGAGGAATACGCCATTGCAAGCGAAACACGAGCGACACAAAAAATGAAGCTGCTAACATGGCTTGGATGCTTCTTGGTCAACCAACTCAATGCTGATTTCCATGGAGTACCAAGCACAGCCACGTTAGATTATACCTATATTCCCGACCTTACACAGTACTCTGAACAGGATGCCAATGTCGCCGATTTCATTAAAAGAGTCAAAATTCTACATGCCCTTAAGAAAGGCATTGATGTTCTTGGTACTCCTGATGGCACTATGAACCCCTCAGCGAAAGCTCTTCTTCATAGGTCTGTGGAAGACACGTTTTCACAGCTTTTGAATGAAATCACACCGTTATCCGAAATTGCAGAACTCACCTATCTACATGCGAAACTACAACTTCACTCCTTTTTGCTCACTCCAGACGTACCGGAGTCAGACCAGAAAGACGCGATCATCCCCACGTACCTCGTTTGCATGCAGCATATTCAAGTCATTCGAAGTTTACTTGACAAGGATCCTGATTGTCAATATTGGCCATTTTTCATTGTCACCAATTTACTGATTGCCAGTACCGTGCTCTTCAAACTGACGATATCGCCTTACAAAGGCATGATCGATGTCGATGTGGCCAGGAACAACATATCTGATTCATTCACGCTGCTGAAAAGATTGTCCACTTATAAAGGAGATATGGCGTCAAGATCACAAATATTTGTTGAGGGCATCAAAAGCATGTATGTTGAAAAAGCTATCTCTCCCCAAATTTGCCCGGTCAAAACCAGGCTTGGAGCGGGTATTTTCACCAGCACGCTTCTAGAGTATAAAAAATGGCAACGGGCAAAGACTCTGAAACAGCAGGAAGAAGATATGGCTCGAAATGGAATCAATTTGATGAACGATACAGCACCCACCAAGGATTTAATTGGTCCATTCTTTGATGTTATGACCTTTGACGATTTCTGGAACTGGGACGTTTGGCCGGACACAATGAAAAATATGTAATCGAGCGGAGATCTGTTGCTTATCATGTTCTTTATTCTTAATATGGCATATGCCGAAAATTTCGCATCCATTGCCGATACCTTAAGGTGGGAAATGATTTTCTCCACCATTCACGTCTGATGGATATAAAAGAGCCCCTCTTTCTGTAATATATTCTTTAAAAAAACCTTCCCTCCAAGCAATCTCGTCATTTGTTGATCCCATGCTCGAAACTCCATTATCCACTGAACCCGTAACTCAAACATTGAGCGAATGGGTCGCTGCTCTCGATTGGGTGTCTATTCCAGACATCACCAAGGAACGTGCTCAATACCTCATCCTGGATGGACTTACTTGCGCATTAGTAGCAGCGCATCTGCCTTGGTCAGAAACAGCGGTTGACGCTATTTTGAGAATGGAATCCCCCTCAGGAACTTGCCCTCTAATAGGGTGGAAAGACAAGCGAACTGGACCTTTACCTGCTGCCCTCATCAACAGTGCGCTTATTCAGGGCTTTGAACTTGACGATTACCATAGCATAGCACCGCTCCATAGCAACTCCATCATTCTCCCTGCACTATTATCTCTAGTGGCGCATTTGCGAGCATCGAATGATGGCCGAAAAGTCACTGGCAAGGAATTCCTGGTAGCTGCCATCGCTGGTTATGAAGTTGGTCCACGTGTGGGAATGGCCCTCGGCGGTGGCAATATACTGTCGCGTGGCTGGCACAGCGGTACCGTTTTTGGTCATGCTGCTTCCGCAGCTGCAAGCTCCAGGTTGCTCAACCTGGACTCGGATCAGATCGAAGACGCTTTTGGTATTGCCTGCACACAAGCTTGTGGACTGATGTCAGCCCAGTTTGAATCATCCGTCAAGCGAATGCAACATGGCTTTGCCTCTCGAAACGGCCTATTTTCCGCTCTGATGGCTGAAGCAAGATATAAGGGAATTAGCAAAGTTTTCGAGAGACCTTATGGAGGCTTCCTATCCGTCTTCGCAAATGGTGGTGATCCACCCGCTCCTAGTGAAGTTATCAAGGACCTTTCTGTTAAATGGCAGACTATGAATATCAACGTCAAGCCTTATGCTTGTATGGGTGGAATTCATGCCACCATTGACTGCCTTAAGGAGCTTCAATCCAAGAACGATATCCAGGTTGCTAATATCCGCAGTATTCAAATTGAAATGAGTGAACCCGCTTTCAAGCATGGTGGCTGGAAGGCAGAAAAGCCCATCGCAGTCATTGGAGCTCAGATGAATGCAGCCTACATTGCCGCCGCTCATATCATTGACGGCGACATCACCATGCATACTTTTTCAAGCAGTATGCTCAACCGAGAAGAACTGTGGCGTTTGGAACCCAAAATTGAAGTCATGCATCAATCTGAATTTGATCAACTCCCAAACCACGCCGACAAGATGTGCACCCGCACTACCATTGTGCTGATGAATGGAGAACAGCTAACAACTACTGTCGTTCGCCCTACAGGAGTGAAGAGGCCACTTACAAGTGATGAAATTATTACGAAATTCCATTCTTTGACAAGTGAACTCGTCCCAGAAAATCGACAACAAGATATCATTCAGTTTGTTAAAAACTTGGAAAATTGTAACGATATGTCTGAGATTTTCGATTTGCTTAATTTCGATGTTCCAAGTCCTATTGCTTAATAAATGTAACATGTTTTATTACTTTGATTAAACGTTATCAAATGTAGTGGATCCAACCATTCGATCCAATTTGATTGCTTCAGAGAGTCCCATATTCATGAAGGACTCTCTGGGATTTACTCCTTCACATGAGGATGCGTCAGTACCCTCACGCAAAAGCTCATCCATAGCCTTCCCAATGGCCAGAGAAGCCGGAATGATGGAAGCACAGGGATGTAGGCACAATTTGAATCCCATTTTTTGAGCCTCTGAAGTGGTCCAGTTGGGAGTTACACCGTTTGTCACCAAGTTTATCAGAACGGGAACAGGATGAAGAGATTCCACAACTTTGATAGCTTCTTCCTTGCTAGTGATACCTTCAACAAATGCCACATCAGCTCCAGCAGAGACTGCAGACTTGCAACGTTGAATGGCGTCATCTACTCCAAACGACTGTAGTGCATCACTTCTTGCAATAATGACAATGTCGGAATTGATCTGTTTACGTGCGATGGCCATGGCCCTGATACGCATGACAAATTCTTCTTCAGAGACAAGCTCCTTTCCACCAAGGTGGCCGCAGCGCTTGGCATGAACTTGGTCCTCAACATGGAGTCCAGCAACGCCAGCTCTGGCGTACATGGTAAGTGTCCTTGCACACATCACAGCATTGCCGTATCCAGTGTCAGCATCAGCAATTACGGGAACTTGAGGGTTTAGATTTGCAATGAGAGATGCATTGGCATGCATGTCCGTTAGTCCAGCTACGCCAATGTCTGGCATACCCAATCTTGAAGCGACAGTTCCTGCTCCTGTCATATACAGGCACTTGAATCCTTTGTTCAAAGCGATCCGGCCGGAGATGCCATCGTAGACACCAGGGCAGACCAATATTTCAGGATTTTGGATTAGTTCTCTCAGACTCTTGACGCTCATGTTTGCTATGTTTTTCAAATGCTTTTAGACAAAACATACGAGGCTTTTTGTACTCTTCGTACCATCTGATGTTACCGCCTTTTTGCCATGTTTACCAAACTCCGCTCAGAATGCCACCGCTACCGTTGCCGAACTTCTACCAATCGCGATCAGCTCCGCCAGGCTAAGGCGATTGTCACTAAGAAAATGAGATTTTCATTTCGTAAACAATGAAAAATCCTCTTTTCAACAGTCTCTATAGCTATTTCAATGTATACATTTGTCTGTAGAGAGCAAACTGGCCATTTCTGCTTGCGTTTTTTACAAATGTCTTGTGGTGATGATTACTTTCGCCATTTATGGCTATAAATCGGCAATCCAAGCGAACGCCTCACCAACGTAAGAATTTTCTCCCATGCCCGGTTGGTTTCGCTATCTGGAGATAAAAAGGTCGCAAACATATACTGACTTATCACTTCATCAACTCTTTAGATTTTACCAAGAAAAATGTCTCATCCGCGTACTTTGGTGGAAAAAATTCTTGCTCATCATGCCATGGGCGATACTGAAATTGCTCCTGGAAAGATGATTTGTGTCAAGGTGGACTGGACTATGGCATCCGAAGCAAGCTGGTTTGGAATGTACAAGCTTTATGATCAGCTTGGAAAGCCTGGAATTTACCGTAACGATCGTGTTTGGCTTGCGGCCGATCATATCGTGGACCCTAGGATCAACCACTTACCTAAACCGAAGGCGCTCATTGACGCAGCAGAATCGGGTGCAAAGGAGCTAGATATCAAGGACTATCAACCTCCAAATACCACAATTATGCACACAGAATTTTACAGGCAGCGTGCTCAACCTGGAATGCTGATTATCGGTGCAGATTCTCACACCTGTTCTAGTGGTGCTTTAGGTGCCTTGGCAGTTGGCCTAGGTGCGGCCGATGTCGTCTTCCCATTGGTGACAGGAGAAACCTTCTTTCAAGTTCCTGAAGTGGTCAAGATTGAGCTCGTTGGCAAACCAAACTTTGGAATTGGCGGAAAAGATATCATCTTGCATATTCTTGGAGAATTCAAGCGCAATACCATCGCTGCAGGAAGAGCAGTGGAGTACGTTGGCGATGGTATACATTACCTCTCTTGTGACGCCAGATTTGCCATCGCCAATATGTCCACAGAATTTGGTGCAATTGCAGGTGTATTTGTTCCAGATCAACAAACCGCTGCCTTTATAGATCAACGATCTAGTCATAAGGACGAAGCAATCTACTTTCAACCGGATGCTGGTGCTAAATACGTTGAAACCCGTACTATCAATTTACAGGACGTTGGCGCCTACATAGCTTTATATCCATCACCTGATAATGTGGTTTCTGTATCTGAAAAGCAGGGTATGGAGCTAGATGGCTGCTTCATTGGAGCATGCACAACAGCAGAAGAAGATCTCATCATGGGTGGCCTGGTCTTGCAGCAAGGCTTGAAAAAAGGTCTAGAGGTAGTCAGCAAGGGAAAACGAAAAGTGACACCTGGATCCGTTCAAATCATTGCGAAACTTCGATCCTTAGGACTCCTTCAATGCTATATTGATGCCGGTTTTGAAGTCGGCGCTCCAGGATGCAGTTACTGTGTCGGAATGGGAGCAGATCAAGCTGGTGAAGGTGAAGTCTGGCTGTCTTCTCAAAACCGAAACTTCAAGAATCGAATGGGAAAAGGATCCATAGGAAACATTACTTCTGCAGCTACAGTTGCAGCTTCAAGTTTCAGCATGACACTCCAGGACCCACAAGAGCTACTGAATGACATTGACGAATCCTATTTTAATAGCATTCGCATGTATTGGACAGAAAATAAGAAATCTATTATCTACCGGGAGCCTAAGCAAGATTTCTCCCAAAAGTCCATCACCATGGCCTATGAGGAAGAAGTCTCGTTATTGCCAATTTCAATCACATCCAAAGCTCAACTTTTTGGCGACAACATTGATACTGATGCCATTATTCCTATTGACAAGTGTACAGCTGACAACGAGACGATGCTCGGACAAGGTTCATTTGCATACACAAGGCCAGAGTTCGTACCTCGAGTCGCAGAAGGCTACGGTATCATTGTGGCAGGAACCGGTTTCGGCAGTGGTTCATCCAGAGAAGAAGCGCCTCGTGCACTAAAGGCGTGCGGTGTCAAAGCTGTTATAGCCAAGTCTTTTGCATACATTTACAGTCGTAATCAAGCGAACTTTGCTCTATTTGGGGTCATTGTCACGGACGACAACTTTTACAATTCTGTATCGGAAGGCTCTGAAATAGAAATTAAAGTTGCCGAAAGGAAAGTGCTCATGGATGGCAAGTCATACCTCTTCAAACTAGATGTCGTTGAGGAACGACTTCATGCTTCCGGCGGCATTGCCCCTAGGTGGAAACGCCATGGCAAGAACTTGTTCAGGAAGTTGCAGCAAGAAAGTAACTCCGTGAGCTGCGGATCCAATGCTACCGATTCGACATGTTCTACTGACGATATCACAGCCTGGTAGAAATATTTTTATCAATCAGCTTTTGCCGATATGTTTCATTAAAGTAATTTAAAAATCAAGTTTGTAAAAACAAAGAAAAAATTTTTGACAGTGGTATACCTTCAAGTGGGGTTACACATTGTGAACCCTTCAAATGAATGCTGTAAAGCAGAAATTTAGATTATTTCACCATATGACGATCATCTTTGAACGAATTTTCTTAGTTATCCAGGTTGCGGCAAGGAGAACCATTTTGAAAAGAGGGTCTGCTGATTCGCTATAAGCAAAGTTGCTGTTTACGGTATCCATGAGCGAACTAAATGTCCGTGGAATGCTAGTCTCGAGTATTTATGGTACACTTAGAAGCGATCAAGTCCATTAAATCTTCATCACATCTATTTATTATTATTTTCTGCAGATTGAGATATCTTTTCAAGTGATATGGCAAATAACCATTGCTGTTGTATGACTGAAAGTTTCTACGCGTGGCGTTTCAGCTCGATTGCGCCAAAATAGCGCCTCAATTGACCGAAATGCTAAGCTTTACGATACAGGCTGAAACTTCCTCTTATTTTACCAACTTTCATTTTGAACATCTCACCAAGTGCCCGGTATATATCATCTATATTTCAAGCACCATAACTGAATACAATTTAGCTTTGTACGCCACTCCACTGTGAACATAAATTCAAGACCCGATGTGGTCATCCGACAGGATAGGTAGGCATTTTGCAAAGGAGCAAAGCCAGTTTTATGGCAATTAAGTTGGCGCTTTTTCCTTCGTGCGCAAATGAGTATAAATTCTTTGGCAACAAAAAACTTTGATTTTATTACTTTACGAATCAAATGGAACAAATCGCTGCGCCAGAGAAACGACTTGGCGTTGTTATGCTTGGAAAATGTAATTTGGAAGTACGTCTTTTTGACATACCTTCCCCTGGCTACGGGCAAGTGAGAATGAAAGTAAAAGCTTCTACATTATGCGGTAAGTGTGGGACATCCGCTCATAGGGCCATGGCTGCTGTATTCACCTTATTTTGAACCGAAACACATCTTCAGGCAGTGATTTGAACCTAATATATCGAAAGGAATCTTGGAAGGACGGGCCAGGGAAATACTGTGGGGTAGTCGCTGGACATGAGCCTTGCGGTGAAATTGATCAACTTGGTGACGGATGCGATGGATTTGAGGTTGGAGATCGCTGTATCGTCTATCATATCAACGGCTGCGGCGTCTGTCAGGACTGTCGCATGGGCTGGCACATCTCATGTACTGGAACTAAGCGTAAGGCATACGGTTATCAACGCGACGGCGGGCATTCCGACTACATCATAGCCGATATACAGAATTTGGTGAAAATGCCAAAGTTTTTAACTTTCGTGGATGGCGCTATGGTTGCTTGTGGCGTTGGAACGGCATATGCTGCATGTTTACGAGCACAAGTCTCTGGTCGTGACAGAGTATTGATCACTGGTCTTGGACCGGTCGGACTGTGCATTGCCCTCATAGCTCGAGCAAGCGGCGCAGAAGTTTACGGAGTTGAATTAATGTCAGAACGACGACAGCAAGCAATCGCTCATAATATCACACTCATCGAATCTAACACGGAAGCAGCTATGAAAGCCACGGATGGAAAGGGCTTTGAAGTCTGCTTTGACGCGTCAGGAAACTCCCAGGCTCGACACTTTTGTTTAGAGGCTGCACGCCGCTGGGGTAGAGTCGTATATGTGGGTGAAGGTGGAAATGTCACATTTTCGCCTTCTCCGATGCTGTTGCATAAACAGATCACACTTCATGGTAAGTAATAGGAAAGCATTTCCGCCCAACTTGTCAACACTGTAAAGATATCTTATAATCATCATGTTATCAGGATCCTGGGTATGCAGTATGGCTCAAATGGAGGATTTAGTCGAGCTGTTGGCACGTTGGCAACTTCATCCAGAAATTCTTGTGACCCACAAATACAGACTCAAGGACGCGGCAACTGCGTATGAACTTTTCAATACTGGAAAAACTGGAAAAGTCGCATTCATTTGGGATTGAGGATGCTCGTACCATAATAGCTATATAGTAGGTGGATGAACAGTGCAGCTAATCAAACCCAAATAAACGGAAACTCTACAATTCAAATCTCTTTTATAACCAACATCAAACTAGACGACAACATTAAGCAGTCAAATTGAAAGCCTTATCGAGAGCCTGTTGATGCTCTTCCGAGGGATCCAACATAGGTGGAGGACAATATCCAGCAGGCACTCCGCGTTTGCGTAAGACATACTTAAGACTGGGCAGAAAACCAGCACTTTGCATCAAATCGACACTGGGGCGAATAACCTCATTCATTATTTTGTTTGCTTCATCCACCTGACCACGCTCTACAAGCTCTAGAACTTGTTTCATCTCTTCGGGATATACTCCAGAAATGATTGCGGTGATGCCGTTATAACCCTCCTTAGTGAAATTGTTTATAACTGACGTATCATTACCGGTAAGGAATGAGATGTTTTCTGAAACCAATGGCTTAATTTTGTTAACGTTCTCGGCATCTCCTGCCTCTTTGATGCCAAGTATATTGGGAATACTATTAGCCAGGCGAACAAAAACCTCAGGTTCCAAAGCAAATCCCGTGCGTCGAGGGTTGTTGTACAGAAAGATTGGTAAGGGAGTTGCAGCGGCCACGTCCTTGATGTAGCATTCAGCATCTCTTTGAGAGATGATACGATAAGGAGGGAATCCTAGCATGATACCAGTATATTTAGCTTCATATGCGCTTTTAGCTAACTCAATAGCGTCGGCAGTTTTGAAAGTAGCTACTCCAGCGTACAAAGGATAATCGGGCCCTGTTGTTTTGCGAACGATCTGATAAAGCTGTTTGCGTTCTGCGATGCTTAGGACGTGTTGTTCACCAGTAGAGCCGCAAACCAAAAGACCTGGCGCGAGCTTTGAGTAGTATTCAACCACCCCTGGTACAGCAGCAGCATCAAAAGCGCCACTTTTGGTGAAGGGAGTAACTATCGCAATGGAATAAGGGAGAAATGCTCTTGCCGACATTAAGACTTGGAGAGATGAGGGTATGAGATTCGAATGGAGAAGGGCGATAAAGTATTAAGTAGTGGTAGAAATTAGCCACTCCCGTAGCGTGAGTCCTTTTTTTATTTTGTGAGTCAGCATTACACTATGATTTGTTGAACTTGTTCCTAGAATAATGGCGGGAACGCCACAGCTAGAAAGAAAGCCTGTTCCTGAGTCGAACTGATTGAGACTTTTTATTTGATTACTAGCCTTGGAGCAGGTGAGTAATGTGTTCTGAAATCACTTTTGCTTTTTAAATATTGTGGATATACCTTTTAATAATACCGCAGCAGCAGAGAAAGTCCCACGGTGGCCCATACCAAATTCTTTGCAGGCACATAACTGAACAATGCCACCAGAGTACCACCGTCTGTCAAGATGCTTCATGATGACGCTGTCTAACACCAAATACATGACAATGATGTCCGAAGAGTATGCAAAATAATCATGATAATCAGGTACCATTTTTCACTTCGATTCATTTGCTACGGCTTCTCAAATTTATTCGCTACTTATCACAATGGACTACATCTTCAAAATATACGAGCATACATATATATTAGAGTGACCATAAGCCCATTATATCAGCAGGTAAATTTTCTAATTGTTTGAAGCTGATGGAGATGGGCTCCCGTTCGACTTGCGCGGATTGAATTGCATTGAACCGGGTGTAGCAAGATAAATCATTCCAGATGTATGATAAGCTGAATTAGAGCTCTTTAGAGCTTTCTCATTAAGCTTTTCATCTTCTGCCAGCTTGGAGAACCGCTGTGCTTGCTCAAAAAATCTGCGGGCCTTCTCGTGCTCTTGCTTTGATTGATAGCGATGGAGGAACCATAAGAGTAATAGAGTAGTGACTACGAAAAGAAATATCGATATCGCTAAAACCACCCAAACCCACGCCGATACTTTATGAAAAGAGTCAGCAGCTACACCACAGGTATTGTTTGACTCTACACAGTTATCACTCAAACATTCATTATCCTGGGTACATGATACGCCAACTGCTTTGGCCAGAATACATGTGTGGGACTCAGTGTAATCACAGTATAAGCCTTGAGTGCAATTATCTCGAATGATAGTCTGAAGTATTTGCTGTCCACTAGAATCATATGAAACGTAATTTGTTCTGTTATAAAATAACGAGTCAGAATATATGGGAGAGCATTTTACCATTGATGACAAGTTTCTTACACCTCAGATCCACAAAATCCAGATAGAGGAGCGCCTTTAATGAGGCATGTTGAATTTAAGCACATGGCATAGCTTCCAGAACATTCGTCGTCCCTTTGCTATGTACCAATGTACACAACGATATATCAGTATGAGCGTTGTGTCAGTAGCGATTAATTTTTATGATAATGATTACCGGCTCACACTTTGCTCCGTCGGGCAGCAATGGCCGACATTGTGATTGATCATCGGGGCAGTATTGAGCTCTTGTATTGCATCGTTCAGGAAATGTATGAACCTTCAGGTCCCATCTTTGATAAAAGGTGTTGGAATATTGATACACTTTAAACCAAGAATAAAAGCTGTTTACCCATGTATGTAATCCGAATTCGAGCAGCCTTTGTACTGGCACCTCCTAGTAGTTGCGTCACAATAGAGATATACATTGTTGCAAAAATCTTCGTACTTCCATGACTGGCTGATTTTATCATACTTAATGAAACGGACAATATTACATTATGGTTGCTTTTTAGTCTCCCATTACCTGTATATCGGTGTGGGATCACAAGGATCGCCAAAGTTGGCTCCTTGAGTGGCAGTATAGAAGAAAGAGGTAAGCAGGAAAATTGGGATAAAGTTCCTAATGACTCTTGCTTTTAACAACATATATGCAACCATAATGGGTTTGTTCAAGGAGTAAAAGTCAAAAGTCAATTCAGTGCCGTCGCTTTAAATGAGATTGCAAGAGCACTCCACTACTGCTCTAGCGTTTCCATTACCCCTAGCCACCGATGACCCCTGACTCCCTGATATGAAATAGCACTTTTCAACCAATCACTTCTGCACGCACCTACTCAATTCTTGATCATTTAAATGGCCCCAAAGTTATGTCATGACATCAAAGTCTATTTGATGTATTGTTTTTTAAGGCGCTCAATGAAAAACGGTAGAAATTTTAGCACTCTATGTGGAAGTTTTTCTTTTATGATCTAAAGGTATGTACATGTAGTACCGTCCTCAACGACGTCTAAAACCTCGTAGAAACAGTCGAATCCTCCGACTTTCTTAAAAACTGCCATCGCCTCTTCCGCGATGGTATCGAAATTGTGAGTGGCAAGTGCCAAAATGGTAGGTCCTGCTCCAGAAAGGCAAATGCCCAAAAGACCGTCATATTTTTGTGGGGTGATGGACGTAAGAACGTCTGGCAGACCAGGAATCTAGTTTGAAGTTGTTATCAGAACAAACCCTACGAGCTCATGTTTCATGTATTATGTAATATCCTTACCAAGGTCTTTCTATATGGTTGATGGATCTTATCCTGCATCGCGTTATAGATTAAGTCCGCATCCGGAGGAGATCGGCCAAGAGCAGTAGTTAAAACTGCTAGTCTTTGCAGGTTGAATACCTTTACAAAAAAATCAGTATCAGCAATTGCGAGGATCATATAGCCTACAGATATTCCAAAAAAAAAATTACTTACAATATCTTTGCGTTCGTAGTTGTTTGGCAAAACTGCTCTGGCCTTGGCAGTAGCAACTTCGAACTTTGGTACTATAGCAATTGCTTTAATCTCCTTCGCCCATCCAAGTCGAACGAAATGTCCAATTCCTCGTGGTGGTTGTGGTGGAGAAGGACCAGTGCCATTCGTGACATTGTCAAATGTCTCGGATACTGGGATGCTAGTAATTTCTAAGTCTGCGGCATCTAGTTCACGAAGATACGACGCTACAAATCCGCCCATCAGTGCAGCAGCCACATTGTCTGGATGACGTTCTATCATCAAGCAGTAGTCAAGCATTCGGTCCTTTCCCATATTCAGCTGACCCAAGGCATCACCAAGAGCGACACCAGCAACGACAGCGGCGCCTGAAGATCCTAATCCGCGACCGAGAGGTATAGGGTTATGTACATGAATCTTCAATGGCTTTGGAAGAGACTTGATGCTATTAGCATGGAGGACATATAGTGCCGTCTTTGTGATCAAATTCTTTTCGGGTATGAGTGGAACGTCGTTGGCTCCTTCTCCAGAGTAAGTCATTTCAAAGTCCTTGGTGTTTGGCTGTGACCCGTCAAGGATCTCAACATCAAGGGTCAAGTACAGTGATAGTGAGATACCCAATACATCAAAGCCGGGACCAATGTTGGCAGTTGAGCAAGGAGCCTTTATACGGAATTTGCGAGGAGTGTTGAGATTGGACATTGGTGATGTCAAGTATGAACCGGGAACGAACTTTTTGCTGTGAATCAGAGCTGATCAGAATTGATCAGGAACTAAATTGCAGTCACATTTGATGGTTTCAATCTCTGATTCATTTCCAATGAATCTCTCACTCGGGGTTGTAATTTCATGATGAGCTGACACTGAGTAAACCCAACCAAATAGCCCGTGCATACGCTAACAGAGAAAACATACACCAAGATGTACTCACTTGATTATTATTGTACGGAACACCGTCTCATGAACCAGTAAGAGTTTGATGCAGATTCACAAAATAGCCATGTTTTTGTGGTTTATTGAGATTTTGGTTGATAATGTTACAATTAGATATCTAAAAAGTATCATGGAATGTCTAAAGTGGGTTATATCACAGGTTATTAGAGAGAGTAGTAGTATCCGCTGCCATATTTGCAAGACCAGCATCTGTTAGCCACGAGAAAGAAACTACAAGTAGTCCTGTGCCAATGACATCGATGGTGGCAGTTCTAGAGATAATGAAGGTGAGCTTACAATGATAAAGAGGATAAAGAGTGTGCAGTGCACGAGAATTGAGACTTACAGATAAGGCAGTACATAATTGTCAGGGTCATAGTTTCGCTTCCAGCAGGCCAATGTCATGTATTTGCCCATTTTCAAAGCCAACCACGTCTGTATGATAACAACTGTTAACATGAAGAAGCAACAAGGAGATAGAAAGGTCACAACTTACGCAAAGCATTGATACCATAAAGTAACTCAAGAAGAACCAGATAGTAAAATCGAGATGTCCGAGATTGAGTACCCATATTATCATTAGAAATACCACTTGAACAACGACATTCATGATTAATAGCGTCCATTCAACGCGGTTGTAGTCCTCGACTTTTCCTACGTGCAAACATGTGCTGATTCTGGAAGCGTATATAGATCCCAAATTACCGGCCAAACCTAAAATTGTGTATATCAGCATATTGTTACGTTGCAGCCTTACACCACGAATCTGACATACCGTCCAAAATAGGTGTCAACATAGCGAGACCTTTGTACTGCTCAACATAATGCTCGAGAACCAATCCAGACAAACTTTAAAATCATAAAATGATTAGAATATTGTATGCTATTGATAGGCAGCATGGTCAATATGGGAATATATATCTACCTTGAGATAAACATGGCAGCAATGATTGGAGTCCAGCCAGACCAGAGGAGATCTTTGACAGATTTGTTTTTCCACACTGCACGGGCAAAAAAAGGAATAGATATCATCATTCCAAGGAAGAGGAAAGTGCTAAATAGGGTATCTGAAAACCAATGGTTAATAAAAAAGTGCCCATTCAGCATCGTCATAGTTTCTTAAACGCACCTAGACTGGCGAGCAGCGCATGAGAACATCCCGCTAGAATTACAAGTGTTACAACATCTCCCAGTGAAGATGCCATAGGGCAGGCTATATTGTCTATTAAAAAGAAAGATAGCATTAGCATGTGCATGCGCACCATTGCAAGACTTAATTAGTACGGATTGTCAGTACCTGGATTTATCCTGAACATTCGACTTATAATAATAAGGGCACACATGAACACACCCAAAACAAAACTGGACATTGCCGCCGAAAGCATGGAGGAGGATATCATAAGCATGCTCTCCGATATCGTGTTGGCATCGTTAGGATGCGTAATGAGGCCAAGAATAAAAGAAAACAGACCGGCTATAGAGCCGGCTATCAAAGCTTGCACCTGAAGTAGCGCAAGATTTCCCCAAACCAGCGCATTCCTGGTTGGTTTATAGTCCAAATCACCAAGGTTCGCCTAGAATTATTAAGGATTAGATTCATCGGTTTAGAACATATACTACACCGAAAATAATGCTTACAGAGGTGGAAAATCGAGCAGCAAGGTTCATTTCAAGATTACCCTTCAAGTTGAGAAGTACCGGTACCAGGATGAACAGTTCGGACACCTGGGTGAACACACTCCAGTGCTGAAATGACGCTTTAGTATGATATATATATCTCTCGTCTTGATATAATTTCGCTTTTGTTACCTGATATATATCCATCAGCCATCCGGCTATAACAAGACCAGCCACTGATATGAGTAATGATGGCAGAGCCTAATAGAAAAGCATTGTGACATATTAGCACTGTGCCTGAAACAAGATTGCAACGTCCGGTCTGAGGCTAACCTGAGCTGCTAATCGCTTCGAATCGCCACCAGTCACATCTTTAGCCTCTTCCCCTGCATCTTCCGGTGTGAATGTATGCGTAAACATCTTGAATGATGAACCTGACTCTGTGCGGGAATGCCGAGATTGCCGATTGCTGGATGATGTTGGAACCGGTAGATACCCATTGCTATTTAACGGTCCAATCTCTAGATCTTGATTTTCTTCTATCGTTTCTATAGGGGTTGCCCGAAGCTGAATTGCCTCGGTTCGTTTGGTATTTACCATCTAGAGGAACGAACGTATCCAGCTTCTGGTTAATTGGATATTCAACTGAAAAATTGTATATGCGGGAGATGAATTCTCGAAAATTCGTGCAACAGCCTTTGTCATATATGGAAAATCTTTGAGTCGCAATTCAAGCAAAACCAAGGAAAACCCATACTGTGGCCTTTCAAGCTGACCAAATAACATTACACAAAATGATAACGGCAAAATGTGCTTAATCTTGTGGTAAGTGAAAGACAGAAAGAAAACTATTAGAGATTGACATGTTGCTATATAGTCATTAGTATTGTTTTCATTGCATTATTACTCAGTCCTCGTAGAACTCAGTCTTGGACCCGAAGCTAATAGATATGTGAAACTTGCGAGATACGAGCTCGTAGGTTTTATCACTTTTAGTACGTCTCTGTTCAAAAATTCAAATAACTCTTATTAACCCTCAATAGGTGAAGAGTTGCGCTTTACAAGGTCATCGCTATGCTGCTGCCCGAGTGCTGTTTAAAGTTTGGTAGAAATGCACCAAACGGGTTCTTTAATATGGTCTACTTTATACGGTCCATTTCTTTCGTTTATGAATGGAAGAATTACATGGTATACAATTTGTAATAGTATCCGAAAAATGCTATGATAAGAACTATGAGAACCTCCAGTACTCTCCAGCCACCTGCCTGTGTGTTATGAAAGCCAATTTCGTGTATCTGCTGTTTTATGGTCGCTATCTGGGCGTTCAACTCGTCAATATCCTTACTACGATCCATATTTTCCACCGCAGTTTTCTGTAGCATATGCTCAAGCACATCCATTCGTTCATGAAGCAGTACTCCAGCTTTTCCCGGAGACAATATATCTATATCCGAACTCTCTGTGCGAGTTACGGGAATTGTTGGTGGAGGAGAGGTTTGTAAATTCTTGTGAGCTAATTCCTGAGCAATTTTAGCAGCTATTGTCGATGTGTAGACTTGTAAGAGAGAAGAAGTCTGTGCCAAATATTCACGCCTCAGTGGCATGTTACCTAGCATAATGCTATCGGAGAGGACGCGTGCTTGCTTTAAATCTACATCTGGCCGATCGATATTTTTGACATCACACAATATGCCTTGAAAAGCGTCCCATATCGCTTCATACAAGGTTGCTTGGTCATCCGTATTCTCCTGGAGAATATCACTGGCATTTTGCTTGTCTTGACTTTTTACAAATTCTTCATACGCGGTCACTTGCCACAATATTAGACCGTCTTCCATTCTATCGCGCATCACTACACCAGGCTGAGCCGTTCTTGCAATTTGAGTTCGAACTTTGCGATTGTTTGGAAGTAGCGTTGCTCGGTAAAATGGTGCATCAACGATCGCTCGTGTTGAATAGACCGCGTCGGGTATGCTATCTACTTTCCAGTTATGAATAAGATCCCCTCGCTCAAGTGAATAATGAGAGAAAACTTTGTCTAACGCCGGATCCAGGAAATGCGTCAGCTTATCTTCTACGGCCAATTTTTGGGCTATCATACGGGCAACCGGGACAGTTACCCACACATCGCGAAACGGGAAAAATGATATAGCAAAGTCTGTCTCATAGTCTGTTCGCCGTAGGTCGAACAGGAATAGTCCTTCGGTCACTGTCAAGCCACACGCCCGCCATAACTGTGCTATGCTAATCCGATGAGCGTGAACTAGTTGATGATCAATAATTCGATAAATAGTATGGTCATTGAATGTGCATGCGAAAGTGGGATACATTGATGCTTGTTGAAATGAGAACAAATCTTCATCTTTCCTTGTCCAGTCGAACAAAACTTCAAAACGCAACAGTGCGGGAGACATACCAAAGGGTTACACTCGGCGTGCACGCTGAAGTCATAAGCTGTTGTGGCTATAAAATCAAGTTGTTGGGGGGAGGGATTGACAAACATTACCCAAAATATGTGACATTTCTATTATACCTTCTTCAGTCTGACTGAATATATCTTCTACTCTGTTACTGGATACCATGCTCATTCGAGACCAAATCGTACCATTTTACAAACTTCTACACCTATCAAGTCTCGCTCAAATGATTTTTATTTCAATACGTAAGCTAAAGAACGGAACAAAGGTTAATCAGATACCGTGTTATGTTAGACATATGAGGAGTTATGGCGTTCAACTGAATTGCAGAAGGCAAGACTGCTGATGGCTACTTTCTTTATGCGCTCAAGCACTGAGAATAATCTAGTGACAAGAAGATTAGGCATAGTAAACTACAATGAAACCCCAGTTTAGAGACACTTACAGGAGCTACTATATTTGCATGTTCCAGAGGCGCAGCAAGACGGTCCTGTAAAGCCAATTCCTCCACACTGACCATATAGCGTCTAGATTGCAAGTTTATTAGTATGGGCACTACTGACTATTATAGTTGCCAAGGTCAGCGAATTCTCTTACCGCGCATGGACCTGATGCAGTTGTTGTCGTAGTTGCTGTGGTAGTTGTGGAGCTTTTGCTAGAGGAAGTGGTTACTGTAGTCGTAGGAGTTGCGCTTTGAGACGTAGTGGTAGACACTGACACATGGGTTGTGGAGGAAGATGGAGTCGATCCACCCAACGGGAACTTAGCCGGCGTGAGGTAAGCATCCTTTGCTTTCTCTACAATTTCATTGCATGTTAGATAAAAGGAGCATCTTTCTACCAACAGGCACATCGTTCTTATATTTTACCTAGAGTAAGCCCTGCAAACAATATACATCAGATTGGACGATCAAATTCAATGGCCGTGAGTAATGATAACTTACAGTCATAAAGGACTAAACCACCAGTATCTCCAGAATCCTTGCATTCACAGTATCAATAACTTGCACTTTTTCGACATCTTTTTACTACATATACTCTAATAACTTACCGCTGTAATACGATGTTAGATTAATGCGTTTAAAGAGGTGGTGAATGAAAAAGTTGTCACTTACGATTCCAGCACCAGAATGCCCAATGTGCACCATTGGTATTCATATAACTTACAAGCGCAGTAAGCCATTGTGCATCAGATGCAACAGCCAAGGTAGTTCCAAATTCTCCAACCCAAATAGGTACTGGGCTCGCTTGCTTCAATAAATATCCCCAATATTTGTCCCAAATGCCGGGCAAATTGGCCGGGAATGTAGGGTCACTAAACCAAGTCTGTTGCGATACATCGGTTGAGTAGTCGTGAATACTGTATACTAGCTAATAACAATTCAAGCATTAGCAGTTTCAAAACCTTAACCGCTATTCAGGCTAACGTGAAATACCTTGTTTGGAACATCTAAGCGAACGGGGTATTGGCCAGCTGCCATCAAATTACCACCCCACCAGTAGCTGCTACCGTTGACGATTGAAGTTCCTTCGACAATAATCAACCAGTTCGGTTGGACTGCTAAGATGGCATTGCCAGCTCGCTCTGCAGCCAATCGCCAATCGATGGTAGTGTTACCACAACCCCAGCAAGCCGGATCGTGTGGTTCATTGTGCAAATCTGCTCCAATCACTGCCGTGTTACCTTTGTAGCGATTTGCTAAAGTTACCCAGTCGGCAATCCATGTAGACTCTGACGTCGTAGAGGTATACCATAATGCGCTTTGTCCAGTAGCATCGGGGCGGTGCCTGTCCAGAATAATTTTCAATCCGAGCGATCCGGCATAATTGATAAGTATATCCATAATCTCCAGACTAGTTTTATTAAGCAGTCCAGCATTGACTTGGCTGTTGATACTGTTAGGTGCGTTAGCCGAGTTGAAGATATCATTTGAATACGGCAAACGAATTGCGTTATATCCGTTTGATGAGATGTTTTGCAAGAGTGTCTGATAGCTAACTATCATGGGATGATTGCCTTAGCTTCACGAAGGGTTTAGTATTGGTAAATATTTGATTCGCTTACCAGCCCATAGGCCATGTGGGATATACTACGACATTTAAATTGTTATTTCACAATTTTTCAATGAACTTTCGTTTCAGTTTCCATTACTTACATTGTTGGTCTCGAAGCTAATGGAGCGGTCATGATAAATGCAGATGTCAGAGATATCTTCCCATTATATTTAATGCAGCACGATTCTTACCCAAACCAGCTAATCCAAATTTTATGTGTCAGTTAATATAATAGGCATTAGCTCGCACAAAAAATGATTAGCCATAATGTTTACCTTACTCCAGCAATTCTGACTTTATTGTTGGATCCATCCACTATATCTCTTCCAGAAGTACTCCAGTATCCATCTCCAAGCGCAGCTTGGGAGGGTAACGAGAATAGAAAGCTGGAGATCAATGTTAGGTATAGGATTGATTTCATCGTTTTCCTTTTTCTACGAAATTCAAAAAATCGCCTCAAAAAGTGTCCCTTAAATCAATTTTCAACATGGCGGTGCGAAAATACGGTATTTTGTGCTTCGAAACTTTGCTCTCTAATGGGGTAAAGTCCATAACGAGCAACTCTCATGGCTCATGGACAGCTGGGAGCTTGGTGTGACCTTCCTGTGAACAAAGAAAATGCAGGAACGTGACCTTGCGCAGGTTGGTGGCGACGTAAATTAATGAAGACGAACATAGCATGAAAATATAATGTTAGTCATTTCTGTCATTACTTTGCTTTAACGAGAGCTACATTACTCATGTGGTCTCCTTGACCGACAGAATAGAATGCAATCACAGCACCTTTTCACTTTTCCAAGGCTTGTGCGGCTCTCCTTGTGAAACATCACAAAACTGGGCAGACGACCAAGGTAGTGCTCGGAAAATATAAGAAGCAAATTTGTCGATATCCACGAGGAGCCACCATATTCAATGCCGATGCCCATGCGGTAATGGCTAAAAAAGTAAGAAGCGTGGTAACAATCTATGGGATATGAAAATTAAAAATTGAAAATACAACACTGAATTCGCTGCAATAATGGCAATGGTGACTTGGCTATAGAACAATGTCTGGTAGCACACTTACCAAAGTAGCTCAGTCAAATTTTGTCGCCTTTTTTTAATATCATTTGTCATGCAGTTGTGACGAGATCATATTGTGTTCATGAACAACCATAAAGATGACATAGTTCAACACCTACGCACCAAGTTCACTGAAAACAGACAATACTTGTACTTTTGGATTTACTATCCAACTTTTGGCTTAACTGTAGTACTTTTTATTCACAAATAATTATCTAAACCCTCTAACGAGATGCAGGGTGGGACTGACGGCTGGGAGGAGAATAGTATCTCCTCTTACGGGAGTCGGATGATCGAGAGCGAGATCGTGAGCGAGAGGAAGCTGGAGACCTATATCGTCTGCCTCGCTGCCGAGATGACTGTGGTCGTGATGGTGACACAGAACGAGAACGGGATCGAGAATACCGACGTGAACGAGAGGGTGAACGAGAGCTACTTGGTGATCTATATCTACTGGACCTTTTATGAGGGCTTCGGGAGCGAGATCTAGAGCGAGGAGATCGATACCTTTGCGCATTACGAGGGGGGGAATCTATGCTGGAACTACGTCTGCGGCGTGGTGGGGACACGGAGCGCTCATCTTCTTGGGAAATGTCAGCCTCATCATCGCTCTCTAGCACACTTTTGCGCGGAGGTAAATCTTCTACATCTTCTAAAATATCTCTTTTCGTAATTCGTGGAAGGATAGTATCGCATACTCGCTCTTCTCTCAATAGTTGATCGATGAATTCATCCATATGTACAATCTCATTACCACCTATGACAATGCTCCGTTAATTATCGATACATGGCTCTTCCTTATATGTTGAATATCTTACTTTCTGTTTGGAGTCGTAGCTTCCGATAATCGTTTAACAGCGGCTCCAAATATTGGTATATTTCTTTAGCGCTACCAACAAGTCGTAGATAGAATGCTCCTAAAGCTCGAAGGTATCTTCTCGAGTTATTTCAACATCATAAGAAAACAAGGGGGTATAAATAGGACACTCACTTGAAGTCTTCGTTTCGTATGTACTCGATCACAATTTCTTTCTCGGGTTGCAGCTGAAGTAGTTTAAGTGTGAGACAGATGAATTCAGTTGGCTTATAGCTGGTCTGCTGTCCTCCAATTCCGCGAAGATCAACAGCCTTGTCAAGTACAGTAGCAGCTAAAATGTAACAAATGGATGAGAAGCTGTTTCCTTTTACTTTCTTTTTTAATAAAGAAGTTTACCTGTTAACGCGAAACAGTGCTCTTTCCAGTATAATGAATCTGTGATTTTTTCTCTCAAGATCTTTTCGATCAGAAATTGAGGATTCGTCCCGTGAACAGTTGTTGCTTCCGTTACCGTACGGTTCGCTATTCAAAATAAATGTTAAGATCTGGTCTCCTACTGTAACAATTCTTATCATTGTGAGTTACCCATGGTGCTATGCTGTAGTCTTGGATTGGCTGAACAAGAAGTGGAGGATGCGGACCGTTCTCCAAAAATTTTGTAGCTCATGAGCCTTAAAGACCGCCAGTCCAGCAATTGTGAAAAACGACTTGTCAACCAGTTATCGCCAAAGTACCATCACCTTTTCATATGAATTTATCAGTGTATAATAAAGAGACTTACGGAACTAAACACTTCCACATACGCAACAAGTACTCCATACCTAGCAAATATTTGATATTAACACATCGTCGCATTCTGAGAAGCAATACGAAGCAGTGTTCGCACCTATATATATAAGCCAGACCATTCACTGGCTTACTGTACTTCTTTCCGTCACATACGGCAACCATGGCAACATCGCTTTACACGTAGGTTAGGGAGATTCAGGCGAAGACAAGTTCTACAACACCAAAAATGGATGAGCAATTTTGACATTTACTGCTTCGTCGATGGTAAAACGATCAGATTACCAGCTATGAAGAAGCTATTTTTTTGTAGTCAAGGAGCTATGAAGAAGCTTGATGCCTTGCATTAAAACATTGTCTCTCTGTGCCCAGGAAGTGGAACATGTTGTTTATCATAATACAAGATAGTAGCAGTAACAGTGTTGATCCACTTGTGTTCTTAGCACAATGGCAAAACATTACGAAGACTCGTGTCGTATCAAAGGTATGTGAGCCTGTAGTTGTCATAGGTACCAAATTGTGTCTGTATAGTGTCGCTATTGAGTCGAAAGTCCCTAAACAGTATATTGCATAACTGCACCATATATGGTGGATAGGACGTATAACAATATTTCATAAAAGACAATTGCCCTCTTCCTTTTCATTTACAAACAACATTTTTTTGTAAACCTTCAGAAATTTTCTGGGCCAAATTTCGGCGCTCCCGCCGTCGAGACGGGCATGATCACAAGATCAGATGGCGTCCGAGGCTTCTATAAGATTGATAGAGCTAGCTTACGCTTTACACGTTTTCATTATATGTAGTCGTGCTATAATTTAAAGTTATCGAAACCATTCAAAGTATTTAATTATTCTGTTCAGATGTATGCAACTTTCACAAACACGCATTTTGGGTATTTGGCAGAGGCAAAAAAGTCCATCCGCATTACGCACGCAATTGAGCTGGGTTTTAAATCCAAAACTTGAAATTCTTTTTCTTACGACATCCGACCATTTTGCACTTCTTTGTCTCGTTTCATGACAGTGCCTGAAGATCGCTCTTTAGCGACCCTAGACACTGAAAAAAAATCCGTTGACGATGAAGAATCGAGAATAAAAAGTCCTGGGCTCGACGGCACAATAGAGTTTCATAAAAACGACAACATACCACAACAGAATACTCCCGATGATATTACTCTGCAGTCCACCAAAGAAAGCGAAATATCAGCCGTCGACAAAGTGTCAGATAGCGCTGTAGACATAGCCGCTGAGAACAATACTGATGTTAATGATATAGATAGCCCACTATCTAAGCGGCGAAGGCGAAGGCAGGCACTCCTCAAAGCACTATATATAATCCTATTCAACGCTGCTATACCCATCGGCCTATATTATGCTCTAAAGCCTCACATACCTGCTGTTTGGGCATTGGTAGCTTCGACTGCACCAACTATTATTTCCGTCATTGCTCAAGCTGCTATTGCTCGTAGATTGGACATGATTGGAGTTGCCGTAATTTTCGGTATGTCTGCCGGTCACTTAAGAGTTATTCATTTGATTTCAACTGTACCCGCTCCTAATCGAGACTTTTCACATCAGGCTTCATATTATCCGTCATTTTGGCCGTCGTAAGCCAAGATCCGAAATTATTGCTACTGAGAGAATCATTTGTGTAAGTATAAGCACTATCAATGCTAAGATGAAAGGGAAAAGAAAAGTTTCGAGGTATAGGGCAAAATAAGTTTTATTAAATATCCATCGCTGACGAATTTTCCCAAAATTGCAAACAGCACTGCCGGAGTTGGTGGAGCTATGCTTGTAACCCTTATACCTGTAAGGTACAAAAGCTTTGAATTAAAGCCTATCTTGTACTATTTTGCAAAGGACCTGATACCAATGCAACCCATCACCCGTTCGGATGGCCAGATGGAACCTCGACTAGAATTTTTCTGGAGAACATCCAAGACGTTTAGACGCCATATTCGAATCCTTACAGCACTAGACGTTTTCACATTGGAGTGCGAATTTGGACTGAAGCTCTTTTATATCCTTCACTTTGATTTGGACAAGACTGTTGTGTTGTCGAACATTACCCTTACCATTGTAGGCATCGTTGCCACTCTCTGTACAATTTATTACGCTTTCTGGATTCGAAAGAAAGTCAAGCAAGAAGAGCCTGAATTATTAGCAAAGGATACTTTATCGGGCGCTTAGTGCTCCCGATCTTTCTTTTTGCCAAACTTCATATATCCAACATCAGACACAGATGGCATTCAATGGGAAGTCATCCCTCTACATTTACGAAAGTGGCTCTGATTCGTAGTTAATAAACCAACGTCCTACGTCTAGAATATAACATTGCTAAGCGTAGAATAAGCGCATATACTGTACATCATTTCTCATTTGTTACCCATTTCTTCAATAACAAAGTAAAAGAATCCCCGAAAAGGAAACAACCTTGACATCTGTAACTTCTTTCTATGACGTAACCCATATCTCAATACCTTGACATATACGAAAACATTGACAATCATATTAGAACTAAAAGCTTATGACTAAGAGGTGGTAAACGGTATTCTTCTCATAGCCTTCAAAGGTGAACGGCTCGTGTAATCTTGCTAGTTAAAAGAGGGTCTAAATGACTCCCCCAACATGACATGCTGATGCATTTTTTACCTTTATTGTATACAGCTGCGATCGGGAGTTGTCCTGAAAAACCAACCATTGATAGCAGAGGATGGCGTCTTAATAACCAGGACATTATCCGAAATTAAAGCTATAGTGATATATTTTGATTAATCTATTGTGTTTCGAACGAAATTGCCGTTTACTTTAAGACAATACCATACTGTTCTTTTTTTTTTTTTTTGGTAGTAATACCATACTGTTCGAAGTGTGCGCTTGCAATGTTGGCTGCAGTTTTATTCCGGGAACGTCAGCTTCTATTGCCTGGATGATTAAGATAGCTCTCGATATCAGTATAATTACTTTCTCATTACACACTGTCCTGCATCTATGTTTCTTTTCAATAGCACTGAACTATCGGCTTGTGTCTATTTGCAGGCAACGTGCTGTGGGATATGTTTTTGAAGTCAAGGAATTTATTACAGGGTCTAGAAAAACAAAATATGATTAAGAATTATGTGGTGCGCAGTGTTTATTTTAAACTGTCTTTGGATTTTATGGCTTATAGACACACTTGTAGAGATCACAGCTGGATCAATATCTACTAATCTATGTTTTCCAAAGGAAAAGAGTATCCGTATGGTATTGTATTCAGAGCATTTTGTTCTTGACAGTACATTTCTCATCAGAGTAGGGTACAATTTTTTATTTCGGTGACCAAAGACTTCACATATAGGCAGGGTACATCCTAGGTAATTATAATATGACAAAAGTACTACGTTTTAAAAAAGAAAACTGTTTGGACCTGATGGTTTGCACAGCGCTCTGCAAAGCAATGGCCATGGTTGCGGTTCTTTGGTGCAAACCCAGTTGATTTACCAAACGGCTGGCTCAACCAACTTAAGCTAACTGTCAGATGATCTATTACAAAGCTAGCTTCTAGTTAATATTACACTAGAAGGGGTTTCCAGATACACACAGTTGAGCGTATGATGAAGAGGACTGGACTATGTCGAGACTTTTTTTTCACGCTTCTCATTCATATATTTATTTATTTTTGTATTCAACTTCTCATTCAAATGGCTGCCGACAACAAATTGACGTTCATTGCGATCTTTTTTTTTTATACAACGTTGGACGGATTGATGATTAAAATTCCATGAGATCCCTCAAGTTTAATTTAAACATCGCAGGTACTGTAATGTAGTAGCCATTGTGGGATTATTGCTTCTTCTTTTTGGTATTCGGGTTGATTCTACACTTACTGAACAAGTGCATTCAATTAAAAGCGTTAGGAGTCGATATAGGCTAATCAGATAGAGGTTTTTGCTTTTTGTGGCGACGGCAGCTTCTAGTAACTGATCTATTTGGATCTGAACAATAATTTCGTACTTTTTTTTGATGGACTTGAACCATCCTGTAGTCGATTTGTGCGCTTCATGAAATTTAAGTCTCGCCCATAGAGCTAGAGCCAATTTATATTTACTTTTTGCGTCGATTTGGATCAAAAATATTTTGAAAGGGATTACTAGTTTAACATTAGTGATCGAGAGTTTGCCAGGAAAATCCTTCCTTGTTTGACACTGGTTACAGTTGCACACAGAAGCGTCGACTGCGCTACGAGCTGTTCCTGTTGTACTATTGCTACCAGTCCATTGCATGGCCTCTTTTCCTTTGTTTATAGGGATCGGTCATTGGTGGACTGAGTGATTGATTTCTACATATTGAATGCTTTTTGGTCTAACCATTCTCTCTGCTGCTTGATAAAATTCCCGTGAGTTATTGAAATGGACCGAGCATGTCTCCTCCAATTTTATTAGAATGATTCGAAACACAATTCATAACACCTAATTTGACATGTTTTTTTTCTTGTTATGAACTAAGCGACTTCATTGAACCTGTGAAGATAAGATAAATGCTGAGCTCTTGGTGATAGCATTTCTGTCAAGACAGAAAATTTCCAAGCTCTGGAAGTTTGCTACATATATATTTTTTTTTGTATTCAGTGAGTTGCTTTTATTTCCTGAAATTCTGTTGACTGATGTACTGAATGTTATTTATACTGATTGCTATACTGTATGAAAAAAAAAATTTTTTTTGGTTTATACACTGGAGATATCGAGTCGTCGATTTTGAAGTTCCATGAATTTTAGGTCTCGCCATGGAGCTAGTAGTAGCCAATCCAAAGCTTTCATTTGCGTCCGTCTTGGGTCAAAAATGATGTGGAAGGGAAACATCAGTTCGAAGTCTGTACTCGGACGTTCATCAGGGAATCCTTCCTTGTACTGACATTGAAAACATCTGCATCTTTTCCATACGTCAACCTCAATTTTGCCTCGACTTGTTACGCTTCGTAATATAGGTATCCATCCATTGCATGCCTTCTTTTCCTTCGGTTGAAGGACGCGGTCATTAGTGGGCAGGATGATTGATTCGTACATGTTGAAAGCAGCTTGGTCCGACCATTCTCTCTGTTGTTTTATGCAATTCCAGTGAGTTATCCAAATGGCGAGCATAACTCGTCCCATTTCCTCCAAATTCTGTTCATCTTGCAGCTTAATCTGTTGTAAGCAAATCAAACTCCAAATTTTGTTTTTCGACCGTATCTCAGGCGGCATTTTCTTGAAATTCATCATTCTCAACCAGAATTTCCATTTTTTTTCACAATCTATCCAGAAGTGCTTGTCAGATTCATT